TGTGGCTCGGTGCGTGCGTGCGTGTGTGCGTGCGTACTTGGATAGGTAGGTTGGTGTATAGGTAGGTCAGTGGCCATCAAACCTACGTAAAGAAGACTCTTTGGGGAAAAAGATATTTTGGCGTTTTCTTCCCTGCTACCTCTGAATGAAACCTCCTCGATCGGTTTCACCTGGGTCTCTCTCTCTCTGCTCCTCCCCTTCTTCCTCTACAAAGACCTCGCTCGCTCAGTCCCACGGTCTGCACCTACATGGGGACACTTAGACGTACGGGGGATATCTAGATATATATATATACACATATATATTTAACCGGCGTTCGAATCCCGTTCTACATCCCCGTGTCTCGAACCCACCGGGCCTCCCGTCACGTCACGTCACCTACCAGCGAGGAGCGCGTTCTGCCTAGGGTCGGGCACACAGGTACACCGATTGGGGGTTAGAGAGGACGAATTGATGAAAGGATGAAACAGCATGAACTACTTTCTTTTTCGAACGCTCTGATATAACATCATTACACAGGCACTGGGATTGAGATTGATTGAGAACTTTTACCAAATCGCCCCAAACTTTCGAAGAATGGTTCCCTTTTCAAATTATTCATTCAAAACCAAGTTTGTTTGTTTGTTTGTTTTTTTGGTTCTTTTTGGCCTCGCTCCTTGAGTGGATGGTTTGTTACACAGCTTGGATTTTGGAGACTCATCTCTTTACCATTCGACAGGGTCGGTCTTGACATCGCCCCTATTCGTCTTGGGCACGGGCGCGGCCTCGATCTTGACGGGGCCTTTGCGCCATTTCTTCAGATACCCGCTGCCGTCCAACCAGGGCGTGTCCAAGGTCCTCTTTGCCTCAAACTGCGCAATCTTGTCCTCCATCTGCATGGTCAGACCAATGTCATCGAGACCCTCGACGAGGCAGTGCTTGCGGAACTCCTCGACCTCGAACGTGGCCAATTCGTTCCCCTTCGCGTCGCGGATGACCTGGTTGGGCAAGTCGACTTCGACTTCCCGACCGGCGCGCGCCTCGTCGGCGATCTTGTTGAGTTTGTCCTGGTCGGGCATGATGAGTGGCAACATGCCGTTCTTGAACGTGTTGTTGAAGAAGATGTCGGCGTAGCTGGGCGCGATGACGCACTTGATCCCGAAATCCAGCAGCGCCCAGGGGGCGTGTTCTCGCGAGGAGCCGCACCCGAAGTTGGGGCCGGTGACCACGAGGATCTTGGCCTGGCGGTACGGTTCTTGGTTCAGGATGAAGGACGGGTTTTCGCTGCCGTCTTCGTTGTACCGCAAGGGGTGGAAGAGCGCAGATCCCAGACCCGTGCGCTTGATGGTCTTGAGGAATTGTTTGGGGATGATGGCGTCCGTGTCCACGTTGGCTTTGTCGAGGGGTGCTGCGATACCCTTCAGCACGGTGAATTTGGGGAGACCAGTCCCTGGTGCTCCTCCGGCTCCTGCCTCAACATGATTCGTGGCCGTGCTTGTTGCGTCTGTGGGGATATCAAGGATACGGTCAAGCTCTTCTTCAGAGTCAACTTCGGCAAATTCAGGCCTCACGTCGAGTTTAGGGTCTGCTTTGGCTGGGGTGGCGTTGTCGCTGTATTTGCGCACATCGGCCAGTTTGCCTGCAATTGCCGCCGCCGCCGCCATGACGGGAGACACGAGATGTGTGCGACCCAGGGCACCTTGCCGTCCTTCAAAGTTGCGATTTGAGGTGCTGGCACAGCGTTCTCGCGGTGACAGGATATCGGGGTTCATGCCCAGGCACATTGAACAGCCCGCTTCCCGCCATTCGAAGCCGGCATCGAGGAAGATCTTGTCCAGGCCTTCGCTCTCAGCTTGAGCTTTGATGTTGCCAGAGCCTGGCACAACCATGGCCCGCTTGATATTTGGTGCGACCTTCTTGCCCTCGACGATCTTTGCGGCAGCACGCATATCCTCTATGCGGGAGTTTGTGCATGAGCCAATGAAGACCTTGTCCACCTCGATGTCTTCCATCTTGGTGCCTGGGGTGAGACCCATGTATTCGAGGGCTCGTTTGCAGCTGGCCTTTCTGTTCGGGTCCTCGAAGTCGTCGGGCCCAGGGACAACACCGGTAATGGGCACAACATCCTGTGGCGACGTGCCCCACGAGACTGTTGGCGCGATGTCCTTGGCGTCGATGAAGACCTCAATGTCGTATTTGGCGCCTTCATCCGACCTCAAGCTGGCCCAATAGTTGGTCGCCTTCTTCCACTCATTGCTGTCGACTTTTGGAGCCAGGGGACGTCCCTTGAGGTAGTCAAAGGTAGTCTGATCGGGGGCGATCATGCCGGCTCTGGCTCCTGCTTCGATAGACATGTTGCAGATGGACATGCGAGCTTCCATGCTGAGACTTCGGATTGCCGAGCCGCAGAACTCGATGACGGCGCCGGTGCCGCCGGCGGTGCCGATGACACCAATGACATGCAGAATGATGTCTTTGCTGCTCACTCCCGGTGCCAATTGACCATCGACCTGTATCCGCATGTTCTTACTCTTCTTTGTGATTAAGCATTGCGTGGCTAGGACATGCTCGACCTCGCTAGTGCCGATGCCAAAGGCCAAGGCACCGAAGGCGCCATGAGTCGAGGTGTGGCTGTCACCACAGACGACGGTTGTCCCGGGCAAGGTGAAGCCTTGTTCCGGCCCGATGATGTGCACGATGCCTTGGTTCTTGTCCCCCAGGCCAAAGTATGTGAGCCCGAACTCTTTGACATTGTCTTCAAGGGTGATGCATTGTAACCTGCTGTCGTCTTCCTTGACAAAGTCTGCCACGTTCTTGAAGTTCTTCCGCGAGGTAGTGGGAACATTGTGGTCGGTTGTGGCAAGGGTGCAGTCTGGTCGACGAACCTTCCGCTTGGCGTTCTTCAGACCTTCGAATGCTTGTGGAGAGGTGACCTCGTGGACGAGATGTCTGTCTGTGGGGAGGCGTTAACGGCTTCTGAGTCAAGCAGTTACCGGGGCAAAGGGTGCAGCATACCAATATAAAGCAGGACGGTGCCATCTCGCTCCTCGTTGACGATATGGTCTTGGAAGACTTTGTCATAGAGAGTCCTGGGGGTTGACTCGATGGAAGGCATCTTGACCGACTCAGCAGCGACGACCGACTTGAGCGAGACTGAGGTTTAGGAATGGATTGTCCAGAATGAATCTTCGAATAGCAGAGCACAAGATATAAGCAAAAAAGGTTTGGAGAGACGGTGGATGGCGGGGGAGCCCGACATCGGAGGTCCAGTGATGACTTTGTAGGGCCGCTGATTGGCTCGGGAGAGGCGATGCGGGTTATTCACGGCTACTCAGCTTGACAGCCTCATTTTGTCTGGTAGGCTCAGCATCCTTTGAGACTCTCCTGTTGCTCTCGTTCCCAACAGTCTTGCCGAAAGTAGCCTGAGGGTGGTTACAGGCGTGGAGGACCCTTTGTGGTACTCGCCGACCAAGAAAATATGCCGAGCTTCTGTCACCACGGACAAGGCTACGAGGCTGTCAACTCATCGAACCGTGACGAGAACCCTCATTCCGCTGAGATGGAATTACACCCAGTTTACCGACTTTGAATGCCTCGAGAAGATAGAGGAGTGCAAGAGAGACCTCCCGTTCAGTCATGGGGCTTACTTGGTTGTCCTGGGTCATGCGTTTGCGGACAAAGGAGTGACTTCTCAAAGGCTCATGGGAGCCCTCTCGTGACATGAGGGGGGTTCTCATACCGCACAATGAAGATGAAAACACAAACAAAAAACAAAAAGGATGATTGAAAAACAATCCCAGGATTGAACACGCTACCTGGTTCCAGCAAGCGCTTTCATACGACATCCCACCATCTCTGGGAGCAAAAAAGTTCCAATCGAGCCACGCAGTTCTATTTTACCTTTCCCTCCCTGTTCCCTTGTAAATGTCAGAGTGCGACCAGAATCGTAACCACCCGACGTATACAAGTAAACCTGGGAGACATGGTGAGACCCCGTACGAGCAGTATTAACCATGTCAGAAAGGCCCCGCCCTCCTAACCCTGATGGAACTTTTTAATGCTCTATAGCCCAAACTCGAAGTCAACAGGGTCTCATTTACTGCTTCGACTTCTTTCAACTGGGGCTATGTTGACTAGATTTGAGCAGATATAATTGATATGGCTGTGATTATCTGCAGTAGTGAATTGGTGATATAGCTTGGCGAGTGTTGAGATACTATCGGGATATAAGGGAGGGTTGACGCCTAGGAAGGCAGGTGGGTCGAGGTGCAGACTGCAAATTGTAGAATCAGGATGGATATATTCTCATCTCACATAGAATCAAGAAATGTTCATCTGGAGATACCCTCCTCCGTCAGGTACTACACTCATACAACAGTGCTCTCTCTCTCTCTCTCTCTCTCTCTCTGACACATACAGACATGCTAGAACAAGCAAGCAACTCTCCACCCAATGAGGACTCCAGCCTCGAATCCAAGCTCCCGCGTCCGCGCTTCCTGCGATCCCTCGCTAACTGTTGCCCCCACCGAAGCACTCGAGAATCTCATCTGCCACGCTGCCCAGCTCACTAAATGCGCCACCTTCGTAACCACTGGGCTCTGGACCGCGCTGGGCAGGGTGCTGCCGCAAAAAGGTGGGCATTTGACCAACTGAACAAGATCTCGAGATTCCAAACACATTGTTCCCCAAGCCATTTCCCCTTCTTCGCCCATGACTTCCAGCAGAGGACCAGATAATTCTGCTGCAGACTGTTAGCCAACCTGCATCCGCCTACCCGGATGCCTAGATTTGCCCTTCGCGAGCTGAGAAGGGCCCAGAAAATCCTCAGATCGACATCAGCTTCTTCCAACCATGTCCTCCTCCTAACCCCGTCCACAAAACGAGCGCCTTCAACGCTCTACCCCGAAATTGCGGGCGGGCGTTGCTCGTCTCAAGTCGGATGCTGTATACGCATTCGTTGGTTTTCAACAGTTAAATCGCTCAACAGCAGCAATGCAGCCAGAAGTCCGGCACAATCGACCATGGTCAGCAGTGAAACTCCCGCCAGAGGGACAGCTCCACCTTTGGGGAGGATCGGAATAGTCTTCACCGATATCGTCAAATCGACAGACATCTGGGAGGAAGACACAGGCGCCATGATCGAGGCCATGAAACTGCACGACGACATGATCAGAGGCCTTACTGTCGCCAACGAGGGCTATGAGGTCAAACAAAACGGCGATGGCTTTATGATCGCCTTCGCTACCGCCACTTCAGCGGTGCAGTTCTGCCTAGACGTGCAGGAAAAGCTCCTGGATGAACGCTGGCCGAAAGCGATTCTCAAACTGCCACCTGGCCAAGAAACCAAGGACCCCGAAGGCCACGTCCTATTCCGCGGCTTGCAACTGAGGATGAGTGCACACTGGGGAGAGCCCGTGAGCAAGTGGAACGAGGTGATCCAGCGCATGGATTATCTAGGCCCCGTGGTCAATCGAGCCGCCCGATTCATTCAAGTCACCGAGGGCGGCCAGATTGTGGTCTCGGAAGATTTCCTTCGTCAGCTGCAGAGCGAGTTGGAAATGGCCAAGCAGCAGAACGAGGAGGCACAGGAGCCGCCGGTCCGGGCAGCTGAAGGAGAGGGCGACCACGATCACCCCCGAGAAACAAACAACACGCCACCACCAGCTTCTCTGGACCTTCGCAGTCTACGTAGCCGGCGAGACCAGAAGAATCTCACGCACCAGCAATTCGAGATCCGTCCACTGGGCGACTATGAGTTCCAGGGCCTAGAGGACCCTCACAAGCTGTACTTCATTGTTCCGTGCTCGCTTGAGGGACGGGTGGACCATTGGAATCAAGTGGCGCATGTGACCGGGGTGAAAGGCAATGTTCGCACACCCTGAGTCCGAAGGTGTCCGACTGCAAGAAAGAAGCACACCAGAGACTCTGAAGAGACAGTGGGTCGGCATGTTCATACAGACCAACCCAAACAGGGGGGGAATGGGCCCCATCATAATGGTCTGAGAGGATTTATGGGCCTTGGAGAGAAACCAACCCCTTCCTATCTTGTTGAGGAGGAAGTTGAGGGAGGGGGGACATGGGAGGGCAGTTGTCCAATGGTCGGTCAGCTTGTACAAACAGGGATATGGCTGGAGGAGAACATATGCGAATTCATATTCGGTTCGGTTCACGGTGTACATTATGAAACCAGCAAAGCCATGCAATGCAATGAAATGGACAGAAATCAGCGTGGACAAAAGTTTCTTGATGATCTGTATAGCACTCGAGAACTCAGGCATCCATGATGGAAAGCCAGGGCTCTCGTTCAACCATTTTTCCAGCCAGCCCCAGTCGATACAGCCTGGTATCTACCTATCACTGCATCGTTCCGTACGTGTGTGCCGAACGTCTCAAAAAACTCCTTACGCTCGCAATGCCCGGGTGATTCAAGCAGCGGCGTCAGCCTCTTCTTCTCCATCCGCCTCGACCGTCCCGTTGGTCTCCGGAGTCTTGTCATCGGGCTCATTCTCATTCTCAGCATCGCCGTTGACGTCAAGAAGGTCGTCTTGCGCCTTGACTGGTGGCGCCGCTGCACCGGCTTTTCCACTTTCAACCTCCTCTTCCAGCTTGATGTATTCTTCCCATTCGGGGAACAACTCCTCATCCTGACCCTTTCCCGGCACGCCCAGGAGCCTCGCGACCTTGCCCTTCCCTTGCTTCTCGAGTCCCTCTTTCCACTCCACTGCTAGCCCCTGGGTCAAACTCGGTTTGTACGTCTGGCTGAACAGCACTGCCTCGCTGATCCTTCCTGTTCGTTTGAGAAGGTCGATGCAACCAAACACGTCGCCCGTGGACCACAGAGCGGCGAATGCGACATTGTTGGCGCCCGATTCTTCTGCTTGCTTGGCCAGTTTGAGGAGTCCTTCCCTGTTGCCGGAGCTAGTGTATAGGAGCACTAAGGAACCGAGATCTTTTGCGTGATTAAAGCACTCTTCTGCAAGTTTCACGTCCCACGCTTCCAAGGCTTTGTCGGCAACAGCCGCCCACCGTGCTTGGGTGTCGGATTCTCTTGCAATCTCCAGCGCGATCGCGAGATTGTTCAGTCCCAGCGCCAATTCAAAGCGGTGCTCAGGATCAGTGGCGACTTCTAGTGCGAGGTCTTTGTGGCCCTGCGCTTCGAGGAAGCGTGCGATCTTGTTCATTTGATCTTGTGGGATATCCGGGAGGAGTTCTTGAGCGGCTTCGAGTTCATCTCGCAAGACAAGAGTCTGGTACGAGAGCAGCGCAGTAGAAAGTTTGTAAGATATAACGCCGACATCCTTATCGCAGAGGTACACGCGCTCATCGCGTTGAAGGTACCGTAACAGGTACATCGGCTGGTCGAATTGGGCGATATTCACGACTTGTTCGCCCAAGAGGTAGCTGAGACGAGTGCTGGTGGTGAATAAGAAAGCATCGCCGACCCATTCGCCAGATTTCACGGATTCTTGCAAATCGGTCACAACGGAGAAGGCGGCCTCGACACCGTCTTCGTCTGCTTGGCCCGAGTTGAGGCCATTAAGGTAAGCTTCGCGGTCGAAGCGAAGGACATAGGTGGTGTCGGAACAGGCAAGCGCCACGAGTTCGCCGGACTCACTCCAGTAGACCTATCCCGAATATGTTAGCTACGGTCATTTCCAATAATTGGATACACGGGACGAGTGTTACCTCTGTAGGTTCGACCTCAATTCTCCGGACGAGAGAACCAGTCTCCCAGTCGAACATGCCAATGCCTCCTTGGCCCTTGACGCCGAGAAGAGCACCGCCACAGAGACCTTCAGCTTGGAAGCCAACATCGAGATTTCCGCTCTCTTTCAGTTTCTTGAAAATTTTAACGCTGGTGCTAGATTCTCGGATTGCATAGTCCGTTGGATTTTGATGTGATGCCCTGTAACCAGCGTTAGCAGATCATTACATCCCAGAGTGAGGCTTCTCTACCAGGCAAAATCAAGTGCTGAGCCAAAGGCCTGATTTCTCCATGCCAATGCGGTGTACTAGGGTGTGTCAGCAGAAAGTCGTCGCCGAATATAATCAACAGAACACTCACAATGATGAACTCCCCATCACCACAGACACTGACAAATCTGCCATTTGGCGAATGAGATAGTGTGGTTGGATAGCTGCATGCCACGTTAGCATTTCCGTCACGCTGTCTGCCAGTAATGCTCACATTTCGGTGGTGCCCATTTCTTTGCTTGGAAGAGCAATAGGTGCGCCATCTTTGAGCGTTGCATCGCCTCCTTTGATGATAGCAGATACCACCTCGTTGTGACGTGCCCAGACGAGTTTCCCAGTGCCGTCCATGGAAACCGCTGGTTCCTCTCTGCCCATTTTCACGACAACAGCGCCATCGTCGAAGCCCATTGCGACCCCCTGTTTCCCTCTCTGGTATGAAACACACCATGCCCTCTCCAGACCATAGCTCAGTGATTGCTCTAACCGGTACGTGTTGGCATGCCATATCTTGATGGTCCCGTCTTCAGAACCGGATATGATGACCGGTAGTTCAGGGTGATAACAGGCGAAGCTGACATTGCTGGTGTGTCCTTCGAGTGTTGCAATGAGAGCTTTGGTGGTGTAGTCCCATATTTTGACCGTCTTGTCATCGGAAGTACTGAGTAAATAAGGCTTGTCGCTGTGCGGGTAGTAGTCGACGTGATTCACACCCTTTTCGTGTGCCTCAATCGTCTGCTTAGCGGTGGCATTGTCGATGCTCCAGATCTTGATCGTGCGATCTAAGCATGCCGATGCAAAGACATTGGTATCCTTAGGGTTGATTGAGAGGCCCATCACATAGTGTTGGTGCCCAACAAACTCGCGCACACATCGCCAGTCCTTTTCCCAATCGAACATGCGAATTGTCATGTCATCTGAGGCTGTCAGGACCACGCTGAGAACAGGATGCACGACAATTGCGCGGATATAATCTGGGTGTCTGCAACAGTCATTGTAAGCCCACCCATTCCATTTCTTGAGGGCCACAAGCCGCTTACGCCTCAAATGATTTGACCTTTTCACTTGTGTTCCAATTGACCACTCTGAGTTGGAAATCATCGCTGCCACATACTATCCAGTTCTTTCTTTCAATGAACCTTCCCGCCCTCACAGGCACATCGGTGAGCTCGAACGTTTTGATGATGGACTGGGTTTCGTAGGACCAAATGTGTGCATGGCCATTGTATAAGGTGGTAAGGATCTGGAACTGTCAGCGGCGAGAGTGGACAACGAGGGACTCAGGAACGGTATACCCATGGTTCGGTACTATGCAACTGTTAGAATCCCAGCTTCTCGTGAGAATTTAAGTACTTGCCTGTGGAAATCAATCCCCTTTACCCGCTCCGAGCCTTGACCAGATTAGTTTCCATACATGATGATTGAGAGAATTAGACGAACGGGCAAAGAGTTGTCTCTTGACGTCCAGGCGCATTGCGGCATCAAATAGTCAAGAAAAGGTAGGGGATTTGGCTGCGCACACAAGGGTGCTGGTTCGAGTGATTATGGTGCAGTCAGAAATCGAAGCGGGCGGGAAAGAGACCGAGCACAATATTCCATATCATCAACTCATGGTCGTCGTAAACACTGCAGTTCAATTCATCGAAAGGAGTCGTACAATTGTGCAGGCCCCGTCCGTTCTGTGGTTTTGACAGAATGTCCCCAAAATCTAAGCCTCGCAGGCACGTACATTGAAAGTCTATATGGATCCTGCCGCTTTAACCCAAACTTCTCCGCCTCTCCGCACAAGCTGTACGTGAATATTCTTTCACTGTCCCCTACGATCATCACTCGGTTGATTTCTTCGGAATCTTCTGTTCGTCCCCTTTTACGACGCTGCATAACCTTTGACTGCGTGAGGAATGAACACAGTCAAAATGTGCCAATGGACGTCCCTGCCGCGTGCCGGATTGACGACTGTCTGTCGCGCTCGCAGAAGGTGCTGACACAAAGACAGCAAGGAACCAACAGTCGTACCATAGTGCATGGTTCAGAGTCGACCATTGCCATCCACAGTCTACAATGAAGACACCTGACGCGAGCTTGCTGTCAGCACGGGCGCCCTCCCTTCGCCGCCCTAATAGGTGCACATAACAATGATTCTTTCAGACGAGCTGAGCCAAGAGGGAATATCAAAAGAATGGAATTGATATGGAGTCACCCAACCTTGGGCGGCAGGGGTAGGTCCATTTGCCTTTGACAACTGCAGTTTCTCTTTGATAAGCAATCGAGCGCAAGATGGCGCAAAGATGTTGAACTTCATTACGAGACATGTCCCGGTTCGTTTCGTTCGTTATGAGGAAGAATTCGACGTAAAGGTCGAGCGATCAAATGACAAGGCTTGGTCAGCCCTGGGGTGTCGATCTGCACCTCAGGGGTGAATGACACATACAATAGACCTAAGCTTCGTGGCAGATCAGCAGTCTTTATGAGACAGGGTTCAGGGAGTTGACTACCCATATTGCTGACAAGTACAGCAACGACGCCAGTGAAATGCGATTGATCTCGAGACAGGCTGTGCAAACATTCGATTTCCCCTTCCTCTCTCTCCTGCTTATACAGCACCTCGCAGTGAAGCACGTTCAACGCACGACCGGCGACACGCTCTAGCCTCAATATGTTTCATCCAAAGTTATTGGTGTTACCTAGATAGGTAATATCACGACGTAGGTGCTCCACTCTTCGCCTGGTCAATATCACCCGTGCGAGTTCCGGGCGTCAGGAAATACGTGGCTGTTCATCCAGTACTCGGTACGGCTTCAGTAAGGTCTCATCGATGGAGTCGGTCTCTCAATTTCCTGTTGCCTGCCTGGGCCTAGGCTGGTCCCGGAGTGTTCAAGGTCCGGCTGCCCCAGATGGATGACGAGCAATTCTGTATCTGGGGCTCCGGGGGAATCAAGTGTCATCGTCCTTATGGATTCGGGCCTTATGTTTTAGTTGGCTCTGTGTAGGTACTTAGGTTATGGGACGCGGTGTCCTTCCCCACTTCTACCTCCTCCCTCATGGTTCGGCTTCTTGAAAGACGCAGATGTCAGGGTCGACATCTTTCAACACTCTTACAAGTCAAAAAGCTAGGCGTTGGCTTCATTATCATCATTGTCGGACCAGGGTGATGACACTTTGGAAGCTCGCCTCCACGGATTCCTGATTTTCAAGAGCGGTTCCTGCTTCTATCGCCCACGATGCAGTCCACCACCCTTCAAGCGAAAAAGCGAACACGAATAGCAGTGGCATGTACTTCGTGTCGAGGTCGGAAATCTCGCTGCAATGGCGGTGAACCGTCTTGCCGTCAATGCAGCGAACTTGGCGTGCAGTGTGTCTATGAACGCCTGCCTCGGAAACAGATCAAGCCTCCCAAAAAGCAGGCAAACTACCGCAGGAGACTGCGCGCCCTCGAAGACACGGTGCGCGACTTTGTGCAAAACCAGCATCCTATGCAGCACGCGGTGTTGAGCAAGCACGACCGGGAACCAAACAATCCTCTCGATGGGCAGCAAGAACCCAGATCAAGACATCAAGAGTCACGCAGCCCAGTCTGCAGTACAAGCAACTCTCTAGAGCAGAACGGAGACGAGGACACGGTCGACGGTATGGCCACAGTTACTAGTCCAAAGACCATGAATTCTATGGTCCTCGGGCCGTCTTCAAACATAGCATTTCTCCGTCAAGTATTCGACGCTACTGCGGCCGCGCTGCACGCACTGGGAAAGACTTCACTATCAGGAAACGCCCTCTACCGTACGTATATCTCCTCGGATGCCACTCCAGTTAATACGGTGTCAAAGTTGCGCTCAGCAAATCAGCAACGTTTGGATTCCCACCTTCTGCCTTCCGATTCCCATGCACGACATCTGATCAGACTCTTCTTCTCCAACATTGGGATGCTATTTCCAGTCGTCCATGAAAGCGAGTGCCTCAGAGTCTACTGTACCGCCAAAATGGAAGGCTCTGCCGCAGTCAGTCAATCGTGGCTTTGCCTCCTCAATGTCATCTTTGCTCTCGGCACTTGTGCCAGCACCACGCACGATGGGATAGCAGGAAGGGATGAAGAGACAGCTGAAGTATTTATCGAGAAGGCGGAAGCTCTCGCGGTCCACATCACGATGAAATCAGCAGACTTGAAAGCCGGTGAGTTTCGTTGGTGCTGCCTATTCTGAAGATCCCAGTGTCTCCACCCATTTCGCACTCAGTTCTCTTCGTTGCAGCGAATGAAACCAACCTATCGACTCCTTGCTGACTGGTTCTAGTCCAATGTCTCCTGCTGATCGCACAATACTGTCAAGGTACCCAAAGGCCTGATGAAGCTTGGCATTTGCACGGACTTGCCGTTCGTGCTGCTATACAATTGGGATTGCACTGGACACATACGTACACGCATTTAAAGCCACTGGAATGCGAGTTACGGAAAAGGACATGGTTCGGTTGTGTGATCCTGGACAGGTAAGCTCTGACGCTATCAGAGGACATCATCAGTTACTTAGGACGTCTCACCCGCTAGAATGCTAAGCATGACCTTGGGTCGCCCGTGCACGATATCTGACGAACTCCTCCAATTGGATCTACCTGTTGATATTGGCCTCGATGCAGTGAGCAGGGGACCTGCCTCAACGGCGTCGGGTCAGTCTGCTACTCCAAATACAGTCTGCCTCTTCATTGCAACAATGTAGGGATTGGATCTATGGTGCATTCTTCCACACTCGAATCCGCTAACATTGGCCTGCAGCCAACTGTATGACGTACTGGGCGATATCATTAAGAAGCTTTACGGCTCTAACGTCGATGCCGATGTTCAACAATCCGTTCCAGCCTTGCTTGGGACAATCAGCCATCTCGAACATAAGCTCGAGGTATGGAAACAAAACCTGCCTCCCCAATTACAACAGCTGCCCTTGGAAATCAAAGCAACGGGTTCGGATTCTCCGTCACCGGCATTTGCACCAGTCTTCGACCGCCTCAGTGTCATTCTTACCCTTCGGTACCTTAATACCCGCATTCTCCTTCATCGACCCATTCTTTCGGCGTGTCTGCGCCAAAGATACCCCTTTGGCGCTCATGAAGGACCCTCCCCCGAAGCACATGGAGATTTCCTCCACGAGTTTGCCAACGTCAGCATAGACATATGTGAACGATCTGCAGTGGAGGTGATTGACATTGTCTGCAATGCAAGTCGGCAACCTGGCCTGCTGGGCACCTGGTGGTTTACCGCCTACTACAGTAAGCCATACTCTTAAACTGGATTGTGTCTAATTCTGCTGACAATATCTTTCTCCAGCATACAACGCGGCCTTGGTCATTTTCTGCTGCATTCTCTTGCATACTACCACGCCCAAGGCGGAGATATCCTTTGAAAAGACCGAGTGTCATGAGCATGCAAATCATGGAAAGATCGTCCACCTTCAGCGGGCTATCGAGGCCACAGCAAGAGTGGGAGCGGGCTCGGTCACGGCAAAGAAAATCGAACTTGCGCTGTTGGCGCACCGACAGACCTGCATGGCTTTGGTACGAAGCGATGCCGGAGACGATGGCAGAGAAGAGGACACATCTGAATCATTCACCGTTGCTGCCGCCGTATCTGGGGCGGCGCAGCTTCCGCAGATCGATGGTGTGCACATCCCACATGAGGCTGGCGTGGTCGTCAGCAGCGAGGCTTGCAATGTCCCTTTCCTGGATTTTGCTCAAGATGATCCATTTGCTACGTTGGACGAGGGAATGGATCAGCCGTGGAGCGAGCTCGACTGGTTTTCTGACGTGTTTGGACCTAATTCTCAGCTAGAGTTTCATCCAATGCCGTCCAGCAGTCTCGAGGACTCACTGCAGAATGGCAGATATGTGGGCATGTCGGTCGAATGACGGGCAGTTTTTGAGGCTGGAGAGATGACAAAACGTGTTTGTCGTGACGGCGAATGGGATGCAGGAGTTGGTCATCAGAAGAAATTGACAGGAGTTGGAAATCAAGAAACACAAGGACGTCGCTGTGCTGTGCAACCAGAAGACCCTCACACTGATCCGCTCCCTATCCACTCAAATAGTGGCTGCTTGGTCGGTGACCGGGCCTCGAGTCCCTCTCCCCTGAGTCCTTTGTAGCCATCACCATTTCATATATGATGCAATGTTCTTGCCCGCATAATAGTCTCTATCCTTCCAGGTCACGACCTGGGTGAAGACCCACTCCTCGAGGCCCTGCAGGCCATTGAATCGACCCCAACCGCTGGCTTTCACTCCCCCATGAGGCAAGGCCGGTTCGTCGTGGACTGTCATAGAATTGATATGCACGGCTCCGGTCTCGATCTTCTTAGCGATACCCAACCCTCTCCTTAAGTCTTCTGTGAAGACAGCGCTCGAGAGGCCATGTTGCGTGTCGTTTGCCAGTCTGATGGCTTCGTCGTCCGAGTCGACGACATAGAGAGACACGGTCGGCCCGAAGGATTCGGTGTAGTAGATATCCATTCCCGGTGCCACGTCTTGAAGCACAGTGGGCGCCAGTTTTGTGTCAACGGCACGGTCGGTGACGACGTCGTTGTTGGCGGTATTCGCGGCCGGGCCGCCACAGAGAGCTGTAGCGCCCTTTGAGAGAGCATCGGCGACCAGGGCGTTCGTCTTGTTGACTGCCGGGAGAGATACCAGTCGGGGAGCCCCGATGCCCTTCTCGGTGAAGATCTCGTCGATGGTGTCCTTGAGGGCGGCCCGGAACTGGTCGGCGATCCGGACGTGGACGATAATTCTCTCCGTGGACATACAGATCTGCCCGGCATGAAGCAAGGCGCCTAGGGCGCATTGTTGGGCCGCGTATGGGATATTGGCGTCCTCGCACACGATCGAGGGGGCTTTCCCTCCAAGCTCCATCACGGTCGGCTTTAGATACTTTCCAGCTTGTGAGGCGATGATGGCGCCGACAGAGGTCGAGCCGGTGAAGTTGATCTTCTTGATCGCAGGGTGGGCAATGAGCGCGCTGGTTATTTTGCCAGCATCGGCCGGACGGTGGTAGATGGTGTTCAAACACCCTGCCGGAAGGCCGGCCTCGTGGAGAACGGAGACAACGCCCCAGTGAGTAGCGGGAGCTAATTCGGGCCCTTTGTGCACCACCGTGTTACCCCTGTTCTATTTGTCAGTATGAGGAGGGTTGGTAGGAAAGACTTTTATTCGTCGAGTCAAACATACATGGCCAACGGCTGCAAGCAAGCCCTGAGGGCGAGCACGTTGGGGACGTTCCAAGGAGATATGGCCAAGACCACCCCATATGGCTGTTTAACCGTGATCGCGTTGCTCCCGTGTTCTGCTGGGTTAAGGACCGAAGAAGCCGTAGCGATCTGGATGAGACCCGCGACGCTCCTACATGCATCTGCAGCAAGACCGTGCTCAAGCGAGAACATGGACGGCAGCGCCCCAGTCTCGGTCTGGCTGTAGTGGCCTAATTCCTGCATTCGCTTCTCAAAGATGTCGGCTGCGCGCAAGAAAATGTCTCTTCGAAAGTTGGGCTTCGTCTGGGACCAGGCCTTGAATGCCTCCTGTGCTGAAGCAACCGCTCTCTCGACATCTGTCTCGCTGGCAGAGGAGCACTTGTATAGAACTTTCTGATTTTGGGGGGATATCACATCGAAGGTTTCAGACAGCTCGACTTGCTCACCATTAAGCCAGAGAGGAATGGTGGAACCAGTATCAAAGGCCGAAGGACTCGGAATCACACCATCTCTGCAGTTCGAAAGAGTGCCCTCAGAGTTGTAAGAATCGGTAGTCGTGGTGTGAATCAAGCTGGGCGCCATCTTTGAAATTTTGGTGAGAAGTTCTCGACGGCGTTCATAAAAGACTTGCACACGGCGGGAAGAGGGCTGTTATATATCCATTTCCATTCATTCTCCCTCACTTGGGCGTTGACGTATCATGCTGGGCAACATATTGGCGGTAAGGTCTTTGGTGACTTCAGAACTTCAGATCATTGGGCCAAATGCCCACGTTCAGGCCTGATTCCGGCTCAGAGGAAATGATAGCCGCGGAAAGACAGAAGGCCTTGCACAATCCGCGGTTCGCTACGATGCTGGCAGTCATCGTGACATTGGTCTGTGGACTCAGTTGGAGGTGAATATAGTATCGTGTGAAGATACTCACCGTGAAGGTTCGGCTGGTGAGGCTTATTGCATACTCCCGCGGGAAGGATTTCGTTCCCGGCTACCCGACGCTGGAATTTGGTTGGTCCTGCGTTGAACGTATGGGTGTATCTTGGCCTCACCAGTCTCGATTTGAGGGAGAAGGCGTGTTCGAACAAGGGCACATCTAGGCGAGACAATGAAAGGGAAGACTGCCTCTGAAATCTTCCCGAGAGCATTGCCACGGGAAGACTCACTTACGCGTTCCAAAGTCCGTCCTGCCTTCCACCTCCGATAAGCAGTCCATGAAGTCCCTATAATAAGGGGCACTTAATCTGCACAGTCCGTCACGAAAGCAAAATCCAATATTTCCATCTCCGCCAAAGACGACCCGAGTCACTTCTCACGAAAGAAATCATGGGTTCAAGCACGATATCACCCGCTGTGGCAATGTCAACAACCCTCACATCCCACGATAAACTCGTTGCAAATGCGCTCAAGGTCAACACAAAGCCGCTTTGGACACAGATGGCCAAAATGAATCCGCGAGAGCCGAATCCGAAGTGTGTGCCGACCATTTGGCGGTACGAGGAAGTCAGACCCCTCTTGGTAGAGGCCGGTGTGCTCGTCACCGATAAGGAGGCAGAACGTCGGGCATTGATGTTCGTGAATCCTGCGAGAGGTATGCTCGACACCGCAACTATCGTCGCCATACGTGACTGACGAGAGATCAAGATGCCCCGTATACCACGGACACCATAGCCTCTGGGCTCCAACTTGTCATGCCCAACGAGACAGCCCCTGCCCACAGGCACCTTGCTTTCGCCATGCGGTTCGTCATTGAAGGCCAGGGTGGATTCACAGCAATCCAGGGTAAAAGAGTCTGGATGCAGCGTGGTGATGTTATCCTGAACCCGCCATGGAACTGGCACGACCAGGGTAAAGACGGCTCTGGGCCCATGATATGGCTCGATGGCCTCGATATCCCAAATTTCATCCATATTCCCGTGCATTTCGTTGAGCACTATAAAGAACCGAGATACCCAGCCGAGGACGTCGATTCCAGCAATTCAGCTCTGGTCTTTCCGTGGAAAGTCATGCAGCAGAAGTTGGATAGCAAGCCCGGAGAGTGGGCCTCGCAGGATTATTTGCGATCGGATGGCACGCCAGGTAAGTAACCAGCAGACGTCTGTAGTTGACTTGTCCGGGTTCTTCATACTGATTTCATATGCTGAAGTGTCGAAATCCCTTGGTGGTTGTGCCGAACGCCTAGACCCAGGTGCCTCCTCTCCTGCTGTCCGTGAGACGGCTTCTTCCATATACCATGTCATCTCAGGGGCAGGATACAGTGACATTGGTGGCCAGAGATTCGAGTGGAAACAAGGAGATTCTCTCTGTATCCCGGCATGGAACAAATATCAGCACACCAATAAGGGATCTGAGACGGTTTACCTCTACCGACTCCATGATAAGCCCTTGCTAACCAACCTCGGGTACTATCGACTTGATGGTTGCGATGTGGAAAGCTTGGTGTCGGTATATTGACATTGGGTGGACATTGGATTTACGTCGAGGCCGTTCTAAAGGTTGGCTGTAATTTAAATTCACCAGGCTGAGATAGGCATGACTTGAAGGCATCTATCGACTCGGCTATGCACGAGATACTGTCAGTAGACTTGCCACACTTGAGACCTTCCCGTCCCTCCTATAATCGAGACGCTCAAGCAATAAACCTGATCACCTGTTGAAAACCTCAAGGAGGGATCAGACCGTTAGCATTTATACGCCCGCGACGCCTAGGGGCCGGTGGAAGCAGCAATTTATAGCCGAGTCCACCTCCGTGAACCTTGCATTTTCTAGGGTGATGGCTGCGCTGCGCACCTGCGCGCGGAATGCGGAGCTACGGAAATGTCCCGCCTACAAAGCGCAGCCTTTGCACCCTTCAAGTTGGTTCTCAGAAGTATCGAAATACATACCTAGGTAGCTTCACCAGCTCCATTCCATGATGATCAACACCAGACGTTCTGTATTATCGAGTCGAGGTAACCTTCCGTCGCCATATGAAGCCTGTATGACCAATGGACAGCTCGCTTCCTGGTCCCGGCTATACTCGTTGGTTGTGGGCCGAGGCAGCTGCTGAGGGCCTGCCGCCGCCAAAATGCATTTAAACATGGCCTAGCTAGATCACACTGACCTTGTCAACGTCCACGCCTGATTACTCGCTTTACCACCGCTCGTCTAGAGCTGTTCTCCATCCTGCATTACAATCATGGCAGAACTCCGGCCAACGCTCCATCATCTAAATGTCAGGTCCTCCGAGCTGTCCTCCTTGCCGCTGCTCACAGGTCGCAGGACTCGCAATCGCAAAGAATCCTATGGCTGCTCGAAGAGCTCGAAATCCCGTATAACCTCAAGCTTCATGAACGTGTCAAACAGAGAGCTCCTCCCGAGATGAAAGAAACACATCCATTGGGCAAGGCACCACAACTGGAGACAGGCGACGGGAGAGTTATTGTGGAATCGCCGGTGATTGCGAGATACTTGATTGATACATACGACAAGACGGGCAAGTTCAAGGGCGACGGCCAAAAGAATGACTGGATACGCGATGACGAGTTGTGCAGCCTTGCTGGCGCCAGCATCGGCCCTCCCATGATCTTGGAAGTCATCATGACTGTAGCGGTCAAGTTGACACCTTTCTTCGTCCGCCCTTTGATATCCCTGGTCCACAAACAACTCCGCGGAGGCTACTCTGGGCCCGAACTCGACGCGTTCTTTAAGTACATGGACGATCAATTGGGAGACCAGGACTATTTTATGGGCACCACGCCTGGCCGGGCAGACTTCATCCTCTCTTTCCCGGTAGACATGTGCACCGCAGCTGGCTTCATTGACATTAAAAAGTACCCGAAGGTGGAGAAATGGCACGCTCGGTGTCGTGAACGACCAGCTTGGAAGAGGGCTCTAGAGAAAGGCAATGGGTACAATCTCAGTTTCAATGGCTAGCTAGAGGGCAAGTCGAGGACAGGCCAACCAACTGGCGCAAAATTTGTGTGTACATAAAATGTAAGGCAGCCGACAGGTACTTAGGTACATCTCCGGAAAGCGAGCGGGCGGATGATACAAAAGCCCATCGCCGCTCAATCTTATCTCAGGTTCTCCTCGTATTGAACAAATAGCTGGATCGGACCCGTCATTCTGCTCATGAAATCTCCCAGAGGTCAGCTTTGACCATGGGACACCCTCGTCCATATGCGCTGGCGAAGACTGGTCTTGATAGAGATCATGTAGTCCGTACTGCCAACATTGAACAATGAGCCGAGCACCTGAAGGCCCAAAGCCCGTGAGGCCCGGAAGAATCGTCATCCGGGGCGTATACTTTGCCAAATCGCGCCTAGAGAGAGCCCCTTAGCCCGCCCGTGACCTCGTGTAGGGGGCCACTTTGGCGCTACGATCCCTCGCGCCTCGCTTAGAGGCAAGTCTTCCACAGAACGCAATCCCTTGCTCCTTCGCGAGCTCCACCGCCTACCAAAACACTACCTTGGGTACTCCGTTAGTTGACTCCGTTATGGCCTTTGAGAACTACCTAGAATGCAACGTTTGTCAATTGCTCTTTCATTGGGCCGGCAACATGTTTTGGCCAAGTTCATTCCATCATTTATCTCGCCTGGGAGGCGAAGGCGCGGGCCAGCGCTTAACAGGTATGTATGGTACCTCCGCAACCTTCGATTATTGCTACTGATCTCCTGCTTCTTCTCTCTCCCATTTTTCTCTCCAAGGATAAACGCAGATTTCTCTTTTTCTGTGTTTCTTTGGTCTTTCGAGTTGCTGGAGCAGTCAGCCTTGTATTTTCTGTTTTTCTTTCTGGCGCGGCCTGTGGCCCACCTTGAGTCCCGACCAACACCATGCCTTCGAACGCGACACACCATGCCCGTCAATTCTGCACCGAAATTGGCCCCGACTGCCCCCTCAAAGCCACCACATATGGCTACTACCCCAATCTCGGCGTGAACTCATTCTTCATTGCTCTCTTTGGCCTCTGCCTGCTGCTGCAGTTGGGGCTCGGCACGTGGAGGCGGACATGGACATACCTGATCGTGGTCGCCGTTGGCTGTTTCGGCGAGGCGGTGGGATATATCGGGCGGTTGATCATGCATCACAACCCTTGGAGCGGCGCTGGTTTCAAGACGCAAATCTGCTGCCTGGTCCTGGCGCCCAGTTTCCTCGCCGCGGGGATATACGTCACCTTGAAGCATCTGGTCATATACTGTGGAGCCGAGAACTCGAGGTTGAAGCCTCGCCTCTATCCCTGGATCTTCATCGGTTGTGATTTTGGGTCGATTGTGCTCCAGGCGATTGGTGGCGGCGTGGCAGCCGGTGCAGGCGACCGCGACGCGAACCCCAAATTGCTGCACGCAGGCAATGCGTTGATCGTGGCGGGCATTGCATTCCAGGTGGCAACCATGGGTGTTTGTGGGCTTCTCATGATTGACTACTACCTCCGATTCCAGCGCGCAAAGAAGGCCAAGTCACAAATGACGATGGAGAGCGAGTATGAGAAGAATCTGTCCTCGCCCAATGTATCGCGCAATTTCCGGATCTTCTGCTTTGCCATTGGGGTGGCCTTCACTACCATATTCATCCGTTGCATCTACCGGTACGTCGTTCCTTGAATGCTGTCTGTCTTAGCCGAAAGTCACATACTAAGAGATGTTCGATGAACAGTCTGCCCGAGATGGCAGGAGGCTGGGGAGGCCCTCTGATGAGAGTTGAGACCGAATTCCTCATCCTTGATGGAATGTAAGTTTTGGGCGCGCTCCCGGACACCAGGCACCAGTGAATTCTCAGACTGACATCTGTCTTCTTTTTCGTTCCAGGATGGTGGGCATCGCGTGTGTCCTCCTGACCGTTTTCCATCCCGGGTTCTTCTTTGAGCCAATGAGGAAATTCAGGAGACCAGACTTTGTTGCAGAGCCCGTCGAGCAGCGGCCCGAGACAGTGGAGAGCAAATCTTGACGACTGACATATGTATATGAATGAATATATATCAATATAGACATAGAATGGCGAATGTGCAAGTGACGGCGAATGGGAACCAAAGGCCAGAAGAATGACATCTCTGATTACTCCTCTTCTGGAGATTGGTAGGTACGTACCGAGTACCTCGTAATACTAGGAGCCTCCATGCAGAACAGGCACCGACGCTTTCGGCCGCAGAATGATGACCGCCTCGCCGCCACTCTCCGCATTAATTCACCCAGGGGGGCCTCGGCCTGTTATTGATGCCGAGCTTATGGATATCCCTCACAAAAACACTGGGTCATGCGAGTTCTTATACCATCATCGAGGGAGGCCTTCCCTGTTATAGCGGCATCTTGTTGTGGTGACGATGAGGCTGGCGCAGTGTCCGCGAGTTTCCGAACACGAGGCAGAAAAGGCGTTGAGGTGCCAAGCTAATACGCCAGCCGATACGAGGCTCGTTTCTTCCAAAAGACTAAAGATACACTCAAGTCAGCTTCACTCTCCTCGCCCCGTCCTCAACGCCGACCTGGATTTATGCGCCGTCTTTGATTCACAGCCCAACTCCCCTGCCGGCCGCCTCTACAATGCCTTCTCGACGGTCGCATACAAAGTCCCATCACGGCTGTCGGCAGTGTAAAGCGCGGAGAGTCAAGGTCAGTTTGCTTGCCCGGGGTTGACGTTTCAACGGGACTTTCTTTGCCTTTTCCCGAGGCTCCATAATTCGGTGTGCAGTAGCGGTGCTGCTGGTGCTGCTGGGAGCGGCCTTTTCTCGCTTACTCGTCGCTGGAGCCCGTTCTCACCAGAATGTTTCTTCTGTCTGTTGTCTGCTGTTGTTGGTCCTGACCAAAGTGCCCCCAGTGCGACGAGACGAGTCCCCAGTGCCAGCGCTGTGTGAAGCGACAAATCCCCTGTTCATTCCTCGAGAATGGCTCCGAAGGGTTCCCGACACCTCCGGGAAACACGTCCGTCCATGACACATCGACTCCCAAGAGCTTTGATCATCCGCATTCGGACCCCGAGAAGATACGACATGCGGCACTGTCAACTCCAAAAGCCTCATCGCCTCTGGCAACAGAGGGAGACCCAGCCAGTCTTGACAAACGGTTTGATCTCCTGGACCTAGAACTCATCCAGCATTACTCTACACGGACGTACATGACCATGTCCTCGAGGCTCGCCACCCACGCTGTCTGGCGCGATACGGTCTTTGCAGAGGCCTTGCGCCATGACTATCTCTTACATGGCTTGATGGCCACTGCAGCCCTACACAAGGCGACTTTGCTGCTCAAGTCGTCGGACGCGTATGCTGAGTACTCCAAAGTGGCGCTGGCCCACCAGAATGCCGCCTTGGCTGGATTCATTCCGGCAGTCAGCAAACCCAATCAGGACAACGGGATTGCCTTATTCTCTGCCTCCCTTCTTCTCACGATATGGGCCTTTGCATCCAAAAAACTACCCGAGGGCCTGAACAGTGTGAAGCTTGACTTTGGCTCGGGCGAATCTTCCCCAGGTATCACCCTGCCACTCGACTCGCCGACAGCTGACTTCATCGAAATCATCATGATCCTCCGGGGAATATATGCGGTGATTAGAGAGACTGATAAGTGGCTTCAAGGTGAGATTGAGGAGCTGCTGCGGTATCCTCGTTCAGAAGATCTGCCACCACATTCGCCAGAGGTGGAGGAGACTTTCAGCACACTCCGCAAAGCCCTGGATGATCCTCAACTATTGTCGCTATGGGAGGGGGAAGACCCTCACCGAATGAAGAATCTCTTCCTGGAGCAAATGGAGGCTCTACGCGACATCTCGAGATGTCGTTCTGTTGTCGAATGGGATGGCCATATCTTTTCCTGGCTGATCATGGCACCACCGTCCTTCATCCATTGTCTCAAGCAGAGCAACCCCATGGCCTTGGCAATATTCGCTCACTGGGCTGCCATGTTCCGGTGTATGGATCATCACTGGTGGGCAAATGGCTGGGGTTACAGCTTGGTCGTGGACGTGTCTAGCCTGCTAGATCCTGTGTGGGCGAGATATCTGGATTGGCCGCGAAGACAAGTCGGCCTCGTGTTTCAAGGCGGTGGGGCTTTCGATGCCCGCCGGATGACCTGACGACTGACGACTGGCTTGAAGGGCGCTGCTTGTATATGTCGCTCGAACGACTCTGAAATGACTAATTTCTAATGCCAATACCCGAAGTGTGAACATTGCTCAACCAGAAGGGTGACAGCGCGAGATACACCTCTTTCCGGCAGCTACTAGTCGATCGCGCTTGCAGCGAAACCGACATCTCGAGACTTGCTTTCGTGACAGGAATACACGCAGAAGGAGCCGACTACACCATGGCCCTTTTCCAACCATGAAGCCCACGTCTCTGCGAGGCTACTCTCCTCTGCCGGAAGCTCTCAGCTGGCCATTCTTATCCACGGCGAGATCATATTATTATTATCATTGGTGTGCTGACAGTTCAACACAATGCCTGTCACTTTTCGCTCTCTACCTTCGGTCAGTAGTGCCTCGGACAGCCTGCGAAGCCAGGAATTCTTGACCCCTCCCACGACCCCCAAGAGTGCCAAAGACATTCCTTTCAAACCGGAAAAGCCTGATGATATCAGTTTGAGCATGAAGAGGAGCCGGAGTCATCGACATGGGCGCCACGCCAATGCTGGCCATAAAAAAATTGCTCGTCAGCGCAGAAACCGAGGATTTGGTATCCGACGTCGCTCGCATAGCCTACGCAAAACCCTCTCCCTACCGTCAGTCCAACCCCGATTTGATCTTGGAACGGTCGAGCTTCTTCAGAGTCCGCAACGCAGGACACGACGATGGACGGTTCCTTTCAAAGCCTCGTCCACCCAAGGACTTGCTACTCCTGTGCCCGTCGATGTCAACGCAGGTACAACTGATCCGTCCTCGGCGAGAAGATTTAATTCGAACCGGAGCCCAGCAATGATAACGCTTCGTCGGGCCACCACGGCAAGGTCGCGAAGACACGCTACGCTCACATCGTTCCCGCCCCCAAGGTTCACGCGGCATAGCAGCGGACTGCTGTCGACGTTTTTGAATTCAATTACTGGCCATGACGAAGGCGTTAGCAATGACGATACGGAGGCAGATCGGACAATGCAAGTCACGCAAAAGCCTCGGGCAACACCAAATGTGAGCAAACAAGATATGCGCCCTTCGACCAGCTCCACTGCTCCACCTGTTCAAACCGAAGTCGTCACGGTAGGACCACAGCCATCGTATTCCGCACCAAACCAGGCGGCCGAGCCCGTCCGTCGATACTCGACCCGCTACGTCTCGGACAATGGGGTGTATGAGATCATTTGGGATGAGAATTGCTCTTTGAGCAGCTCTGATGGAGAGCTTCCTAGCCCCAATGGACAAGCGTCACTAGTACAGAATCGGGATCTCATTGGGGCAGAGACATTGGAGCGACGACTGTCGAAGGCTCTGTCCCAATCAAGACGGGATTCCCTGCAGGAAGACTGGAGGAACAAACCAAGCTATGTACCCAGCAGCACGTTGTCTATGCAAAGCATATGGACCAATCCCAAAATTGCTCGACTTTTCCGCGAACCAGTTTCGGGGAGTCTACCTCATTCTAAAAACTTTAAGTACGTCAAGATGGCACCCTCTTCATCAACAGACGTGAACGTGGGCGTGGACTTGAAGCGAGGAGCGCTGACTGGGGCATCCACCAACGGCGTTGAATTCTTCCCTCCACTCCGAAGCCGGGCGAACACAAACGGAAGCGGAGAGTCGAAGGCTCCGTGGACCATGGGGTTCAAAGATGTTTAGGGAACAGCTGAGCTACCAGATCCGGTCTCATTTGATGCGTCTGAAGAAGACTCAGGATCAGGGGTAGCAAGGAGTCGTTATGGAAGTATGATTGGTATCAGTTCGCACACCAAGCGACGGAGTGCGTCTGCTGAAGAGCACCTACAGAGACACCGGACCAGAAGTATCAAGCCTCGGAGCAGGGGAGCGAGCGAATGCAGAGCGTCGGATGAGGAAATGCTTCCTCTACTGGGGACGACTTGATGCGACACAGCGCAGCCTCGCGACTGACCTATTAGTATGAAATAACACCATATTGTCTCAATCCACATGTACAAGTAGCAGAAGAGGTGCCGGACATGACAGCCGTTGTGTCCGCAGGGAGGGTGGGAGAAGGTGATGATAGTCTGGGTTCCATCCATACCTAGGTACCCTACCCCAGGATTCAACAACTGGCTCCCCCTCCCTCCGACCCGCATTCGGATCACACTCGACGCGGTGACCCGAGGCCCGAAGCGAGATGGAACAAGGAGGTCAGCGCGTGTCAATAGATAGAGTTTTGTTCGAGTCCGCAGGCCAACTAGATTGCAGAACGGTATCGTGCAAAAGGAAGTTGAAGGTCCCGGGCAGGCCACCCACGACAAAGCGTCCCCAAGTGAAGACGGAAGATAACTTGATAAGAATGGTTTGGGAGCCCATGAGAGCGGAAACCCTGCCTTGGATCAACTCCCACATGCCTATCTCCCAGTATCTCAAGCGAGCTGGATTGCCACTCCAAGGAACCCAGGTAAGACACTCTACCTAGCCATCGCCGTGGTACCCACCGTCGCAACGGAATAATACCCTCTGGTGCACAAGAGCGGAGCTTGTTGACAAAAAGAACGGGCAAATACTTGTGTGTCAGAGAATTGTGAGAAGAAAAGCATCCCATTCCGAGTCTCTTACTGCCGCAAGCTTTACCCGGAGTTAAAGATTCGTCATTTTCTCATCGGCTCCAGCCCTTTCCTACCCGCCATCTGCCATTTGGGTTCCGATAGACTGGGTCTTTTCGAATGAACCGAGCCAGATGTGGAATGTGAATACGAGATGATTGCTGCGAGCAACTCTCCGATGGAGAGGTGCCGGGGAGCCACGAGGGCTAGACTTGGACCAGTCGGAAAGGACTGCGGGTTGCGTAAACGGAGGTGGGATTACAGCAGAGGAATACGCCGTAAGGCATGAATCCATGAATCCATGACCCCTGTGGTGCCTGGGGTGACGATATGCATATTCCTTAGGCGATGATGGCGTTTTGTCGGCCGGCAGAGTGCGGCGTTGATAAGTGCGGGCTGAGCAGGAACGAGCAAGACGGCCCCCTTTTGGTGACTACGAGGATGAGAGACACCAACGATGGTGACGAGACAAGACTCACCCCAACTACCTAGGTAATTAGCATCTCTCCGCTGCCAATTGGGCAACCTCGCCAGCGATCATCAACACCATCCCCCGTACCGAGTATACCTCTCACCACCACCTCTGCAACCCATCTGCGCTTTCGCACAAGTGATCAGTCAGCCGCAAGAATTGCGCTCGCAATCGACACTCGCCGTTACCCAGCTAGGCAGGCAGGGAGTCGTTCAGTCCTCCACTCGCCTGTTTGCCTTCCGGGACCCGAGGATTATCTGCGCAATTCGTGTACAAAGCACCATCAGTACTAGGTAGCTGCTGTCTTTTCGGATTACAAGGATCCAGGCCGCGAGGAACCTGCAGCTACGTGCAAATAAATTGTGGTTCCTGGCGCAAAGGCCGGTGCCAATCCCGAGCACGCCCCGAGGAAGTCACATACGAGAAACAGTGGCACCCAGGTGGCTCGGTAGCTGCGAACCCCTCCCCTAGTGGTTAAGGTAGCAAAGCCCATGAGCCCTCGGGGGGCCCTGGCATCGCCTCCCTGGGAGTGTGGGTGTGCTTGATGTGCCTACTCCCGAGCCTACGACTTCCTTATCCCGTCATCTAACCTGGACCCCGGCTACCAAGTGGCCTTGGAGTGCCTGGACTGGCTGTGTTGGCAGGCTCTCAACCTCTAGTGGCCCCAGGGTTTGCCGATAGGCTTCCTCACTCATCAGCCGGGCTGCGGTTGCTACCACCACCACAACCACCACCACTGCTTCTTGCTGCTTCTTGCTGCTGCCGCCTTTCCCCATCTTCCCATTCACTCATCTCCAAACCCTGTCTGGACCACACGCTCTTCCACATCCCTCGCTCTTTCACTCTAATTCTCCCATTCTCCTGCTCCGGACCAAACCCTCCCACCTCTTTATACAACAAACTGTCCTTTGCAATATCCCCATCACAATTCCACATAGGTATATACGCTCACGTCCAATCGGCATTTCGCCGCCTGTTCGAGTTCGCCCTGTGCCTGCGTCCTTCTCACCCGTCGAGTCTCCGAGGCATTAATTGAGCCCTCCTTCTTCGAACCTCCTCCCTTACCCACCTACGTCGAGAACATTTTTGTTAGAGAAAGAGTTGTATATTCTTGGGTCAGCCCTCCGTTTGAGGTTGTTTGGGCTCTAGGCATTGGACATTGGCCTGTCAAGATGCCCTGGTCATGACATCTATCTCTCCGGCCGAACCGCGGCCTCCTCTGTTGCGACGCCCAACTGATTCGAAGCGACCCCCGGTTGGGAGAGCATCCAGTCATGTCTTTTCACCCATTGACAGAAAGGTGCCGGCATTGCAAAGAGAGACTGTAGAGGCTGGGGGTGACAGGCCAACGAAAAGGCGGAAGATCGAAGCCAACCCTAACTCGAATCGAATTGTCAACAACCGCAATCCCTCGCTCCCTGCGAAAGTTTCCGATTCCAATGTCGATGCCAAGGTCGTTCACTGGCGCTGGGTCAATCCTTCGGCGATTCGGGCAGCAGCCGCTAATTCACAGAGCGAGGAGGAGGAGGAAAATTCGAGTGAAGACGATGTACCTGAACTTCCACCTCGGCCCTGGAGGACCACTCGAGCCGCAAAAGTTACAGACAAACCCACCCCGACGCATCGATCACGAGTGGATATCCCTGTCCCGAATGCTCCTGACTCGATCCAAATTCCATCCTCAGCGCCTCAATTTGTTCCCAAGAAACCGGTCGGATTCTTTCCCTGGACTGGAAAGCATCCCGAGGACGTCTTGAATGACAACAACGTAAAGAACGGCTATTTTGACAAACCTCCAAACCCTACTGAAAAGGAACTCAACACCGCGCGGTTCTCGCTCTACAATGTCTTCAAACACAAATCGGGGGTGGACAGTTTGTCTACTCTCTTTTCTCTTGTCCTAAACCAGAAGAGCCAGCATGGCTTGATCAGTTCTGCCTCCACATTCAAACCACCTCCTCGTGTTACCCTGACCGAAGCGAAACGGAAGTCGTGGATAGCAGATCTGGCCAACGCAGATGTGCCCTTGAGGCGGCTGAGCAGGACCATCCCCCAGGGCATCAAGGGCCAGACTCTCTTAGATCAATGCTTGCAAAGCTCGGTCCCGTTGAGTCGTGCGATTTGGTTCGCCAAGTGTGTGTGTGCTAATGAGATCCGCACATTGAAAAGGAAAGGGACCGCCCCTGCGGTGGCAGTTGGCGCCGAAAATAAATGGCTTCGCGAATGGACGGTCAATGTCGAACAATTTTTGGAAACATATCTGGGCCAAGCCAACTCACCTGATTGGAAGTCAAACATTCAATATGCATTGCGGCTCATCACCCGTCTCTACTTGGAGAACCTACTGGATCGGGGACACTACTTGGAGTGGATTTTGCGCTCCTTCACTGCGGCGGATGTCGGCCACGCTCCTTTCTGGCTGATGGTAATCCACATATACAAGCAAGATTTGAGTCACTACCGCAGGCGAGGCGCGAGACTTGCCAGAGCATTGATTGACAAGTACCGCTCTATAGACAAGCTCCCGGGCCAAACGATTACTCCCTTGCGACAGAAGCTGCGTGCTGCAATCCGGGAACTATTGTTTGCATGTCCGGCTATTTTCTTGATGCCAGACCGGTGGCCAGAGAGTGTGCCCGTTGTTCGATCCTGCCTTGACACGACCATTGGACTTGAAGGCCAGATTTTCGAGGAACTCAACCGTATCAACGAGAGAGTTATGGGATTCAACAAGGCTGAATTCTTGTCTGTACGCGCACCTGACGAGGCTATTGTTGAAACTCTCGATGCGGCCAGGGTCCCATACAATTTCGCTCTGCTGGAACAAGAACTCGCCGGAACCTGTTCAGACTTCGATCTCCTCCTACGATCATGTCTTGAATGGTCATGTACGCGATTTCGACAATCCAAAACTCGAGTGTATCTGGTCACTCGCTTAGTCAAGCGCTGGCAACGAGGTGGCCGTGATATAGACACACCTATCCTCAACTTTCTTTCTGCTTTCCGGGAAGGGAAGACCACTGCTGACACCCAGCGCTTAAGGCATCTAATCGCACAGTTCTCCAGATCTAATTGCTTCCCACTAAGCAAATACATCCAATGGCTCATGGTGAGGGGCCTTCCACAAAAAGGAACAGTCCGCATCGACACAGATTCTATCTTCGGGCGAACAGCAGGAGTTGCACTGCCGAAGGAGCCTGGGTCGATTCAGTTTCTGCTCGATCTGTCGTTGCACCGAACAGAAGATCACGTCGTCAACTTACGGAATTCGGTTCTCGAACGTGCAGGTTTCGATCACAATTCAGAGGAGGCCATTTTCGGACAATGTGTACGTTTTCTTGAGCAAAAATTGGCAAACTCAAGCTTCATCACCAAGTCCGAGCCATCAACCTTGCTTGAGCCTTCTTTCGCGTCACTGCCATGGACACTTCGAACTAGAATAGCTATGTGGCTACGAACTAGAGCTCTCGAAGCCGCTCAATCGGCACAAAGCACCCCTATACTGCCTGGGTCCAAGGTTTTAAATGAGGAACAATTCTTCGTCATCCGCCACGTTCTTGAGTGCATGGAAGATGAGGCAGTTCTTGCCGATGTGGTTGGCATTCTTTCAGGATCACAACGAGACGATCTTGTGGCATCTCTCGTCGCCACTGTTCATTTCCACGCTAGTGCCTTTTCCGCGATTGGAGCTCTTGAAGTCCTGCAGAAAAGGATGTGTCAACTTTACATGAATTGGCGAGCTACGAAACCGACGATGCCGCTACTCACTTCGACTCTGCTTGACCTGTGTACTGCTTTTCCCGTCAAAGCACCGGCAGTCAGGTTGCTGCAACAGGACCTGGTTCGAGGAGATCGCGGGCGTGCGGTCGCAGCTTGCTCGCCGTATAGTGACGGTATTGCCGAATCGTTACAGCAGGCGGGTGCTACATTTGTGGAAGATTTTGAAGCCATCCTGCAGTCGGAAACCAACATGAATGAGCAAACCATGAACGGCCTCTTCTCGGTTTTGGTGGATCGCATTGAAAAACAACAGAAGTTTGAAGACGATGCGCACACAGTACAATCATTCTGCCAACTTCTCAGTCGGCTACGATTGTGCCGTAAGGCCCAAGGAGATCTCCTCATTCAGAAATGGATATCGCGACTGGCCCCCCGCCTCGACTTGAAATCTGGGCCTTTGCTTCTTCGAATCCTCATTGCGACGGGATGCATAACCTTTGCTACCCTTTTCGAAGCCACCGCTAGCTCTAAGTCAGGACCGCGGAAGAATTTAGCAGTCGCTTCATTGTTGTATCAAGTTCTCGCCCCTGCCAATTCCACGTCTCTTGACTGGGCTACCTATCAGACTCGTATTAGGTGGTACGAATACTCGCAGAGGTACCCGTCGACAGCCTTGGAAATTCTATGCGAAGCCGGATTGCAAGGTGTTTCGCCATCTTTCGACTCGCTCCTTCTGGCAGTGCTCGTCAACGGTTGGACGTCAGACTCCTCCTTGCCCGATTTCGCCCGAAAATGGTTCATTAAGTCACTCAGTTGGACATTGAAATGTTCTGATGGTGATCTGAACGTGGCTGATCTCCAAGCTTTACTTGAATCCATCAACGTCTTTTCGCACCGGTTTGTCCAACTACGATTCCGACTCACGTCACCGGCCGCTGTCGAAAAAGTATCAGCGCCAGATCAACCTGACTTGGTCGAGGTCCTCTCTCAATCATTGAAACAGTCGCTACAAAATCAGCCTCATACACACGGGCAGGAGCAGCGGTTCTCACAGCTGTATCAGATCGTTGGCTCTGACGTGGCCAGCCAGGTCCGCCACAATATCGAGAACGAGTTCTTGGATGCACTTCCAAAACTACCAATTGGCAAAGCGACCAGCCCACTCTCGGCAGTGTTCCCCAGTGATGTTCAGCAGCTGTCTTCAATTGTCGAGCAGGCGTTCCAGGTGTGCCGGAAAGACACCGGCCCTAGCCCCGGTTTCATGTCGCACCTGATTGACAGACTGTCACAGCATCTTAAGTACTTGAGCAACATTCAGATCACTCCGGGTACTCCTGCCGCTTCCGGCACGTCAGCCCCTTCAGGCATGTCTGGACCTAGCGCGTCTTCTACCAGCATAAACCATTCTCAGATGGTGTCCATGACATCCAGCCCGATTGCCAGCACATCAGATGTGGGCGGAGGCTGTGTTCCAGCAGTAGGCTTGAGCTACTTGAGATACATGCTGCAAATGGTGTGTTTGCAACGCCCAACCCTGATTTTGTCAAGCTCCAATGCGCCCAATGCCAAGCAGGTCCAGAATGAACAACTGCAACTGCTTGTACGGCTGGCGTCCATCGCAACGCACCCAGCAATGACTCTGGCATCAGGGCATCCAGGAAATCAAGAAGAGCAGACCAAGGCCAAAGAGGTGGTCGATTTCGCGTTCGACGTGATGGCAACCATTATCGACGGTGTCAGCGACGAAGTCAAAATGATGTGTGCAAAGGTATTGAAAGACAAGTTGCAGGATGCACGGCTCAGCTACCTGTTTGGGAGCATCAACATGATGGGATCAGTGCAGGTGCAAGACATGGGCCGAGGATTGCAGATGGCCAAGGAAGGCAAGGGAATCATCGGAGAGTGGAAGCCGCGGATGTGGGAAGTCTTGGATAATGGCAGCGGTAAAGAGAGCGAAACGTCTCTCGGACTGGGTCTCTTTCGAGCCAGATATGTCTAGAGAAGTGCAAGACGCCAACAGGCAGAAGAGCTTGTTGGCACGTCGGTATGCATTGACGACCGCGTCTTGAGAAGGAGTCTTTGGTATTGGGAGTTTGTTTTTTTCTGTTTCATCTACGGCCATTTTACGACGTCACGAGGAAATGGTTTTGTTTATTGAAGAAGATTTGTCTGGATTTGACTGGATGGATTGGGCCTTTGGTTGTTAGACTTTTTGGAATCCCTCAGCATTGCCGGCAGGACCATGGGCGATTTGAAGGGCCGATTGTCGTTCCAATCCCTTCGTGGCTCCGATACCTTGGTGACGGGTATTGTGTATGTAAAAGGAGGAGACTTTGCTCTCGCACCGCATGTTGTACAGCCAGTCTTAGAATTGATGAGATGGGCTCTCCGGCCTATACTCCAGAACACGATCCTATGCCTTCACCGCAAGTCGAGCAGTCATCTGATGCGAATTGCTTGAGGGACGCCAAGGGGGTTCCAGTCTCAAAGGAGAAGTGGCATGCCCGTGGACTGTAATGAGGACGAGAGATTTGCGCCGTTGGGTGCGGTCAGCAGGTCATTCCGAAGGCCATCAACTGTGTCACATCTTTTGTTATGCATATCAGTTCCATATCAGTAGACGACCAGGACCCAGCTCGCCAGCTACCCACCAGCAGCTGAGAGATCAGTGGAAGGATTGATGACACTAAGTTAGCGGTAAGGGGCACATGTCCGACCCTGAGCCCTGGGCATCCACTGGGCATCCACTGGGCACATGCTCTGGTGCAGGGCCTCCTTGGCCATCCCTGGGCCATCCTTGGGCCATCCCACGTAACCAACCATGCAATGTGACGTGATGGCCTGAAGGGAAGACAACAGCACACGCGGACGGGCTCAGCGGGACAGCGGCCACTGCAGAGCATTCTGGCTGACAGTTGCCTTTGATTGCAGGCTTCTGGTGACTTTTCTGGCTGCGGAAAGAAGATCCCATGGGTCTCCTAAGGTCCCAAGATCCCCAAGATGCCGGAAGGATGTATGCAATGTGCCAATGGTTGATGGTCGAGTTCCTTCCCTGGGCAAATATCGTGGAGTTATGTGGCCCTCACTGCTTTTGGCGCGCTTGGGCGGGTGACATTTTTCTTAATCTTCATCCCTTTATCCCTGCAATCCGCCCTCTGCCAACAACACCCTCGTTATCCTTCCTCACCCTTCTGCGGTATCACGTTGTATGATTATTCTTACACCTCAGTGCTTTGTGCTCAGTTTGTTCCTATAGCCTCGTGGCCCTGCAGTGCCCTGGATTGTGCTATTCTGGTGGCGGATCAGTTGTTGATTCATTCCCTTAATACCCGACGCGCCTGTGTCGACCCGTGGCTTATTCCAAGTCTTGGAAAACCCTGCTCAAATGGAAGCATTTTGAACTCCATTGGCACCTCGAGGCCTTTGTAAAACTCCCCTTTCTACTACTATTGCGATGCCTGCAAACCCCTATCCCGAGCGTGGTCGTTCTACTGTCCGCCTGGATGAGAGCAGTGCGCAACAGAACGCGACCCGCTCCTCCGACGATGGTTCTGCGAGAGTACGCTCCACCAAACGCCGGTCGTCTTCGAGTCCTTCTTCCAACAACGAGAAGTCAAGACCAAAGATTGAAAAATGGACACTGGGCATACTGAACGATAAGAAGACCGAGGAAGTTCCTGGCACGGTCTTGCTGCTGTCCTCCAACCGAAATGAGCCGCTGGGTCTTGAGTATCAACAAGGCCGGCGGAGCAGTTCCTCCATGCCGGCTCAGCCCATGTCACCCAGGCGTCTCTCGGTGGCATCCAAGAAGAGAACAAAGGATGGCCAAGTCATCCTAGATCCGCAGCCGGACGACTCGCTAAATGATCCTCTCAACTGGCCCGCATGGAGACGTGATATGGCTCTTCTCTCTCTTGGGTTCTACTGCATGTTAGGTGGCGGTATGACACCCATTCTGGCCGCTGGCTTCAACAATGTTGCCCAGTCCTTTCACGTCGCTTATTCAAGGGTCGCCCTGACTACGGGCTTGTACATGATGGGTTTGGGAGTCGGTAGTGTCGTCTTTTCACCTACAGCAATCCTCTTCGGGAAACGGCCCGTCTATCTAGCTTCAGCAGTGATGTTCATCCTCACTTCGGTCTGGTGTGCTCTGGCACCCAACTACGCTCAGTTGGCAACTGCAAGGGTCTTTCAGGGAATATCTGTGAGCCCAGTGGAATGCTTGCCGTCTGCCAGCATTGCAGAAATCTTCTTTCTGCATGAGAGAGCATTTCGTATTGGGATATATACCCTCCTCCTTCTTGGTGGGAAGAACTTAATACCCCTAGTGAGCGCAGTTATTATCAACGCCAAGGGTTGGAGATGGGTATTTTGGTGAGTTTACAGTCCCGGGGTGTGCGTTGATTCTGCTAACATTCACAGGGTCGTCACCATTGTAGCAGGCTTCGGTCTGCTTGTCCTTTTCCTTTTCGTTCCGGAAACTTTTTGGGATCGCACTCCGAGACCAAAATCAAGGAGACCGACGGTGCATCGAAGCTGGTCTAACATACTTCATCATCCATTGCATCAGAATAAAGATAATGCTGCCGGGCGCCAGCCACTTGACAGCACTGCGCTTCAAGCCGCTATCGATAAGGCCATGACCCCGAGACAACACAGGCTGCACGAGCAAAATGTACACGCCAGGTTTGAGGAGGAGATTGAAGACGACAAAATCGAGCAGCATGAAGTGGAGGTGAAAGACCATTCTGATCCAATATCTTCTGCCCATTATCATCCCAGTGCTCCCGATGAGAAACCTCACAAAGATCTGGCATCTTCAACGGACGGTGCAAATGATGTGAAAGACCCAGAAGATACCAATCGAGGAAATGCCGAAGAAATGGGACCGGTCGCGAAACCAGCACTTGTTGCCCTTCCACGAAAGAAGCTCAAACCCACAGGGTTGACTATGCCGCCATCACCAGACCCCCGCTCCTTTAGTAGACCCTGGGACGGGAGCCACAGTGGTGAGCCGCTGACTTTACCCCTGGCGTCAATGCCTCCGAGCTCTAGGAGCGCCACGGCGAGGTTTTCTGTCAATGATCCCACTGTCCCGCATCTTCATAACCTCAATTCTCCATACTATGTCGAGCTTGAAAGGACTGATGACTATCTCAGTCACCATGCGGTTCCTGAATCAACAAGCGATAGGTCAAGGGATCCAAACCAAGGCGTGGCGAGATCCGACACCGCTGCCACAATTCCTGGCACCCCCGTCCATCTGGAAAAGACAAGATCGAGTAGTATCAACGAAGGCTTGCCCTCCCCTAGACTGATTCGCTACACAACCAATCTCAAGCAATCGCCGCCAAAGTCTTACATCGAGACCCTTCGACCGTGGAATGGCAGGCTGTCTAAAGCAAATTGGTTTCGCGTTGCTCTCCGGCCATTCATTCTCTTTGCTTATCCGAGCGTTCTTTGGTCGACGCTGGTATACTCTTTGTCGATTGGCTGGCTTATTGTGCTGTCCGAGTCGATATCTAACATCTACCGAAACCGAGATACATACAACTTTACCGCTCTCCAGGCTGGGTTGGTCTACATTTCGCCGTTCGTTGGCGGCATTCTCGGCACGGCAGTCGCGGGACGGGTATCCGACATCATCGTTCGCTTCATGGCTCGCAAGAATGGCGGTGTCTACGAACCCGAATTTCGCCTGGTCATGGCTATCCCGGTTGCGATCAGCACCTCTGTCGGTCTCATGGGCTTTGGGTGGTCTGCCCAAGAGCGAGACGCATGGATTGTCCCTACCATCTTCTTCGGTATCATTTCCTTCGGCTGCTCCTTGGGAAGTACCACGTCCATCACCTTCTGCGTCGACAGCTACCGGCAATATGCCGGCGAAGCGCTGGTGACATTGAATTTCAGCAAGAACATCTTTCACGGACTTGTGTTCAGTCTGTTCTTTGCGAATTGGCTAGAAGGTGACGGGCCCAAGACCACCTTCTTGGCGATTGGAGGTATTCAGCTTGCTTGTATGTTTACGGCCATTCCAATGTACATTTATGGAAAGAGGGCCAGGATGTGGACTGTCAGAAGAGCGTTCATGGAAAACTTTTGAAGGGGCGAGACTGCGTGCCTGAGGCGATGGAAGCACCGCTTCTTGGAAGAGAGAGCCTTGACAGTCGTGGAAGATGCTGTGGTCTTGTGGTGTGAATTTGCATCTTCTTCATTTTGGCCAAAGGCAGTAGGGTGTCTTGGATTTGCACAACTTGGATCATGACTTTTACGTGTCTGGGATTTCAGCATAGCGGTGGCGTTGGGGTCGTTTGGTATTTTTCTGCACGAGACGAACAGTGATGATCGACCGCGCCATGACTAGGGTATCCAGTCCTTTGGCGGTGTATGAGGTATCAGTTGACGGCATAACGACAAGGAATGAGAAGCCAGGGAAATCACACGACTAGACGGGTTTGAAAGTGTTTTGCATTGCATTGCATAGCAAGGCAATTGGATGGGATGGGGATAGCAGCATAACATGGCACGAGCTGGACTACACCGCCATTCTTCCTATCAAAACCTAAAGGAAACTCTGACACAAAGTATAATAATAATTCATAGTTTCTAATAAAGAGCATGGGAAGGGAGGTTCTCGGGATCTACTAGGTTTGAGTAAAGGAGGTTGTGTGGGCAGGAGTTGAAAATCGGTGTTGTTTCCTGAACATTCACATACATAAGCTGGTCGTTTCATCCCCTTCGTCTGACCTTTCTTTTTTTTTTTGCGGTCCCCTTGGGTATCTCTTGCTGACCCTTTTCACATCGATCGGATCAGGGCCACTGCAGAGGAAGAAAAAGGGTGTCCTCTTTCCCGTGGTTAAACGATCTTTTCCAACAGGACCGTATGCAGTGGGTGGTGAATGATTGCGTCTATGGCAGTGTCGGTCGCATTTTGTCGTTCTTCTTCTTGCCACCGGTTCTCTCGGTTCTTTTCTTTTCTCGGCAGGACTCGTTCAAACGTCATTCATGTATGTATGCCATGTCGTGGGAGATGACGAAGAATACAAGAGGGAAACTCAGGGAAGGAAGGGCCTGTTTTTCCTTTTTTTGGTGGAAATGGGATGTTGAAACGGGGCAGCTATGCCCGTGTCGCTCGAACAAGAATGGTTTCCTGTATTCTTGTGCTTTTGTCCTTGTATTTTCTTTGGCTGGTAGAAATCAATGGTTCAGTCAGTAGTGCTCGGCCTTGGTCCATGTATCTCCCCTTCCCTGGTGCAAAGGCTGCATGACCAAGGGCCACGGATTAACGATCAATTTTCAGGCGGAAAACTCGCGCGACTCAACATCGACGTGTTTTGGTTGATGCGCTTTTTACCAACTAATAGTAGTGTGCCCAACCATAGCGGATGAAGGTGGTATGGTGCACTCGACAGTCAAGCAAGTTCGTCGTGTCTGGAGATCATCTCGTCTTCGCATGTGGACAGACTCACCTGGACGGGTCGCCAAAGGAACTCACTGCAGGCTTGGAAATAGAACATAACGTTAAGGGTCTGTTGGACTAGAGAAAAACCCCTCGCGGCCCTGATCAACGGTGCCACCAAAAGCCGTCAACTGGGCTGTCATTGCAACCTCGAAGATGTCCTTCTGGTTGTCACCCAGTATAGACACGGCAGTGCGTCGCTTGGCCGACCTCTTGTGAATGCTCGTAAGGTTTATCAACATGTTCATCATCTGATATGTCGAGAAACGGCCCTCCAAGAACCACAAGAATGTCCAGGGTGATACAGAGGATCGTTGGGGGCGGGGATATGCTCCAATTTTCTCCTAATAATACGGATGCAGTACAGATGATACTGGCATCGAATCGTTTGCCCTTTCCTTTCATGGTAGAGATCGGAGAAGCAAGGGCGAAAACGTTTCGAAGCTCTTGGCTCCAAAAATAGTCGATAGACATGTCGAGAACTCAGAAGAGGTATAGCTTGAGGGGGTCGCAGGGAAATAGACGGCAACTGATGGCTGCAAGCAACAACCCCAAGCCCTGGGGAATGCCGTCTTCCCCAAACTTCATAGCCGTGCAAAATCTCGCTCAAGATAAAGCCCTTTGCCACCCTTGCAACTGGCGTGCTCGCCTGCAACGGCCAGACTCCGCTAGCTGTGAAAGAAAATGGGCGCTCGGGAGGGCCGAAGTGCCCCTATACATACAGAGGCGACGAGTATAGGCAACAGTATTTTCAGCGTATGCAGTCAGAGGTTGGCGAGGGTAGCACCTTGTCGCAGTATTTTTGGAAATGCTTCATCGTGGTGGAGTCAGGCCTTCCCAGATTGATGGAGAACCTCGCTTAACTGTTTATCTGAATGGACAGAGGGTATCATCCAAAGTTCAGAAACTCGCCACCATGGCATGTCGGAGAGTAGTTCAGAGTGATACGGGGAAGACGGGTTAGAGATGGACAAGAGAGTTGAGGTGATGCTCGATCATCATCATCCACACTGGGATTGCGTGGGGTTCCACGAGCTGCTAATCTCAGAGGGGTGGGTTATGCGAAAAATGATCGGTAGTACCCTCTGTCATCTTCCCCAATCGTAGTTAGTAGACTTTCAGAGACGAGCGATTTTTCTGACCGGGCAAGGCAGACAGTGGAGGATGCGTAAACAGGTCGGAATGGGTGACGGCACGTGGCTATCTCACATCGTCCCCTGCAGTAAACACCCGGATTCAATGTGCCGGGGCCTCGTGTGTATCCTTTCCTCCTTGGAGAAAGGAGTTTCCCGTCTGCAGAGTGTGCCCACTGATGCGACCTCTGCAGATGGTGTTAACAACCTAACTGGAATAGGAGCAGACACGGCCCTGACTAACCAAGGGGGTCATGTAGGCGAACCAGGCAGACACTCAATGCGCAAGTCGACGAGCAATTGAATGACTGCCATATGGGGGTGGTTGGTATGCTCTCGTATTCCCTAGAGTGGGAAATCGAGGTGACGCCAATTCCTTTTGCCTGACTGCTCTGGCCCCTCGAGAGCATTCTGGGCGTTTGGGGTCGTGCTCCTCTAGGATATCGCTCAGCGATTGCTCAATAATTGTGGCTGTGGTGGTGGCAGCAATCTCGACATCAAATGAGCGAGCATTCCTTTCTGTGGGGGTCATCTGACTCAAGGCATCAAGGCACAGGGTCTGTAGGCAGCGAAATAAAAAAACCTCTCGCCATAGACAATGGGGTCTTCGCGAAACACCGGGCGCGCGGGTGTAGTTGGAAGCGTTCGAGCTGCGTGGGTTTGCTGGGTCAATCCCATATGGCCGAACAAGGCGGCGCCGTTCCAGGGGCTAAATAGCCTTCCCGACCAGCCTTCTCGGTTGTCATGTCTAGACTCGCCAATCCGCGTGCGTCGAGATGGGACCAGGGAGCCACAGGGCTTTTCCCATGGAGCCAGGATGTCGGTCATGACGCATGGCAGTACCGGTGGACAGGTGGTTATGAGTCGACATTGTTGATTGAGCCATTCATTGTCCTGATTCTGTCCCATTGAGTTATTTGCCCGCCATTGCAATGTAACGCCAATTCTTCGGCATGACCCAGAGCAGAGGACCCTGCGAGAGGTTCAGAATTTCCAGTACGAGGTCCATTGGTCCCATGCAGCCTTGGTTCGTCCTAGAGTCCAACTGATATGTCCTAGATCAACCGAGGCGTACCCCATTGCGGTAGGGTGCCTCCAGGATATTCTTGACTGTGCTGCAGATTGGGTGCTATAATTATGTCTTGTCCCTCTGGCTTAGGCTTGGAACCTTTGGGCAGTGAAGCCATCGTGGCAAGAAGAGGCATCTCATGAAGACAGGGGACTGGAGTACTGATCAACAGCATCCTCTCCTGATACGCACTGGATACGACGGCCGTACTTTTGCTGCATGAACGAGGCTGTGCCCCTGGCAATCGCGCACACACGTTGGATGCTTGTTTTACTGGTCCTCAGGCCTTGATACCAAGGGGGCCATCGGACCTGCATGTCGCAAGGCATCACTATTCTGCTGGCATATATCTTCCCTGGAGATACGGGTCCAGAGCTGCTTTGGCCCTTTCGAAGTCTCACAGAGACATCCCCAGCTGTCCTTGTGTATGAGTATGGACGAAACGCCATCGACTACTTCTACATCATACGATCAGTCCACAATCGAAGAGCACGCACAAGAGTCACCATCAGATACACACCTAGACGAACAACTCTCGGCCGGCTTTGACCAAGAAGATTCTCGCGCAAGAAGCCCTGCATCCCCACACGAGTCCACCTCGTACGAATTCACCAGAGACGAGGAAGAGATAGACCCGGCGAATAGTGCCTGGGTCGAAGACCAGTCATCGAGTGGTAGCCCCAAGGAATCCGAGGACCAGACAACTCAAGTCCAAGACAAAGGGAAAGAGCGAGAAATGAGTTATCCGGGGGACTATTACCACCCAGGAACGACGTCCTCACCCCAAGATCGCCGACCTGAGATATCGAGAACGAGCCCCAGCAGTTCTGCAAGCACGCCCCGGCAAGGTTCCGGGGAGGCAAAAGGCGACGACAAAAGAGAAGATCGAACAGGAAGTGGTAGCGGCAGCGGCAGCGGCAGCGGCAGCGGTGGTGGCAACGCAAGTGCGAGTGGCAGCAGTCGCTCTAGGTTGGTGGCAGGAGTGTTTGTGAGATATTGATATTGATATTGATACAGCATGCCGGTCCAAGGCATGTTGGCGATGCATCTTCTCAGCTCAGCACTCTCCGCTTTCCTGGCGTTGGGTTAGAGACGGGGCCTGTATTTCTAAGTCGACTCATTCTAGTGACATGTTCAAATTAGAAGAATACTGGTTCTTCGATTGAGAGCGTGTAGGCTCTCTTTTCTATCTCTTTTGTCTTGCCATTGACAAATTGCATAGCACTATCATACAAATGATTCCAACTCTCCCAGCTTGCTGTATCTACCATGCCAGTTGAATCATAACTCAGTCCTGCATGCACACATCCACCCTTGGGTTGTATTTCATTAGATAGAGCTTCAGGTGTGGAATCACTCTTGTTAGTTTATCGTGTCATCTCGCCATGGAACTCTCACCAAGTCACCGTGGTGGAGAAGAAGGATTTGGCACCTGCAAATTTCTCTTCATTTCAGGCATTCCCGGCACTGGCATTCGAGGCATTTGCGGCGTGGCGTGAGCTCGCTGTGAGAAGGCGTTGCCCGGTACGTATCGAGATGGACTGACAGGACCCGATACCTGTGACATCTGTGGTGAGGGTGGTTGGAGCGATTGCGTACCCGTTGCATTGTAGTCCAGTGGTGCCACCGTCGTCCAGCCCTGCGGCACAGTCGAAGGGACCGTCTCTGGTTGGGGTGCGTCTTCGAAGTAGCTGACCCTGGCGGGTGCGGAGAGGGTCGCCGTCATGGGCTCTTGTGGCGATGCATCGGGAATAGTAGGGATTGTCCGTGAGCCTCCAGCGTACTCGGTGCTTGGTACTGAGAGACCGCTGTGGCGAGCTGCTCGTCGCCGACCCCTTGTGGACTCGCGTCGGAGAATGTCTCGTACTTCCTCGACATCATTCGAGCGTTGCTTGTCCATCCGGAGTTCTCGCTCATGGTCGACAACCTCTTCAGGATCAACGGCCACCTTGCGCTTAACCAAATGGTCAACTGCTGACGCTTCTCGGGATTCCGATCCAGTTGTCGAGCTGAGATGGTCAGGTGATTTTGCTTTGGCCAGGTTGAGGTGAGGCTTGTTCTGCTCCAATAGGGGCACGAGTCTCTTCTTATCTAGATCCTCATCAAACAGTTCCTTATTCTTCTTCGCGACTTCATCGCTGATCGCGACCGAGTATGTCGGGTTAGCCTTGTCACCAGCAGGCGGACCGGCACCCCCTGGTCCATAGAGTGGAACTTTCCGCATCGCGAGGACGAGGGCGCACATAAACTTATTTCTTCTCGCCGCTCGTACGGCCTCGTTGGCCCAATTAGATTTATGCCGAATCTCAATTCTCAATTCCATCTTGTTCATCTCTGCCACACCGGTAACCTCGATGTCGATATCTGGCTGGAAGTCGCGCGCATTGTCTTTATCGCGGACGAAGTTGGTCATTTCCTTCTTGAGCAGATCGATATCTTCAAACGTAGTATCGAAGCTGACATAAAGCTGGATCTGTTCGCGCATGGCTTTACTACGAGACACGTTGTCAATCCATAGAGAATTGAGGATGATGTTGGGAACTTGAGTCCGCTTGTGATCCTTCACCCGCCGAAACACTGTGTAAAGAAGAGACATGCGTTCCACCACATATTGGGTATCAGTAACGTCAACTCTGTCACCCACGTCGAATGGATGCTTGACGAATAGGAAGATGCAAGACCCAAGTACCTCCTGCGCAGTGGTTGCGAAAACGAAAGACATTGAGAGGAGGGCAGTGCCCGCTGTAGCAAGTGTGGTGGTGAAGTTGTGGTTCAGCCAGGCAACGAAGATGAATATGACGGCAATAAAGACGACTGTGCACAGCAAGTTGTCGAGGACATTGATAGCTTGATCGACATCGTGCATGCTGCTTGCGATGGATTGACGCTCTCGTCCAAACTCGGTGATGCGGAGGACCATTTCATCGAGCGAGATGTCTCCGTTGCAATCCACATCCAATATCTCAAAAGCTTCGTGCGCTTCTTGCTCATGATCATGGCCGAGGACGTCAATGATGTCGTCCAGGCTTAGAGCATCCTTCCCTTCTAGAACGAAAGACATCCAGAGCCGTCGAGCGAGGGCTTCGGCGGAATGTTTCTTTTCCAGAGCCTGAACCACGATCGAGTGCGAGGCAGTGGGGTTGAAAACCTTTTTGCCAGTGATCTCCTGGGCAACATTCCCGAATGCTGCGGTGACCTTGTCACCAACGCGTGCAACATTGTGGATCAGTTTCATTGGAGTCGCCGAGCCAGATCGTTTGTGGCCAGGTAACATGCTATTCCGATTGCTGCGCTCTCCCAAATCCAAAACATCGTTGATGAGGTAATCCTCTTCGGCAAATTCGCGACAGTACTCCGGAAAGAGCTTTCGAGAAGCATCGTAGAGCAAGCCAACCAGATAAACGTTTCGTTTTGACTCTTTGATCTTTTCATCAAACTGCTTGCGGTGGTAGCTGATAGAGAGGAGCTGAATGAGAACCTTTTCGCCGAGTAAGAGCAACGTCGAGAAGACGCAAGCAAAGAGGATATTCTTGACAATTGACTCCCAAGGCTTGAGGCCCGTTTCACCACGTGATCTCTGGTCAGGATTCAACGTCATGATAGGGACAAACGTTGCCAGTGATGAGACGGCCCAGCCAACCAGCGACAGAGGGATCTCGAGCGAGCTGAGAGCGAGGGCATATTTCCTTGTGCCAGGACTGGCCACTCCGCAAATGAATTGAAAGAGAAATGGTAAGAAATGAGCCACCACTTTCGAGGCCCATAGCGACACCCAAACCACCTCGACCCAGGTAAAGAACCATACGATCTTGACGCCGCCAATGCGTGCTCTGGGAGCGACCGTGGCTCCAACAATGATGGGGACTGCGATAGCCAAAGCGAGAGGTGCGACATAGATGAAATAGCGAGTCAGAACAGAGAAGTTGTAGAGCCTTTTGTAGAATCTGCCGACTGCGTTCAATGTACCGTCCTCCTTGTCGTGATTCTGCCGTCCACGCTCTTGCAACCTCCTTCTCCTGCCTGCTGGACCTCTGTGAAAGGGGTGGCCTTGTTTCTCGTCCATCTTCTCGGAGAACTCGCCATTGTACTCGGAACGGGAAGGGGAACTGGCATCGGCCTTGCGGGCACCAGTGGCGCTGCCAGAGGTGCTGACCTTGGTCAATGGGATATCAATCGTAACGTCGTTAGGGTTCGCCATGTCCCCGGATTGCTGATGGGTAAGAGGCTGAAATCCCTCTCTTGAAAATCTCTTGTAGTGGCCTTTCTGTGACATGCCGCCAAGCTATGTCACTCGAAGGCCCAAATGGGAGTGAAAGAATGTGGGCGGTGTCGGCAGAGATTCTTCGAATATTTGTGATGCGGCAAAGTGAATGAAGATCCGAAGCAGGCTTGTACACGTGCTCTACCTGAGAGGAACGGACGAGGGGTGCTTCAGATTGGAACCCTGTTTCAAGACGAAGGAAACCGGGGTACAAGCGAGAAATGAGAAATGAGAAAAGGATGCGTTTGTACAAGGTCGACAAGGGCGGTTACAAGGGCTACTGGCACCCTCAAATACTAGATCATAGTAAGAGTCTGGAGAAGTCAAGCGAATGTGTGCAATAATGACAAGGGATTGAAGCAATGGAAAGGTAGAAACTGAAGGAATCATGAATCGAAGACTGGAAGTGATGTTTGTCCTCGATCGATGCTACCTGCACCTTAAGTCGTACCAGGTATTCGACCCATGGCCATACCTAGTCGCTCAGTGAGTCAGTGTCCACCAGCATGTGGGTGCCACCAATGCGGGCAAAGAATATTTTTTTCTCTCATTCGGTTTGTGCTCGTCGATGTCTCTTTTGGTGTCGCATGACGAAAGCCCTTTGTTTCGTAAACACAGCCCCTGGTCGAGAACTGGGGAAAACGGGTGAGATTCCGAGATTTCTGCCGCCCTCATTTGACGGACCTGAAGAGTTTTTCTAGCCAGTCACGCCAGTCACTTCCGTCACTCCAAATCCTTTCGGCGAAAATGCAAGCCCCTTTCAAGCCCCCCTCGCCAATGGCTCGCTAGGTCGATCCATCTCGCCGTATCCCATCGAACATGTCCATCAGATGCCCGCCGGCAACCGAGCGCCGACCCCCAAAAAGAGCATGGGAGACGGTTGTGGCTTGCGCCATGGCTGATTTGGCTCGAGTCTGATACAAGCTCTGAAACAGCTCCATGCGGCCATTATCCACTGCGGTTCCCCAACGCGTCCAGCGCCAGAAATACCTGCAATTTTCCACCTGGCTCATTGCAACGCCGTTGTATCTACCAAAGTACCTGCCTCGATATGTGGAGTGCACGCCTCTGGAGGTCTCACAAAGCCACGCAGGCAGTGCAGGCAGTGTTCAAAAAAGGGACCAGAGCATCAAAGCATGTGTTCGGCATGTGTTGATGGTGGCTCTCAAGAGAGGTATGAGGCTCATTCCGGTGTCATTGGTTCTTGCGAGATTACGTGTCTGATGGCCCTGTTGATCACTTGGCAGTTTGTTTCTTTAGGAGTCCTCCGTACGCAGGACGTGAATTTCGTGGGCGATCGCCTTGTCACGCCCTCATGTCCCAATCTCCTAAGCGTTCCTTTGAGTCACACCCCGCCTTGTTTGTCGAGAGCTACGGCTCCAAGGCAGAATGTGTGTACGCAGTGAAGGTCGTAATGTCTTCTGGTATCACAATGCAGAAACAGTGCAATTTACAGTCAGCGACAGTGGTCTCATCAATCAGTCTTTGTGGTACCAGAGAACTCTGCTTTGTGGTAACAAAGACGTTTACTCCTCCTTTGTTCTGTTACTTGTTGGCTGCTCTAGGACATTGCTTCAGTTCTTTGAGATTACAAGGCACTTTGTTGTCCCTACACCTGGATGGGCAAGGAACTCCCCGACTATAAAAGCTCCATGGTTCTTGCTGTCATGGAAGAGAAGCACCAAACCACCAAAACATCTTTCAACTTCGGGGAAAGCAAGGTAAGTTCACACAAACTCAACACACAACCTTCGTCGAGGACTTCACAATGGCGCCCGAATACGAGCGTGTACATGTGTCGGGACAAGCCAGGCAACCCCAGGTCAGAAAGTTCACGGATGCAAATGGGAGAAAATGGTTGATACGGGACAAAAACCCACCAACTCAAGGACGTCGTCCACAACAGCCACCTCCTGCTTATCGACAAGAAAGAACTCCACCAAGATATGAGGAGCGCGATTCGCGACGTGAAGGGGGACGTCGTCAGGGTGAGAATTCCAGGTCGGCTTACGAGGAACGTCCTTCAAGGCGCGGCTCACAGGCTCCTCAGCAAGAAGTGCACCATGTGTCTCACCCACAGCGTCGCTCTCACCATCAAGAGGGTTCCCGCAGAGCTGAAGGTTCCCGTAGAGCTGAAGGCTATGGGACTTCTAGCCGTCCGTACTCGGAGGGGGCAGCCAGGGAGACTCGATCCGATGGAGGATACCACCCGAGACGATTGACTCGACAAGAATGGGAGAAAGAAGCTGCCCGTGCTGCCCGTGCTGCTGAGCGAGAAGCCGAGCGCGCCAAACGACAAGCCAAAAAGCAGAAGTACATAAAATGGCTGCTGTACTTCGTCTCGTGATGCACAAGAGTGGACGGCACGAACAGGAAAAGGTAAGTCTGTCTTCTGGCAGGATGGCTCAACGGTCTCGGTTGGACAAGGGATATATTGCGTAGGTAGATGGCTAAGTTCATTGCTGGTCAGTGAGTTGAATAGCTGTGGCCGTGTGGTCGTTGCCTCTGCACACATCCTAATAGGAGCTTGTCTCGTTCCAATTGCTACCTCGTGTGTTTATGATATCTGTGCAGTCTCGGTCCATTCATGAGGACGAACCGCTCTTTCCCCCCATCCCTCCCTGCTGAGATACGGGAGTATTACATTCCATTGCTCTAATATTAGTCCTCGTGACATGCCTGACCTCCTCCTTCCCCACCAACCAAGTTGTCCCTGGCATTTTTGTTTTTGTTTGTCCCCGGATTCCGGGCGGTGCTCAAAAGGCGACGAAGCGGCAACGACGACTGGCTTCTGGAATTTCTCTTACCCCATACGAAGGCTTCTTCTGGGTCACCGACGTAGCATTCCTGTTTTCTTTCTTTCATTGTCACAGGGCGGGAGCACCAACAACACCACTTGCTTGGACGGGGGATGGAGGGATTCCGCTCGCTTAGCATCGGTCCTTGACTCATTCTTTCCCCCTTTCCGACTCTTTTCTTACACAACACAACTCCGGTAATACTTCACCTCGTGATCAACGCTCACCGCATCAACTTCTCTCCTTCCCCGTCTCTCGTTATTTTCCTTTTTCAAACTCCCTTACAGTCAATCTTTTTCAGGCATTGCATTGTCCTTGGTGGCATTGGGAATCGATTTGTACTTTGAGGAATTTTACCACTTGCGGCTTCGAGGGGGAGTTGTCTCGTCCAAATTCCAGAACAATAAAGTGTCACGACGACAGAGAAACTCGAAATCACGAACGACTAAACGTTATCATTGGTAATATCATATGGGATGGCTGAAAAGTCGAGGTCATCAGCCATGTCCTCTTCAGCATCTACTCAGGCCTGCGTGCCCATCGCCACAGACTCCCAAAACGATGTGTCCAATTTCATCTCGATTATCACGGCGGCCTTCTCCAGCACAGCCCTTACGACGGCGTTCATAGTAGACACCGACGGCACGCCACCGCCCTACCCGTCTCCGCTGATCGATGCGGCGCGACGAGAACGGCATTTCTCTCGTGGGATCCTCGAGAGTGCGGCCTCAGGCGCTGAGCTGGTGCACGCTGGGGATTGGTCTGCCATAGCGCTATGGGAGCCTCCCACATACGAGGGCAAGCCGTTCATAGACTCCAAGGCGCAACCGGGCCCGCTGCTGAGCGAATGGAGAGGCAGAGTCAAAGCTGCCAAGGCAAAGTATCTCGCTGAACCGTCGTCCACTTCAAGCACAGCGGCCACAACGTCGACTCCCGAGGCATCAAACTCGAACTCCCCCTCGGGTTCAGAGTCAGACTCCAGCTCCGACCGGCCCAGCCAAGACAGTCAAGAGCAACAACTCCGACCATTCTACCACCTCTCATTCCTGGCGCGGAACCCAGCCAAGCCTCGTGTCCAAGGCAGCATCAACGCCGTCATGATGCCGTTCCTGGAGCGCGCCAAGGCAGAAGGTGTGCCTGCGTGGTTGGAAGCCACCACCCGGCAAGCCGTGCGGTTGTACGAGCATTTCGGGTTCCGGGTCGTCGAGGAGATCGTGGTAGGAAAGGGCCTGGTCGATGCTCTAGGGTGGCCTGCCGCGGGAGACAAGGCTGAGGGCGTCACGGCCTGGGCAATGATATTTGATTCCCATCTTGGCGAGTGATCAAATCGGCGTTTCTGGGCGACCTCCTCCAGGAAAAAAAGGAAGGAGGGCGTGCGTGCATGAGTTATGAGAACAAAAAATCACGCCTGTGAGCGTCAGGACAGGTATAGGAAGGGCAAAAAAGGAAAATGGCGTAATTCATTATATTCTTTCCCCCTGTTTTTTAACCAGAGGGACGACCAACACAGGCCCGGCTGGCCAATAAACAAATAGTGCAGGAGGCACAGCCTCGACATTCCTCGTGGTATGTACCTAGGAAGTCCAGCGAACGAACATCTCTACGCTTAGAGGGTAGGGGCAGGGCAGAACAAGGCAGGGCAGGGTGCTGGTGAACAATGGACATGGACACGGACAGACCACATAGACGAGGGAGTTACAGGACCAAAAGGAATATTTCCTGCCCTGGCCCAGTCACACAAGGGAAACAAAAAGAGGCAAGAATCAACCTGAAGGCATTAAGGGATCCGGGAGAGATACCGTGTCTTAAGTACTTTTTTATTCCCGCTCGAGGTCCTTTTGGTCTTGTTCCCCCCACTCCACGCATGGCCATGTCCAGCTCTTGAAACATTTGACTACCTTTATGGAGGTAGATGAGCCCCCATTTCCAAAGTTGCATCGCGGCCGTGTATCCTCGGTACCTTTGTGCAAGCTCGGCCAAGCTTTTGACTCTGCCCCTGCGGCGATCTCACATACATGGATTCATAAATATCGTCTCAGTTTGGATCGCCCCATTCTTTACCCTCCCTTCCAGTCCCGACTTATCAGTCACCGTCACCGTCACCGTCAAGCGGATCAACTTCATTGCACGTGCCTGACTACATCGTCCAGAGCCTCTGCAAAGTAGTGGACGTTACCCGTGTTCAGCCCAGCCATACTAATCCTCCCATTCTTGGTCATGTAGACGTGCCACTTCTCCCTGATGGCCAACACCTGCTTCTCAGTAATGCCCGTGAAACTGAACATGCCGATCTGACTCGTGATGTGGTCCCAGTTTCCGGGGGTGCCCAGCCTGTCGAGTTCCGCCTTCAGGGACTTGCGCATCTCAATGATCCGCCCGGACATGGTGCGTAGATCGTGTTCCCACTCCTTGAAGAGCTGGGGATCATTCAGGACGAGAGAGGCAATGCGTGCACCGTACGCGGGCGGGTTGGAGATCTCGGAACGTTGCAGGATGGCGAGTTGGGACGAGACACGTTTCGTCACGTCCTGTGCATTGGATCCGGGGGCTGCCACGAAATGGAATGCGCCTGCTCTCTCGCCGTACAGACCGAAATTCTTGGCAAAGGACTGAGCAATGATCAACTCAAACCCTTGTTCCACGAAATAGCGGATCGAAAAGTTATCTTGGGCTAGATCTCCTGAGGCGAAACCCTGATATGCGCAGTCGAAGAAGGGGAATAGCTTGCGTTCGCGCATGACTTCGGCGATCTGTTTCCACTGGTCGGGCGTTGGGTCGACGCCTGTCGGGTTGTGTGCGCAGGTGTGCAGTAGAATGATGCTTCTTTCAGGCGCAGATTTCAGGGTTGAGAGCAGACCTTCGCAGTCGAGCATCTTTGTCTTCGCCGAGAAGTAAGGGTAGGACGTGATGGGGAGATGGACATTGGTGAAGATTTGGTTGTGGTTGGCCCATGTTGGGTTGGATAGGTAGATGGCCGGTGTCGGTTTAGGGAGGAATTTGGAGAGGAAAAGACCACCTAGATGGACAGCGCCTGTTCCTGAGATGGTCTGGAGGCTGCAAGCCTATATAACGAAGAAATTATATGTCAGCCTCAAAGGGAAGAGGGAGTGGGAGACGTTGGAATTTGTGAATGCGTACGCGTCCATCTTTGATCGCGGGGCTGTCTCCACCAAGGATGAGTTTCTGAGCTGCCGAAGTGAACTCTGGGAGACCTGCGATGGGGAGGTATTCGTGGTTGAGGTTGGGGTCATTTCGCAGGATCTCATCAGCCTGAACTTGGGGGTTAGCCAGCTCCGAGCATGTATGTCATCGACCCCTCGTCGAGCATAACTCTATACCTTCTTGACGACAGGCAGCACCCAGGGCTTCGCATTGTTGTCCCTATATGCGCCAATGCCCAGATCCACCTTCTTCTCAAAGGTATCCTTTCGGTAAGCGGCCATCAACCCAAACAGAGGGTCCTCAGGAGCTTGGGGGACGACATTGGCGTCGAACAGAGTCGGCGGCGTATCGGTTGACACTGAACCCATCGTGTGGTTTCTGATCTGAGTCAGTCGGGCGGAGGCGTTGGGTTGTGCAGGAGAAGACGAGGTTGAGCGGAGAGAAGAATCAGAATGTTTTGGCGGTGAGGGCATGGTCTAGGAATTTATTGACAAGCGTGGAGAGACGGGGGAAAGAGAAACGTTCCTCTCTTCTGCAGGAAGCTCGGGGGCTAGTGAGGCAAAAACCACGGAGGGCGATATGCGTTAGGACGGGCGGATGCACGACGGGTTTTACCTTAAGCCACACCACACGTTAGGTACCTACTCGTGATTCGCGTATGGCGATGATGTCGGTCTCAGGGACCAGAGGAAACTACGGGAACAAGGGACCTGAACCAAGGGCTGCCGGTCATTCGGTGATCGAAAGACGAGAAAAAAAGTGCAGAGGGTCAGATGGACATGGCACACATGGTTCGTCTCCAAACACCGAAAGCTCGACTACTCCAACCTGCAGGCCGAGGAGGCCCTACTCCCACTCGGAGCTCCTCCAAAAAATCCAATCGCCGCGTCTCGATTACCATACAGTTCAGGATGTCATGACCTTCCTGATCCTTCACACGCTCGAGAGGTGTCTCTCTTGCGTATCTGCAGAAAGAGCCATCACATGTCACGTATGTGCAGCGCATCCAGCCACGGATCTTTTTATCCATATCTACCTAGTATATGTGATGGTCTGTGGCAGCACGACTCACACCGGGGTACACTGGCGCAGATACGGGTGAGAAGCACCGTCAGTCCAAAGGCGGTGCTGGAGATACCTAGGTTACTCAATGCAATTCTTTTCCTTCTGATAGACCTTCTAGTCCACATCCCAGCATCAGAGATTAGAATATCAAATCCCACACCACCAGGAACGAACAAAAGCCCATCGTCGCATAGAAGACCAACCTCGCCGTACTCCCCCTCTCACTCGCCTTCTTCAGCTCTCGATTTCCCCTGCGCACATTCTCATCCGTGTTGGCCGCATCCTGGACCAGGGTATCGATCATCTCGCCCTGAACGCTCAGATGTCCCACCAGCGTCTGCTGAAGACTGCCAATCTCCATCAGCGACTTTTCCACCTGCGTCACTTTGGCGAGTTGGTCGTTGAAATGCTCAAAGATGCCCCTGTTTTCTTCCTCGAAGAGTTGGAGCTGTTCGGGCGTGAGCTCTTGTTCAACTCCACCCTGGGAGGCGTCCGTCCAGGGCTTGTATTCGTCGTGACCACGTAGGTCTTGAGTCGGCTGGGGAATCATTGTCTCGAGACTACCATTTGCTGCCCCGGTCTCTGTATCGCGACTGACCCGCACACCCTTATTTCGTGGGTTGTAGAGTATACTCATTTGCTTCTGCTGCTCGCGCTCCAGTCGTTTCTCAACCATCTCCTGCTGGGCCGTTATGGCGTCCTTGAGGAATTTGTTCAGGTACCACAACACCCCGTCCCGAAACATCTTTGTCGTTTTCAGTTGCCCTTCTTCGTCGAGTTGCTTTTGTGATTTGCCCGCGTCGGGCGTGTCGCCGTCGCCCGCCGCCCACCGCCACAAAAACCCGTCTGGTTTCCCATATTTTCTTTCAAGGACCTTACTCGCCGTCTCGTGTTGTAGGTTGACCGCCGACGTGAGGTTGGTTATCTTATTGTTGATGTCGCGAAGGACCGACGACGTCTCGGAATCGATTGCTTCTCGCTGCGTGTCGTTGAGATGTTCTGGTACATTCTCTCGACCACCCGGGATGTGGGAATGTCTCTCGGCTCCTCCTGGGTGTTTGTGATGGCGAGGCGGAGGAGCTGTCGAAAGGTACGGGGTGCGGATGGCTCGCAAGTAGCCCAACAGCGACGAGATGGATCTGTTGATTTGGTACGCTTCTCGCAGAAACGAATCTAGCTTGCCTGCAAGGTCTCGATGCTGGTGCAATCGCTTTGCGGAGTGCTTTTGAACCAAGACATCAGACAACGTTCCCGTGAGATCAGTCATTGCAGCTGTATAGTGGATGTGGACACATTTTGGACGCAACAGAGTCTAGAAATCCATTGTTAGCGGACACCTCACGACTCCGCAGCGCCCCAGTTTCCCCAATTTGAACAAGGCTGCCCAGGGACTGACAAGGCTGAATATATCGACCCGGGTCGAAACTTCACCAAGGACGATTCCCCCATCAACTACACTTTACCACATATTCGGCACCTCGAATAACGAGTCTCCGACCGCGAGGCCCCTCATAGAGAACTTATAATGCATGTGGTTAGAATATTCTTGGTGGTGCCACCTTTTCTTTTCTAAATCCCTAAAGCCATATGGTACAAAATCTAGTCCGGTCATTTATTCGTGCACATCGCCTATGAAACCCGGAAAGGGTCACGACTCTTTGCCCAGCTCCATTGCCAGGTCCCATCCGGTGTCATCTTCCCACGTCGATGCTCCCGATATTTGCCTACCCAAGAATATTCCGACCCCAGTTGCGACCACGGCCAGCATGAAAAAGCCATCGAACCATCGCTGCACCCAGGCCGGCTCCAGCAGCCCCGCCCCCAATGCGGTGTTGATGACGCTACCGACTTCTTTCGGCATCATACCCCTCAGCATCAACGCAGAGCTGATGACATACATTCCGCTGATCTGGCTGATCAGGAGTGCGAAATTGGTCTTGGTCGCATGTAGGACCGTCGGCATGAATCGAGCAAAAAGGTGGAAGGTTTGTGTGACCGCTGTGAATGAAGCAAGCAACATTGCCCCCGAAAGGAGGAACGAGATCTGTTGAGCCCATGAGGCCTGGTCCAGGGAGGGATAGACGTGTCGAGCAAATAGAGCAATCGTATAGGTGACGGGGTCAGTGTCTGAAGGATTGGCAGGCCCGGATGAGAGGATGCGCCGACCGATGTTGACAGTGGTGGTACATATTCGGTACACGCAATAACAAGCAAATATGTAGGAGAACGCCAATGAAAGTCGCCCCGCGGCGGTTGTTGCCTGGAGTTGATTTGCCCGCCGTTGCCTGAGAATCGAGAGCGATGTCTCCAACGAAGAGGCCATGGTCTCGAGCCCCGAGGCCTCCATCTCGAGCAGATCCTTTTGTTGATCGTAAGTGTTCTTCCGCACGGCGCCCACTGTACGGCTCCAGAAGCTCTGGATCGGGCTTTCAGGGGCCATGCTCTCCATCAACCTCAGCCTCTCTTTCTTCTCCGCAATCATATCCATGGTGGCGTCTAATCCAGCCTGTTTGCGGGTGATGTCCGTGTCGGCGACGACTCTAACCTTGGGTCCAAAGCTCTGCCAAATGGCGCTCACCGAGGCAAACCCCGACAGAAGAGCCATCAAGGACACACCAGTAATACCCAGTCTGTCCAAGCACGCTTGAAAGAGACCGTCCGGCTTTGTCACGCTGTCGGTAAAGCTAGGTGTTTCGGGCAGAAGCGCTCCAATCGCCCAGAATCCGAACAGAAAAGCGCCATACCCGGTGAATTCCAGCACCCATGCCAGATGAGCCCGACTCTTTTTCTCGCCGCGAAACTTGTACCCGGACCTTGCTACCACCGAGGATATTCCCAGCAGCGGAATGGCGACTACCAGAAGACCCAGCAAGCTCACAACCGTGATCTGCAGGGCGACACTTCGAGCCGTAGGGTTGAATGAGTTGGATATTTCGCAAAGAAGTAACTCGGTCAAGACGGCAGATAGGGCTATTGTGGAAGCGAAGGTGATTGCTGCCACGCGGCGGGCGAGCTGTTGAGCGGCGGGCTCAGGCGTTGCGGCCGTGGCAGGTCGAGGAAGACCTTTCGCAGCGCTTTCGGATATTTTGGAGGGGGATTGCGACAATAGAGGGTAGACCTTGCGGTAGGCGACAAAGGTCAGGACTGCAAACGTGGCGATGAAGGGAATCGTTGAGAATGCCGCCTTGGTGGTGAGACGAGGGGAGCGCACATAGTCCGGGGTGCACTCATCGCAGTCGCCATCAGGGCTTATGGGTAGCATTTTAGCGAGACTGATATGGAGGGGTGTTGTACCGAACACATATTCTCACTTGGACAAGCTCTGGAGATGGGAAGAGTCTAGAAAGTCGAGGTCAGCCATGACATAGAGCTGAGGACAGTGAGGAGGGACCAGCACGCAAGGGGGTCGATCGGGGGATGGCTATAAATTTGTTATCGATTGGCCTTCGGGTGCCTTCAGGGACAGCCCCGCTACCGTCGGAACGTGGTTGGTTCCCTTCAGGCCCAAGAATGCATCGAGCCACGCCGCGAGGCTGTCTGGGCGTGACAGGGCGTCAATAGCAGCACGCAAGTCACCAGCCGCAACGCGCCGCGTCCTCTTTTGTGGTCCAGATTACGCAGCCCCTGGACACCTTCTAAACACAAGAGTGCTCGGGTGCTGCAATTCCATGAACATCTCTAGACGATGTATTCTTCTATCCAGTCCGAGTTTCTATCGTTTGCAGGTGGATCAATGAGTCAGAAAGCCGCTCCATACCTCCTACAATGTACTCGTTATTCCCTGCCAAAAGTGATCGTCAGAGTGCTCGCACGTCCAGGGGCTGCAAATCAATAGTCCCGGGGCGCCGCAACCACGTCAGCTCTTCCCAGAACAGTGGGCTTGTCAAGTCCCTCTCGTTGGACTCCCACCGACATCCGACCCCAATGGGCATGAGGATCGTCATGCCTACCACTGTATATGTATCACCCCATCATCGTACCGCCACAGAAGGTCGTGTCCCTTGTAAAGGATCATAAAGGCTTGATTTCGTTCAGCAGCCTCGCCATCTCCACCACGAGCGCGGAAGTTCAGGCAGCTCTTTGTGGCACAACCGGTGCAGGATTGTAGGGAATCGTGACTGGCATCGAACCTCTGTCAATCTTGTGAAATCGGCGTCACGCGGTCCTTCATCAACCAGTCAAAAGTTGAACAAATCTGGGAAAAGGCGTAAGGATGGTCTATCGTGGGGCAGCAGATTCCTCCATGTTGAGTGGCCAGCTTTTATCTGGAGGGTGATCGACCGTGGCTGCCTCGGCTGTATGACCGCCGTTGTGGTTTCTCGCGCAGGATGTCTGCCAACCAAGGCGTCGTCTCCCTGACAGACGGTCGTCGCTCTTCAACGATCCTGGGCACGAGAAGGCGTATGTCTTCTTCGTCAGAAATGGCAGCGTCGCTCTCGCGGTGCTCAGATCGCTTCGAAGGGGGGTTGGGCGACCTTGCCCGTTCGGTCGGCGTTGTCTCGTTGTCATCCCAGTCTTCCACCAAGGCAGCAATGCTTGGACTGTTCATGGCAAGGTCGGCCCTCGGAGCAGTTGCGGTGCTCAAATACCCTATGGGCAAGGCGAAGCTCCGCTCAGGCGAATCATCGTCAGACGTCACATCACTTTTGGCCGACGTTACTCGAGCAAGCGGGCCCCCATATGTGCCTTTCAATATCCCGCGCCTGGGAGCGCCGATTGCCTTTGTGACGGCATCGACCTCTTTTGGTGTAGCTTCCATTGATATCGAACTGTGGCTGGCACTTTCATACACATGGCTCCCTCCAGCGTGTTGGGCTTGCTCGAGCATGCTGCTGTAGAGGCTGCGACCGCTTTCCATTTGTCGTTTCTTCTTCTTTTTCATTCGTTTGGAGCTCGGCCGCACGACGATCACTGGCACAGGTGATTGTTGCAAGCAATATTTCGAGACCGATCCCGGGAGCAAACCCTGCATACCGCCTAGGTTTCGTCCTCTTGTTCCCACAACTAGCGCTGCAGGTTCGTACAACTGAATCTATATCAGGTCAGCATGCAGGCTTATATGGATTTAAAGACAGGGCTGCCCACCATGCGCTGGAAGATTTCTTGCACTTTGCCCACAGCCAATTCCATTATTATGCTAATTGCCTTCTCCTCCGAGCTGTTTTTCAGCATCACACTGTCCAAAAGTTGTTTGGCCTCGGTGCGATATTTTTCCCGGTCATATGGGGTGTCATGTGCAGTCTTGGAATCTTTCTCGATAACTCGAAGACAGACAATCTCATCGCCGTCATCGACCAACTCGTCCATCATCCACTCCAGCGCATACTCAGAGTAGTCCTTCGCATCTGTACCGCACAGAAAAGTTCGGCTTCGTGAAGTGGCAGCGAAGTCGCAGTGCTTGTATTGCAAGGTGAAAGCTTCAGTGGACGCATCTCGATTGTCGATTGTGTCAAAGGAGACGCCGCGTTGGTAATGCGTGGGAGGAGGGGGCGATGACATTTTCCGCGAAGACAAGGAGACTCGTGAGCCTTGGACGACGCTTTCTCTTCGGATGGTGTCTTCTGCGTGCGCAGTATGGAATTGGACCGACGACTTTCGCCTTCCACCATTGGGCTGATCAACAAGTCCCGGTCTCTGAGGAGGTTTGGCCGCGCCTTTCCAAGCCTGGCCAAATTGAAGCTCCTCCTCTTCCTCTGGTGAGGTGGCTGAAGCAGAGGGTTCATGCGCAGTGGCTGCGGCCATTTTAAAGCGCGAGGCAGACGCGGGGTAGAACTCGAGGGCGCTCGGGACAGCCCAAAAAAATAGCAAATGAGGAACAAGGCGGGCTAACGGTAAGATTGAATCAGGTGAATGTCAAAGAACAAGCAGTCACGCTGTGGATGGATCGTGGAAACAGTGCCACTTTCCTCATCTGGAGGAGTCTAGACCCCCAGGTACACTTATCGGTCAGTGGTGTGCTCTTCTGCTCGGATTCTTGCGGTCTCGAGAGATGAGGGAGGCTTTTCACGTTGTTGGGTACAAGAGCTTTTGAGAGTCGGCGCCGATCAGCCAGCATGCAGCTGCATCAGGTCCGAAGTCGAAGGAGAGCAAGAGGACTTCATTGCCGACGATGTAGTGTTCTCAGGAAGCGGGCTGTGAACATTCTTGGTATCTTGGCTTTGCCTGTAGAATTGAATGCTACTAAGCTGAAATGTTCAAATCGAGGCGAGGGCAAGCGGGGCAGGAGGAAGCACGGCGAGCCAGGAGCTGGAAAGCGAGCAAAAGGGTGGAGTAACGCTGAGACTGAGAGGCCGGGCCTTTGCTGAGGAGGAACCCGTCACCAATCACTCCCAACAACTCATCATCAGATGAGAAGGTGCCTGGTGGAGAGCTCTCCGGCTGATAAACAATCATGATGCATTTCGCAAGAGTAACTTTCGGGACAACGATACGAGGAGATGATGCCTCCGCCAAGTTACCTAGGTCCAATATTTTCGCGGGGGCCCCTTACCTACCAGGCGTCACTGATGACAGGTGGGTGACAGGGATGGTCTTTGCTTGATGAGAAAGAACAAACACCGCGACAGGCACCAGACAATAGTTCCGTCTTGCCGGTGCTGGCTGCTTACTACCTAGGTAGTTTACAAACACCAACCAACAGGGTTCTTCGGCACAGGCAAGGCATAGGCAAGGCACGAACCTGTGCTAATGCGCGTGATGATGAGGGATCGCTGGCAGAAAACAACACCAGTACAATTTTAGCCAGCTGCATTTGAGAGACTGCGGTAAAACTGCTTCCGTACAAGGCCATTGAGCAGTCTCCTGCATGCCCTGCGGGTGAATGCGCTCGTTTCGTAGTTTTCGAAGCAGCAACTTAGCAAGACCGAGTCAACGAAAACTAGAGGCAACATGGAGATGGATGAGGTCAAGGTCCATCCATTTATTCGACATATGTCGATCTTTGTCTTTCATATACACTGACTCCCGCCTCCCTAGTCACGAGCACAAACGACGATGCGACCCGGCTTTTGCCAACTTGTCTTTCGTCAATCTGCTGAACACCACCACGGTAATCTGAAAAGGGCCAGGGGTCCATCTGCTGAATGATTCAATAATTCCATGGAGTGTTGGCCGTGGAGTATTGTCTGCATGCTCCTTTCTTTACAGGCACTCCTTGCTCTTGCCCTGTGACTTCTGCGGCTGTATTCTTGGTTTGCCCTCTATTCCCACCACTGAGGTTTTGAAGCTGTGAATCCTTTTTATTTCATTGTCGAACCGGCATCCGTTGACCACCTTGGGCTAAACCGGGTGACTGGTCCAGCTTGAGAAGTCAGACCTGGAACAGCCGAAATGCCCTGTAACATCTTTGGTTATAGAAGGATGTAGTCAGGCTTCCTCGTAAGATTTGGGATATCGATTTGGGGAATAGTTGTGGACTCTCATTGGTACAAGCTCATTTCTTCAATTCGGCGTAAGGATACAGGACAGGATCACCCTGAGTGAGATAAAACGTCAGTATAAGGTCCTGCGTTTCAGCAGGGCCAAACCCACCTTTCGCAAGTGAATCTTGGTCTTCCTTTTAGTGACCTGGTGCTCGACGAAGACTTCTCGAGTGTGTTCTGCCTTAAACTTCCGGATGAAACGTGGGTCCCAAAGCTCGCTGGCGACGCCTAGGTCCTTACAACACCGCATCATTGCGTTGGATTTGCAGCCTTCAACCGCTGTTGGGATACCCTCCTTTGTGAAGTAATCTTGCTCTCCGCGCGCAATCGAAACCAATCTGCCTGTGAATCAACCCATGTCCTACGCCCGTGGCTCAAGATTCTCTTACCTTCCATGCGCCAGTAATGCATATTCTCGCGTTACAGACTTCTCTGTGACGATTGTCTCGCCTCTTGGGGCAAGCCCCCAGCCACCAGGCCCAAAAGCCTTGTTAAGAATCCGTCTATATTTAATCTCCGGGAGATAAATAATACCATCTGGCTTGATCTCGATGTCCTCGGGAGCTATCGGCGCCTGCAGCGCGTCCGCAGCCTCTTTGGAAAATGGCTCAATGGAGAGACCGTGAAAAGACCTTGTCCAGTCCACTTGTGAAGGGTCATCTTCTTGCAATGTCAATGGCTGGTCCTCAAGGTTGTCAAAAGAATGGCGCTTAGGGTCCGTCGGCGTCGCTTGAGGAGTGGCTGTGGTCTTTGGTTGCTGGTCCGCAGCTGCTGCAGTCCCAGCGAGTCGAGCTGAAGAATGCGTGAAGATAGTGCGCGGGAGGACGCCACGCAGTGACCGAGAGGTTGACACTGAAGTCTCGGCGAATGAGCGGCAGAGGGCGACCGAGGAAATTGAGAGCCGTGTAGACGCAGATGCGCTCAAAACTCTGAAAGGTATTCGAGTAGCTGGCGACATCTTCTATGGTTGAAGGGAGAGCAAATCTAGCGACCTGATGCTGAAGAGCTGGCACGTGTAAAAAGGACAAATATATAGTACAGAAGACAAAGAGAGAGGGAGAGAGAGAGACAGTGGACGAAATAGTTATTGCAATGATGAGATACGAATGGTGGGAGAGAACAACTCCGTGTGAAGTGACTTGAAGCTCAATGCCGCCCGTAATTTTTTGCCAGGCGCGTCTTTCAGCATCAACGCCGAACGTGAACCTCGTGATTCCGGCCACCACCACATGGCATGCGCCAACGCAGCTTTTCTCACCCTACAGCATCATCCTCGAGACTACTTTTCGTTCGAGGGAACGTCCTTGCTTTGTGTACGCTCCTCATTTCCCTTACGCTTCCAACATTGCCTGAAAGCCTCCATCTGATATACCTCGTCAGCCTGCTCGTCCTCAACTAAGAGCTGCGTCCAGAGGCCGAGGACCAACAAATCGAGAGCGGAGCAATTCTTCTCAGAAGATCATTGGGGTTGGGGTTCAGCACATACTTCGGCCTTGCAAGCTCTCCAGTCCTTCTTCTCATAGTAGCAATCGTTCATGCGCAATTGCTCCTCTGTTTTTCTCATCAGACCTCTGCAGTCTCCTCCGCGGAAGACTTTTGACTTACCAGAACAGCCCGTGCTGAAAATTCGTTGATCCCTGTCGGTCGAAAAGACGAATCAGCCTGGATGAGTGTCATGTTATGATTGACTGCTAAACGCACTTACCATTCGTCAAGTTCATCTTCGGCGGCCTCAGCCTGCACCAAGCTGTCCTGCTTCGACATCCTGCCGTTCCTGGAGTCTCTGGAAGGTGGAATCAAGAACGCATCCGGGTCTCGAGATCCTTCAGTGACAAAGGAAAGTCGTCTGACAACTTTGGTCTCTTTGCGCCACCCACCACCAACTCCACAAGAATTTGGCCGCTACTACCAACCATGTCCAAGCGAATGAACATCCTCGTTTACTCTGGTGCGCTCACTCAAGATGCATGGAGGAGTAATATAAATCTAATGCTATCTCCAGGAAATGGCAGCACTGTCGAATCAGTCCGTCATTGTCTCTACACCCTTCGGAGGCTCCTGGCTCCTCATTATGCTGTCATCCCAGTTACTGGCGACATGCTCATCAAGGAGCCCTGGACAGCAAGCTGTGCTGCCATAGTATTTCCAGGCGGTGCTGATCAGGGCTACTGCAAGACCCTTAATGGTGAGGGTAACAGGCGTATTCGACAGTTCGTCGAGCGCGGTGGTCTTTACATTGGATTCTGCGCCGGCGGCTATTATGGCAGCAAGAGATGTGAATTCGAGGTAGGGAACAGGCTCTTGGAGGTTGTTGGGGATAGGGAGCTTGCTTTCTATCCTGGCATGGCTCGAGGATGCGCCTTCTCGGGCTTTGTTTACCATAGTGAAAAGGGGGCGCGGGCCGCCGAGTTGAAGGTGGACAAGACTTTGCTGGCCACAGGTGCTGTCCCGGATGTGTTCAAGTCCTACTACAACGGAGGCGGCGTCTTCGTTGACGCGCCCAAGTATAAAGATCGCGGCGTCGAAGTCCTTGCCAGCTATACAGAGCCTCTCGCGGTCGACTCTGGGGAAGGCGCAGCTGCCATTGTCTATTGCAAAGTCGGCCAAGGCGCGGCATTACTGACTGGTCCACACCCAGAGTTTGTCTTCCTAGGAAAGCCAACGGACGACTGGTCACTGACGAAGCCTAGGTTTGCTGCAGCCAACCTTGAGCCAAAACCAGGTGTTCCTGGATTCGCAGATGTCATCAAAACTCTGGCCGAGGACGAGAAGCACAGAATGGATTTCATCAAAGCGTGTCTGACGAAACTTGGTCTCACTGTGAGCGGGGAGCAAAATGTACCCTCCCTCTCCTATATGCATCTTTCTTCATCCGATCCCACAGACACCACTGGCATCATATCGTCCTTGAGCCATCTCGTCGAGAAGGATGAACATGGAAACGAATTTCTCAAGGATGAAAATGATACCTTCCAGATTTTGAAACCATCCGTCTGGAAAATGGTTGATTTGACCAAAGCTTTATCCTCGGACCCAGAGTCGAAGGAACTTGCTGACCAAAACGATGGCAGCTCCGATCGCATAGTCGACTATAACACGGTGATCAAGAAGATCATTGTGCATGAAGATGATCATCCTCAGCCGAGGTCAACTCCCTACTTCAATCACTCCGCTTTCTATTCAAACCTGCACAAATACCAGTCTCAAACACCTGGTGCCGTGAATTTTGGTGCTCATGTGCTATACGGTGAAGTGGTCACATCGACCAATACCTTACTCGAGAAAAACTCGCGGCTTCTTCGACTTCTTCCGCAGGGGTTTACCGCAACAGCAACCGTTCAAGTTGCAGGTCGGGGCAGAGGGTCCAACGTCTGGGTATCGCCAGCAGGAAGTTTAATGTTCAGTACCGTCATTCGACACCCGATGGCGCAGATGCAGTCTGCCCCGGTCGTCTTCGTCCAGTACCTGGCAGCAATGGCCATTGTCAACGGCATAAAAACTTACGATGGCTCACTCTACAAGGAGATGCCAGTCAAGCTCAAGTGGCCAAACGATATTTTTGCTCTCGATCCAGCAAAGGCAAAAGAAAATGGCGGTGACAGGAGCGACAACTACACCAAAATCGGGGGTATCCTGGTCAACAGCCACTATAACAGCAAAGAATACATTGCCGTTTGTGGAATCGGGTTGAACACCGCAAATTCCGTACCAACCACGTCGTTAAATCAACTCATTCAATTCCTCCCACACAAGGTGGCTCCCTTTACGCTGGAAAAGCTGCTGGCCAGAATATTAACTGTGTTTGACGACCTTTATGCTCGGTTTTTGGTGACGGGTTTCGACGAGGTCATGGAGCAAATGTACTACCGACACTGGCTTCATATGGATCAGATCGTCACACTCGAAGCTGAAGGTGGTCAACGTGCAAAGATCAAGGGAATCACGCGAGATTATGGTCTCTTGATTGCAGAAGAACTTGGATGGGAAGATCGTGAGACCGGTAGGAGGTGGACGTTGCAAAGCGATGCGAATAGCTTTGACTTTTTCAAAGGTCTGGTAAAGGTGAGTCCCCTTCCCACTGACGTTGTTCTGCATTTTAATAATCATGCCCTGTTGTTGTTGTCATCAACTCACAATTCCCTGAGCACGTCTGAAAGCTGACAATTATGCCGCCGAACAGAGAAAGATATAAAGGCATATTCGACCAGCATAAGCGATAGGCGATCCACATTGCGAGCTCACTATATCTGACAGCCCTTTTTGCGTTATCGCACGTGGACGATGAGAATTGGAGGTTGGCGTATAGCTACCTCTCCTGTCCCGGCTTCGTTGCGGGAGCAAGTTGGCGTCCAGTCAGTGTATACTGCAGTAGACACTGCTCCATCGTACCCATGTCTTCTTCCTCAGGCACTGCCGTAGCGCTAGAAAAGGACACATTCTCTTCAAGACCGTCTACGTTTCCCGGGAGTCCTATCATTTCTATCCTCTCTCACCTCGATATCTCCAAACGTTTGGCAGCAATGGCTTTTCCAAGAGGGAAACCTCCCCCATCCCGCATCGCAGGCATTACGCCTTGATATGGTATTCGACGTCCTCGCCCGCCCAGACGCCGCCGTCCTTGTTGGCCTTGATCCTCAAGCGGCGCACGCGCTTGATGTCCTCTTCGTTCTCGTGCGTCAGGTACCAGGTCCACACGTTGGCGATCCAGCTTGCGCCGATGGCCCCCGCGCAGACGCCGAAGGAGGCCTTGTACCCATTGTGCGCGAAGCGGGATTGAAACAGCTGCGGCCCCACGACCCCGCCGACCTGGCCGATGCAGGATTGGAACGCCAATGTGAAAGCCGTGCCTGTCGTGCCGACCAGGCTTGCGGATCGCCCTGGTTTTGATTATGTGTCGTCAGCGAGCGGTTTTCTTTTGTGGAGAGACGGGGAGACCGGGGGTGGGGTGTATATTGATGTGATGTGAGAGTGATTTGAGGGGGAAAAACTTACATGCCCAGAAGGGAATAAAGTAGACGGAATAGAACGTGGTCCCGAATATACATGCGATGTACGTCGCATACCGGCTTACATTGAAGCACAGGACGAGGAAAAAGGCCAGTGCCCCTGCACAGATGATCATGATGAGTTGCGGCCTCGTCATGTATGCTTTGCTCAGGAACCACCCGGCAAAGATGATCGACAGCACCGTCGCAGCGGCCGGGGGGATGTTGAGCAGTTGGTTCCTGGGCAGACCGGCAAAGCCTAGACTCGTGGTGACCGTTGGCAATTGCCACTGCAGGCCGTATCCGCCGAGATTCATAAGGATCTGGGACAGGCAAAAGGCGTAGGTGCGCGGGTTTTTCAGCGACGCCCACACTTCCGCCTTGTCGAATGCCGCGTCGTGGGTGCGAGGAGCGTTGTCCGTCAGTCGGGCCTCGAGGTATTCTTGCTCTCGTGGTGTGAGCCATTTCGCCGACCGCTTGGACTTGGGGTAGTCCGGAAGAACAAAGAACACGACCCCGGCGAAGAGAATGGTGAATAATCCTTCCAGAAGATAGACCCTGCGCGGTTTTACACTTGTCAGCTTCTGGCGAGGAATCAACGTGAGAAGCACGTCGAAGAAGTGAGTGGCCTTACCATCTCCACGCACTCAAGCCGCTAAGACCATTCATATAAGAAATGCCGTAAGCGACCAGCGAGCCCACAATGCCCGCGCAGTTCTGAAACCCAAACATCCACATGATGGGTTTGCCCATTTCGTCGCTGCGGTACCAGCTGCAAAGTTGGGCTGCCAGGCCTGGGAAAAGACCTGCCTCCATCGAACCTAAAAAGAAGCGAGCTGCATAGAGGCCCTGCTTGTTTTGCACTGCGGCGTGACATGCCAGAACCTGCGCAGGCAAGCAATCAATTTCGTCAGTTAAATTTGGGGCAAACATAGGAGGAGAGACGCAGCAAAATGACATACAATTCCCCAGGTTGCAATGATTCGAGACTGCCACTTTCGAGGCGTCATTTTCTTCAACAGCAGGTTGCTGGGGACCTCGAAAACGATGTAACTGATCTGGCAAACGTCAGTCCGCGATGTCATCTGCCATACTCGATATGACTTTCCATTCTCTCTACTTACAAAATAGATGGACTGGACCCAGTTATATTCGTCCGCTGTCATGTGGAGTTCCTTTAGAATATTCCGTGATTCACCGACTTGGAGGACTTTGACAGTTGCAGCGTTGGTGTAATCAACATTCTTTAGCATGTACATCAGTCCGATCAGGAGGAGGAACCGCCTGTCCACTTTCCGCATGACCCTGCGGTCCTCCTCGGCGGTGAAGGAGGAGAGAAGAGCCTCCCTGTCATTCTCAGGCAATGATCCAGCTGGGAATTCCACAACAGTCTGATGAGCCCCAAACCCGACGTCTGCTTCTTTGGACGCGGGGTACGGGGTTGAGACAGTCATGGTTTGCAAGAAATGTGTCAACACACCCCGCTATTAGAGTGTACTTTGAGTCAAGGTCGAAGGATGTATCTGGAGAGACCAGGCTGTGGATGCTATCGCGAGTGAAGGTCTGCCCTGTGGTTGTGGCTCTGGGGGATTGTATAAGGATAGGTAAGTGACAAGCCGAGAAGACCGCTTGATCGGTCGGCCCTCTACATGGACATAGTAGCGTTGCGTGATAACCTTAGACTCGGGAGATGTAAATTTCTGGCGAGGTCGCGACTGTTCAAGCGACTCGGCAATGAAGAGGATGTCCTCGCACGTCTTTTTGCCCCATACTTGCGTTCGGTATAGGCGATGGCATTTTCCCCTGTAGTCCCATCTAGACTGTTCTCAGGACCATGGATCGACGAAAATGGAGAAGACCGCCTCAAGCTACCCTCTCCTTCGTCGCAATATGAAAAAGTCTGTGCTTGATGGATTCGCTAGCGTTGAAGAGAGCGACATGGATAGTGCCCCAAGGGGCCAAATGAAATGACAAAACCGTCTGTAATTACAGGGGGGTTTTCCGTGTACTGGACAAACCGTACACATTCGACCAATGCTCGCAGATGCAAAGGCCCCCTTTCGTCCGCTGATCGCTTGAGTAACGACCATGTGAAAAAAGTGCTGAGGCTTGCAGTGGAGATCAATTGCACGCGCACACAAAAAGGGAACAGGTAGCGTAATGGGTCTCAAGGCACATACCTGTCGTCGCCCTTCTTGCTTTGCCACAAATATCCTGGACGGCGATATGTCCTCTCCCAATTTTAACGGAGGACATGCCGAGACCATTGACAAGAACTCTTTTTGCGACGGTCTGAGTACGCCATCCAGCGGGAACGCGTGTTTTCTGATCTGGGGCTGATTCGTCCCATCACCGCGGCGATTGACAATCTCACTCCACGCCCCTCAGTGTTCGTAAGCCGGTGGCTATGCATGATATCCTCCTACATGGGCGTGCCACGGCCGCTATCGGAAGCAAAGCGTAGATAGCAAAAATGGTGGGAAGCAGGTTCTTTGCTGTACTACCACAGAGCCCCTTTTGGACGGTGCTTAAGTCATAGGCGTATTACTATTGATGAGTATTGAGAGACGTGGGACACTGCCGTCACGCTTTATTGAAAGGGGTAGGGAGAAGTCTGTGCGAGTGTCCAAGGAGTAGACAATCAAACATGCTGAGTCTGGAGCGGGTGAGGTTGAAGCTGATTGTCAAGCTGGAAGATAGACGTGGACTTTTGGGAGCGGAATTGATGCCAAGCCCGACGACGCGGAAAAAGCAACTACTTTTTCCGCTCCTTTTCAAGATGCAGCATGCAACACTCTCTTTCCCAGCTTCCATACAGACAACGGCATCGCCTACAATTTGCTCACGACCATCGGTCCGTTGATACTTGATCCCAGTTCCCTCGCAATGGCCGTCCACAACACCTCAGCCTTTGGCAGCCTCCCCAGGCCCGTTCTCCGACCTCAGCGGCACCGTTGAGGTACCCTTCTCGTCTCCGGCAGGCGGTGCTTCGTCCTTGTACACGTCATACTGATATTTGGCTCCCTCATGATCGTGCCTGAGACCCTTTTGACCTTCTCCGTATATCTTTTCGCGAGCTGTCAAGGGTCTGGCCTCGGCAGACCTGGGCTCTGGATACAACCCACGCCGCCTCAGTTCGGGAATCAGCAGGTCAACCACATCCTCAAAAGTCCCCGGCGTTGTCACATAGGCGAGGTTGAATCCATCAAGATCCGCTTCTCGGACCCATCTCTCCATCTCATCCGCAACCTTCTGTGGAGTACCAACGCCGACAGGTCCAAGCCCACCGATTGCAGCCTTTTCGGCCACGACCCTCGGCGTCCACCTCGGCACGTCGGGGCTTGTTGTCGTGAAAGCGTCCAGCATGCTTCTTACTTTGTGAGCCTCTGTCGAATCCGCGGCAGTGATGTCCTGGTCGATAGGGATTTTGGAAATATCGATCCCGGTCCAACCGGAGAATAGCACGAGCCCTCCGATAGTAGAGGCATATTTCTTCGCCTCTGCGAACTTCTCTTGAGCCTCTTCTTCAGTTCGCCCGATAATTGGAGTGAATGTTCCAAAGAACTTGATGGATTGTGGATCTCGCCCCTTTTCCTTGGCTAGTTGGCGGATCTTGTCGATCTTGGGCCTGAGCACCTTCGGACTATGTGACGAGACAAAGATGGCCTCCGCGTGTGTGGCAGCAAAAGCAGACCCTGCGGGCGAAGTGCCGGCCTGGAAGAGAAATGGTGTCCGCTGAGGGGATGGGTCCACGATATGTCGAGAGTCTAGGTTGAAATATTTGCCATGGTGGTGGATTGTTCGCACTTTGTCCGGGTCGATATACGTGTCCGTTTCGGGATCAGGGTTGAGAGCGTCATTCGCCCACGAACCTTCCCAAAGCCTTGCGAATAGTGCATTAGCATCCGTGCCGGTTTATCGGGTGTCCTTTGAGGCAACACTTACTTGTACAGGACTCTGAGATACTCATCAGCCTGCAGGTATCGCTCGTCATGGTCAATAGGGTTGTCCAGACCGATGGCCTTGAACGCTGCCTTTTTCCACGATGTCACAATGTTCCAGCCAATGCGCCCATTAGTCAGATGGTCGAGAGTCGAGAAGCGCTTCGCGAGCAGAAACGGCGGCTCAAAAGATGTCGAGGCGGTGATCCCAAACGCAAGGTTCTTGGTCACTGCCGCCATTGCAGAGATGGGCTGCGGGCTTTGTGGTCAATTGCATATCATCTAGTGCGTGGTTCGGCGTGGGCAACGACTTACGATGGTCGGGTCGGTCATGGGCCATTGGGCAGCACGTCGGATGCAATTGTCCAGGCTGTCCTCGTACGTATCATATCCGCCGTAGGTGTCGGCGAGAAACAGCGCATTGATATCCCCACGCTCCAGAACCTTTGCGAGCTCGATCCAATAGTCGAGTTTCCTCTTTGTCGCCGACTTGTCCTTTGGGTTCTATACATGCTTTCAGTCCTATAGGGAACTTTCCAGAGCAGATACTCCTGACTGAGGACGTACTGACCTTCCATTGACCGGGTGAAAGATGACCCACAGTCGACATATCGAACGCATTGAGCAGGATCTGCTTCTTCACCGGCTCGTGAGAGCCATTGGTCTCTTGGACGGAACCCATGATGGTGACGCTGGCTCTCCCTGTCAACGCAGACAACAACGACAAGCAAATCGATCAAAGATTGAGATCTGCTAAGAAAACACGCGTTGTCGAGGGAAACAACTATGTCCAGCTCTTCGGTTCCCACGTCCGGTCTCGCACTGGACCGCGTGAGTAAACACTGCAGGATGGTGTACATCCATCTTCGCGCTCCTTCCCTTTCTTCCACCACCCCCACAAAGAGGGTCCTCGGTTCCGCATCGAACGCAAACCTGCATAGGAAGCACTCACAGCGTCTGATGTCTTGTGTCGATACGACGACGTTCTCCGCCCTGCGACCAGCAACTCTGTCGGAGGGGTTTCCTCGCTATGGCGTGATTTTAGGTCCGATGCCATGATATCCCGCCCGCGGAATGCTGTGTATTCCGTAGCTGGAATCACTTGGCCTTGGAAACCCACCTAGAGGGGGTCCGTGAGACAAGAGGGGAAAGGGCGAGTCGGGCTGAATACTGTACATGGTTGGTAAGTTCAGTTTCTCGGTCCCGGGATAATAGAGATAGCATGATACGCCGTTTCGAGTCAATGCAGGTAGTCGAGTTTCGAGGCCTTTTTTCCTTCAAATGACACCGTTTCGTATTACTCGGTACATATTCCGTCATTTCTGCTTTTGTACCTAGGTATGGTATCGTCGTAAGGCTTTTATAACGAACACTTGGTTCCATTCTACGCTGTTCAAATCTAGGTGGTGGTAGTAATTATTGTTCGGACCACACAATCTTGGAGGCTATTTGACGTTTGAACGTGTATCTAGTCCAGGCACTGAGGAAGCTGTTTCACCCCCCCTTCCCCGTCTCCAGTATTGGTGAATCCACCACGAAATACGGCGCAAATCGTGGGATGTCTGAACCACACAGAGGGTAACGAGCAGTAGTATGGTCAAGCTTCCAGGACCTTCTCGGAAGGCAGCTCCTGGATCAACTGAGGCGTGCTGTCGACCGGAGACTCCAATGCCTCGTTGCGCAGATAGTCTTCCTCGATATCCTCGGCCGGGTTTCTGGTGATGGTGAAAAGAAAATTGCGTTAGCGTACGATATATAAAGGAAAAGGTGGAGGAGGAGAAAGGATAAAGCCTTCTATTTCCGTACCTTCGCCTCTTGATGTACCACGAGATCCAATGCGCGAACAGAATCAAGCATATCGCGTTGCCGAGCACAAAGGGATACCCCTTGACGAACCGGGGCGCCTCGACGGTCTTGAAAACCAACAGGGGCGTCCACGCCGTCGTGGACTGGGAGATGGTGTTGATCAGCACGAGCGTGAAAGCCCGTTCGGCGGGCGAATACCGGAGCTGCGTGTTGACCCAGCCGTAGAGCACGCTGGACATGGCGACGGCCGAGTAGGTGGTCATGAAGGCGAACCACAGCGCCGACTCGGGCACGTTCCAGACCGTCAGGATGATCAACCCGACGCTGTTCCAGACGTGGGCGACCGTGATGGCCCAGGCAGGTCCCCAGAGGAGGTCGGCCGAGAAGCAGATGAAGAGCACGTAGAAGATGCCCAGCGCGGGGGAGATGGCGCCCAGCTGGTTGAGTCGTCCGGCCGAGTAGCGCTTCAGGCTCTTGAGCCACAATAGATAGCCGCCCGAAGACGTGTTGATGCTGCCGTTCCAGAAGAAGATGTCCAGTAGCAGGAACGCCCACACCTGCCACGACACAGCGGCTCTTTTGAGTGTGCCGAGCGTGAAATTTCCCGACGTGGCGTGTCCGGTGCGCTGAAGGCGCGTCTTTGCGAGCGCGAGGTCGTGTTCCTTGATGAACAACCGGTTCGGGATGTCCGGGGTTCCGGGGAGAAGGAAGAAGCCCAGGAAGCCCACGGGAATGGTGATCAGGGCACAGATGATGTACCTGTTCAAAACCTAGGTCAGAAATGTTTTCAAACAGATGAGACAAGATTTAAGAGCGGGAACCCGTACATCCATCGCCAGCCTGCTAGACCGGCCACTCCGTCCAAGTGCTCCGAAGCCGCGGACTGCAGGAGAGCCGCAGTGAGCGTCCCCAGAGTCAACCCAACATAGAAAAAGCCGCCTCGCCGGGCGATTTCCTGTCCACGATACCACGATCCGAAGATGAAATGGACAGCGGGGAAATACGCGGCCTGTTCGTCTAGGATTTTAGTACCTGCAGGGGCGTGTGAGCAGCAGAAGAGCCCTGGGTCACTGACCTCGAACCAGCCGACCAAAAACCGGTATGCCATCAGCTCAGCATAGCTATGGACCCGATATTGCAGCAACGTGAAGATCCCCCACAAGATATCGAGCAAAGGGACCAGCCAGTGCATAGGGATGCGGGTGAAGAGGAACATGAACGGAATCTGGCCCAGAACGGCGCCGACGACGTAGATGGTCTGGACATGGACCAGCTGGTTTCCGTTGAAGCCCTGCGGAGAGAGAAGAAGATTAGAGAGGCTGAACGGCATAACATCCAAGAAAAGATGCATTAATCACCACCCACCAAGTCTTCCTTGAGGCCTGCGACGTATGCATTGTCTAAACGCCCCCGTTAACAACAATAGCTTACTCGCTCTGGATGTTGAATTTCACTCACTGATATTTGCCTGATCAATATACTTTACCCAATACGCCAGAAAAACATAAGGCACAATCAGGAGATCGAGTTTGGTGATGAATCTGCGTTCTTCTTTCGTGTCCTCTGGGGCAAACCAGCGAATTTGGTACCACTTTCGAGAGCCTGCTGTCTTCCCCATTGTTAACCCAAGCTTTCCGATCACAAAACAATGAATCCCTGTAACTACCTTTGTTGAAACCTCTCTGGGAGGAGTTCTTTCATATAGACCTGGCCGATCGTGGCCACTCAGGAAGGATCTGTTGGCTTAGCCATCTTGTCGAGCTCCTGACGACATGTTCCAGCGGAATGGCGAATCTTGAACCACGAGGGTTAGCTGCTTCAACGAGGTCTCTGTTGCTCGGTTCATTGCCATCGAGTCAGTTCTAGACTCTGGTAGCCAGTGCTGTAGCTGGGATCCCGAAATACTGCCCTGGGTTTCCATTGATTACCCATCTAGGTATGCATGCTCTCCCCACCCCGTAATGTCACGTAAAGTGTGAAGAGGGAAAATGGTACGGCCAATGCTGAGAATCAGAATCAAATTGTTATCATGTCGTCAAACTCCGATTGTGTTACGCCTTACAACGTCCTGCGCTGCGGGTTCGGCGATGGTGTCAATTAGTGGGTCGCGTTCGTGATGGTTGCATCCATTTTGCCTCGCTCTGCTGAGTGCTGGTTATGGGGAACATGGGCAGCTCTCACACGTGAGAAACACAGGAGAACACAGACACAGGTCGTGAGATGCTGCAGCATTGGCAGATAAATGTGTAACTTGGCCAAGTTTCGCGTTGTTCCAAGACGCGCGAAGAACCAGCCAGCAGACTGTTTGAACCAAAATGGCCAACGTCGATGTTATAGATCCATTTCAGGTCGGCGCCGTTAGCAACGGAGAACCGAATAACCACCAGTATCTTGAACAAACACAATCCCAGCAAAGATTGAAAGAGGCTCTGGTGGTCGTACAGGAGAGCAATCCAGCAGCTCAAGTCCCGGACGCTGCGATTTCCTTGGAGGAGGCGCCAAACGGCGAAACTCAGCCTGAGAAACGGCCTGCAGACATCCTCCATGAAGCATATCCCAAGTCAAACGTCCAGCTTCCTAACCATCACATTGACGATGCAAGAAGCTTGAAAGTTGTCATCATCGGCGCCGGGCTCTCTGGAATTCTCGCGGGGATATTGCTGCCAGTCAAGGTGCCAAAGCTGGAGCTGACGATCCTCGAGAAGAACGACGATGTGGTAGGTTGTGCAAATGACCCTTTCTTTCTGAGTCTGCTGACCACCATTCCTCTCAGGGAGGCACCTGGCTGGAGAACGTGTATCCGGGCGTCAGATGCGATATTCCCGCACACGTCTATCAGTCGACGTTTACTCCATACACTCAGTGGTCGCAGCAATTTGCCGAAGGCCACGAGATCTTGCGGTATTGGCAAACCCAAGCCAAAAAGTACGACGTGTACAAGTATGTCAAGTTCGGCCATCGCGTCCAGGACGTCAACTGGAGCGACCAAGACGCCCAGTGGACCATCACGGGAGTGAATCCCAAGACAGGAGAATCGTTCGAAGAAAAAGCAGACTTTGTGTTGCCGGCAATAGGTCGCTTCAACGACTGGAGGCTTCCATCTTATCCTGGCGTGTCAGACTACAAGGGTCATCTTCGACACACCTCAAATTGGGATCCATCATTTGATCCGACCGGGAAGAAGGTCGCCATCATCGGCAACGGAGCCAGCGGTATCCAGGTGCTGCCGAATCTGCAGCCGATCGCACAACACATCGATCACTATGCGCGGAGCAGGACGTGGATCGCGGGTTCGTGGGCAGGCGACGAGCGCACCTTTGAGCCGCAGTGGTATTCCGAAGAGCAGAAACGGGAGTTTCTCGACCCGGAAAAATACCTCGAGTTTCGCAAGGCGCTGGAGGACAAGTACTGGCGCCGGTTCCCGTCGACCTTTCGCGGCTCCGAGCAGAACCTCAAGATGCGAGAGCGCTTCGTCGAGATCATGGCCTCGAGGCTGGTGAAGAAGCCCGAGCTGCTGGATCTCCTCGTGCCCGACTTCAATCCAAACTGTCGTCGCCTGACTCCGGGACCGGGCTACCTCGAAGCCTTGACCGCCGACAACGTCACGCTGATCCAAGATCGCATCAAGCGCTTTACCGCCACGGGGATTGAGACGGTGACGGGCGAACATCGCGAGGTGGACGCGATCCTCTGTGCGACTGGTGCGGCCATTGATTTTGTCCCGCCCTTTCACGTGCGCGCTCGAGGAGTAAACCTCCGAGAGGCGTGGAGACCGCTTTCCCAAGGTGACAAGGTCGACGCCAGTCATTTTGGTTGGCCGTACACGTACCTGGGGCTTGCCGTGCCGAACATGCCCAACCTCCTCTTCATCCATGGTCCCCACGGGGCTGGGCCGTCAGGGACGGTGCCGCACAGCGTCGAGGTCCAGGTGACGTACTACGCCAAACTGCTGCGCAAGGTCTCGACGCAGGGCATCAAAGCCATGTGGCCGTCCAAGCAGGCCGCCGATGACTTTGTCGCCTACGCCGACGCATTTTTCCCCACCACCGTGCTCACGGACAATTGCAGCTCCTGGGCCAACGGCGGCAAGCCCGGCGGCCGCGTCCACGGCATCTGGCCTGGCAGCGCGGGACATGTCACCTTGGTGCGCAAGGAGCCGCGCTGGGAGGACTGGGAGTACGAGTATCTGCACAAGAGCGGCAATCGGCTCATAGGCTGGTTCGGCAACGGGTGGACGAAGAAGGAGAAGGACGACAACGAGGACATGACGGCGTATCTGCAGCTCGAGGGCACAGTAGATCTCAGATCGCTGCATGAGAAATGGTGGGAGTAAAACTCTGGCTTTGCGGCAACGCAGAGGTTGAACTTTCAAGGCCAGAAATTGAGGACTTTTACGATGTCAAATTTGATTCGCCTAGCTCTATATATTTTGGGGGATACTATGCAACAACCGTTTCATAAGATGACAAGACTGGCCTCCTGGAATGTTTCACTAGACCCTGACCACCAGTCTGCCACCACTGACTTCACCCCTCCGCATCGAATCCAGAGCATCATTGATGGCACCGAAACCTTCTCTCACCCCCAAGATTGTTGGGGGTACCAAGAGACCTTGAGATAGTAGTCGCTCTAGCCAGAGCATCAATACCTCGCCCAGCTCCGGGATCTCGTGGAACACTTTGATGGGCACGGTGTGAAAGGTGATATTGGTTGGCGGCGACCCTTTCGGTAATCCAGTCAGACCTACCAAGTGGGCGGCAGCATGCCCTGCATCTGGTTTTAGTGTGGGTGTAGGTGTGAGTGTCGTTGCCGAGTCTTCATTGTCGACAGGTTCGCAATGCTGTTGCAAGCATTGCATTAAGTGCTTAGCTGTATCTCGCCCGACCGTGTCCACGGCAAATCGCAGACTGTTGTTCGTCACTGACCTTGTTATCTCGATGGCTCTCTCAGGGTTGTGGTTGTCAACGACGATATCCGGTTGGGTCCTCGAATCTGAAGACACTCTCAGGGCATGTTTGCGGCAGTCCATAATGCTGATTGTCCGTAGTCCAATAAGCCTGGCAATCTGGTTCAGAATAAAAGCACTGGTGGAGGAACCGCCCCAGATCGCGAGCCAGTCCCCTGGTCGAGCCTTTTCAGTCTGGCTAATCCCATTCAAGCATTCCGACCTGATGTCCTCCGGAAGTCGCTGAGGGTCCAATCCTTTCACTATTGAGAGAAGGTTCGGTCCATTTGCCACTTTGGAGAAATCGAGTCCAACACAAATACCAAGACAAAGAGCTGCGGCAACGAAGGCCACGCCTAGTCCCGCTCCCGATTCAGGGGTTACGTTCGCTGGCAGACGGCAAGTGTTGAAATCGGTGGCGACCACGCATTGTTGGTAAGCGGCTTTGCGAAGGTCCCTATAGTCCGTGGATATGACAATGACCGAGTCGCCGGGTTTGAAGCGCGACTCCTGCCTTGGACTTATGGCGACCTCTCCCACAAGCTCACGACCTGATATGTAAGGGAGTTCTGGAATGCCGAAGTTGAAATCTCTAAGCTAGGTCAGTATACCACATTTGCCGAGATTCTCGAACAGGTGAGGGGTTTCTTTACGGTGCTTTCCAATCGATTGGGTTGAGGCCGATCACTCTATTCCAGACCAGAAGTTCTCGGTTGTCCAAAAGTGGCGGAATGGGGTGGTCTAACACTTCGGCGTAAGGCTGTTTGGGGCCATGGAGCAGAAGAGCACGCTGCTGCGTAGATATGCACGGCAGCGACGAAGAGGACGTCGACGATTTTGACGAGGGGTTCTCAATCTCTCGGACGGTGAATTCTACGGTGATGTCTTTGGCCGTACTTGTGGTCCTCAAAGACCGGAAGAATCGAATGAACCCCATGGCTTCCCCAGGTGAATCAGTTGTGTTGCTCGGTGCCAAATACAAGATAATCAGTCGCTAGATCTTCAAGTCGCCTTAGGGCTTGGGACGACTAATCTGAAAAGCGAGATCGGATGACGGAAGCCACTCGAGGCATATCATTGTAAGCAATATTCTCACAGGTCTTGTAAAGACTCTGACACAAGATTTGAACACGGTGTATTTGTGATGCTACCTGTATCGCGTACTGCTTGGTAAGTAAGGAAGGGAGTTATCCGCTTACATGTAAAGTGCCTTGCACATGGTATGTACTTCATGCTGAGCCTGAACGAGACTATGTCGTGCTCAGACCCTATGAATACCTAATCGCGGTTCCACACGAACATGTCCGCTTGAAATCCCACCACAGGATCTTTTCCGCTACGGCGTGTAGGCAAATACTGACAGGACGAGACGTTTTCTCTCTGCTGAAGCGGGTTGGCCACGCAGCAAAGCCGATAACCAGAGTCTGCAGTTGATCCACTTGCTTCACTTCCAGAAGCATTTCCAAAGGATGAATCAGGGAAGGTGCGGAAACGTCTCTCGTATTGCGTGCTATTGAACGCAATGACGCGATCCAGGTCTCTGCGAGACTGTCAGCATCGCACAATTGACCGGAAGTGAGGGTCAAGCATGGGACTTGACCAAGGAGATATGTTTATGTTGAAGTCCAGCGCCATAAGAGTGTCTGAGCGGACGACCAGACGCCCAAGAGCTGAGAGACGAGAAACCAGCACTCCGTACTCGGGACGTGAATTCGAAATGTCGACAATTGAGGCTGGAAGCGCTCAGACGAACTTGAATGGCGCGAAGGGCGGGAATGGCATGGCGAGTCTTGGCGGCGGAAACAAGAAGCAACTCATCCTCAATGCCTTTGCCATGAACACGCCTGGTCACCTCTCTCCAGGGCTTTGGCGACATCCCCGAAACAAAACATACAACTATAAGAAGCTGGGTTTCTGGACAGACCTTGCAAAACTCCTCGACGAAGCTGGGTTTCATGCCTTGTTTCTTGCCGATGTCCTCGGGGCTTATGATGGTAGGTTTTGCAGACTAGGGATAGTCGTCCTCTTCCTGTTCAGTATGGACGTTTCCATTGCCGTGATTATCATTGACTGCCGAATCATCCAATTGAGCATATGACCACAAGCTGAAGGGAAATTAGTCTACAAAGGTCCTGCAAATACAGGTCCCGCCCTGGAGTCTGGTGCCCAGTTTCCCGTCAACGACCCGTTGTACCTGGTACCTGCCCTGGCCGCTGTGACGAAGAACCTCGCATTCGGAATCACTGCCAGCACAACTTATGAGCAACCATATTCTCTAGCAAGGCGCTTTTCGACAGTGGATCATTTGAGCAACGGGCGTGTGGCTTGGAACATCGTGACCTCTTATCTCGATAGTGCAGCTCGTAATTTTGGTCTGTCCCAGCAGGTTGAACACGATGCGCGGTACGACTTAGCAGAGGAGTATATGGAAGTCTTGTATAAGCTGTGGGAGGGAAGCTGGCGTGGGGATGCTGTTGTGGCGGATATGGAGAGTGGTGTCTATGCTTTAGGCGACCGGGTTCGACAGATTAACCACCAGGGCAAGCACTTCAACGTGCCAGGTCCTCACATTTGCGAGCCCTCTCCGCAGCGCACACCATTCCTTTTTCAAGCTGGGACTTCCAAGAGCGGACGGGCATTTGGTGCTAAGCACGCAGAAGTGATATTCGCCGGAGCACAACTGCCGGAAAAACTCAAACCTTCGGTTGAGGCCATTCGTCAGTTGGCGCGTGAGGCTGGTCGAGATCCCTATCATGTCAAGATTGTTGCCAGCATGTGTGTTATCGTCGCCGAGACGGATGAGGCTGCCCAACGCAAACAGGAGGAATTCCTTTCTTATGGCAATCGAGAAGGAGCCCTCGCTCTGTTCGGCGGTTGGACTGGGGTGGATCTTTCGACTTACTCGGAGGACGAAGATTTCCGGTTTGTCAAGATGCCTATGATCAACTCTATCATCAACGGATGGGCAGACACTGTTCCGGGAAGTGAGAATCTGAAATGGAACAAGGCCCGTATCGCTGAGTACTTGCTACTGGGAGGGATGAATGCGAAGATTGTGGGGTCTCCCTCTACGGTGGCGGATGAACTCGAACGTTGGGTAGAAGTGGCAGACGTGGATGGGTTCAACTTGTCTCATGTGGTGAATCCTGGCTCTTTCGAAGACATTATTCAGTTTCTACTACCCGAACTTCGTGCCAGGGGTATTTTCCGAGCTGGAATCGAGAAGGAAGGGCTCACCGCCCGCGAGCAATTCTTTGGAACACCGTCGTTGATGAGTGACCACCCAGGGAGCAAGTTCAAATGGGACGTCGGAGATGATATACCCCGATACTTGCAGGGGCAGTAGGAGGGGCTATTGCAGCAGAGGAGCTGACATTGCATGGTAGTGCCCCTTGTTGTGCAGTTATCAGGAAACAGGCCAAAATAACTTTGAAGCATACTTGATGCCGCACCGGGTTCTTGCTTGGGTTCATACTTGTGGTTCATGCAGCTGTGGAGGAGTTCTTTCGGCCAGGAGCAGAGCCGGCGGTCATTCGTTGCTGGGGCGCAAAACATTTCCCAGATTTGGCACATGAAAGTGCGAGACTTGATGCCACATTGGAAGTCATCGGCGATGCCATGTGAGTTGGAGTTGCGCAGGATGAGCGCAGTGAGCTATGAAGAGCTTTGGCTCTGCAACTAAAGAAGCGAGATGGGGGCAGGCCTGGGCCAATCCAGCAGGTTTCCCGAGTGACCCCTCCATTGGTGTCAATTATTGCACTGGCACCCACTGGCACCCACTGGCGCCCAACTGGGGGTGATCACCATTAGCACCGCCTGTGACGTTAAGGACTCGCTACGACTTACTACTACAGCCCTCGCTGGGCACCTGGACCAGCAGGTACCTCGCTTCGAACTAACCCACACTCGCTCCCTAGACACGTATTGGTGCTATTATCTTAACTGCTTCAGCTATAGGTGGCGCCCAGGGGTTATTCTAGGACTGATCCCAGCAACGTCAACCCTTCCCCTCTGCGCCACCTCGTCAGTCTATCAGTGGGCAGCCAGACAGCAGACAAGTTGGCAAGTGGGCATTTCGGACATGGACACCGCCTTTTGACCTCATGCCTCGATCAACCGACTGGAAACTCGAACTGCTATTTCTGTGGTTTGCGCTCTGGACTCGTCTGTGATATGCGACCCGTCGAGTGACACACGGCCGAGGGGTAAGAAAAGCAGCCTCTCGCATGGGCGCCGAATATGCTGGTTGAGAAGTCTTGTTCAGACCCCGGACAGACGGCGAGACGGATACGAACCACCAGAACCATCGAGATGAGCAAAGCTGGGCCAGTCAGCTATCATCAAAAGCAATAGGCATTTGACGTAAGGGTGTTGTGCAGGCATGCGAGAACATCAACGCACTGGACTATCTGACCATGTGCTCGGGGGTTGATCCCTTTGGCTCGCTCCCCTGTTGCGGCGCCCCCTGCTCATGCTGTGCACCAACGTTAGCTATCCTTCGGTGTGTGCCGCAATGCCCGCAGCCATTCTCCATTTCCACACCTGCAAGTACCAGGTACTAACTGGTCTATGATTTCCAGCCAGGCATCATTGGCTCGTATATGTCGGCGAGTGGGTGTCGAGTCCCTGCAACTGATTCTCAGCTGCCGCTGCCGCTGCCGGAAGTGTCGAGTGGCAATACCTCGTACCTACCTGCCCAGTTGCCCTGCTGCCCTGCTGCCTTGGTCGTTGGGGCCTTTCCCTGTCTGAATCATCACTCTCATCCCCTTGGGTGTTGGGGCTGTCATTGATTCTGGCCCAGCTAGAAAACCCTCATGGCTATCTGACTTTTACTGTACATTCTTCCACTTATTTAGAGTTGGCGCACGTCGTAGTACTGCCAGGTATCTCTAAAGCGTTCAAAGGGGCAGCCGAGGCTGTCCTGGATAGAAACCGGCCCTACAACGTAGCTGTCCTTCCTACCTCCAGCCTTGCTCTTCTTAGTGGCGACGACGCCACTATTCTCAGGGTCACGCAGGCTTGCATACGGGCCGACAACCGTCACACCGAGCTAGAACGTCAATCCTCCATCCCACTTGGTCTTCTTGCATTTCGCCTCTGTATTATTGATGCACAGACCCTGTCCTCCCTTTCGGATGATTTCCATTCTCGCTCAACTTGGAGCCAACCACTCGCTACGAACTTGCTGCAAGCCAGCATCACCGTTCACCCGCAACCTGTACTGTGTTTCCATTGGTGGCAAGAGAAAAGACCTATCACCTGGGAGTTCATTGGTTGCTGGTGGTCATTGAGGAACCATTAAGAAGCCGACTGTTTCTCCCAATGCTCAGTGAAGAAGTCCAGCGTCTTTTAGGGCTGCTCGGTGCACATTGGCCTCTTGCCTTTGTGCTTTGCTTCTGATCTTGTCCATATGGAGACCGTCTTCATTACCATCCACGGTCAGTAACTTTCTAGGCTTCAGTTCGTGCTTTGCTGAGACCGCTCCCAGATCTGTCCCAGGATGCCCGAATCCGGTATTGTTCCGATTCGGTCGAGGACATACTGGGCTACTTTCCTCACGAGGTGACGGGGAGATCATGCTGGGACTACTTCCACCCAGAAGAGATCCCTTTCGCTAGAGCCGTTCACGGCCGTGGCATCAGTCTTGACAAGGCGGCTGTTATGAACTATTGCCGCATCAAGCACAAGGATGGCCATTGGGTTGGTTGTGAATGTGTCTTCACTGTGGTTCACGATGTCCTCGTGGCCAGTACTGCCATCTACCGCCGGGGACCAAAAGCAAGACGTACGTGAGAATCCACCTCTACGCAAAGCAGCCTGACTAATTCAAATAGAGAGAGCATTAGATGGAGCCGGTATCCGGCGCATCTTCTCCTCATCTCCTCGGGACCCCAGGTACCACATGTTGTCATACCTGTCCAACAAGTTCTACGACGAACCGGCTGCTCATATGCCAGAGCCGAGGGCTGCACTTTTTCTCAATCGCTTCTCACGCACCTCCACCGTCATGTTCGCCACCAGTGGCGTCGATGCGATCCTGGGTCTTCAGCCATCAGACCTGGTTGGAAAGAGCTTCTACCAATGTATTGACCAGGCCTGTCTTCAAGACGCCGTCAAGTGTATTGAAAGCGCCAAAGCTAATGACTCTATCGCCTACCTGAGATTCTGGTACCACGACCCTCTGCAAGCAAACAACATTGCTGATGGCGAATCCGTGGGTGATGAGAGCGATGAAGATGACGATGGTGGCGTTCCTCTGGAGACTGGCACGCGCCCCGGTTCGAGTGTCTCAATGGGGGATGCTTCAACTCCTCGTCAGACCGAAGATACCACACATGTGACTGATAATCAGGCGTTGAGGGCTTCTGAAGAAGCTTCCACATCTCAGGTCGACGGAATCGAGCCTGGGAATGTCCAACTGAACGGAGATCATGTTGCGCCTTCCACGAGCACCGATCTCGTCGTCAACGAGCATGAGGCGTTGTCAGACCATGAGCCTGTGCAGAACTCCGCTCCACAACAGGCTCAGCCAGGAGCCGCCAATGGAGAACGACTGGAGCTTGAAGCTGTCGTTTCTTGTACTTCAGATGGTCTTGTTGTCATCCTCCGCCGTGCGAGGCCATTGGTCCCGCATACACTTGGGGCAACGGAAGCTCCATATTATGCCAACGGACTGTTTGCATCGCCCTGGGCGCCGGAGCCGGTCATGCCTCCAACAATACAACAAACAACTGTGGCTCCCGCCGCTTCTTTCCCAATGACGGACTCGTCAGAATCTGGGTTCATGGCTGCTATTCGAGAAGTTGCAGTCTTTGCTTGGTCACTTACAGGAATCAACGGCTCTCTAGCGCAGTATGCTCGGGGTAAAGCGTCTCCAGAGGCATTGCCACCAGATGGTCTCCCAATCTGGGACCCTAACGCTGAGGTTGACGCGAAAGCGAATCAGCTATACAACGGCTTCCTGGGCAGTGCGCACCGCCCCTATGCTGGCCCACATGCGGACTCTGGCGAGTCAAACGTTGCGAAGAAAGTCGACGATCTGGGCAGCAGTGACGATGAAGTGCTCTGGAAGAGGGCACCAACAATGACGCCGTGGAGACGACCCAAGAGAAGAGCCCATCACGATGCTTTCGGAGGGGAAGGGAATGATGGAGTGGATGGTGGGAATGAAGATGGCAGGAGAAAGAAGGCCACAAGATCGCATTCCAGTTCCGGGCCGAGCTCAGGTTCTGGGGGAGCCTCTGCTGCGGGTTCTTCTTCTGGCTCGACCTGATAGCCTGGTTTTAGTGATTGATCGCAACCAGCCTGTGTGGACAAGGGCGCCAGCTTGAAGCGGGCAACCCTGTCGACATTTTGGTATACACTCATTGACGAGGACGCCATAATCTCATGAAAACGTCAAACGTAATGAGCTCTTACGAATCATCATGATGCATGATCTGTGAGGGATAACATGCTTCGAGTAGATGTGAAGTAGTCGGCAGCTCGTACGACTTGCGCTCGAGCCTTTTCAATTTCATGGAAGGCACGTGTTTTCGCGTTCCCGACGCGATATTTTGTGACGCTGCTCATTTACGCCTTTGAGAAACAAGACCATTTCATCCTCAACCACCCGTGTCTAATTCACACTCCAGAATTGAGTTACTGACGATGCAAGATGCCGCTTGTCAACGACAAAATGAATGCTAAGCAATACGTTCAAAATCGTGAATCTGTCACACATCAAGGCCGCCCCGAGAAGCGATCACTGACACCGCAGCCAAACTCCGGCCGTGAAAGGTCGCAGCAGCGACAAGATGAAGCCCGCCGCAAACTCCACCAGCAGCAGCAGCAGCAGCAGCAGCAGCAGCAGCAGCAACACGCGAGTCACAGCAAGGAAACAAACAGCGAAGCCATCAGTCGCCGGGATGCTGCAAAGTTGAAGTTGGACGTCCCGAATACACTGACGATTTCGAGTTCAAAGCTTGCTGCTCAGCCGGCTGGAAAGGGTGCAGCCAAAGACCCAGCAGCGATTCAGCCCAGCATGTTCTCCCGTCCTTCACCAAGCGTTGAACACCGTCACAATGTCTGTATAGCTTTGCTGGCCCCCGTGCTGGCACGACATCACCGACTGACCCAGCTCTAGGCGTTTGACGATACCCAAAGCATCCATCTAGACGACTCGATGAGCGTGGCCGAGGAGACGATTCGGCGCACGAAACCTTCCTTCAGCTTCCATCATGGCGGGACTATGCCACCCATCTGGAACGCCGAGCCTCCTTTCTCGCCTACCACCCACCATTTCGAAAGTCCAAAATTACTATTTGGGGAACGTGAAAAGACTTCAGGAGGACTCCCTGCGGATTGGCAAGCGCAGGCAGATGCTGAAAGACTTAGACACGGCTTTGACCCAGTGCACGGCGCACGATTCGGTCCCAGTGTCGGCCAAACGAAGTATGGGAAAGACGACCACCACGACGGGGAAGGGTCCGAACAGGATGGCGACATCGAAGAAGGGACGTCCATCGGGGAGGAGAACACACCCTCACGCACTCGAATCGCCCCTGAGGTTAAGGCTGCATCATCCAAGCATGGCAAAGTGAAAGTGAAACGGGGCCACAGGCCAGAAGAGCTGGCGATAACTCGCCCTTCACCATTGAAGCACAGAAAGTCTCTGAGCGACGTTGCGCCGGCTGTCGTGGTCGAGCCATCGAGCCGGCAACAGATCAATCGTTTCAACGTCTACAAGTCGCTCGAGGCAGACCCTGAGACGGCACCGCTGCCAGACAATCTTGCTCAAACGGTCCGAATCCCTCAGTCACTTGGATCACTTGTGCACCCACCAGCCTTCTCGTCCAAAATGTCTTCGCTCCACGAATCGTCTTCTGACGAAGAGAAACCTTTACCGGCAAACATCTCTGACCCTCTACGACTGGCTACCAAACATCGCCGCTCCGAAGCCGACCTGGATTTCGACCCGGAAATCCTCAAAACCAAAACCATGGCGGAGCTCGACGCCATCCCATACACAACGGACCCACGGTACTCATCAGCACCCGAGCCGGCTCTCGACGCCAACGGCACCCCGCTGACCCTATCCGCCAGACTCACGAACCTGACCAAAATGCGGCCCGACGACCAACGCAACCTGTTCAAGTCCCTGACCGACGCCGAGCGCGAGCAGACGGCAGACTGGTTCGTGGACAGATTCCGGACGGACATGCAGCGGCTGATGACCGCGCGGCTGGAGAGGAGGAAAATCTCCCTCAAGTACGAGCTGGAAGTGCGGAAGAGGCAGAGGCAGGTCGAGGCGAAGAGGGGGGACGTGGAACAGGAACTGGCCGGGCTCAAGAAGGGTGGCGGAGAGCTGATCAGGGGGAAATCGCCGGCGAAATGATGTTTCCTCTCGCTCTTTCTCTCTCCTTGTGTTTTTCTGTTTTGTTTTGTGGTTTCACAAGAAAGGCACGATACAACTGTACAAACACAACGGGGGCATTTGACAAGTGGGCGCTGTCCATTGAATCTGGCCCTGCTCGAGCGACGAAGCTCCTGCAATGGGGTGAGATTTCATCACGAAGTTATGACAGAATAGAGAGGGAAAGAACCAACGGACGGAGCCAGGCTCGACGCATAATTCGATGAATATACGACTTACTGTAAGAAATATGGACGTGCGGGACATGCCTTAGAGACTACATATGTAGATACATCTACCTACGTCTATATCAGCCCTGTCTGTCCGGGTATCAAGGACCCGGTACCCAATTGTGAAGTCGTCAGGTCCGTATGGACTTCTTGCTCCACCTGTCCTGGCCATTCAAGACCTGAACTTTCGACCAATGTTGGAAGACAGTCAAAGGAGAGACTGTCGGTGCCCTGGGTCAGCTGGGATCTGTTATTGGTTCCTCCAGGAGGAGGCATCGCCCCCTGGGTCCATGTCATGTCATGAAGACACGGCGCCGTGAGTCGCTGTGAACGATTCCATCCTCGGAAGTGATCGTTTTACCGTCAAAGCAACTATCTCTCAAGATGTTGAGGCTCGAATCCCGGAACTAACAGTGGCTGTGTTGCTCCCATGGCATATTGAGTCATGCCCTACTGTAGTCGATGGCAGAGCTGCGTGGCGGCCTGGTCAAGCCATTCATGCCGGTTTCGCAAAACACTGCCCTGGTTCGGTAGGAGGAACTCTGAAATGTATCATCAACAAGGCCGCTTGGGCAGTGTTGTAAGACTCCGCACATTGGTCGCTCCCGAAGGCTCGCACCTTGCAAAAAAGGACCGAAAGAGTCACTCGCTTGATGCCGGCTCTCAGATGTTTTTGTGGATGGGGAAATACTACAACCAGTATAGTCTTCAACTTTTGCTCTTCTCGCTTGCGCTTGTGTCTGGCCCAACCTCAGCCATGTCGCTTGCCTCGCCTGTCTCCACCTCAGCATCATCCTCAGCCTTCAATACCAGCTTTCCCAACACCTTCGCAAGCCGCTGGTAATCTGCAAGCAACTCTTGCACCTCGCCAAGTCTTAAGTCTTTCGCATCAGCTATTTTCATGAACCTTGTAATAGGCGGCATGGCCTTGATAGCCACCAATTCGTCTTGATCCGGCGACCGTAAAGAGGCTTCGGGCGTTGGCTTATTTTTCTCCTCGGGTGAATCTTGCTTGTTCCCTTGGGCGACAACTATCGTTGGAGTAGGAGGGGTCTGTACGGCAGGCGGAGAAGCTGACGCAGCAGCTGCCCTGCCACCAAATCTTCCAAATGCACCACCAAGTGCAGAGCCTATGGAACTCATTGGATTGAGACTGTTGCCAAAATTCCTTACTGTCTCGAGGGGATTGGTGGCTGTCGGTTGGGCTGGTGGTGGTGTGGGCTTTTGCGGAGGCCCGCTTGCTGCTGCTGTTGTAGCAGCACCATTTGGGGGCGAATTCGTGTTTCCTGAAAGGAAGCCCATCCTTTTCCCGGCGCCGCTTCCATTGCTCTGAACGCTGTCCACACTCCGCTCCCGGGCGGCTGCTTTTCGACCTCCTAATAAGCCTAGCAGTTTCTCTTCCGTCTTTGTCAGATTAGAGGGCATGGGGCTAGACTGTCCGTCGTGTATGGAACTTGCCTCGCTGAGAGCGTGGTCGTCTTCGTCAGGAGTCAAAGGTCGACTAACAAGTTGCCTGGCCTCGTCCAACGTCTTGGGAAGGATAATTTCAGTATTGGGACCTTCAGTGCCTCGTTCCTTCAACTTGCCAAGAAGAAATTTAAAGCTGTTGTCCAGGCTATTGGAGATGTTTTTGAAACCTTCTTCTGCCGTGGAGCGGACGGCCTCATTCGCGTTGCTTATGGGCTGTAGAAGGTCCGAAAATGTACGTTGATGTCGGGTAGAGGGAGTGGGCGTGGGCTTTTCGGGAAGGGCCTTCACGATCGACGAATTTTGACTTGTTGGGATGGCTGTGCCTGTAGCGTGGGACGTCGAAGTGGCCGTTGTAGGAGACAAGGGTGCAGGGGCCGACTCGGGCAACAAGGGAAAGTTTTCAAGCTTATCTGAGCCGTCTTCTCCTTCCGACTGCGATGGTATCTTTTTGGGGCCTTCTGGCATTTCATCCGCCCTCAAACTCGCCAGGTCGACATCTTCCAGGAAGGTGATCGCAGCTTCCAGATTTGTGAGGCAATAGGCAGCCTCGCCATCGATTTTTGGAGCCGCTCTGAATCGCTGGATGAAATAGAGATTGCTAATAATGTTGATACCTTCAACCGGGGACGTGATCAAGGTGTAAATCAGGGTCGGCAGGATCTCGTCGGCAGAGGAGGAGGAAGGGTGTATTGAGTACAGAGTATCAACAACGGCTTTATGGGCGGTGGTGAGGTGCTGCAATTTCCCTAGTGGATAGCGTTCTTCATTCATCTTAGCCAGACTCTCTCGCGCCGGAGCAAGGGAGGCTTGAACGTCTTCGACCGATTTTTCAGTATCTTCGCTCCAGTCGATGCCCAGGTCTTTCAGACCTATCCCTACCAATGCCAACGCTGCCGTTTTCGATCTCAGCTTCTCGTCTCTGACCTCATCCAGGGTGCTTTTGTGTCTCCATATTTTGTCATAGATCTTTTCACATACTCTCTTCTCCACTGCCTCTTCGAGGACAATCCTCTTGTATTCCAGCAGTTTTCTCTGTTTGCGTCTCTCGGTGACTTCAGAAGCCGTTAGCATCTGCTGAGAGCCTCCTCTTTGGTCCAATGGACGGAGAGAATCACTTGAGGGCTTGTTTTGCAAAGGTCTGGAGCGGGAGGTAGGTTTGGAGGGTGTTGGCGACTGGTCCCGATGGAGGCGGGACTTGAGGGCGGATATGTGAATAGCAATTGCTCCAGATGCTCGAGCATAGAATTCCTGAAACAGTTCCGACAACTGGTCGATTGTGGGCGGTTCATTGTATATTTTAGCACTGAGGGAGTCGATGAATCTGTCGGTCAGGCTTGCCAGTTCTATAGGCAGTTCATCAAAGCGATCTGGAAGGCTGCTGACCCGTCCCAGGTCCGGGGATGCGGGCTCATCTTCTTCGTTTATAGGCTTTTCAAAGATGTCTTCGGGTGAAGAGTCCTGCTTCTTTGGGGATTTCAGAGAGGTAACGGATTGAATGGTGCTGGCTCTACTCCTACCCGCACCCGCGGAAGAGGAGGCAGCAGGAGGCTCGTAACGAGTAAAGGACTTTGTGGAAAGAGCAGAGGGTCTCGACTTCGTCGACCCGGTTGAGACGTTCCTGGACATGATGGAGATGGAGACGGAGACGTGATGGTCCCGGGTGCGGGAACAGTGGACAGACAAATACTCTGTGCTCTGTACTGCGCTGTCAGCCTATCTCAGGCAGCCAGGCTGGGAGGTTCTTAGAAGAGCATTGTTTTACTTCAAAGAGCAATCATCAACAAACCTGCGCCTAGGTCGGCGTCGTAATTGACCCCAGACCCGGCTCATCCGCAGAGGATTCGTGGTGGGTGGTTTCCTTGTTGACTGCTGAAACAAGAGGGCACCAACAGTCCAACACATGTGAATGACGGGATTGGTCACAGGCACCCAGACAGCGAGCAGGTACTTCGGTAGAATGTGGTTAGTGATGTTTAGGTGCCCTCCGCAGTTGGGTGTTGGGTGGGTGTACCTAGCGCAGTGTACCTAGGCGACTCGACGTCACAGCCCTTCCAGACCCATCGAGCCATCTCGCCGTCTCCCCGTCCACGTCCACGAGACCCCAAAAGCCACCTCAGTCAACAGTCATTCAAGCCTCCCATCCCTCCCATCTCTCACTCACCATCAGCACATCCACTTCCAATATGAAGACCCGGAAACCAAGAGACGGGGTTTGCACTTCAGGCAGCAGAATCACCACAGCGAGTATGCTGTTGTCCTTCCTTGCTCTTGTACCCTCCATCACTGCGGCCAAACTCCCCGCCGCCATCGATCCCTGGTACCCAGTGCCTGCACCCAAAGAACCAGACACCCATGACTTTACCCTAAGACATATTTTCCATCGAGGCACTTACCGCGATCCCAATCTGCACAAACGATACGATTTCAGCCCGCAGGCACCCGTCCTCCTCACCCAAGAAGACGACCATGTCCTGACATCTTCCCTCGAATCGCCGCCACACTTTACCCTGCGTTCAGATTCTGTCGAGATTGAACGACTAGTCGACAGGCAACCGCTGAGCATTGAGAGATATCTTCAACATGCACGCCTCACTGGCATTCCGGCTGTCCTTGATGCTTCGCAGTGGACATTGGACCAGGTCGAGGGTCCCAACATCGAGCACAAACCTACCGTCCTCAACCTGGCCATTATGGCAGCCAACGCGTATAACCCAGGCCCAGGCGAGGGAGATTGGGACGATGTAAGCCAAGGCTATAATCGTTCTACACCATTCGGATGGGAAGGCGACGGTCTGAGAGGTCATATATTTGCCAACGAAGGCAATGAAACAGTCATTATTAGTCTCAAGGGGACTTCTCCTGCTGTCTTTGACGGAGACGGAACTACCACCAAGGACAAACTGAACGACAATCTCTTCTTCTCTTGCTGTTGTGCTCAAGGTGGCTCGTACTTCTGGCATCAAGTCTGCGACTGCCAGACCGGCACATATACTTGCAACCGGACCTGCGTTGTCCAGGCATTGAGACAAGAGAACCGGTATTATCGAGCCGCGATTGACTTATATACCAATGTTACGGAATTATACCCAGATTCAAACGTCTGGCTCGCTGGTCACTCACTCGGCGGCGCCGTCACCAGCCTCCTCGGTCTCACGTTTGGCCTGCCCACCGTAACATTCGAAGCGCCCGGTGATGACCTCGCAGCAAAACGCCTCGGTCTTCCCGCTCCTCCATCATCAGACCCCCACAGACCACGCACAAAGTATACAGGGGCCTACCACTTTGGAAACACGGCCGACCCAGTATTCATGGGCACTTGCAATGGTGCCACAGCAACATGTACTTTGGGCGGCTATGCCATGGAATCCCAATGTCACACGGGGAAACAATGTGTCTACGATACTGTGAGTGACTACGGTTGGCGTGTCGGGATTGGCAACCATAAGATCCACAACGTCATCGACAACGTGATCAAGATATACAAGACTGTCCCCTCTTGTGTGCCTGACGACGAATGCGTAGATTGTTTCAATTGGAAGTTCTTTGAAAGCAATGGCTCGGACTCGACGACGTCGACCCGGACAACCACTACAAGTTCCACGACATACACGAGAACGAGTACATGCAAAACTCCAGGCTGGTGGGGATGCCTAGACGAGACTACAACCGCGAGCACGACTTCAACGGTGCCAGTGGTAACCACCACCTATACCACGACAAGCTGCGTCACGCCAGGCTGGTTCGGATGCAATGAGAAAGTCAATATCACGGTGACAACGACCACGATCGCGCCAACAATGACGCCGCCGACAACGTCCGTCCCTGCTTCTGTCACTCACCACCCATCGTCATCTACCTGTGAGCATCCGGGTTGGTGGGGCTGTCGCGACGCCACCTCGACTACATATAAGCCATCTCCGTCCTCGACGGTGTCGAGTCCGAGTGCTACAAGGACCGCTGAACCGCACAGGAAGCACACATGCAAGACACCCGGTTATTTCTGGGGCTGTCACGATGCGCCCAAGTCCCACCATCGCCATGCTACAAGCAGTGCCGTTGACGCATCAACAACAACGGACGGCATGATCACGCGAGCACCAACGTTCAGCACCAGCGCTATTAGTGCAACAGCAACTCCAACCACCACCGATGACGGGACGAGGAAGGGCAGGAAATGCAAAAGGCGAGCGTTCTTTGGATTGATCTGTTTGGATGGGTATGAGGATGAATATGTACCTGATCTATGATCGATGGGTACATCACAGCATGATTTTGATGATATTTTGGCATTTAGATTGTGATTGTACTGGATGCATGCATGCGCTTTGGTAGCGCGGAGGCCGGCGTTGAATGTTGGGGAGAAGTCACCAGGTTGGAGCGTTTGTATGGTCTTATGAGGGTTGAGGACTGGACATTCGTTCCCCTCCACACGAAACATTGAGATTTGAATTGAGTGTTCAAGCTCTCCAGCATATCCGAGGCTAGACAAAAAGCATTGAGCCCGGGGGATTGCTTTACAGCATGGAACAAGCTCCCAGATAGCCGCTACCTGGAACCCAGGACGGAACTTTATCCTGAACATGTACCCTTTGTATGGGCGTGCTTGTACTATGAGAACACACTACCAACACCCCGTTCCCTCTGGACATGCCACAAGCTATGAATCCACCGTGACCATAACTAACCTATAGTCCCAGCGGGTTATCCGCGGTCTGCTTCTTGCCACCGATCGAGTCCGTGGTGTCTTTGGTCGTGTTGCCTACCGCCTTGGTGGTGTCGCCGAGCTACAACACCGAGCACCAGTCAGTCGCCCATCGATTCGAGCCTTTTATGGGAGCCCCCAAAAGGACATGGCAAGGAAATGCCCGGGGGTTGAGAAACGTACGCCTTGGGTGGCTCCGCCAACGGTCTTGCCCACGCCCTCGCCCACGCCGGAGACGGTGTTGCCCACGGTATCCTACTCGAATTTTCACAGCATTAGCTTGCCGGGGAAAACTTTTTAGGCGGGAAAAGGGGCGCGAGATATATGGTATGGGGGTTGGGAAGAGGGACCGTGATCAGGAGAAAGGGAAGAAAAAAAGACGTTTCAGCTGAGAGGGATATATAACGCACCGTGACGCCGCCCACCGTGTTGCCCACTGTATCGGTCAAGCCGCCTAGGACGCCGGATGCTAGTTCACGGGGGAAGAGGTTGTTAGTGGAATTATCCCCTTCTTCTTCTTGTTCTTCAACAACATGATTCTTTGTTTGTACGTATCACCCCGTGAGACGAGGTCTGGCTGGGAGCGTGAAATAGGAATTCAAAGGAGAGAGGAAGGGGGGAATGGTAAAATTACCGCCTTGCTTCTTCTGCTGTTCTTCAGACATGATGTATACAGAACTAGTCTTGTTCCAGAACCTTGTTTGGTGTGTGTGAGGTTTAAAAAAATCACGATATACAGAAGACGGGTCTGTAGTTATGTCGCTCTGTGCTCGGGGGGAGTGTGTGTATCTATATATACTACCTAGGTAGGTACTACGAGTAAGTGAAACTCGTCATATCACTTGTCTTGCTGGTTGGGCGTCGTGCAACGAAGTCCTTAGGGTCCTTGACGTCAGTCTCGTCAAAGGCGGTTCACGGGATTATGGCTGGGGTGACACCACAAGGTGGCTCGGTGGCTTGTTTGACAAGGGCACAAGGGCAGAGAGATCGAGTGAGTGGCTTGGACACTACGAGCAATGAGGGGGGCGAGCCGATCTGATCCAGACACACAAACCCTTGCTCGTAGGGTAAGAGCGGTTCAAGATGGACAAAGTGAGGAGAAGTGGATGGTGATGGATCCTGGTCGGAATGACGTCGACGCTGCTGGGTCGTGGACTCATGGGTCGGATCTTGAGATTGATGAGGACAAGCACAAAATCAGGCTATATCAAATAACAAGGATATCACTTGAAACTACATATATTTGGTGGCTACTCCTGTTGCGACACGGCATGTGGACCGTGATTGGGGAATCGATGCAAAATATACCATTTCCTCCAGCACCAAGACCATCCTATCCAAGGCTCATAGCAACGTCCTCCTGAACACTGAACGCTCGATGTCCAGGATTATCTCGCCATTTATCCAGCACGTCGTCCTCCGGCCCATCGCGACTCCGGTCACTCTGTGTGCTGAGCTGGCCTGTATTCTTTCCACTAGAACTCTTGCTATCACTGCGGTCTCTTTTCGAGAACCAGCTGGCTGGCTTCTTCACCGCTGCTGATTTGACAGTGCTGCTGGCGTCATTGGATTTTGGATCTGGTCCAGATGGCTTCTCTGTGGGAGGTCCCGAGTCGGCGGTAACCGTGTCCCCTGATCCGCCTGCGCCTTTGGCAAATTCTTTGGCTTTCCTCACCTTGTCCTCTTCCATGTCAGACAAAGGTTGTGCTGGAGTACCACTTGGTGTGTCCTCAACGCTCGGTGTTGCTTCGACAAGTTCCGCATCACGGTACCACTTGCGTCTCCTTGTATATCTCCCCCATCCGTCCTCCCTCCTTCCATCCTCCCACCTATTGTCATAGAATATCCAGCCTCCACCATCGTCGGCAGCCGCTTTACCAGATATGCCGGCCGCGCCTATTTTGCCGTCGCTTGTCGCCCTCTTATGCGACTTAGCATCTCCATGCTCTATTCGCCAGTCCGAGTCGATCCATCTCCACCGGGACAAACCACCCTCCACATCGGGCAGCTCAAATTCCTCTTTTGATGGAGCAGGGTTTAGATGTTCATCCGTCCAAGGGGCGCGCTCGTATGCAAACAAAGAAGTCGTCCACCCCAAACCCAGCCACCGCCGTTGATTCTCGTATAGTATAAAAGTGAAACGGACGCCAGACGAGGGTTTCCGCTTGGTAGCAAGTTCTGATGCAAGGTCACCTTGAGACTTCGATCTGGCCCCAATTGATGGTCGGTTTCCGGGTTTGGTATTCGGCGAAGCATCAAAGTCCAGCCCAGTGACGAATGCGGCCGCCTTGCGCATAAAGACAGAACGCCAGAGGATAACCCGAGACACCCTAGCTGGCTTGGAATGCCAGGTCAATATTATTGTGCCAACAGCGAGAATGACTCTTCGAGGAGTCAGAATATAGAAAGGCGGAAGATTCAGGATAATCCAAAACGGGGTTACAAAAAGAACACGGATGAAGAGGGTCGTCAATGCCGGCCGGGTCGTTGCGGCAGTTGGCGTCGTCTGGGTAGAAAGAAAATCGGTCAGCTTGAGGAAGGGATCCAGCAGGACATTGCACCGTGCAGTCAACTCCTGTAGTGTTTCGACAATCTCATCAAGAGTCTTATGGTGCGACTGAGATTCCGAAGGTTCCCTTTTGTGGCCCTTTGCCGTATGTTTCTCTCCTGTTTTGGTGGTCGACGACAGAGGCGACCAGCGTCTGGAGTACATTCCCAGTATGAGACCAACTACTACGATGATCGGACTTGCAAAGCGAATAATCTCACTCCCATACAGTGTGATTCCCCAGAAGGCAGCCACCATCAGGTACGATTCCCACGGATCTTGGGTGCTCCATGACAGAAGACCGGCGAGTTTGTTCAGCGGGAGGAGGAAGGGATGTGAATGGGCTAGGGCTCGAGTGATCTGAGGTGGTGTCGCTACTAGTAAGGGCGACTTTTTGTGGACTATGATCGTAGAGCGCTGCTTGGACGTGGCGGAGTAGCCAGAGGCGGATGCTGGAGAGAAGGCAGCATATGTGGGGGGGTTGGAGTCCCAGGCCTGCTGGGAGGAAGAATCAGACGGAGGTGCATATGAGGACGGTCTTGACATTGATGTGACCCAGGGTGTTTCTGTTCAATTATCAGCACAGCTGAAGCAGAAGTTGGGACGGGGAACCAATGTATACCAAATGCTGCCATACACCGGGTAATGCTGGGTCATGAGGATGACTGGTCCACGAATACCTAAATAGATGACGCCACCGGTGCGGAGACGGAAAGACTTAGGTGAGAATAGCCTGATGGAGTTGTAGAGGCTGGTGGTGCAGAATAGCAACAACAGATGAGATAGACATGCTTGAAAGGGTCAGGTATTGAGTGCTCGGCGATTTGGACATCTGGTCTTGTGGACAACTTGACTGCGGCAAAGGCATGTGCACAGCGCAGGCAGAGACGGCAGAGCCAGCAGAGACGTGATGATCAGCCACTTGCTCGGTGATCCATCCATGCAAGTCATAATTCAAGGGATGCGACACGTGACCTTGAGAGAAGCGCGCAATTTTAGGCGAAGATTCGCCGGTCGGAATCGGCGACAAGCAAAAAGATTTCGTGCAGCTTCTGTCTGAAGAAGAAGAAGAGGAAGAAGAAGAAGAAGTGAACACTCCGCCATTGCCAACATCGCGGCCATCAGCCACTTTGATCTTGTTGCTTCGCTGACAGGAGTCAATGGTAGGTATCTACAGATTTTGGGATTCCCCCCATCTTCAGGGAACCAGGACTGACCAGAGCAGGCGCACCGAATCATTGCCCAGATCGTCCTGACCGGCGGACGAGTCTTCGGCAGAGCGTTTGCAGAGGCATACAAGCAAGCGCAAGCATCGACACAGTATGCAAGGGCTGCTGCAAAAAGTGACCCGGGCGCCGCCAATACCGCCGCCGCTTCCGGCATGACCCTCGACGAAGCCTGCAAAATCCTCAACGTGAAGCCCCCCCAAGGTGGCGCCACCAATATGGAACAGGTCATGGAGAGGTTCAAGAAATTGTACGACCTCAACGAGCCGAAGAAAGGCGGTGGCGGATCCTTCTACCTCCAGAGCAAGATTCTTCGTGCGAGAGAACGAATAGAGATGGAGGCCCGCGCCGCCGAGCACAAGGCCAAAATGGAAAAAGAAATCAAAGAAGGTTGGAGACCCAAGATATACAAAACTTGATCTCCCTTGTGGCTGACCGTCTCCAAAGGACGGTAACGAGACTGGATGGCCAACCCGGCCTGCACCACTTCGCCCTTCGAATCCTCTCTTTCGACGATCATTTCTCATGCATAGCGGACGGCGTTGGATGGAAATTTACTGTAAAAATCGATTGTGCTATACCATGGGCGAGGGTCTACGCTAGAATATTTCAGCGAGAGAATGGGGTATTCACGTCTTGAATGGATGCTCTGTCGGATTTCCAGGGAATGGTGTCTATATGAAGGAGACAGCGGACAGACCGACGTGGTGTCCCTAGGATCAGATCTGCCATAGCTGCAGGCTTGGGTTGGGGGGGACAAACGCCGCTCCAGCCCGATGAGCGACTCTCCACTCAAGAAGGAAATTGGGACCAAGTTGAATTGGTCATATATGTGGCTGGAGTGGAAGCCAATGCAGACGTGTATAGAACGACAGACTGGGAAAGAGGACCAGGGGAGAGAGTTGGGGAAACTCGATACTCCTGGCGCTCGAGCACGTCCAAAAATGATAACACACTCAAAGACGCATTGTTCTCCTGCTACAAGCGAACGGCCATTACATACCAGATACCTAGGTACATTGACGTGTTGGCAGCTACAAAGGGGGCCATGGATCAGCCAGGGCCGATAAGTTTGGATGCTTGTGTGAGGAGGAAATGGGGAAAGACGATCAGGGTATCCAGGACCACTATTGCTCACCAAAATCAGCGGGATACAAGTGGGTATTGACGGAGTGGCAGGCGGCAGCGCGATAAGGTGCGAGATCTCTTTTGTCACCTGCGCCCAAGCCAATATGAGGGCGTCATGGATCTGGGTGGCGTCGTCCTTGATTCTGCTTCGCCATGTCCAGGCCTGCATTATCTTGAAGAGTTAACGTTGCGTGCTTAAGCGAGAATCCTGCTATGCCACTGGCACTTCTTAATTCATTGTTGATCCCGCTAGCATCACATCAGATTGATTCGGGCGCATATCGGTCCACATATCGAGTGCTTTTCCAATTATTCCACTCGGTTGCTCCCCAGAGAACCATCTAGGCCACCGGCAAACTCACCTCCCACTCCTCCTTCTGGTTCTCTAGCTCGATATCAGCCGCAGGAACCTTTCCCTTGCATGCCTTGGACTGCCCCACTGCGCTGTCGCCATCTCTTGCAAAACTTCCGTCTCTAACTTTGGTGGCTCGTGTCATCCATTGATTCCACCATCCATCAGAATTCCCGACAAAGGTATTACATTGGCACTCTCCTCCTACATACCTCCACCCTGCCTCGACTACTCGACCTCTCCTTCTTTCACCACGACCTCATACATTGTGCTAAGCCATGCCCAGGTTAAACTCGCCACTTTCCAACTCCCTCCCCCCTCTTGTCTTCGGGACCGCCACCTTCAATTACCAGGTACATAAACAATTTCTCTCTAAAAAGTAGACATGTGTTGATATTTACTTCTCAGTACAATGTCGATCCATACGCATTGGGTCCCACTTCTCTTGTCCAGAAGGCCCTCGCCCAAGGAATCCATGCTTTTGACACCTCCCCCTACTATGGACCGGCGGAAGAGATTCTCGGGACTGCTCTGGACACTGACCTAGTCAGACGACACCACCCGCGGGATCAGTACTTCATCCTTACAAAGGTCGGCCGCGTCGCCGCCGACATCTTCGATTATTCCCCATCTTGGGTCCGACAAAGCGTCCAAAGAAGTTGTAAACGTCTAAGGACCAACTACCTCGACGTTGTCTATTGCCACGATTGCGAATTCGTGTCGCCGGAAGATGTCCTCTGCGCCGTAAGAGAGCTCCGTCGTATTCGGGATGAAGAAGGCACCGTTCATTATATCGGTATCTCCGGTTACCCCGTGCTGGTTCTTTGCGAGCTGGCTGAAATGATTCTACGAGAGACTGGAGAGCCATTGGACATTGTTCAGTCGTATGCGAACTTCACCCTTCAGAACACTCGACTGCTTTCGGATGGTCTCCAGCGTCTTGTGAATGCCGGTGTGGATGTTGTGACAAATGCTAGCCCTCTGGGAATGGGCTTGTTGAGATCGACCGGACCCCCTCTAGGAGCTATGGGCAATTGGCATCCTGCCCCGGATGGCCTCCGACAAGCCTGCATCGACGCCGCGAAATGGGCAGCAGCCCAAGGAGAAAAGCTCGAAGTCGTTGCAGTCAGATTCGCCCTTGAAACCTGGCTTCGGGAAGGCGCCAAGGTTGGTTCTTTGGGTAGCCCACTAGGAACCGCCGACGCGTCCTATGGGCACTCTCTCAGTTTGCCTCCGCAGAAATTAGGCGTCAGTGTCATGGGTGTCAGTAAGGTGGAAGAGCTCGACGAGACGATGCGAGTGTGGAGAAGCGTTCTCGATGGGCTAGCCGACGATCTCGATGCCGAACCAGGGACCATCACTCCCTCCGACTCCGTAACCGATCATGAGTGGTCTCTGGCGCGTCGCCAAACCATCCGCGAACTCGCCAAAGGGATTCGAGGAGTCATCGGCTCTCAGTGGGTTGACTATGCCTGGGAGTCTCCTGATCCAGGCTTTGTCAATCAAAGAAAGGAGAAGGATGATGTAGTGGTCCATGAGGCAGAAGTGGCAGCTGCTCCCGACACAACGATGCTCACACCTCCCTCCGAAGCGGACGACAATGGAGTGCCAACGGACGTGCCCACTTTGTGCTCTGAAGCATGAGTGCCAAGCAGTGTTGTTCAAGCTCGGAATGGATTTCTCACTACTAAAATCATCTTTTATGTGGATTTCGTCAACCACCATCTTTTGTCACTTCAACCTGAGTTTACCACCCGCCTAGAGACGAGCACGATGGCGCAGGTCATGGCTAATGCATATTTCCAGCAGTTAGTAACCACAGAATGGTCTCATCTGGTCAAAAGGTGCTAAGGAGTTGAATTTAGAGGCTTTGTTCTCAGTTTTCAGTGCTTGCTGCGACATCCGAGGGAACATTTTGAGATTCTTCTTTTGCCCATTCCTACCCCTACTTTAGGAAGGTCTCAGCGGCAGGGTTAGATTTCCAAGGAACTTGATATCATAGCGAACTCATCCTTGATTCCCTGCTTGTACATCAGCAGTTGCGACGACAAGCCATCACCAGCTGTTTCCGCGCCTCATTCTGGATGAAAAGAGAAAGACTATGCTGAGGCCACATCTTGCACAGCCTTATTCGAAGGAGATATAAGAGCTGAGCCTATACTTTTAAGGCGTCCCCCAAAGTCAAGGCCTTGATATACAAGGGCAGTTGAGCTGCTGTTCAATCAAAGCCCTGCGGCTACTTGCCTGTGACTGGTCGATCAGGAATTCCGAGGCCGAATTCTGATCTACTGGGTGTGAATACCCCGTTCGATCTCACGTGTACAGGCACAAGCCTTGATGATGATGATGATCAAAGACGGCGTTTCTTTCAAGGTTCACCCAGCTCTTCACATGGGGACAAACATTCTCCGCTCGATGTGTGGATCCAGGGCTAGTCTGTCATGGTTTACTCCATTTGGCCTCCCGAAGCTTCCTGCTGTTGAGATTGAACTCTGGTAATGGTGGGAGAGAAGACAAATGCCTCCAGCATGGTGGACTGCTGGGGCGCACTGAGGAACCTGAGCTCTTCCTCTAACCGTCGAAAAAGGGGGCCCCTGCCAATCGGAGAGCAGGAAACAAGGCATTTGCAATATAGATTAGCAGGCGGGCTTTCGTTTTCCTCCATCCCAAGGGATCCTTGAGTGGGTTCTACGGCTGCTGGGCATATCGCCGGTTATCAACATTTATTGTATCCCAGATTTCTTGATTTCCGTTTGAAGTGCCAATGACGAGTACGTGAAGCGATCAGGTCACACATTCCAAGTCCTGAGGGCCATCAACCTTCATTGTCTCGGCTCATGCTCTTGAAAATACAGATCAAAGACTAGAGGCAACACATAACTTCCCGCCATGAGTATTTTAATATGAAAGCGTGATCTTCCGCCTGATGATACTATTTTCATTCAACCTCCACGACGACCGCCCTCTCCACAACCCAATCCAACACGCCCTGGACGGTCCACCTCCCCTCCCTGAACCTCTTCCAGACGGTATCCTCCCCGGCGACATTACCCACGGCATCCTCCAGGCCCTTGACGCCGACCATGCCTTCCTTTTCTCTCCAGACCCTCTCGGCCTCCTCGCCCGCGCTCCTGACCATGGCGTCCTCGTCCTCGGCGCGGTACAGGTCGCACCTGTCGCACTCCTGGCACTTCTGGCCGGGGATGGGGCGGAAATGTTCGCAAAAGTGCCGGTAGCCCTCGCCGCCTTCGTCGTTGGGGGCGCCGGCCTTGCCGATGTTTTTGCGGCACAGGTAGCACATGCTGTACCCGCACACGCAGGTGAGTTTGTTGCAGCCCGAGGACTTGACAAACGAGGTCCCGCAGCGCGGGCACGTCCTCTTGATGGCTGCGGTGCGGGCTGCTTCGACGGTCGTGCGGAGTGAGAGTATCAATGGTTCGTGGCACACGTGCGGGTCGTGCCATGCCTTTTGGCATTTGAGGCACGACTTCCGCATGCACGAAGGGTTCCGACATGAAAAGCGCGTGGTACTGGTTTTGACGGCTAGGTGGGCTAGCGACGTGGAGAAAAGGGTGATGAAGTAATGTGGGAAAATGAGGAAGAAGGGTAGGAGAAGGAGAATGGTTGCTGGGAGGAGTTCGAGAAGGAGGATGGATAAGATAGTGTGGATGCCTGTGGTGGGTTTGCGAACACGCCATGTAATAACAGATGTGACCGTGTCCGGATCGTAGATCTGTTCGACTTCGGCGTAGGAGCAAAAAGGGCAACGGACGAGTGGTAAAGCGGAGTGTAAAAGATTGTGCTCCGCCAGGCGGTCTTCGAACTTCCTCCAAGTTTCGACGCTGGACTTGTTGTCGGAGCGGTGGAGGGCACGTCTGAGAAGGTCCTGATGGATATGTCCGTCACAATCATCTGCGGCCAAGCATTTCAAGGTGCTGCGCCCGACATCAACGGATTTCGCCCAGCCCTGCCCGAAAAGGGCCTCATGGAGGGTATGCCGTATGCAGTCCAGACAAATAATATGGTTCGACTGAGTGCAGAATGAGGCGTCCTCGAACGTGACATCGTTATAGCAAACCTGACATTCAAAGAGGGCACCCGCTTCTTGGGCTTCCTTTAGATTGAGGGCTTGAGCGAGTTCCAGGTCGGAGACTTGTTGATCTCTTGGTCTTCGAGACGACTGCGCGGGTAAGGAGAACAGCCGGGATAACTCGTTGTCCAGGTCGCGAGACCCTGTTGCGACCAACCCTGGTCCTCCGGGATCCGTCTTTGTCCTGTCTAGCAGGATCGATGGAGGATCGGCCTGAGATCGCTTCTTCTTGAGGAGGTTTGCAAACGTCGCTTTCCACGACCTGCTTGTCAACTGTTGGAGGGTTGGCCTCGCGCCCGTGTATGAGAAGTTGACTTCGGCGAGGACAGCATCGATGGCACTCTTGCCCAACGCACTGAATTCGCGTCCAACCGTCCGTCTCACGGCATCCTTGTATTCCTTTGTCCTGAAAAGTTCGTCGGGCGGGAGTGGCTCGTCCAAACTCCTCGGCGGGACATTCAATCGGCCTTTAGCCCATTCTGCCTTGTACTTGTAGAGTTGCTCCGTGGCTATCGGAAGTCTGCTGTCGCCATCAAACCGGACGAGCAGTTCACGGAGGACTTCGACCTTGACGTCCGGGAAGAAGTCGGCGAGCACCAGCAGGTCCTTGTTCAAGGGCACCGAGGGATCTTCATCGTCTTCGTGACTGTCGGCAGCGGGCAGGGACTCCTTGGAGCCTGCTCGGAAGGGATTCTTTCTCAGAACTTCGGCGAGGGCGGAGCTGGGAGACGTTTGTCGGGAAGGGGGAGGAGTCGATGAGGAGGAGGTCGGCGCACGGTGACGGGATGACGAGGAGGATTTGGAGTTAGCGGAGCGTTTGGATGCGCCCGAGTAAAGCCACATCACACCGACTGCTGCGGGTCGATTTGAACATGGTGGTGCTTAAGTAGACATCGACGGAGGGACGAGCGAGGACACAGCATTATCCTTTGGACCTTTTTCAGGTTCTTCCAGGCGCAGTGCCACTCCCTGCGTGCTGCCTAGGCATGAGTAAGTTGTTCGCTGAGAGAAATAATGATAACGGATGAGCGACATGGGTGTCTAGTTCCCCTAGAGGCGGGCCTCACCAGGCTCCGAGCGACCTTATTCCACTTGTGGGCTGGCCTAAGGTAGTCACTTTCCGCCACGCCATGTACTCAGCCGAGCGTATCCCGTATCTTTTCGTAAATGTTCTGATTCCTCAGCTACATATACATTATTCGAAAGCAGTACAACAGAGAAAGGAGTCGATTGATGAGACACAATGATGGTCAACTCCAGCCATGTGGTATGGAGGGGAATGCTTCGAGCTGCTTGAATTTTTGCGAAATGATTGATCTCTCCCACACGCTGGCGGTGAAGTCTGGTATACCGTATATCGTATTGAATGGATTGTTTCTCGTCCGCACATTCACGACTTTGCTCGGGCTCTATTTTCAAGTTTCTCACGCCTCGAATTGGTGGACAAGGCATGCAGGGTGGTTTCCCCAGGCTGGGTTGAGCACATTCATACCTGCGTGATATTCTACATGCCTTGGATACTCACTCGCTCACCTCAACTTATCGCCCATTCGACCCTAGAGCCCAAAAAGATGGGACAATCCTACTAAACCAGAGTAGCTTTTCCTGATAATGTCTATCCCAGTGTAATCGTTCCATAGAGGAAAGCAAAAAAGGGCTCAATCGGGATTCGAACCCGAGGCCTGTCACATTTCATGGCTTTTTCAACCAGAGGCCAAACAACCCGCCCGAAGCGACAATCATACCACTAGACCATTGAGCCGTAAAATCTCATAGAGAGAATTTGTGTCTGATTTGGAGCACACAAATCGCTTATTTCTAGGCTACTACAATATATGAAGTTTGTTTGATTTGCCGAGGTACTTGGGGCACTTTCGAGTATCAACTCCACGCTCGCGGTCTCCAGTCAGGCCCCATAAGCAGTCATGGGCAAGTCGATCGAGGTGCTCCATCGCCGGCCTTTCTCGGAACTCCACTTGGGCATTAACAGTCCTCAATGCACGGATGAATGAATTGAAATTCTCTAATGCAGAACGTCTAAACCCATGTTGTCAAGTTCCTCAGATTATGCTACCTGAATCCAGCCAGACATGTGTTTGCTACATAATCTACAATTTGGGCTTGGGAGAGCCCAAGAGCTCGGCTCCAGCACCGGCAATGCATAGCTTGCCGGTCTCCTTGACCTTGGTCTGGAAGATAACCTTGTTACCCTCCTTCCACATCTCAGTCACCAGAGTCTGGCCTGGAATCACGGTACCAGCAAAGCGAACTTTGATGTTCTTGAAAGGGCCGTATGTCTCGAAAATGTGTTTGCCACTGAAACCCATGAAGCAGAGACCGTGCAGGATAGGCTCCTTGAAGCCGCCGACTTTGCTGAATTCAGGATCAATGTGAAGGGGATTCCGGTCGCCGTTCAATCTGTACAAGGCAGCCTGATCTTCAGAAGTCTTCTCCTCCACAACGGCGTCAGGAGTTCGCTTGGGGGGCTGGTAGACAGTCGTGGCGTTGCCGCGGTTGGCTCCCTTCTTGGGTCCTCCAAAGCCACCGGATCCTCGGATGAATACAGTGGACTCATTGTAAAAGACATCCTCTCCAGTCTTTGCATCCTTGGTGGTGGTCCCAGTCACGACAATACCAGCGTTGCCCTTGTCGACGACTTCTACCAGTCGAGGGTACGATATCAGTTTAGCGGCAGTTGGGATAGGGAATTTTCGGATCTCCAAGTATTGTTCGCCATGTAGTAACATCATAGGTGAGAAGTTGGGAACAACTTCGTCCATTGAGAAAGGTGCAACAGCACTGAAGAAGGGAATAACTCCAAAAGTCGGCAAAACCTGGAAGTTGTCATCGTTTTCGTAAACCAAGGGCAGTTGTGTTCTCTTTGCGTTGAGAGACAAGTTGTAAAGGATCACATCCTTGTCGTCATAGACGAATTCAGTGCCACTGGCTTGTGCTTTCTTAGCCTTTTCGATTGCTGCCAAGTAGTCTGTACCGGACTCTGATTCCTCTGATTTATTGCTTCTGTTCTCCATGTTGGCCATAATAGACTTGAGACCATCCTGACCGCTCTCAGGATGATCAGCTCGGCCATCATCGAAATTGGTGATCGGGTCCCATTTCTCGAGAACGTGCTCGGGGGTCAACTTAACGTCGACTGGGAATCCGTAACCACCGCTTCTTTGCCATCGTGTCCGTCCTTGCCAGCCACTACCGACTTCAAAAAGAAGGCCTGTTGGTGGTTCTGGGACCTTGTCTGAGCATAGCGCGAGCACAAGAGGAGCAACATATTCGGGCTTGAAGAGTTGCACCAATTCCTCGGGCAAGATACTTCGGGTCATCTGGGTACCGGCATTAGGGGCAATGGTGTTGACAAAGATGTTGTTCTTCCGGCCTTCTAACGCGAGAGCTCGAGAGAATCCGAGTATACCAAGTTTCTGCTCAGATTAGCAGACGTCCAGAGTACAATCTGAGAAACTTACCGCGGCAGCGTAGTTAGCTTGACCAAAGTTGCCATAGATACCACTCGTACTGGTCGTGTTCACAATTCGGCCATACTTCTGCTTGACCATATATGGATATGCTGCCTTGGTCACCTTGTAGGTGCCACGAAGATGGATGTTGATGATGTCATCCCATTGCTTGTCTTCCATATTGGCGAAGGCCTTGTCTCTGAGGATACCAGCGTTGTTGATCAAGATATCGATTCTACCGAACGCGTCGATAGCTGATTTGACAACGGCATCACCGTCCTCAACCGAAGCTTTGTTGCCGACGGCCTTGCCGCCAAGCTTTTGGATCTCTTGCACAACAGTGTCTGGGTTCATCAGGTCATTGACAACGACAGAAGCGCCGCGCTTAGCGAAAGCAAGACAGTAGCCCCGGCCGAGCCTGAACATGTTAGCTAAAGGTCAGCTGCGGAGAACATCAGGGAGAACATACCCAGCACCGCCGCCGGTCACCAGGACGACTTTGCCATCGAACCGAATGTCCTCGCCTTGCTCATTAGGTGGTAGCTTCACTGACTCTTCAGCCTTGCTCACGAAGTCGGCGACACCATTAGGATACTCCGGTTCGGAGAAATCGCTGACTTGATCCCACTTTTTCAGGATGGCGCCGGGGGTGTAGGTGTCGTCAGCTTTGAGCAACAGGCCCTTCGCACGTTCCCATCTCAATTTCGCGATGTGACCGCCACCAACTTCGAAAATCGAGCCGCTCGTATGGGTGTTGGACGGATGGACCAGGACAGCAACCAGAGGAACAACCCAATCCGGCTTGAGATTGGCAAGCACATCAGGAGGCATGACGGTCTCGGTCATCCGACTGGCGGCAATGGGAGCAATAACATTGCAGATAATGTTATATTTAGCTCCTTCTTTGGCCAAGGTCTCGGTGAAGCCGACTTGAGCCAGTTTCGCTGCGGAGTAGTTGCACTGACCGAAACTGCCAAACAGACCGGCAGCAGAAGCAGTGTTGATGACTCGGCCGTACTTCTGTTTCCTGAAATATGGCCATGCAGCTCTTGCACATTTGTATGCGCCCTTGACGTGGACGGTGTTGATCAGATCCCAATCCGAATCCTTCATGTTCTTGAAGCTGACGTCGCGGAGGATACCGGCATTGTTAAGGAGGACGTCAACACGGCCAAAGGCATCGATGGCGGTTTTGATGATCTTATCGCCATGCTCGACGCTGTCGTAGTTGGCAACTGCTTTACCGCCGGCAGCTTTGATCTCGTCGACAACGACGTCCGCGGCCTGGTACGAGTGTCAGAAGATTGGGAAGACCTGGCGGAGCATGTGATAATTTCAGACTGACCTTTGTGCCGGCACCCTCGCCCTTGAAGGAACCGCCCAAGTCGTTGACAACGACGTTGGCACCCCTCGAGGCAAAGAAGAGGGCATATGCTCTTCCGAGACCACCACCAGCACCAGTGACCACCACGGTCTGGTTGTCGAAACGCAATTCTTGCACCATTGTCACCTGGTCAACTGTTCAACTGGCTCTCATGCGAATTACGGAGGGTATTCTGGCTCGACGTCACACGGGAGAGGAAGAGAGAGGAAGGAGAGAGGCCGTCTTTGAGGAACCCTGCGCCGATATAAGAACTGCGGCCGTAACAGGGGGATGCCAAAGAAGAAGCCGAAGGATGATGCCGACGAGGAATGGAAGGGGAGGGAGTACTGGTCAAGCCAAAACACAGAGCCAGCTTCCGAGTGCTGCGAGAATGTCATGAAGGGTGGCTATTGGGCGGGCCTCGGCGTCATGCAGTTGTCGTCAGTCGAAAAAGCTGCCGAGGCATCTGGTCACATGTTGACTGCGGGTCCCAGCCCCACGACCAACGCCCGACGGTCGGCGTCGTTGCTTCGCAGCAGTTGAGTGGCATTGGCAGGCTGGCAGCGTCCCATCGGTCAGCGAAACTTGCTCCGAATCCCGCCCATTCTTCGCCTCCACATCTTGGCCATCATGGTCAACTTGGTCTGTTCGGCATGTGAAATCAAGGCGCGGATCTCGACCATCCTGCTCCCGTCAGTGTGGCCAGGCCAACAACAGATCGACAGCTTGCATGAGTCAAAAGAATAATTCAACACCACACATCCAATTGACACCAGCATCGAAGATATCTTCTATACGAAGAACATCATCCGTCCAAACATACGGGCTGTGCCCGCCCGGTCTATCCTCCTCGAAATCCCATTCAGATCGGAGTCGTGCCCGTTTGTCGGAACGGGTAATCTTCTAGCCGCCGCGCATCTCTCAATACTAGAGCATTAGCAAACAATTTCAATGGAAAAAGCGATCATGTTCCTTTCATTTTCATTGTCCTGAGACTACTTCCACAATTTTGCGTGGACAATCAGGGAGAACAAGATGCCCGAAATTCGCGACGACAAGGCCCAATACGTCGTGCCCTTCATTCTCTCGCTGCTTGCGGAACATCAAAAGGCATGTTCGACATCTCCAAATCCACCACCTTTCTTCATCGGCCTGAACGGCGTCCAAGGCGCCGGGAAGACGGTCCTGGTGGACATACTAAAGACCACCTTGTCGTCACCACCACATAATCTTCCCGTAGTGGTCTTCTCCCTCGACGACCTCTACCTGACGCACGCAGATCAAGTGGCACTAGCACAGTCACATCCAGATAATCCCTTATTGCAACACAGAGGACAGCCTTCGACGCATGACATTCCCCTTGCGCTCGCGGTGTTCGCCAGTCTCAAGCAGAACAAACCCACTAAAATCCCGCAGTACAACAAAGCTGCCTTCTCGGGCCAGGGAGATCGCGTGCCCGAGAGCGAGTGGGAAGAGGTCAACACCGACCCGACGAGGCCCGTGCGTGTGGTCTTGTTTGAAGGATGGTGTGTGGGATTCCGCCCACTGGTCCGGGAAGTATTGCAATCAAAGCATGCGGCCGCCGTCACGTCCCTGAAGAACTCCTCAGCCGAAACTCCGTACAAGGGCCGCTTGGGACACAACACTCTGAAATCCATCACGACCATCAACGAAGCTCTTAAAAGTTATGACGAAATAACCACCCAGCTCGACGCATTCATCCACATCGACGCCCTTGACCCCCAGTATGTGTACAAGTGGCGCCTGGAGCAGGAAGCCGGCCTCCGCGCGGCGAGAGGGAGCGGCATGACGGACGAACAGGTCACGCATTTTGTAGACGGCTACTACCCTGCGTACGAGCTGTACACGGACACGTTGAGGCAGGGGGTCTTCAAAGGCATCAAAGACGACTGGCAGGGCAAGCAGTTGCGCTTGGTCGTCGGGGAGGATCGCAAGGTGAAGGAGGTGGTGAAGATATGAAATTGCAAATCACCTCTCTGAAGAGGCTTCGTTCGCGCTGAAGAAAAACAAAATTGCTTCGGTAATGTACTGCAAATCCAAGGCCAGCTTCCAGGTACGATGGAAATTATTAGACTTTCACGCCTTGGGAGAGGTATCTCGCAACGACGAGGTCTTGGTACTGCGATATAGCCGGGGTGGAAATATCCCACTTGCTTGTCATTTGGTGGGCGGCTGTCGTATTAGGAGTTCCCGTTGCTCCCAACGGGCCTTCGGCGCCTGCATCTTTCTGACCAGATAAACGATATTGCCAGCTCTCGAGACAGAATACTCTGCATTATATTACTTGTGGCACGGAATTTCTCGTTTGGCTATTTCGAGCTGGAACTTGTTACATCGAAGACAGGGAATCACAAGACACCAGAGAAAGGCCCTCAAGTGTGCAGGCATGCGCTCCTGGAAGCAATTTTAGATGTGGGACGAGGGGTAGGACAGATTCTCTGCTGCTGGCTAAAGGTGAGGAACCGATGTGAACCAATGCAAGAACAAAAGCGGAAGACGAGAAGTAGTGCAAACCCCTGTTTCGTTGGTGGCTGGTCTGCTTCTAGAGCTGGAATCGCTGGCGCGACTTGCTTCCGGGTTCAATGAGAAGAAGGGATCAACGAAAAGCAAGACTGAAATCAAGCATCCTGCCTTGGATGTGGCTCCCTGGCAACCCGCCAATCTGTTGCCGTTTGAGGGGCGATTCCACCGATCCTTGCTCTTTCGCACAGTTACATACAAATCGATGCACTCAAACATGTGATTGATCAAATTCGATTCGCTTTTAATGCAACCACCTTCCAAGAATGTCCTAAGCCCGAGAGGACGCTTCACGCTTCAAGAGCCGTGTTTATCTCGAGTATGAAGTCGTAGTTCGTGGGATAAACATCTCATGCCATCTTGTTGTTGATTGCCACGAGGTGGACGTCGCTGATGTATCATGTCAGTGAGTCTGTCTTCAAATCAAGGTATCCTACACTTCACAACAGAACATCGTCATACAGCGCAGACGGTGGAACAAGGTAAACATAGACTCACAAGATGAGGGTGGCGTTTCTCGGAATGAGACCAGGGAAACCACTATATACCACACACAACAATCAGCACACGGAAACCGAGAAGACGGGAACATTTCGGACGAGTTTGTCGAAGATATGAAGCAACCCCCAGTCAAATTTTGAGTGAATGGTGGCTTTCTTTCCACTCTGAACATGACACAACGATGGACTCGTCAAGTCTCGAGTGGTCGTTGGCTCGATACAAGCAAAAGGGTCCGCCTTGCAGGGAAAAGGGAGGGTTAATCGGTTACTGACCGCTCGCCGTACGCCATATTTCTGGATGAATGTCAGCTCATCAAGCTCATCTGTGACTCGGACCATGACCCAAGCCTAGCCGCCGGGGCTGTCAACACTAAATGATCGAGCCAGCCCCGTCGAAATCCATCCCACAGAGTATGATATCTCTGGAGGGTTTCCACGGCTAGAGCAGGGATGAAGGGACAAAAAGAGAGTCCCCAAAATCTCGAAAGAACTCACCCTGGAATTATCAATCTGCTCTTCTCGCCCAACGACATTTGCGGCACGCCGTGATCCCAACCTGCAGGGACCCGTGTTAAGAGGGCGGCAGGAAGTTTAATTGAAGCTGTAATCCATACCTTGAATGACTCTGCCAATCCCAATCTGGATCTTAAAGGGCCCTCGGCCGACCGAGCTGTCGAACCTGATGAACAGGTTAGAAGAAGTGTTCTGGAAACCAGAGGGTCACTCGTGACCGGGAGGACTTACTGGTTGCCCTTGAAGTCTTGGTGGGGTTTGGAAGCATCGTACAGCCAGCCAGTGTATTCGATACTGACCTCATCACCTTGTCTCGGATAGTCGATCCTATTCCCTTCCGAGAGGAGCAGCTTGTGGAATTGTGACGCCATGACTGTTGTCGAACTTGAGAGTCGAGAGGTTTTTTCCTGATGGTCGCAGTGGCTAAGGGCGCTAGAGGAGTTCCGCGGAGAGGTTGCAAGAGACAGGCGCTCAGAAAGTTTGGGAGAAAGTGAAGAGAGGTCAGGCCTCAATATATTGGCAGTGGGACGCGGTTGAATAGCAGGGAGGTACCATGGACAATAAGGAAAACGGTGGGGAAGAAGGGGCAATGGGTGTGGGCCATTGGATGAAGTCACTCTCTCACTTTGTGATAGCAGGAATTTGAATTACGAGCCTGATGAAGGGGAGGCACTTGGCAGGAACGCGACCAGGGCTTTGGTGCAAGAGCAAGAGCGAGTGAAAACCGCTGATTACTCCTAGCCTCTGACGAGGGCGATGGTGGAGGTGGTGGTGCGCAATGACTGGACACTATTGGGGTCATGGAAGGGAGCGAAGTAGCACAAGCGGCAGGATCAAGGGGGAGAGGCCTTTACAGCAGCACCATCGGTAAAATCTGCGCGAGCGACAGTCCGGCCGAAGCAGTCCATCATGATGCTACAGCGACGACCAGAAAAACCCAGACAGAGGTATCCTTGTATTCTTGGTTGAGTTGGCACGTGTAGAGTGACAGACGCCGGCTAGGAATTGACTTCCCGAATAGACTCAAGCTCAGGTAGCACGACGACGACAGTGGACACACACCCGGATTTCGAGGGGGCTGAGCAGCATAGACGGGAAAGGACTCAAAGGAGCCACAAGTCGAGGACAGTTTGGTGAGAGATCCGAAGTTTGAACAAGTCGTCGGGGGACAGGGATGAGGGGCACTAAGCAAGCAGGGCTGCTGGGACACAGGAAACCAATCCATGCAGGGCGGGAACCGCGGGGGGGAGAAAGAGGGCAGGATCGATTGCGCTGAAAACTTCGATAGGAGTAGTTACAAAAGGAATTCTTCGGCAGGGATCGGATAAGAGAAAAGTGACTCACTTCCTACATGCTTCGGACCTGCAGGGTCAATCAGCGATGAACTCTACGCAGACAGGAAAAAGGAAAAAAAAGGAAAAAGCGAAAAAATGGAAGGGGAAAAAAGGGAACGGTCCAAAGCAAAGGTACAACAAGGACCCGATCTTCTGGAGAGAAGGAGAGAAAAAAATTAAAAGTAGCGGAACAGACGAAGAGGCGCTGGAAAGACGGCGAGACGGGAACAACACTGCCAGAAGGTTAATTAATTGCCAGAAACGCTATTAATCGTAGGTCGGTACCGTCTGAGCGGAAACCCGGCAAAGAGGTACCTAGGTCCTGGGTAGGTACCAAAGTTCTGGTCAAGTAGCTCGGTAGAGGGGGGTCTTCCGTACCTACTACCCTGAGAGTCGTTACCCTTGGAAAGGGCTGATTTTCACTTTCCACTTTCAAGTTCATCTCACTTTCACCTCGCTTCACATCTCACCGTCAATGCGCTCTTTTGCCCCCTCGCCCCTCCCCCCTCCCCCCACCCATGACGCCCCCCTGGGTGCCTTGGTATGGTCCAAGGGCAACACCTTCCGTTTATCACTCAACCACTGGTTGCATGACGTGATCGCCAACAGAGCACTACTAGTCCTGATACCTACTGCGGAACCCTGGTCTTTTGCCCGTCTTTGCCCATCTTTGCCCATCTTTGCACATCAGTTTCTACCTCGATTTCTCTCATCAAGCCTATTCTATTCCCCTAATCAGGAAAGTAGTACGAGGGACCAGTGACCAGTGACCAGTGACTAGTGACCTCCTGCGTCACCCCGTCGCACGGTGCTTTGCCGCGCTGCTCAGCAGATCAAGCGGGGATCCCATTGACGCCGTGCCTCCGCTCTCACTTGCTTCTGGTGCGTGCGGCATACCTAGGCAAGCTAAGGTACCGAGCGCAGGATACCGAGCGCAGGATACCGGGCCCGCTAACTGCCTGACTGCAGCATCTGGTTCTTGCTGATCCTCTCCCCGAACTTCCAGAAAGGCTTGTCGGGAGAAGTACCCATTTTTTCGACGAGTGCTCGTCCTCTTCCAATCGTCGCCGCCGAAATGGAATTTTTGACTCACCGCTTGATAGTGTTCTTCCAATCGCAGACTGCTGCCCGACCTGCCGCGCTGCCTCTTCATCAGCGTCCTGATCAAACCAGTTTGCGCGGCGGCGATCACTACCTCCCCCATCAGAGATGGGCACCAGCCTTACCGAGATCTTGAGCCAGGGAAAGCAGCCATCCAATGCGAATCTGACACATATCGATCCCGACTGCATCTCAAGATTCGTGGCCAAGTCGACCATCGAAAATCGAGATATCCTCCCTTGAACCTCGTATATGCGCACCGGCACCTCCATCTCTGCCGTGTGTAATGTATACCTAGTCGGGCATCACGAGTACAAATGACAGTTCGTTGGGGGTCATCCCAGCTCGTTGGGCTCACTGCCGCGTTTTCATTCGACCCTTTGGTCAATTAATGCAGCTTAACTACAGTTCGTCGGGTCGAACCATTCTTTTCGCGGCAATTGGCGGCGCACGAGCATCCCGATGTACCTAGTAACTCGACTCACATGACGAAGACTGGTCTCGGGGACTCCCCCTTGGGTCCACCCCCAGGAGTCGGCTCGTCGGCTTATCCCCGTGGGCAAATATGCGTCTTTTCCTTCGCTTGAATACAAACCATCGTGTACCAGCTCGACATTTGCTGCATCTGCGCTGCCCTCTGGACCGCGGTTGATCTCCGAATATGGTCGTATGCACACGCCGACATGGAGAAACCACATCAGACAAATGTTTGTTTTTGCCGATAATATTTCAGCCAGGTTTCAACCTTATGTACCGGTTACCTCCGTTGGAGAGCTGTAGTGGCGGCGCCCCAGACAACCCATCATGCCACGGCCCAGAACGTTGTATCGAGTTTGCGTGATTGCCAGTGCGCAATCTGGAGTATCGGCCCGAGTCCTATTCTCCATCACAGTGTCTTCCTGGGGCTGGACTGTGTTGCGCCGTGACTTCCCAGAAGTATCTCCTGGCCAGACCGCGGAACACGTGTACAACAACTATTTGGAAGTATGTGAAAGGTTCCAGGCCGGTCTAGACACCCATGCCATGCCAGTGAGCAGCTGTTATCACGTAGTCCTGTTGTTCACTGACCCCAAAACCGGTGTTCTCGGAGCTCCTTTAGGCCGATTTGCTCGGTATACAAGGTCGGAAAGTGATGGTCGTGGACAGGGCTTGGTTGTGCCGCACCGGCTTCACGTTCACGGTGGCTCAGAAAGGTTACAGACTTGATCCCGACCTTTTCCAGAAGTTCCAAGACACGTGGGTAGCTATGAGCGACCTGGTCGACGCCGTGACTGTCATCAGACAAGCAAAAGCGAATGCCCCTCTCCAGCGCGGCCTCGCAAATCTCTGCCTTTGGGTAAGGCTCATCCATGCCCTTCCTCACCGCCGCCGAGTTGATTTCCAGGATTCCCCCGTACTCGGCAACGCAATCCAGGTTCCTTGATATGCGTGCCCAGACTCCCCTCATGGGCTTGAAACTCTGGTTAGGGTCATCGCTCTTCAGCCGAATGAGATCAAAATGCCCGACCACGGGCGGCCTCAGGGTCTGCAGCATGGCGAATTGGGCGTCGAAGTAGTCCTCAAAGATCCTCTCGTCCGTGCCGCCGGCCTTGGAGCGCGCCTCCTTGTACATGGCGTGGTCGTAGTCGATGGGGATTGTGTGGACGTGGTGCACCGAGCCGATAAAGAAGTCGTACGGGTGCGTCTCCAGGCTCCGCTTGATCAGGTCTTCGGATTCCGGTCGGATCCACTCGCCTTCAAACCCCAGGGGGAGGCCTATCCTGTCCTTGTATTTCTGCCGCAGTCGCAGAGCCTCGGCGACATAGGCCGCTTCGTTGGCATAGTGCATCTCGAGCGTGGCCGTCTCCCCCGGGTACCGGTCCTGCTCGTGCCGGGGCATGTGCTCGGTCAGCGCGAAGACGGCCATGCCTTTGGCCATGGCTGTTTGGATCACGTCGTCGAGAGAGTCGCGGGCGTGATCGGCGCAGAACTGGCCCGAGTGGGAGTGATGTGAGAACGGCATCTGAGATCGCCCTCGACACTCAGATTTTGAGATAGACTTCGTAGCTGCGAGCCCGACCGGCAGAAATTTCTCGGTTCCTTATTGATGATCTCCCTACCGACCCTGGTGGTCTTGAATGGTGTTTGATCGATCGTTGGACTCGATATAATATTTGAAAGAGTGACTGACCCGTCCCGCCGTCTCCCTGCTGTACAGAAGTTCACTAGAACCCCGAAGTTCATCCGAACGGTCTCAGATACCTCCCCTTTTTTTTCCGTATCTCGTACTTCGTTCTTCGTTAAGGCACGAACCTCTCTCCCTCCCCCTCTCGGCCCAGTTCATGCCAAAAAAAAAGAAGAAACATCTTTCCACAAACGATCCAAAAAGAATGCGAGGAACATGGGACTCGAACCCACAACCTTGGCTTTTTTCCAGCACCTTTTACAGGTTTCAAGGGATATTAGGTATAGGAGAGCCACGCGCTACCATTGCGCCAATCCCCCTCGCGGTCTGGGACCAAATAAAATCTGTGTTTGGATTTGGCAAAATTCCACGAACCTTTTTCGAGGGTCGAAGATATATAGTATCGATATTCTGCACGTGATAGGCACCGCTTGTCCGGGGCTTGATAGAGTCTCCCAGGGATCGCCCCGCCTTTTCCGTGGATACGCGTGTGTCTGCAATATTTTTTGTTTAACTGGGCACGCTGCACGGGTGGAACGGGTGGTGAAGACAGACGAAAGGAATGAAGAAGACTTTCCCGTATATGACAATATACTCCGTGGCTCGTAACCTGTTTCGAGTGGTTGGAGTCGACCAGCTGTGATAGACGCAAACGGGGGACTCGGGGATGATGGCTGCTGCAATGGCAGGGGTATCTACCAGGAATATATCTCTAAATACCTATATATCTACGTAGCTGTGGTTCCGTTGCCAGCTTCTCTTCCAGCAATTTGGTAACGTGATATCGCGATATTCACCGGAGGATCCGACGGGAGACCAGAGACGAGCAAGAAAGCAGTGTACAGAAGAAGCATATCAGGGGCTGAGAAAGAAAAGGAGACCGTGCCCGAAAACCAGACCACAATCATTCTTTCATTTTTCCATCTCATTTCTTTCCTTCCAAGGCCTATATACACCATGTCTACATATCCTTCCTTTTCGGTCATGCACTTTTCAAATCCAAATGTCGCCAGATGTTGGACGAACGGAATGGTAACATGAAAACACGCCCAGTGTTAATTCAAGTTTTGCCTTTTGTTGCCTCGCGAGAAGCCTTTCTTCCTCACTTCTTTTATATGTTCCTCGCTCCATAGGATCAGGAGCTTTTGCCATTCCTGGGAGCAAGCGGATGGTGCTTTTGAAGGCAATGATTCCCGCTTCGACCTCAAGAACTAAAATGCCTAGTTCTCGTCAAGGTTCATTGACTCCCGCAGCTTCTGCAGCCAAATGCTCGCCCTCTTTGGGATGTTCGTCCCCGATCGTGGCATTCTTCGCATAGATTCCGTCAAGCGTGACGTTCATCGCGCCTGACTGCACCAGTGCACTTCGCAAGTCATCCAAAAGATCCTCCCCATCTTCAATCCCTACACACAAGCGGATCAAATCTTCAGGCACCCCGCGCTCTTTGCGGGTCTTGGCATCGATGCTGGCGTGGCTCATGCGGCACGGCATGCTGATGAGAGAGTTGACGCAACCGAAACTCACACTGATGGCCCATAGTTTCGCAGATTCGACAATCCGCTCAGACAGCTGGATGTCTCCAGTCTCGAACGACAAGACCGCGCCGGGTCCCCGAGCCATGGAGTGGAAGAGATCATACTGAGGATGGCTCTTGAGACCAGGGTAGCGGACTTTGAAGCCCGCGGACTCAAGGAACTGGGCAATCATCATGGCATTTGCTTGCTGTGCGTCCATGCGGACTTTCAACGTCTTGATCCCACGCATGAGGAGCCAGCAGTCAAACGGAGCGAGGCCGCAACCGGAGGCGTTGATAGTGAAGTAAAATTTCTCCCCTAGTGCCTCGTCGTTGACGGCCAGAACGCCAGCCATCAAGTCGTGGTGGCCGGACAGATACTTGGTGCCAGATTCATAGACAACATCTGCGCCAAGTTCCAGAGGGTTCTGGAGCAAGGGCGACAGCATGGTGTTATCCACAATCACAAGAGATGATGGATTGGCGGTGTGGGCGTAACTTGCGATGGTGGGGATGTCCACAATCTTGATCAGAGGATTTGTAGGTGTCTCAAGCAGGACCATGGCCGTCTTCTCATTCAGCACCTCCTTCACCTTTTCAGGTGTGGTTGTATCGACGTGATGGACGATGATGCCGCCGTGTGTGGATAGATACTTGAGCAATCTGTTCGTTCCTCCGTATAGGTCGTCGCCCGTCACCACTTCATCACCTGGCTTCAATTGCCGGGTAATCACATCAAGTGCACCCATGCCAGAAGAGACGACAAGAGCCCGTTTGGCGCGCATAATCTTTGCAAGGTGTTTTTCTAAGTGGGTGCGGGTCGGATTGCCGCTGCGTGTATAGTCGTAATCCGAGGCACCCCCAGTAGCAGAGGTCTGTTTGAAGGTGGCAGACTGTGCAAAGTTAGCGAGCTCGCTCTTGGACTTCACTCATCACTACTGATCACGACTGACCTGGTATATGGGAACGCTGCTTGCATTGTACTGGTCGTTTCCCTCCGAATAAACCAATTGTGTCGCAATAGCATATTGCCGGCCACTTCTCGGGCTGGACGGGGCAGGTGAGGGTGGCAGATCATGTCCGTCCAGATCTACTTGTGAGAAAGCTTTGCTCATCGCGCTGAGCTTGGGGTTCTTCAGCGGCGGTGTAGAAGAAGACCCTGACTCAGACATGTTGGCGACGGTCGAAGGGTGGCGGAGGTACAAGCTCGACGACTTGTAGAGTACTGATCAATATGCTCAAGGACATATGAGGGTAAAGCAGGGTGTTTACTTGTCACAGCTGATGGCGACTCAATCAAGCTGTCACACTACTGAGTAGCAAGACAAACGACGAGAAAGGCGCAGAGAAGTTGTTTGGGTAGTAGGTAGTGCGCATGTACCGAAGGTGGAGCAATGTTCGCAGTTTGCCGGGCACAAAAGGCGACACCGGAGAAGGGCAAATGACGTGCTCGGAATTATCTGGGGGAATGTTCTTCCTGACGGTCCAGGCGCGGGACTGTCATACCAACCTGGAAGCCAACCGTCAGCCTAGTCCCAAATAGATACCCCTCGTATATACCTAGGTATTGGTCTAAGAAGAATAAGACTGAATTCCTACGCTCTACCTCCCATTAACTTAATGTTTGGGTCGTAACTTGTCTACGACTACTATATATTCGGTTTGCTCTCCGTTCAGACTCGCTTATTCTAATCATGGGGAATAATAACTCCAATGCCTTGATCAAGCCTTTGAAGATATAGCAAAAGGTAAAATTCGCCTCTGTAACCTAAACAGTCTCCTATCACTTGTAATAGTCTTAGAGCAAAGGTTGATTAGCCGAGGTCGATGTCCGTATGCATTTCGTTCCCGCTGGCCCCCAATGTTTAAGTAGATGCTTTCCTGTTATTTATTCCAACGACGCTCGACCCTGAGACAAGAGGTGGTGGTGCGGGACCAGTATTTCCTCGCCGGCATCCTGCCTTTTGCCCCTGTATCGGTTCGAGTCGACGAAACATCGATAATCACAGCCAATGCAGGTTACGCTTCACTGGGAAAGATGGCGTCCCTGCGCGCTCGGCGAGCGTGTCTGAGGTGCCGGCGACAGAAGCTAAAGGTACGTTCACTACTGATGATCCACGTGTTTGTTATCCCACCCAGATGCTGTCAAACGATCCGAGATTAATGTGTCGTAGTGTGATAATGAGCGACCCTGCACACTGTGTACGCGATCTCATGCAATTTGTGAAGAGGTTCCTCGGGCTGTCAGGTAAACAGGCCTTGATAAGGCTTTGAACGAGCGCAGCGATTTGATATTGAATGCAGGAAACGTGGGACCAAGTCAAACAACGCAACATCGCTGAGTGGCGCCGCCGCGCCAGGAGTAACGCATACAAGCTTGACAGAAGAGCCTCATTCGGCAACAAGTGATCTTTGCCCCTCGGAAGGGATTTCCTTACCTAGGGGGCAGTACAGAGAAACAGGTCCACCGGATGAGGAACCGGAAATCATTCAAGATAGGCCCTCGACATACGGACTAGTCGATCGAGTCAGTCGCAAAGTCCCTCTTTATGGGCGATTATATACTGACTGTAGGAACAGCTCTTACATACCTACGACGAGTCACCAGCGGCCTCTTTGAGTGAGGCAGACGCAATTCCCGATGGCACGCCGGGCAAAGTGAGATCTCTGCCTGCTAATGCTGAAGGGTCTGAACGAGTATCAATCCTGATAGGGTGCGATCTGCCGCCGCCAGCGGTGACCTGGATGCTATTCGACGTCTTTATCGACTCGGTTCACTGGTTCATGATGATTTTTCACGAGCCTTCACTCAGAGCCGACTTGGAGAAGGTCCTGCGGACTGGCCGAGCCAAGGCCTGTCAGAAATCGATGTTATACTTGATCATAGCAGTCCTGGCTATCGGAGCGAGATACGCTGAGAGGAAAGACGTGCATGCCAACGAAACCGACGCCGACACCGACGCCGACCTGTCGGACTTACAGTCGCGATTCTTGAAAGTTTTCGATGACAGGCTCATGGATCTAATGGATCAGACAGACATTGGCATGGTGCAGACGTGCATTCTTCTGAGCTCGCTCTACTATTATCATCGCCAACCGAGGCGGAGTTTTATGATCAGCGGTGCAGCCACCAAGGGTGCGCAAGCCATGCGTCTCCACAAAGAGTCCGCCTGGGGGGATCTAGATCCAATCGAGAGGGAGGTGAGGCGACGGGTGTGGTGGGCATTGTTCGTCAGTGAAGGGTACGTTGACCTCTTCCTAATGGCAGAGGCACTGGATCTTGTTGAACACTGGCAGATTCACGGCGATGACTTTCGGGAGCACTTGCAACCTGCAAGATGGAGACTGTCAGGTCAAGATGCCGGGGAATATTGACGACAATTGTGCCACGTGCCCCGGGTTCGACTCGGTCGAGCTCCTTGAGGACGGGACTCATGAGCGAGTCACGACGTTCACATACCAGCGACTCAAGTTCAAGCTCTACCGCATCGCATCACCTATCACCCGAGACCTATACTCCAAAGGAAACTCATCGACACGAGAGATTGTCGATCGGGTACAAGAGATCAACCGATCTTTACTCATCTGGAAACAAGATGTTCCGCCTGAAATGCAACCCAGCTCGTTCTCTGGTCTGGCCGATGAGACGAGGAAGAACCCCGTCCTCAAACTCTTCCACCTCCAAGCTCTTTCGCTGCAGATCTCCTACAACAATATTCAACTCATTTTACACCGTCCGCTTGTAGCCTTTCCTGGAATCATCAGCACACGTCATTTCCCCACGCGAGGGCGTCGTCAGTCAGCTCCTGCCCACAACCATGAAGACGACCAGCACTGTTCATTAGGTCAATACTCTACCCTTGTCGAGAACAGCAGGGCTCAATGCTGGGAGTCAGCACTGAGAATCTGCCACGAGTACCTCGAGATCCTGAGGCTGACTCGAAACACGCATGCGGTTGCCTATGCTGGGATTCAAGCTTTCACGGCGGGTGTGATGCTGGCCATTTTTGCTCTCTCTCAGCCATTCTCGGCCCAGGTTCAGGAAGCTAAGCGCTGGGTTGGGAGGCTCATCAAAAGACCAAGGCAGCTCGGCAACCGGACAGCGATATCGGATCAAAGTGGCCACATATTGGAAAAGCTTCTGCGGCTGATCCTCGCGCAAGAAATAAAGATGCTAACCGATGATAAGGAGATGGATGATGACGCTTCACATTTCGCGCAGACAAGACGAGAATCCGTATCAGCCCCTTCCCACACCCTCGATTCACAATTGATTGGGGCGTCCGACTATGGCCCAGTGAGTAGGACCACCGATGGAGGCAGCTTTGGACTCTCCCAGCAGGCTAGCCACTGCGGCACCGAGAATGTCACAGCCGCAGGAGATGGATTGTGGAATATGCAGCAGGCCCTGGATGGAAACTTTGATGATTCGCTAGATTCTCTACAGCACGGTCCGAACTCCCCTTTTCCTTCTCCGATCAAGGTGCTTCGATTCCCGGCTGACAATTTATTGCCACTAGCCTGTGAATCTCCGGGACAAGATAATGCACAACAGGCAGAACGCCAGGATCAATTTCAGATTGATAACACGGCCGTCTTTCTCCCCTTTTTGCCCACATTCGATCCTTTTTCTAGCAGCAACAACATCTTCGGCACGCTTGAAGACGCCGGTCTGGTCTGGTTTGGAGAAAATTTCTCTCAACTCAGCTGAGTGTCAAACTGAGGTTGAAAGGTTCCTTGAGGATTGCAAGTACCTGGTGGCAGGCGCCATACCAATATACATCGGATCACATGATCATAGCCACATGATTCCAGTGCTGGGACGCCAACCCCTTCACCTTTGACACTGAGGAGATGCCATCAACCATGGGCATTTTGTTCGCAGAATAAAACCGGCTTCGCTCGTCTCTTGTGTGACAACGCCTCATTTCGCAGTCTCCTTGGCCTACGACCCTCCGTGGGTGAACATCCCTTTGGCCTTATCCATGACCCTCTGTACCTGTTCTGTGTCCTGTCCAGCTGCGGCCTCGTAAGCCCGGCGATATGTCTCGTACCCTTCATGGAATAGCGGCTTGTTGTCGGTCCAGCCTGTGTCCCTACGCAACTTGTCGGAGCTTACCCACTGTGGAAAATTGAAGACCGACAGGATAAAGACGCCATAGAGTTCCGCATCTCCAGGCTCGGGGTCTCGGAATTTGACCTGGATGCCGTGACTCTGCTCGATAGCCAGGGCGATCTCACCGAGCGTCTCATATCGATGGCTAGAAATGTTGTACGCCTGGCCTGCTACGAGCTTGCGCGGCGACGTCGCGAGGTTCAGGTACGCTGCCGCGCAGTCATCGATATGCGTTCCGTGCAGGATCGAGTCCGGTCGCTCCGGCAGGGTCAATACACCCTCATGCTTGATCTTTGCCTGCTCCGCTAGGGCGAAGATGTATGAATAGTAACTCGACGAGCGCCCAAAGAGCGTGGTTGGACGGGTTACGATGCAATCGAATTCGCTGGAGAAGCTGAACATCTGCCGAGCAGCGGCAGTTCGTGGGACAAGGAGCGGCGGAGGATTGAGCGCGCTCTCTTCCGTATGCGGCGCCAGACCGATCTGCTGATGCCGTAGACCCATGCCATAGTCTTTACAGCCGCTGCTGAAAATGACAAGAGGCTTCTCGCCGCGATCGGCGAACGAGGCTTGACACACCTTCCTGATCATCGCAAGACGACGTCTGTGATGGGCTTCGTAGTCGACCAGATCCTCACAGCACGTAACAACCACGTCGATGGAGGGGAGGGTTGCGGAGAAGGAGGCGTATATCTCCTGGGTGGGCGTGACGATCGGGGTGATCTCTTCCTTGAGGAAATCTTGGGCGCTCCGGCCGGAGCGCATCTGGCCGAAGACTTTCCATCCAGCGAGGCAGAAAGCCTTGCACACCGCAAACCCTATATATCCGTTCGCACCCGTGACGAGCACAGTCTTTTGTACCATGGCTACTACCTCTGGCAATGCTCTACACAAGCTGCGGGATGGGCCAAGTGCACAGAGAAGGAGAAGGGTCAGAGAGGAGAGGAGAGAACCTCCCGTCCCGTCAGTCTCTACTTATTGCTGCCCAAGCATCGACATGACCTTGATTACCCGCCTTCGGTTCTTTCCAGTCAATGAATGTGGATCGATGTCACCCATGGGGAGAGAGGGACACCTTATCCTAACACGGGAACCTGGCAAACACATTCTTGTCGTCCACCGGCATGAAAAGAGTTCCGCCTCTTCTTCCACCATCTATCCGGTGGCATCATTTCACGAGATGAGACCCCAGGCTGAGTTTTACGTTCGAGGACTTACCTCCTGTGGTTCAAGGATACACAAGCCGGAGTGGATTGTAAACGACGATGGAACAACGTCGGACCCTGGAAGCATTCCAGCATTCCAAGAGGTCGAAAAGTAGTCCGGAAGGTCCCCATTGAGACATGAGCAATTGGCCAAAGTGACAGAGGTGGGGATTCTGTCCCCGAGCCACCGGCACATGCCTATCCGTACAAGACCAGACCACGAATTCTCTTTTTGGAGCATGCTTTAAGGACCCTCGATCAATCCCCTTGGGAAATCAAGTCTGTCCGCCTCTCTATCAGTCGTCTCAGGACAGGTCTCGTGTTTGGCAACTTCAAAAGAATCTGTATAGTTTTGCTCTTTCCGTCACCACCACAGAACGACAACTTGAGCTTCGTCCTGGTCATCAGCTCCGAGTCTGACAAAATGTCCTCCAGAGATGCGGTGATCGAAGCACTCGAACGAAGGCTCAAGATCCTGGAGGACAAGGACGCCTTGTGGACTCTCATGAACCGTTACTGCTACACATGTGACAACTATATGTTCCAGGAATTCGCCAACTTTTTCACCGAAGACGCAACGCTGAACTTTGAAGAATGGGGGGAACTCAAGGGAAGGGAAGCCATTCTAAAAGCGACCGAGGTCGAAGGAGCTTTTCAAGGCCTGCAACATAGCATGACCAATATCGCATTCCACGTGGATGGCTCTGACGCTGCATCGGCCACTGGGTACCTCAATTTCTATGCCACGCCAGACAGGTCGAAACCCGAGATTCACTATGGGTTTGGGGGTCCATATTCATTTACATACCGAAGGACTCAGGACGGCTGGAAGGTCACGAGTCAGAGGTTGAGAAAGCATTGGGCACAGGGTGAAGACACCAAAGGGCTTTTCACTGCCAAAAAGTAACATGAGTGCTTGTTCAGCACCATTGTCAATCTGTCAAAGAGAGCGTATCCGGCAAGCCGACGTCAGAAAGAAGTGGCATAGGTGTGACAAGAAGAGCATACGACAGGGTTATAAAACAGAAGTGATTAACTATTAGTTATGAGGTTAGCATCACTTAGAAGGGGTACTTCTATCTAATCTCGATCAGCGGGATCTCTGTGCTCGTTACTAGCTATTAGCTATTTGTTACACGGCGGATTCCTCTTTAACTGTGTTAGACTGTGCCATTTATTTTTGCCATTGGCTTGCCGGCTCATTACTACGTCCGTCGAATATTTGCTCTGAACTTGTCAATGCCTCCTAAATCACATCGACGGTACACTCAGGAACACAGTTTTAGTGACTTATCCCGGACAGGGTTCACTGATCGACGATTGATAATTGTGTAAAAGACGAGATTCTCCACGCACAATGACTTGCGATGTTTGTAGGGGCTACCCTGTTTCCATTGTGCCCTATCAACGACCAATGAACCTGTTGAGACAGCTTCTTCTCGGGTATTCGATATTCAAATCTCCCGAGACAGCGCAAGACATCTGGATGCAGCATCATTTTACTCTGGGCGGGTCGCCACCCGCCAGATGTGGGTTCTACATTCAACAGGCCTTGGCTTGACGAGCCACTGCTACAGTCCAACACGCGTGAGAGTTCCAGTTTCGAGAGACAGAAAACAGGTTCCATGACTACATTCCGTTGTCAGGTGATAGATTTGGGGGTACCGCTCACTCTCTATTGCTTGAGGCTCGGCTTTTTGATATTGCCGGTGGCTTTTACTTGGAGCCGGTGGCCTTTCAGATATATGGGTCGCCATCTCCAGACTTGGATCCGACCCCAGCTGGGGTTCCCTCGTGTCTCCAGGTTTACGGTGGGTCGGGGTCAAGGTGACTCGACAACGGGTTGAGCTTTTCCTGTTGAGAGGTTCTGTGGTTGACCCTGACGGGATATGAGATACCTCAAGCGTTGGAAACCCTCTCGGAGGCGGGAACCATCGTCGGCGCAGAAAGGGAACATTGAATTCCTTTATAAAAGCAGATCATTTCCCCAGATGTTGCTGCTTCCCCTAATCCTGCCATCCACTGTACCAAGGAGACTATTCTAACCACGAAGGTCAAGACGCTACCGCCCACAAGAATCAGCAGCACAGCACGCCAACATGGAAACTCTTGAGACCAAACGTCGTCCTTACACGTGGAAGACTGTTTTCATATGTATAGGTGCTGCCTGGGCTTCCGCCGCGATGGGCTATGCCGCCAACATCGGCACAACCCTTGGCCAGCCTTCATTCATCAAGCACATGCACCTAGACACTGCATCCAATGCCTCCGGCCTGTTGGGAGCGATCAATGGACTTTATTATGCCGGCGCTTTCATTGGAGCCCTGTGCGCCGGCCCTTTCTCTAACCGATATGGGAGGAAGGTTGCGATCGGGACTGGAGTCGTTTTTATTCTGGTCTCGAATGCCTTGCTGGCGGCCTCCGTGGATACAGCCATGTTCATTGCTTTTCGCTTTTTCCAAGGATTTGGGTGAGCTTCTCTCTCTCGGATTCTTGAGTGCCTCTTTGCTCCATTTTGGCTGACTGCCTCTTGCCCAGCTGTGCGGTCCAACTGACCCAAGTGCCTTTGTACATTTCGGAAATCGTTCCTCCAAAAGATCGTGGCGTTTTATGCGATCTGCATGCCATTTTCCTCAACGTTGGGAACATCACCTCAGCCTACATCGGCGTCGGGTTCTTCTACGACAAATCCCAGACGCTGAACGAGTGGACAGCGCCGACCGCACTAGGATGCCTCTACTGTGTTTTCAGCCTGGTCAGCCTGTGGTTCATACCCGAGAGCCCACGATACCTGCTTTTGCGTGGAAAGCCTGAGCAAGCTTGGGAAATTGTTCGAACGCTTCATCACGGGGCTCACGACCACGACGAGACATTTGCTCAAAATGAATTCCGACTCATGCGGACCCAGACAGAGTACGAGCGGATGCACAAAATGTCCTTCTTGCAAATGCTGAAAAGGCCGTCCTACCGGAAGCGAGTGGGAATTGCCTGTGGCCTCCCATTCTTGGCCATCAGCTCTGGTGTGTTGGTTATCAATAGTGAGTAAAATCAAGCCGGGCTACCAGCGTGCGGTCCCTTGTCGCTGATACACGGTTCCAGACTACGGCGCTCTACTTTACGCCGGCTTGGGTATGGATGCCGAGCAGCAAATCCAACTGCAAGCCGGCTGGCTTGCCGTCTCTTTCACCATGAACACTCTGGCAGTTTTGGTTGTTGAACGCCTACCTCGACCCCATCTCATGAGCATCGGTATGGGAGGCGCCTGCTGTGCTCTGATCATCGAGTGCGCCATCCAGGCTGTCTATTTGGGATCCGATCACAAAGCTGCACTGGCGGCCGGGGTAGCCATGCTCTATGTCTTCGTCTTCTTCTTTGCCGGATTCCTGGATGGCCCCATGTATTTCTACGCCGCCGAGATCTTCCCGACCCATCTTCGAGCTCAGGCAACAAGCATGGCCATGGCTAGCTTCTGTTTATCAAACATTATCTGGCTGCAGGCGGCCCCTACCGCGTTTGCCAACATCGGCTGGCACTATTACCTGATCTTTATCATCCTCGCCGCAGTTGGCACCGCGTTGGTGTTTTTCACTTTTCCGGACACGCGGAACTTGGCTCTTGAGGAGGTTGCTCGTCTGTTTGGCGACGAAGTCTACGATGGACCCGAGCTTAATTCTCCGTCTGTGGTGCTAGAGGAGAAGACACCAGCAACTGAGCAGTTTGAGAATACCAATGCTTAGACATGACAAGACAAGGAGGAGGTAACCGATCTAGGCCGCAGCATAAACGTCCATGGCGCAGGTTGGAAGGTAACGTGCTGACTCTTTCAAGTCCCTGATTATATCCAGGAAATGCCTCTCTGCTTGGGACGTTCTTGTTTTCGCAGGGCTGACTGCCCGGATAGCAATGCTCAAAGCTATCACCCTCAAATCCCTTGGAAGTACGAAGACTACCAGCCTATGGGTTTATAAAATCCATATTTGAGGAGGAAGAAACGGAGTGAGAGCGGAGGAAGAAGGGACGTCACAAGTTTCTGCTTTGATCAGCCCCGGTGTATTGAATATTCTTCAGCAGGGTAGTACCAGCCCCTAGGAAGTACATTGCAATTACTGCGAAAATGTACCAGTCTCTAAAATCTATTTGCTAAAGCCAAACATTCTCTGCCATCCGGGCTTGAATTATCGTCCTCCTCCTCACCCTCGTCCTCTTCACTGGACTCCTCCTCCAGAGAAGCATGGCATTTTGAAAGGAGTATGATCAAGCTTGTAAATCAATCCAAGCCAAAGGCCAAACAGACCATCAAAGCGTCTCGTATCTAGCCCATGGTGCCAGTGTGTCGGGTGCTGCAGTCTCTCTCTCAAGACGCTGTCCTCTTCCGGGGCCGTTCCACACTTTATGCCCAATATTCCTACCGGCTTTCTGACCATGTTCAAGAAGACAAATCTGGGAACCTCTTTTTCTTGCGACGAATCATCAGTTACGGAGCTGTACGCAAGAGCTATCCGATTCCATCTTGAGCAGATGTTGCTATGAACTCTGCCGTGGCTATTGGATCTCATGTAACGAATATTCGAGCGCTGAGAACCATGGTGCAAAAGGTACTCTGGCTTCGAACTTGCCGTGCTTTGTATATATGTCTATTATATACACCGCGAACTTCACTTTGTCTACTACCAACTTTCGTTCAGGAAATAGAGCGAGGGCCGCTTTAATGGCGACGCGACGGGGAGTCAGGGGCCTCTCTCTCGACTGAGGGGATCAAATCATCTACGCACCCACCACAGGCAAGCACAGGCAAGCGACTGGGCGGATTGCATCACTGTACCTTGTACGTATTCATGTCCCAAGCATACTTCCTTCCTCTAATGCGTTTCACCACGCAAACCAGGTGGGGTTCATGAAATCATGTAATTTTTTGCCCTTTTTCTTTTTGTTGGCGGCACTGTCAGGGGAGACCATGTGATGCTAGTGCCAAGGCAGTGCAGTGCCGTGGTACAGCAAACAACTACGAGGTAGATAGGTATACTCAGCTCCTCCAACAACATCGGGCGCCTCTGCCAGGATAACTCATTTCTCTACTGCTCTGCAACGCTCAAATACAGGGATGCAACCGATGTTCCCCATTATCGGCACTTTGCAGTACAATACTCTATGAACTCGGAACTCGAGCATCCAGAGCCACAACATGGCAGAGGATAAAGAAGTCGATAATTGAGATGCCACAGGCGTTTAGCGAGACCCAGGCTGTCGACTCCTCATCTCGATCCAGCCAGGCAGGAACGAGAGGATTGATCAGTCAAATATTTCTGGCGCGTTCTGTTTGTCAAATTGTCCCAACATGTTGATCAACAGACAGCATGCCATCGAGCCATGTGGTCCGGCGAAGATCATGGGGCCAATGCAATGGAATGTTCCAGGACGTGAAACGCTGACAGCTAATGGATTATGGAGTCCGGGTTCTGAGCATGAAACTGCGTGGCCAGCAAAAGCAGACATGATCAGTTCATCAAGGATGAGGAATGCGCACGCCCCAAACATTGCAGAAATTTCACAAAGCTTAAGCAGGGCGGCCTTTTCCTGTGGCTTCTTGGTTGAGCCCTCGGTGAAACAAGACCGGAAACTCGGCCAGCGCCACTGATGCACCGAGAACTTGTAGCCGTTGTTTGTCCATGGTACTCGGTATGCTGTTGTATAATTGCCTGACACAGCGTATCGACATGCCGCATCTGTTGTGCCCAAACAACCCGTACGAGGTAATGTGGTATGCCCCCAAGCAAACAGCCACCCTTTTGTGCCTCCTCGAGCATGACTCGGCGAATTTTACCAACGGGGCGGCAGATGGGGACCATGGTGGAGGAGAATTTGGACCAATCCTCCGATCCGCTGGAGCCAAGGGCGTTCGACCGGCGTCTGGCACACCCATGGCTGACACGCGATTGGGCTCCAGCTAACTCCTGGTTGCTGATGCTAAAATTGCTTGGTTGTGCGCAATGTTGCATGCTTTGTCTCTCACTGGCAGCCGGGTGTCACAGAGCCATGCAGCTTAACAAGGACTCACCTTGAAGCAAGCTCGTCCCGGTGGTTCTGGTCAGAATTTTCACGCTCAAAGTCTCAGCGCGGCGAAAACGCCGGAAGCACAGGGTGTTTCGATGTGTGTTTCGCCCGCAGATAAGACGGTCGGAATGCCAGAGTCTTCTTGACAGTATGTGTGTGACTGCAGATCCTACTAGCAGAAGAGGATGAGGTAGTGAAAAGCCACGTTCAAGCCAAAGCGAGCCATGGCGCGGTAAAGAGATTGAGGTGCGAAATTGGGTGCTGCCCAAGCGAGAGCCAGGCCAAGCAACGGTCAAAAGATGGTCAATGGCCCAAGACTCAAGGGCAGGAGGAGGCTGAGCCCATTCCCAGACTTGCCCAATCCTGGTACGCGTCAAGGTGGTATTTTGGCCCTGCAGGTACGGGTTTAGCGTCTTCATCCTTTAACCGTAGTGGCCCAACAAGGAGCGCCCGTGGGTGCCCGAGGCCCGCAGTGCTGGGGCTTGTGGCTGTTAGTTTCCAGGGCCTCGTCCTCGGAAAATAACCGTCTAACCAGAGGGCGTAATTGTGCCTGAGAGGCATCTCCGCCGGGACCACCTCTCGCTGGGGACGAGTCCACTCATTGCACTCAATCCCCAAGATCTCTCCGTTTGAGTTTGCCCCCGAGAGCCGCTGGCGTGCCCTGGTCTGTGCCTTGTCTCGACCAACAGCCACTGGCCGGGCTTAGCAGCCTGCGCTTGCGAGGCTTGTCTCGTCACTCCTTTCCCATCAGGTACTCGGCGAGTCGGACTCCATTCAGCCTCTCCCTTTCGACACGTCTTCGACAATGCGTTCCTTTGCAGTCATTGCTCTTTGCACTCACCGTTTACACCTGCACGCCCTCACCATCGAGCCTCGATGATCCGTCAACGTCGCCGTGGTCGCCCTCTCTCGTTCTGCGACCGATAACCCTCCCTTTCGACTTGTCAATTCCGCCTCGACGGCTGCGGTCCTTCATCCCTTTCGTGTCTAAGCAATTTTGCCAGCACCGATTCCGACGTGCTCGCGTTCGTTCCTTCAGACCGTCGACGTCCAGCCCAATTTGACACGATCGATCACGCTCTTTAGTTCTTATACCTTCTTGCACGCACTTCGACCATTTGCTGCGAAACGCTTTCTCAAGAGATCCCCTTGCCGCCCCCTCCTTCAAGGAACGAGTCTATAAGTCGCCAACAGCAACTCTTTGGATACTATCTTTGTCTTCGCGAGCAGATTGGCTGGCCCAACAATTCGAGGAAGAGCATAGCGTACAGCGGGGCCTTTGTTGGAGATACACGGGAAGTCCAGGGCTCAAAGAAATCGCCAAAATTACATGACCCGACGCCTTTGACTATTCGACTTTGTCAATTTGCATAGCTACCGAACAAAGGAATTCTCCTGATCACAATCCTCGACAACTGCTGCATCTTCTCTCGGCTTTCTCACAGAACAAATAAAACTGGCTTGAACGACCCCGCGAAGACGACCGAAGCCAAAGAAATCGTCTGGGACGGTTCTTTCGAGTTACAGATCAGGATCATTTGATCCTAGCCGCTCTTTTCAAACCTCTCTCACCACATACACTCGTTTCACAAGAAGATTTGAAGTGAGGGAGCCCGAACGGAACTGCTAGGCGTGTTGCTGACTGGCTCTCCAGATACTTCCCAGACAACGACTTCTCACGACATGAAGATCTCATCAATCACTTTATTTGCAGCAGTGGTGGCAGGATCCTTTGCCGATGCTGTCCCGGCCCATCGTCGTGGAGCGGATCTGAAACCCAGATACTATTTCCCAAAGGTTGTCAAGAGGCAAGTGGTCACATTCGACAACTCTACCACGACGGACTCGGCCAGCGCCAGCTCTACGGACTCGGGGTTAGGTAGCCTGATATCGTCAGTAACTGATGCTTTGTCCGGTGTTGCATCACAAATCTCGAACGATTCGCCGACATCAACACCAGCAAGCACCGACGCGCAAACGACTGACACCGCTTCAACCGACACTTCAACCGATACCGCAACCGATTCCTCAACCGATTCCGCAACCGATTCTGCAACTACAACGGATCCTTCAGCTACTCCCTCAGCTACAGACACAAGCGTCGCCACGATCACGGATCCTTCGAGTAGTCCATCTGCAACCGATGTCCCTACCAGTATCAACACTGATACTACCGCGACTGGGTCGGACACGGCTACCATCACAGATGCTGCCTCTACAACAAACTCAACGGCTGACGAGAGTGGCATTACTCTTGGCCTCTCCATCATTACGAGCGATTCATCTTCAGACACTGCCTCTATCACTGCTAGCACAACAGACACGGCGGCTTTGGCATCAAGCACTGCTGCAGCCGAATCTGTTCTCTCGTCGGCCAGCGATGCTGCAACTTCCATCTTGTCTGTCGCAAGCTCGTTGCAATCGGTTGCGGCGACGGCCTCCGGTACTGACATCGCCTCCATTTCTTCAGCCTTGTCTTCGGCCGCCTCAGCCGCTTCCTCAATTGCGTCCGATGTGAGCTCAGCAAACTCCGTCATCACTTCGGCGGCTGGCGCTACAAGTTCTAATTCAGCCGATGTGACTTCGGGTACCAGCTCGCCCACGGACCAAATAACCTCGCCAACAACTACGCCGACAGACTCGCCGACAGATGTGGTAACACCACCTCCTACCACTACCCCAACAACGACACCGAGCGGACCTACAGACAATCCTACTGGGAACCCAACCACCACTCCAACCACCACTCCGACTGATGGTCCGACTGACATACCTACTACCACTCCGACCACTACTCCTACTGATGTTCCTACAACCATTCCTACAAGTCCAACAAGTCCAACAGATGTCTCTGTGGGACCGACTGATTCTCCCACAATTACTGGAGGCACTGGCAACAATACCGTGATCACGACTCCTACCAATACGCCAACAGATACAACCAGCGACACAAGGACCACGCCTACTGACACCCCTACAACCATCCCAACATTAACTCCAGCTGTGACGCCATTCGTTGGGAATCTGTCAACCCCAGTGATCACCCCTACCACGACTGACAAGCTCACAACCTCAGGGCCTCCGGTAAACACTGTTAAGCCCACTGGGACTGACTCGGCCACAGCGTTTACTCCAGATTCGAGCATCATCTCTGCTACAACAGCAGCTCCCACCGAAACTTCCAAGTCTGCTTCGACAAGCGCTGCTGTTATTCCAACAACACTCCCTCGTGTGATTCAACCACAAGGTGGTGTGCCTGATGCACCAGAAAACTCTACGTTGATCCAGCTCGGATTTGACTACGGCCTCAACTACGCTTTCGTGGTATCGTCCCCGACTGCTGTGTCTCAAATATTCTCCTATCTCCCAGTCGGTGTTTCCCATGGACTGGGCATCGACCTTGACCAAGTGGTGATGCAGTACCTGCAGCCTTACAACACTTTGGATACCTTGAACTACATTACCACTTTGGCTATGGCGTACATTCCCGCAGACAAAGTCGACCTCCTCTCGGTGCAACTGCTGAACCCTAACTCTGATCTCTACAACAATCCAAACCCGTCGGTAGTGACTCTGATGGGCATGATTGACCCTTCGATTCCTGTTCTGCCTGGATCTCAAATTGCCGGTGGAGGCACACCAATCAACTCGGCGAATTCTGCCGCCACCACTTCTGACCAAAATGCCACTCCCAACGATGGTACACCCGGTACCTCCGACTCTGGAAGCTCCCCAGTCCGGCCATCTTCAGTTGGTATCGCAGTCGGGGCCGTGGCTGGTGCCGCAGTCTACGGAGCTGCCATGTTCCTTGTTGCACGAAGGTACAAGAAGAGAAAGGCTGGCCACCAGCGGTCAAGCAGTATGCAATCAGGCAACCGCGGCAATCGTCCCGGCGAACAGTCCAACCTCATGATCGGGGCACGGGGCAGCTATGGTACTCGATTCGGTGGAAGAACCTCCCGGACAAGTGATCGCAGCAATTCTCAGCGAAGCGGGCGGACGTATATTAGCCCACCTGTAATGGCCGAGAACAGTTTGGGATGGAACTGATTGGACAGGATCTACCTTGTACAGCTGGAGATGTGCGACCAATTGATTGGAACTCGATGCCCGCTCACGAAAGAAACAACCACAATCCGTTTTTTATTTTATATATAGTCATTTCTCGTTTCTCTATTGCCGAATTTTGGCCCTTTTTGATACCTTGCGAGGAAAGTGGAGAAGGAAAAAGGGGGAGGTTGGAGACAATGCCATTTTGATCGAAAGAAAGTGACCATGATGTACAAGCACATGAAGGCCAAAGCAGAGACGTCGATCTATTGTGCTGCCCAGGACCGAGAGGGGGTAGCGAGGGGCATTTGAAGGGGCTTTGTTCGAGAATCGATACTGAGGATGGGGATTTGTTGGTTCTCGCCGTGGTGGCTAGCATGTAGGCCCGGCTGGAGAGAGCGAGATGTGTGAGATGTGAAATACTACCCTAGGTAGGTATATCAGGATCGAGACAAATGGCAGTCTATCTTAGTCTAAAGTCCTCCTTTGTCCAAGTTCCTCTCTGTCCCCTCCGTATTACCGAGTACCGAGTCCGTAGAAAGTAAGTATCACTCTACACGCATTGTATCGATCGAAAAGCGTCCAGGTCTTACATGGGGATATTTGAGAGCCCGAAAGGACGTGGACGGTCACTGGTGGGGTCAGACCAGGTCAGGTCACTGGCGCAAGGGTATTCTTTCACGCGAGGCTGAGCATCCAGAAACACCGGTAGGGGACGAATCATTTTAGTCATGTGGATATAGCACCTGCAACGGACAACCCAAACCATGAAATGTATCCATATTAACAGAGGGGGTTGTTGTCTCCCAAAATCCGAGTCCGGCCCTTGCCCAAAATGATACCTAGCAAAAACCACATCCTTTTCCCATGACAGAGGGTTCCACTCAATCAATCGTCCTTATCTTTCCCAGAGGTCTGAGAGACATACGCGGTTCGAACTCTGCCTCTTACGGGAAACCTCTCGTTGAGAAGTGCCTCTTCTGTTGCAGAGTCCGTGGTGGTAGCTGTCGGTGTGGTAATGTCCTCTCCCCCATTGTCACTCTCTGCCTCAGTCTGCATGTGCCTGTCCTCGTAGATTTCCGAGTTCGTTTCCAGTTCGATCAGGTCGCCCATTCTGTCAACGGCAGCATTGCGTTCCCGTTTCCCTGCCGCGCCCGCCATCTTGCGCACCCACCCTTCAATCGCGCCGCCCACATCACCTGTCAAACCCGAACTGTTCGAGTTGGAGCGCAGGCTTCTTACCGACTCGGAGCTCGCGCGTGGCGTTGATCGAGATGTGTGTGTCCTTGTGCTGAAACCCGTTCGAGGGATCTCTCCCGGTGGCGGTAGGAAGTCTGGGAAATACTGGTTGAATTTGCGATTCAACGGGTCGTCGGCCGGGCCTGGCCGAGAAGCTTCTGTGCGGAGACCACGAAGGGTGCCGACACCTCCGGGCCCGCGGAGGGCTTCGGCGAAGGGATTTCCTCCTGTAGCGCTGGAAGATCGTTGGCGGCCGGACGAGCTAAGCCGGGACGAGGGAAAATTGGGTCGGCGGACGGGCGAGGCATTCAAGGAAGCAGAAAGTTGCGCAGCGTGAGTAGGCGGATGCCGGAGTGTATCGAAGGAGGTTTTGGGTGTAGAGGGAGGTGAGGCGGTAAGGGTGGCATTTGATTTCCGACGAGCCCGAGGAAAGTAGCCTAGCGCACGACGAGGGACGCGTAGGACTTCGGTGGCTTCTTTGAAGTTGGGCAGCATGACCCAGCAGTCATGCTTGAACTCGACTCCTTCGGAGAGAGACGTGATGAGCGTCAGGGGTTCGGAGGTTAGGGCGGAAGAAGAGATGGTTGGGTTTGTCCGAGGAGAGTCGTGAACACCATTGATTGACAAGGCGTCAATGACTTTCGGTATGGTATTCGACGCATTTTGGGCAGAGAGACGGTCGGATTCTGGGTCGAAGAGGTCCCTGGAGAGGTACGGACTGTCGACTTTCTTGCCCTTGACAGTGGAGCCTTCCAAGGGGACCAAAACATGAGTCCGAGTCTGAATGTTGTCATTGGGCCAGAAGCGGTTCACCTTTCGGAAAAGGTCAGGTTGACAGTTATACTTGATGATGACTCCGGCCAGCGTGTCCCCTTTCTCAACTTTGTGCATGTAAACAAGGGCATCTTCACTCTGGTCTGCGGGAGCCGCCGTGGCACTATCCACATCTGAGTCTCGTCTCTTAAACTTGCCCAGGCGATCGCGGTTCTCTGATGTACTTGCAAGGAGCAGTGCTTCCCTCTTCTTTGCCTGGACCATTGCCTGGCGTTCTTCCGTGGTGCCCTGAAGTAGAGTTGTAGTGTGTTGGAGTGAAGGACCCCATTGCGGGACGGCGGTTTTTGAGCCATAGTGGTTATCTTGTTTCATCCAGAGAGGCTTCTTGAGAGGACCTCCAACCTTATCCTTGTGAGGACCTGGTACCTCGCCCCCTAGCAACGTGGACGCAAAACCCTGGAGTGAGGTCCAAGGTTCCCACAGCCCCTGGTTTCCTCCGGTTGGGGATGAAATCCCCGAGGACGGCCCTGCTTGTGGTTTGGTCGTTCGACCATGTCGGGGTGGCCTGTCCGTCGACTTGGATCTCGATACCGCGGCGTCGTTGGGGGAAACGCCTCTGCTGGGGAATAGTGGCGGGGTAGAGGAGGTGGAGGTAGAGATGGCGGTGGACTCGATACCCTCATCGTCAATGTAGGATATAAGACGGCCGGTCCGCGGGCGGAGGGTGGAAGTGCTACTATTTGCAGATTGGTAGAGGCCGGTAAGGGAAGTGTTGCTCATGGCTGGCCTGGCTGCCAACACGAGACATGGGCGACTGGCGACATGGAGGCTCCGGTGGCCCCAATAAGACGGATCCGAGGGCGAGGGATCCTGCGCAGAGAAAGGAGAGAGCTGACGAAGAGGAGATATAGAGCAAGTCTGGGGTTGAACCGGGGGCGAGGGAATGGTAAGTGTGTGCAGCGGCGGACTGGAGATGAGTCGTTTGACTTCGGAGTCCTTTGAGTTCCTGCAGCAGATGATGCGATATCAATGGGCGCAGTGGCCGTTGGGGTGGCCGTGGCCGTGGCCCATGGGCGGCGAGGGCGGCCTCGGCGGTTAGTGGCTGCAGCCGCCTACGTCGATCCTCATCTCACGTGAACGGCCTGATATGGGGTGGAAGCTTGAAGGGGTGGAAGGGGTGGAATGGCTAATACTTGCGCCTTCGCCATCTTCAGAGCCTCGTCTTATATCGCATCGCCATTAATGCAGCCCCTTTGTCGAAGATATTTACCGGGTCCAAGTCGGCTCTACTGGCTTCCTTCGGTCTGGGAAAACGGTCGACTTGGGCTGGCTTGTTTCCCACTACACCGCTCTCTCAGCCTTGCCGTGCTTGGGGAACCGCATTACCTCGAAATATCCAAGGCTCGTTGATATACAGATATGCACCGTAGACTATGTACCAAATGTCTTGGACCCAGGCGCCTTGCAATCTCGAGACGTCTCTTGGTAACTCACAGGCTGTCCTCCCTCCACCTGCTCCGAACTCTCTGCCATCCCTCCTTCTCCTCCAATCCTCCTCTCTTTTCAAGCCCAAGCCCGCGTTCCACCCACTCTTGACTTCCCATTTCACTCAAGCGACTGAGCGCCCGTGCGAACGCGAACCGTTCTTCATCGCCGCTGAAAAGGGAGCTTTGCTTCAACATACTCATATTCATTCCCAGGTCGTCCATCAGGTTGCGCATCACATCGTCGACATCTGCCCCTTCCTCCTCTCGCCCCCCTCTTCCCTCCCTGGCCTTTTTGACTTCTTCGACGACCGCATGATCTTCTTTGGAGGCGCTAGATTTGTCCTTCTGGACTTTGTCGCCAACTTTATTCAACGACTCATCGAGCTCAGTCTTGGACACGAAAAGCTGAGACAGGGGCACTGCCGTCGTGAGGACAAGTTTCGCGTGCGACTCGTACACCGCATCGATGAAAGTAATGAATCGCCTGGCCCAGTCGCGTTCTCTATGGGTCATTCCGGGTACGTCGGTGACGATAAACGCATCAAAACTCCGCATCATCTCAATGTAATCCGCTGCCCCTGTAGCGCGACCGATCAGCTCGTGGAAAGAGAACTTGGCACAACGGCCCGAGACGAGCGGGATCTGTACTTCGCGACCCCAAACGGTGATAGTCGTGGGATGAGGCGGATCGTTTTCTGGATCGCCCAGGAAACGGAACCATTTGTTTGCGTGAGAGACGGCGGCTCGGTCAAGCGGATGGTGGTATACTCCCGAAGGAGGCCTTGGGAGTTTGCGATAATCGGTTTGTGAATCAAGATTGATGACTTTGAGTTGTTTCTTCAGCAGGTTTATGCACGGGATGAAGGACTGGCGCTGAATTCCATTCTTGTAGAGATCGTCTGGATGCCGATTCGAGGTCGTGACCAGAACAACGCCGTGCGACATGAGGGCCTCGATCAAACGACGGAGGATCATTGCGTCGGCAACGTCAACCACTTGGAACTCATCGAAGCAGAGCACTTGGGCAGTTTCGGCGATATCTGCTGCGATGAAGGGCACGGCGTCAAAATCGTTGCCATATTGCATGCGAATCTTGTGTAGTCGCTTGTGCACGTCTTGCATGAAGTTGTGGAAATGAATGCGGGTCTTGGAGGTGATGTTCGGAGGTAACGTGTCGAAGAAGAGGTCCATCAGCATGGTTTTCCCAGATCCAACATCACCGTACATGTACAGTCCCTTGGGCAGGTTCTCTGGTATCTCGCCAATAGCCTTCTTCTTGTTCCCGCCGCCGAACAGGGAACCAAAGAGGGATTTCTTGGGCGGTTGGAGATCGTTGATGTCCGGATGGATGACCTTGGGAGGGTGGTACTCTTTTAGAGTCTCGTGGAGATCTTGCAGGTGTTCAACCAAGGCTGTACCAATGTTAGTTTGTCGTCCATGCCACGAAAAAAAAAAGGATCTGTCTACCCACTTCTCTGATGTTCGTCCTCCCTGAGACGCCTCGATTGCACTCTCTCATCGTACTCCTCCAAAGGTCCACGAGCGGGTACATCAGTCACGGTTGCGAGCTGTCGTTTCTGCTGCTGCGGCCGCAAGACCAGTGGTCTCGCCGCTCGGACGGCCTCTCGAAGACTCCTGGAAGTTCTTCCTCCATTGCTCGCAACATGAATCTGGCGAGACGAGGACGTTCTTAACGCTCTTCTTTGCCGTCGCAGAGTGTTCAAGCAGTCGGTGCATATCGACCGCCTCGGCGGCCGCGCAGCAGCGGTATCGGACAGTAGAGCTCCCACGTAGGCGTGGAAGGTGGTGCGGATGGGCCGCACGGGCGCCTTCATGTTGCTCCGATGCAGGAGTGACTGATTCACTGAACCAACCTTCACTTTATCAAGGGAGCCGCCGAGTCATGGCAAGGAGGAGGAGGAGTAGTGATAATAATAATAGTAGCAATAAAAGATATGGGCTGCAGAAGCAGAGACGTCAGAGCGAAACTGGTTCAAGCGGCGCCGGAATAAACACCGCATTTTGGCATCTCGGCTATCGACCTCGGACGACCGTCGGCGAGAAAACAATTGCCGTCCATTGTTTTTGTCACCCAGTGTCAAATCTTTCAACCGACATTTCTCACTCCTCTCTGCTTGGGCAAATGATGGCGAGAAAGAGGCCAATTGTCTGAATGTGGCAGGAATTCATTACAATGAGCAGGTTCTATAGACCTCTGAGGACTATCGCGCTGACCCGAAATGGCCCTGGATACCCGCATGATCGAAGGGAATATAATCTGTGCACAAGGCTTTCCATCATCCATGTCTCATGGCGCCGCGTACCTGTAAAAGATCCGTCCAAACATGACTTTGAGAGATTTCAACTCCACGTAGCACTCCATATCCACCCCCATTTCAAGTCACGATCGAAATTTTCGAAACTTTTTGCCAGTGTTGGAGGCGTCTACCTCCAAGATCAACCCGAGGACGCCCCTTAAAGGCGCCGAACATCATCATATTAACCATTCGTGTCATCAGGTCGCCCTGTCACCTACCCTGTAAACCGCGCACAAGAAAAGGCTAGGATACCACTGCAAAACAGCGCTGAGACTCGGCAAGGGGCTCATTGACAATATTCAGACTGCATCATAGGAACAACGACCCCTTTCCTCTAACCTGTCGCATAATTGACATAAAGTGTGAGTTTCGGATTCCGTTGCAGCGCAACATCGAGGTTGTCATCATTCTCGAGATCAATCAGAGTGTTCGTTGGCTCGTCTTTGTATTGTATGACAATATCTTCGTTGACCTTCAGCCGTTCCATCAACTTCTCTCTCAGCGCTGCAAATATAATGTCCTGGGGCACTCGGAGAACAATAATGTCATCCTGAAAGAACACCTTCACTTTCATAGCAGCTCCGGCATTGCTAGCCTTCATGCTCGAGGAGTTGGAATTTTGCGTCAGATTGCTGGCTTGGGAGTGTAAGAATGGTGGCCCTGCCATGGCCACGCCGGTCCCAGCGGACATGGGTACAGGAACCCGGTGTTGCTGGGACGTTCTTGCACTGGGAGGTGGCATACCCCCGTACCCCATACCCGGCGGTTGCTGGTTAGAGGACGTCCGAGAGACTGGTTGCATCGATTGCTGTGATCCCGCAGATAGTCGGTAATCCTCTCCCAACGCGTTGGGATCAATTTCAAAATCTTGGCCTGGTTTGGGCTTGAATAGATTCCTCACAAGCATGCTTTTGGAGATGTGAGGTGGCATTGCCACTATTTTCTTGATATACTCATCCAGATTCTGGCGTCGACCGTTGGAGATGGCATCGGTGACATGTGCCACTGGCCCAGGCATGAAGGGCAGGGTACGAGGCTTGCCCTTGTTGCCGGCCTCTTCTGGGAACATTTCCAGTAAGGCAATCTGAAAGTCGTAGAAATCAGCGTAGTACCGCGATAGCTCCCACCACCGGCCGTCTTCCATTTGGCATTCAATAATATACCAGTACATGTCGTTGTCGAAACAATATCGGGGTACTGAAGCACTGATGGGCGCAAGAGGGATATTTGACTGCTGCGATATTCTCGCACCGTTCTGTTTGAACCTGGGTCAACTTCATCTCCCAACATGGGCAAACAACATCTTCAACTTACATAGTTCGCACTGGGAAGTGATTGCTGCGAGGACGCATTCTGAAGGCTCATTCGAGCCATCTCAGCCGACATTTGGGCCTGGGGACTGTCGAATTTGCCCAGGCTGATACTGCTGTTCTTGTATTCTGCTGCAAACTTTTTCCATTCCTCAACTCGAGGCACGCCTGCTTTTCGGACTGCCTCAAGGGGATCGGCCACCGATTGCATAGTCGCTGTATCCTTAATATCGACAAACGAAACCGGAATCAACCCTGGTCCTCCTAACCGTCCTATCGGCTTCGCAACGAACCATTCAGGATTGGACTGCGCCACGACGATAATTGCCTCTCCGGCTTTGGCATCCAGTTCATCTGCCCTTTCAGCATGGAAATCGTACTGCACTACACCATACACCATGGCGCCGGCGCTTCTTCCGGTCATGCTTGGTCCTCTCTGGTGTAATCCGGCGCTAGGTCTTGTGGTTGCTGTTGATTCGGATCTTGTGTGGCCCGAGTTGGTTGAACCTTTTTCTGAAAACCCCGAATCGTGACCATCCATCTTCTCTCCTGGGGATGATAGAGAATTTTCACTTTGTCGCTGGTTTTTACCGACAACTTCAAAGAAGGCCACGGGCACCAGCCCTCTCGCGGACGGGATGAGCGGATTGCAGGCCTCGTACCACTCTGTATCGTCTTCGCGGCTCAGGACATGGAAGAAGTCGCCCTTGTGGAATGACAGCTCTTGCGCATTGCCATTTTTGGGCTCGTGGTCGTATAAGGCTTTTATAACTTTCTTTGGGGGCAGGGCCTGGATCGTCTTGGGGGTGATGGTCAGGCTCGGCGGCTGCCTCCCGTCTTTGTCACTCTTGAGAGATCGGCGGATAGCCTAGAAGAGCGAGACGGATGAGCGTGTGCGATATGCGAGGGGTGCATATGAACGGATGGTGGTGACATACCTTCATTGTCGCATTTGACGTGTGCCCCGCAGTCGTGCTTGGCCGGAGAGAAAATCCTACGAAATCGGGCTTTTGCTGGCTCTAGATCGACTGCATGTGAAGTCGCAGGGTGGAACGAGGCTTTCAACGGTTTGCAGTGGCCTGGCAAGCCTGGACGGTGTTGGACTGTTCCGTGCGAAGTTGAGGCAAAGTGTGTTTCAACTTGGGGGGAGTTGACAGGCTGGGATGACAAGGTCGTGAATGTCGGACAGGCGCAGCGCTCACGAGGTTCAGGCAAGGGAGAAAGATCTGGTGCGTGTCTTTAGCGTGTCGGGCAGGGATTCCTCTGGTGTCTGGTGCTCCTGGCGGCCGGGTCAAGTCCGCTGCGGCCCCCACTGACTCAAGATTGCGAAGGGAGTCCCAGAGATTGAGATGACGGGTGACGCAGTATGGGCAGGATTCACTTTGGAGACTTTGCCGGGGATGCAGGCTGCAGATGGGTACGGAGAATAGGGGTGTGCTGTTCCAGAGAAATACCTGGTCCGTCCCTCTGCACTGGTACCTGGGTTAGCTGGCTGTAGGGGCGAATACCTACCTAGGTACCTAGTAATGTACCTTGTATACTCGGTACACCTGTAGACTCTACCTAGAGAACTGAGTTCCGAGGGCTGGATGCAGCCGCAACGTGGGCGGCATGGGGCGCATGGCAGCCATTCACAAAGCATCCACAAGTGAAAGATCCGAGAACAAAGGGGGCCCGAACGGTAAACCCTACAATTCATCCAAAGTCTACGCGTGAGTCGTGACAGCTGTGAAGCTAGAGCTAGTGCCATATCGATGCAATAAACTCACGGGCTTCTTTGCATGAAGTACCTCGTACGGAATGCATAGCCACAGCGCTATGAGTCGCCGTCGGCCACGCGCATGGTTGGCTAGACTAAACTCCAGCTGCATACCAGTTCCAGACACCACAGCCATTCTGCCGCCAGTTGACGAGTGAATGGGCTGTCCAGGCCCAGAATATCTGACTAACAGCAGGCCGTGTTCAGCTTGCTCGGTGAACGAGGGAAATGCCCTTTTCAGCTGCATTCCTGCCACTCTTCTAGCTCCACGTCTTGAAACAAAAGGGGTCAACAAAGGCTGTGTGGAAGATCCTACACGACAGCCACTGTCGAACAATCAGAGCCATCTCATCTTTCGATGATAGACCAAAGTACATGACCTCCATCAAGGGATCTTTGTCCCTTTGAGTCTCTGCGCAGGTCTTCCTATGCGCACTGTTGGCTTCAAAGCATCTCCTCCTAGACTGTGCTCCAAGCAAGACGAAAGGGTGGATACAAGAAACCATGACCGATACGGCATCGTTGTAGTTGCCAGTCTCTGCCTCTGTCTTCTCGCAACGCCGGAAAAAAGCAATCTTAGAACTGTGGCATCCCTTGGCTAAAGGGTCTGAATCACCAGCTGGGAAGGCAACCTCCATGATTCCAGCAGCGTCACGTAAGTGTGCCCGACGGCATTAAATGAATTGAATTTGAAGGGCTGGAAATATTCGCATGTCAAGACAATGGTTGCATCGTCGATCGCTGCCAGAAACCAAACACGTCAACGCCTCGAAGACACCATCGACGGTGGACAGCAGTGAAACAAAATTGGGTATTTCAGATTTGGCCCTTGATGTCGACTGTCCCAAAGGCTCTGGCCTTCGCGATCTGGAAAATGTTCCCCGCCTTCCCCGTCAAGAAGCGAACATCACCGTCGCGTTCTTCGAGTAGGTTCGATGATTCATCCGGGGCATGGTCGAGGATGAATTGGCAAGCTTCTTCATCGGACTCGAACCCGAGTTCTTCTGTGACGAAGCGCAATCGTACATCCGGTTTGTACCTATGCACAGGTCAGCCATTGAAGTCATGCCGGCGATAGGAGTGAGAAACTTACGTTTTGCACAAGCACGCCAGCGCGGCTAGTCTCTCACGTTCTACGAACATATCCATCAAATATGCCCCCATGTCGGGCACAGTGAGATACAATTTGAAGAATTTGTGGTAGTTCCCAAGAGCGAGAGCAGAGCGCACTTCAAGTGCATGCTTAATTGCAGGTTCCTTCTTGTCTGCTGGTGTTAGATCAGAGAGTACGTCATTCATGTCAGTTTGGTTGCACGTGTGGATAAAATAAAGGATACGATATGCCTTGAACTCCACAGGGTGACCACCGAGGTTCTGTTTATACAGCGCCCGTAGCTGTGTTTGGCACTGATTATACTCACCCAGGTCACCCTTCTCCAAAGCAATGCGAGCATGGTACTCGTACACGCTGGTGGTGAATTCGTTCTTGATATGTTGGACAGTCAAATCTTGCCGCAGTGACTTGAACTGGTCACAAATGTAGACGTAGTTGCCCTCTGTGCGCCATTTCTTTTTGAGCAGTTCCAGAGTTTTGCGGAGGACTTCCAGAGGTCGGACGTCATCAGGGTTGGGTGCTGACGTTAATCTGAAGTAGTTCTTCTCGAGCTTTTGCGAGCGACCAACAATTGGTCCAGTCGTCCTCGGCTCCGGCGAAGCAACCCGAGATGACTCTTGCGTGCGTGGAGAGTCCGATCCCTGGCGCGTCTCCTCGAACCGCCGCCTGCGAGATTCCAGGCTTGCGTGGGCTTTACTTACGGATTTATTCATGTCGAGTTTGGGCCGCTTATCGGACGGGTTGAAGGAAACACGGTCAGCCAAAGGTCCAGAAGATCGTCCATTCGTTCTCCAAGGCGGTTGAGGTGTGGCAAGCTCGCCATCAGTCGAAAGCTCCGTGGATTTGCGCTTACGAGGGACATCCGGTTGAGAGTGGTAGGAAGTGGTGGAAGCGGCTTGAACAGGTACAGCAGCAATATAGGATGGAGGGGACATAGGGGCAAGAAGAGCACGATTGCGTTCATCTCGAATCATTTGTTGCGGTAGTGGCAGCTCTTTCCAATTGATAGTATCCAACTTGCCAGTTTGAGTTGCATCAGTGATAATTTCTTTGAGTTTTGTTTCAATCTGTTCTTTCGACACATCCCGGATTTCTGCGGCTTTGGCAAATGAGCGATTGACATAATCACGGACGTCTGCAGACCAGACTATCTTTTGCCTTGCTTGTTGTTGCGGTTGGGGGGGCGGCGTGTTTGGCGCGGTGCTCGTTGATGGTGAGGGCATATATTGTTGAGGCAGCAAGGGAGCTGGATTGTAGGTGGGTGGCGGAACAAGATTCGGTTGAGGACCAAAGGCATTTCGGGCGGGAACTGGTATGTAAGCATGATTCTGGTGGTTCAGCGATGGGTATGAAGTCTGCCACGGAGGGTGGCCAGCGGGAGACGAATACATGACAGCGACTCCAGGAGAACAAGACTATACGAGGCAAGGATTTAGCAGGAAGTGAAGAGAAGGTGCTCCGAGAGCCAAGGCGGAACAAAAGTAGGAGGATTCCTGATGTCGCAGACTTAGTTAACAGAACAGGAGACGGTGAGAAGGAGAGGAGGAAGTGAAGTTGTCTTGAACCTGTGGTCGCAGGAAGAAAGGTCCTCTTGGCAGAGGGTCTAACCTGAAGTGGGTTAGCGAGATATTGACTGTCACCACCCTCTTCGGCATCTATCCTTATCCTTGATCATTTCTTCGTTATCCATGGGAAAGATGTTGCGGACACCAGATCTATAGCGACAAGCAAATTCCAAGGCTTTCTTTACTGTCAAAAATGAAATCCAGTCTGCATAGACAGCCGGATGTTCCTCAAAAGGCCAGATTTGACCGCTGGCTCGCGCCCAACCTTGTCCCCAGATGAGGTCCTTCTATTCGTACAGGACGGGGTTGGGCTCTATGAAGGGTGCGATTGGATTTCTCATTGCAACAGTTGCAACTCAGAGGCTTACGCTCACTCAGAAAATATAAGGTCGACTCCTGCCAGAAAGGACATGCATATCTGACCTCTCATCGCGCTTGTTATGTCGATGATGCAGAACCTCGCGCGAATTCATGGGCTGTTGATCTCAAAGATGTTGAAAAACACGAATTTCAGGTACTTAAACTTGTCCGCCCTGCGTATAATGTATTGACCGGCGATTCAAAAGGCTGGTTTCCTCAAATCGTCGCCGAAAGTGACCCTGTTTCCCAAACCGCCTAAACGAAGGTTTGGCTCGATAAGCAGAACTGGACCGTCACAGTCCCCTAGATTTCAGAGTGTGGCATCTTCTTCAACTCCATCAACACGTGCTTCCAGCCCATTTCGACCATCGGCAATATCTCCTACTCCGCCACCGCTTGTCGTCGGCACTTGGGTATGCCCCATCTGCTCTTTTTCTAATCCCGTACCCTCTAATTTTGACCCTACCATCGCAACTGAATCCTTCCCACTGCCGCCTTGCCTGGCTTGCGGCATCAAACCGCCCTTTTCACTGGTACTCAAAGCAGCCGTTACAGCGAACGCAAAGCGCATTCCCGGGACTAGACCGGAGTCAATCAATCTCACGGCTGAGTCCCAAAGCCGGTCTTATGGAGATGGAATCTCATCAGACACTATTACTTGTCCCCGGTGTACATTTCACAATCATCCTTGGATGCGCATCTGCGAACTATGCTCTGCACCACTTCCAGTGCCAGACTCTATACAAAGGAAGGCGCTTGAAGACCCGTTGGGTCGGTCTGAGTCACCAGGACCTGAAATCTCTGGCCTGTCGTTGGAGGAAGAGCATGAGACTCCAAGTGTCAAGTTTTCTTTTCGGAATGGCGGTGATCGAGTTTTCTACGAGCGACTGAAAAACGCGATGATACAGAGGAAATGGTTGTTGCAGAATGCACCGCCCATCCCACGCCCCGACATTGAGCGTGCGGCAACGCCACTTGGCAGTCCCAGTCCTGTGCCACCATCTGAGTCTCGAGCAGTTGCCGTTGGCATAGCCGGGCTTGAGCAGCGTGGACTTCAGACTCGCAAGAACAACGAAGCAGTGCTGGGCAATGCGTTTGAAGATTTGGAGGCTCTGATGGCGTCAGCCAAGGATGTCGTTGCCCTAGCAGAGCGATTTGCCTTGGAGTCTGGATCACAGACAGGTGTTCCCGGAGCGTCGTCCGACCCTCTTCTGTCTCAGTCGGCGGCAGCGCTTGGCATGGTAGCAACGAAAGACATGATCGGGGACAACTCGACTGCTCTGTATATCTCCGAACTGGCAAGGAATCTGGCCGAATATGCTACGGACGACCGCCAGGCGATTTTACAACGTCAAGGTGGCACAATGAGTCTGGTTGACCTGTGGGCAATGTTCAACAGAAGCCAGAATGGGGTGGAGCTAGTCAGCCCATCAGATTTCCACAAAGCGGCCGAAGCATGGGAAAAGTTGGGCCTGCCTATCAAGCTACGGCGTTTCAAGAGTGGACTGTTGGTGGTGCAGCAGCGCAACGCAAGTGACGAGAAAACAATCGGCCAGATCAAGGCGTGGCTCGATTCATTACGACTCTCGACGGCTCCCACATGGTCAGAGGCATGGGACAGGTCAATGTATGGCATTGGAGTTACAGCACAGCAGGCGGCTGCGCATTTTGGCTGGAGCCTTGGGGTTGCCGCCGAAGAACTTGAAATGGCAGAGGAGAAAGGCGCAGTCTGTCGAGAGGAGGGCGTGGAAGGGCTGAAGTTTTGGCTCAACCACTTGATCGAAGACGACTAGACGCCTACGGGTAGACATGTGTTTGTATCAAGACATTAGCTAGGTAGCTAGGCCCCTTTTACCCCTGAACCTTTGAACAGTTCAGTATCTAAGAAGTGCTTAGGTACCTAGGTAAGTAGTTCTCACCTCTACGTGCCACCCACGAGGCTCCGGGACCCCACGTGGCGCGTCTCTGCATCCTACTAGTAGGTAGTGTTGCCCTCGCTGCGTACCCCGTAGATTCGGCGCACCTGCCTCTTTGAAAAATTTCTCCTCCTGAACTCGAGGATTGAGGACGCGAGGACGCCGAATGTGAACGGACCACGATGGTTCTTCATGCTGATGTATGATGGTATCGATATTGTCTCACCCAAGTCACTCTTTCCCTTAGTTCTGCACAAACATGGCCAGAATCGGGCGCGGAGGCTTTCTGGCTCTCGCCGTGGTCTTCCATCTGGTCTACATCTACTCCATCTTCGACATCTACTTTGTTAGTCCGATCGTCCATGGCATGAGACCAATTGCCGTTCAGCAAGACCATGCCCCCTCGAAACGACTGGTTCTATTTGTAGGCGACGGTCTGCGCGCTGACAAGGCCTTTCAATCCTTTCCAGACCCTTCTCCTTCTGACCCAGACAACGCCGACTCTACTCCGCGGCCTCTCGCTCCCTTCCTGCGATCTCGAGTACTCCAGCACGGTACCTTCGGAGTCTCTCATACAAGGGTCCCGACAGAGTCACGGCCTGGACACGTTGCGCTCATCGCGGGTCTCTACGAAGATGTTTCTGCGGTGACAACTGGGTGGAAGTTGAATCCCGTTGATTTCGACAGTGTCTTCAATCGAAGTCGGCACACATGGAGTTGGGGAAGTCCAGATATTCTTCCTATGTTTAAAGAGGGCGCAGTACCAGGGCGAGTCGATGCCGATCAATATGGTGCAGAATTCGAGGACTTCTCACAGGACGCTACTGCACTGGACGTATGGGTCTTCGATAAGGTTAAAGATCTTTTCAAATCTGCCAGCACAAATGCCACACTTGATGCGATGCTTCGAGAGGACAAAGTTGTTTTTTTCTTGCATCTGCTTGGTTTGGATACGACGGGTCATTCTTACCGCCCATATTCCAAGGAGTATCTACACAACATCAAGATTGTTGACCAAGGCGTCGAGGCCATCACGAATCTGATCGAGGAGTTTTATGCCGACGGGCAAACATCCTACGTCTTCACAGCGGATCATGGAATGAGCGACTGGGGAAGTCACGGGGACGGCCATCCCGACAATACGAGAACGCCCTTGATCGTTTGGGGGGCTGGTGTAGCCCGACCCCAGCTTTTTCCGGTCGCCCAAGCTCCCGGCCATGAGGACGGTTTCTCCTCCGACTGGGGCCTTGATCATGTTCAACGCCATGATGTTGACCAAGCCGATGTTGCCGCGCTGATGGCGTATCTTGCGGGCCTGGAGTTTCCCGTCAATTCTGTCGGCAAGCTTCCGCTGTCCTATCTTGCTACATCGACGCAGGAGAAAGCTAATGCGTTGCTTGTGAACACCAAACAAGTCCTCGAGATGTACAGAGTCAAGGAGGAACAAAAGAAGGCAACGTCGCTGAACTTCCAACCATATCCCCCTTTTTCACAAACAAACGCGTCTGTGGCTGGTCGAATTGCTGCTATCGAGGCTGCAATCGGCAGCAACCACCACGAGTCAGCCATTCAGCTGTCCTCGGAGCTCTTTGACCATGCCCTACAGGGGTTGCGGTACTTACAAACTTACGACTGGCTTTTCCTTCGAGCACTGATCACCGCCGGATATCTTGGCTGGATTACCTACGCAATCACGACCGTCATTGACCTCCATGTCCTGCATGGCGCAGTGCAAGATGAGAGGACGATGGGAACAACCATCGTGTTCTCGTCTCTCCTGGTTGTGTTGTATTCATTCTTCGTTGTGGAGCGATCGCCCATAACCTATTACGCCTACGCTTTGTTCCCGGTCTTTTTCTGGGAGGAAGTGTTCGTCAGGAGAAAGGCTCTCTTTTCCGGGCTCAGCGTTCTTTTCGGTCACGTCCAGAGCTTTTCTCGATCTGTCTCACTTCTTGTACAAGTGTTGCTGTATTTGTTCGTCATTGAAGCTTTGGTAGGTGGCAGGAACCTATTCCACAACGATCTGACTGCTGACTTACGCAGGTGCAATCATACTTTCATCGCATTATCTTCACAGTGTGTTACCTCCTCGCATCGGTCTTTCCAGCTACCTATGGCGTGGATTTCATCAAGAAAAATAAATTAATTGTGTTGGCATGGGCAGCGGGCTGCCTAGTTCTAAGCACCTTTACAACGCTCCCGGTGGTCAAGATTGAGAGTTCCAGTATGATCACCGCAGGAGGTCTCCTTATGTTCGGAGCCGGTGTCCTCTATCTTGCTTTTGAACACGACATCACCACGCAGTCAAGATCGCGGACGCAAGAGACAGAGCCCAACGTGATTTCTCGAGTCCTCATGGGCCTTCAGGTCGGCATCATTGGGCTGACAATCATCGTTACGCGCTCAAGTGTCGCTTCACTTCAAGCAAAGAAAGGACTACCACTCGGAAATCAAGTCACTGGTTGGCTTGTTCTTATCGCCTCTCTCATCCTTCCATTCGTGCACCGAATAGCACCAAACACACATTACCTTCATCGGCTGGTTATTATCTTCTTGACGTTTTCGCCATCGTTTGTGCTTCTTACGATCTCATATGAGGGCCTCTTCTACTTTGCCTTTTGTTTCACGCTGCTTACATGGGTCCGTCTTGAGCACGCCATCCAGCGTCATGAACCCTTCCAGTCACGAGGAGCTTCGCACGACTCAGTGGCCCCCCCAAATGGCATCACCATAACGTCGAAATCGCAGAAATCCGAGAATCTCCATCCCGAACAGACCTTCCGCACCCTCGCACTCACGGATCTGCGCCGTGCCCTTTTCTTCCTCTTCTTTCTACAGTCCGCCTTCTTCTCGACCGGCAACATTGGCTCCGTTTCCAGCTTCAGTTTGGATGCCGTGTACCGCCTCATCCCGATCTTTGATCCCTTCTCCCAGGGTGCCCTTCTGCTGTTCAAGTTGATGGTCCCGTTTGCCATCATCTCGGCGGCACTGGGCATCCTCAATCGCCGACTCGGGTTGCAAAGCTCGGCGCTGTTCATGACGGTTATGAGTATCAGCGACGTGATGACACTCAACTTTTTCTGGATGGTCAAGGACGAAGGGAGTTGGCTAGACATTGGCACGACCATCAGTCACTTCGTGATTGGGAGTTTGCTTTGTGTGTTCGTGGCGGGATTGGAGGGAGTGAGTCAAGCTTTGATCCAAGGGGTCGAGGTGGATAGCTATGAGGATAGAACAAAGGAGATGGGTGGGGTTCAGGTGGTTTCAGGGAAAGTCGTGGAAAACGGCGTGGATGAGAAGGTGCAGGCAAATGGGACGGCGAATGGAGTCGTCAGGGTCACCGAAGGAAGGGAAGGTGTGGACGAGAGGCCGGTTATTGAATAGTCACGATCTCTCTGGGCAAAATATCAAGGCTGCCATGGGCTTGAATCTTGGTATTGGAACGCCTGTTGCGCATAGATCAGGTCGATGGGCCTCGAGCTTGTCTGTAAGACTATTGGACACACGGTGCTACGGCATGCTTTCTGTATCAGTTCACCTCGAGCGCACGCAGTAGTCCACAACTATAGATCTTGCAGGTCTTGTGGATGGATGAAAGTCAAGAGCCCAAATCCTCCCATTGAGTTTTGCTCTATTTAATGCGTAGACTATGCCGGGCCAATGCTTTTTTGCCCTGCCCTTATGGCATGATGCAGGTCACTGCTCTACTGAGGATGTTCCATCTCTCTAGCTTTGCAGCCCGATGTAGGGCGAGGCTGTTGGTACATGTTTCCACAATTGAGCTGTCGACAGCTTCCTGTCCGCCAGCTGTATGATTCAGATATGTGGCCCTCATTCTCTTGAGAAAATCTAGTGGACGAAGGGGAACACCATGCACCCTATCAATCACCCGTCTTTCTTTTACTCGCGAGCGTTCCCGGCTCCCCTGTCAGGTACACCCGTGGTGGCACCCTTGGACTTTGAGTACTTTGCGTACTCTCCAGGCTTTGCGCCCTCGGCGGCGAGGAACTCTGCACTCACGGGCTCCTTTGCCTCGGCGCCCTCTTTTCTCACGTTGTGTCCCGCGAGAGGTCCTCTAGGGTGATCCCCTTCCTGCTGCAGCCTGCGGAACTCAGTGTTCACGTCCGTGGGGTCTTGCAGGCCCGAGCCGCCCGATGCGCCAGCGCCCTCTGGGCCAGAGGTGTGCTTTTTGCGCGTGTGGTGTCCCTCGTGGCGGATCTCCGTCGACGTCTGGCCTTGTCCCGGGTGGCCGAGCCCGGTGTGCACGTCGGCGGAGGTTGCGCCGGGAAGCGTGCTGAGCGGGTCGGTGCGCACGCCTTCCTTGCCGTGCGAGCGGTCGACGTTGTCGTTGAAGGCTTGTCCCGGTACTTCGCTCGTTGGGTTCGGTTGGTATGTTGCGTTTGCGGGCGCCGTGCCCGGTGGTAGTGTTTTGGCGGAGAATTCGGGCGCGTGGTCTGCCGGCGAGACCTTTTGGCCTACTTGGTGCTGGAGAGAAGAGTCAGTCAGGGACGGGTTGAGATCACGGGATGGTGTCGCTGCTCGGGACATATGGGGAAAAATAACTTACACCCTTGGTCTCAATGGGTTCATCGCGAGGCTTGTGAGGCATGAATTCGCCTTGGGCGTTGGTCATCGAGTCGGCGTTTCTTGCGGCCATTGTGTCTGCGGTTTCTTGTGGTATTCGGACTTGATTCAATTTCTTCGTAGAGAGTCTTTCACGTTGAAAAGTGTCAATGAATCTGAAATGTAAGAATGAGCAGGTCACGGAGGGGGATGAGGCCCTTGAAAAACTGTCGTGTGCTTTGTGCCTGAATCTTTGACGTCATGGCTAGGGACAATTTGTGGTGACTGTGATCTCATACTCCCTTGATGTTTGTCTTTGATGTGGCGATGCGAAAATATCAACAGGGGTTCAATGGGGCCGAATGGGGCGTGCTTGGGCGTGGAAAGTGCTCGGACCTTCCCGTGGGATCACGAGTGGTAGAGGCAAAGACGGTGTCTGTATGGCGTCTGGTGTTTGCTTCTGATCCATCCTACCACTTCATTTGGGATTGGTCGGGTAGGCTCCCTAAGACAGATACTCACATGGGGACCATCATCCGAACATCTCTATCAGTGTTAGCAGCTCATCATAAAGGTTGTTCCTTGCAACAGTATTCACTGTGATCCCGAAGGGTAGCAGCCCATGTTGTTTCTGCTCGTCGTTGCTATGGCGCCAAGCTTTTCAAATGACGTCGCAGGAGCCACCGTCATCGTCATTCCTGTCTCGTGGTCTTCCAGCTTGATATCGAGACTTCAATTGCACCAGTCTTTCGTTCAGGAACCGAGACATATATATCTTTTCAATCTTTTAATCCCTTCGCCAGCAATCTACCGAGTAGATGGGGATCACTCCTGAATCCCGGGGCTCATTCCTGGCGCTCGACAAATAAAACTTGTGGAGGATGGAGCCTTGGATAATACTCACCTCCTCACCTCCTCATCTCTTCAGTCTTCTGGTGTGCTTCTGTTCCCAGACAGAAACATGACTAAGGTCCTCGGGAAAAAATCAATGAACTCTTGGACGGACTCGATCTCTGCCGCGGTGACGAGATTGCACCGACTCCATGGAACCCCGGCTCGAATACTTCGAGCTGCGAAGATACCCCGAACTCAATGGAGTGCTGGGGTTGAAAGCCGGGGAAGAGCACGGCAAAATACGAGTTCTGTACGGAACCCACCCTCAAGTTCTAAATAATTGATTGAGCCCCTTTAAAACTTGATCAATGCCCTCATTTTCTCCGTTACTGGTTAAAAGTATCGAAGGAAATGTGATATTTGTCACTCTGCTATCTTATAACAGCTCTGCTTCACCAGAAAGGCCACCACCTACAGAGTATCCGAGAAATGCCACGAACACCTGTCCTCGACACGGCTCCAACCATGAACTTGCCACCCATCCCCGAAGATGAATTCGTTGTTTATGCAGACGTGAGTGTCGAGGCCTTCACCGGACCAGCCGTTCCTAACGTTCCTACAGGTGTACGCGAAGGAAGGTCACGCCGATGAACTCGAACGCTTAATCCGCATCTTGATTCGAATGGTCGAGTCGGAGCCTGGGACCTTGGAATATGTCATCTCGAGGGATCACGATGAACCCAACCACTTCTTCGTCTTTGAACGATACAGTGGCAGGGAAGCGTTCGACAAACACTGTGCCACTCAGGAATATCAGAATGGGAGCTCTGGTCGACCTACCACAGCCCAAGATTTTGAAGCAATTGAAGCCCATTTAAGGGTGGTCTTATAGCCTTTTGTCGCAATGCCTATCACAAGACATGGTCGGTGACATTAAATACACTTTCAAATTACGGAGTCTATATACGAACGCTTCCAATGGTCTCATTTGAATCTTGAATTGATTTGCAAACTTTTCACCCGTGATGGAATAAAAGCACCGGGCTTGCAGCAAAAGAGAAGACTTTGACTTGCAAACCTGATTGTGAAAATGAGATGTAGACTTGGACCATTCAATGTTTCTTGATTTTCAGTCAAAACACCCAACGAAAATCACTCAATGCATACCTGGATAGGATTCACGCATTCGCCACAAAAAGCCCCTCGAGGAAGTTATCAAGGTCAGAGATTAAGCACCGTTTGGGAGGTTCCCAACTGCATTGGCATTGATCTTTGGTTGACGAAGTCTATTTCCCCCCTTTGTTGCTTTCTCACTCACCGTTTTGGGCGTTTCTCACTCTTCAATCGCCTTACGGATGCTTCCACCCACTATACGCCAAATCTCTCTCCCTGTTTCGGGCAGCAAATATCCGGACGTGAAGTTCTTTCTTCCTCTCGACCAAGCAGGCACCAAGTGCTCATCGTTGCTGCTCTCACCCTCTCTCTTTCTTTTCAGGTCGAGCCAGGGAATCTGAGCGGACCGCCTTTAATCCGGAGCTTCTCACCGTATACGTGGATGAAGGTGAGAATAACCCCAGCCGCGACAATGACGGCGGCCTGTGTGCCGAAACTCGCGCCATAGCCGACGCTTAAGCCCCACGGCTGCTGAAAGTAGCCCACTGCGAACCCGCCCATGACGCGCATGAAGTTGATGAATGCCGACACCTCGCCGGAGGCCTGCGGGTAGCACTCAAGCGCGTAAGCGGTGATGGCCACGCTCGACAGCATGGCGCCGAAGATGTAGATGCCCCAGCCGAAGGCGACGCCCAACCAGTGGAGGAGGTGCTCGAACGACTGTCCCAGAAGCACCAGGCCGGGTACCATGATGACAGTCCCTAGGTACGTGACGGGTAGCCGTGCTTCGGCCTTGAACAGGCCGTCGTGCCGTCCAGTGTACCTTGCCGCGTTCCAGTCGTTCAGCCAGTGGCCCAGAGCCTCGCCCAATGTGACGCCTATGGCAGGGGCACTGTACCAGAGAGATGTCAGCAGTCATTGAGAGTAAAACCTGCCAGGACCGGCAACAACATACAAGTAGATGAACCCAGAGGCCTCGGGACTGAACCCGTAGCCACCAGCATCTTGGGGTGTTCCCAGGAGGACAGCCGCCGTGATGTTCACCCCAGTGGCCTACATGAAATATAAGCAGCTAAGAGGCAAATCGCTCCCATCAGTAAGGTTTTGTTGGACATAGTATGCCACACTCACAAGTAGACCAGGATCGGTAGCATCAGCGGCTTGATCAAAACCGCCCAGAGCCTGCGAAAGGCTGGGACGACACCCATAAAGTACGCCCTATGGTGTCGGATCTGCCAAATCCCGACCACTCTCTGCCACCTGCTTCTCCGCGGTGGCTGCTCATCAATGGACAAACCTCTCCGGTACCAAGTCTCGTCCAGGAATAGCAGCACCAGCACCAGATCAAGGCACGTCGACGCGAACGCGAGCCAGTACAGTGGGCGCCACTGCGAGTCCAGGCCGGAGATCATAAAGTAGCCCAGCATGGGGCCCACGTAGGGCGTGACGTAGAAGAAGAAGAGCCAGATGCCGATCTTGCGGGCGTGTTCGTGCAGGAAGAACATGTCCTTGATGTAGCACAGCGTCGTGGTCTGGCAGACGGTCAGACTGGCCCCTTGTAACGCCCTCAGCGCGTAAAAGGTCTCGAAACTGTCCGTCAGGCAGATGCCGAGGGTGAACAGAAGGCTTGCGAGCACGCTCCAGAACACGACGGGAGCGCGGCCCCAGAAGTAGCTCGGAGGGATTGCGAGCACGCCGCCAACTCCCCTGGAATCTCGTCAGATATCAAATGTGGAAGTGGGGAACAGGGAGTTTCTGGAGACAGAAACTTACACCATAATCACGGCCAGATTCGTGGTAAAGTTCATCGAGTTGTACGACTTGTTCCAATGAACCGCCTGGGGCAGAATCGCTGGGAAGCCAAGGCAAAGGCTAAAGTCTCCATTACCTGCCAGGATTGACGTTGTGAGGAGCACAGCGTGCTTCTTCCACCATGGCCAGTTGAGCGGATCATTCGGGTCGTCACTCGGTTGCGGAATAAGAACAGTCTGTGTTACCATTTCAGTGATTTTAAATGGCAGAAAAACAAACCCTTCCAGCATGGGGCTGACTTACGCGACCATCGGGTGCCAGTTTCAAGCCTGCCGCGTCCGCCCCATCTTTGGTGTTGATGGTGAGAAGTATGCCTTCACCTTCTTGAGTGGCTTCTTCGGTCGTGATGAGATGGTGTTCTTGATGGCTGTTGCGTGCGACTTTTCTGCTATATCTTCGCAATAGCCGACCTGCTTTTCTTCATGAGAAGGATCTTTTGAGCCAGCCATATTGGGGGTCTTGAAAAAGTCTATTATAAGGCAAACTCGGGCAACGGCGCAGGTATTTTTAAAACCCCAGAACGGTTTGATCGATCTGAACTAAGTATGAGAAGAAGTTCCGTCTACGAGAAGGCAGGCACCTTGTGTCTGTTCCTTACCTTTTATCAGGAATTCAAAAAGGGGTATTGCTGTTACTCGGCCTCTGAAAATGGAATAAACATATTCCTCCGTTGCACGGTGAAACATATATTTGCCGGCTTTCGGCCTATTTCGCGGTTGACCTAGTTCTTAGGTACCCTGGGATTAGGTCAATTAGAGCTCGATACCTCGACAAAAGGAAACGGCGAGGGGAGAGGTCGGACCGAGGACAATCTCTCACAGCTCAAGAGACGGTGGAATACAACGAGGTTGACCGATTGATTGTACCGGAAGTTTATTCGGGCTTCAAGAAACGTCCTTAAGAAAGCCTAACTAGCCAGGAAACAAGCACTACAATCGGGATAGATCGAATGGCTAAACATATTTGGTCTAAGGACAGTCGAAAATGGGCCGGAGAGGTTGGACTAGCCGTGTTATTTGGCTGAGGACAAGCAGTGTCAAGACTTCCGAGAAGTTTTGGGAGGCCACGATGTTCCTATTGCGACTCAACAATCCCGAGTAGACTATCGACTGCCTGACTATATCGTCTACAATGTGAGAGACCTAAGCCCGTTTTCTCACAATATCTGGAAGTCCAGAAGGCTCGCCGTGGATTGTCACAAAATACGGATCGTAGACGGTGGTGGTTCGCTTGGATACCTCTCCATCCGCATACTCGGGCCTTTTCAAGATGAAATGCTGGTCGCGAGAACATTCGATAAACTCCCCATTCAGAGATCGGTCGTTCAAGCATTTCCAATACGCGCCAACAATGGTCGAGGCCGGTGTCAAACTAGCAGAGCCCGTTAGAAGAATAAACTTGTCAGGTGAGACATGCGTCTCGAAGAAGGAATGACCTACGAGTCTTCACCAAAGGTATCCCGCATATGTTGGCTGATGAATTGAGTTGGCACCACACCGGGACAGACAGTGTTGATAGTAATGTTTTCTTTCTGCTTAGAGGTTAGTACTTGTTACTCGAAAGCTTGCACCACCAATATCTTCACTCACGAACTGCAAGTATGGAGCACAGGCCCGCACGAACCCATTGATCTGTTGGAAGTTTCAGCAAGAGAGATCGAACTTATCACTCTGCACCTCAGGCTTACTCCAGCTTTGGCTCCAGAATACTCAGGAAACGATGCCACTGGGTGGACTGCCACCATACTGGACGTTGCAACGATGCTACCTCCCGGGGTCGGATTCTGTCGAATAAAGTGTATGGCAAGTTGCACGCCGTAAATTGTCGCCTTCATGCAGACGTCCGTACATGAGAGGTCTGGCTCCGGGGGTATTCTTGTGTAGACAAGTCAGCTAAGGCCCAAGGCGACAGAGAACGGACAATTTAGCTTTACTCGGTCTTGCCTCGCCACTTGAGAATATAAATCGAGCTCCTGTCGATGATGCCGGCATTCGCACACAGAGCATCAATTCGACCACATTTCCGAAACACTGCTGAAAATGCGCTCGCCTGCTCGTTGTAGTGGCTGATATCGCATTGACAGAACATAAAGTTCTCCCCGAGTTCATCGAGCAGGTTTTGAGCAAGGTGGCCCTGAGAGGCAATGTCAAGGGCCGCGACTCTCCATCCTTCGCGGATCAATTTTCGAGTCAACTCTGCACCAATACCAGACTAAACAGATATCATATCAGTGCCTTTATTGTGGCAACTTTGTAAAAGCAAATTGCGTCCATTGATAACTTACGACACCGCCAGTGACGATGGCGACCTTCTCGCTGAGACCGGACATGATCGTTTCATTGCCAGAGAACTTGAAGAGCACGTAGGTGGCTTGGAAGCCAACACGAACGAGATCATGTTTATAGATTGATCAAAAAGATACTGGAGCAGCTCGAACGTCGTCAATGCTCAAAGCGGGTCCAAATGGTCGCCCCAGACTTTCGTCCCCGGATATCCCCAGGCCGCGGTGAGCGACCCCGTTTACCCCGACAAAGTGTATACGAGAGATCAACAGTGCGAAATCTCACCGAGCAGCCGAAACTCCACCGAGCACCTTCGTCGCGTATCAAGGTATGAAAACGATAGAGGAGAAGGAAACGTTGGAACCAACCAAGAGATCTCCTTCTCATGACAAGCTGTCAGACTTGAAAGCATCGAGCTGGGTTTACGTGGTCTCTGCTTGTTCAGGTGTCAACCCCTTCAGAGCTCCAGCAACTGCACTGACACCTTTCTCTGAACCTCATGACCATGGCCACTAAACACCGATTCTACCGCATAACGATCTTTGTCAATCGAGTACCAGAGCTGAGTGAGGACGAGTTTCACAAACATTGGTCAACCACACACAGACAGCTTGCAGAAGACTTACTCGTCAAATATGGCATCGCGAAATATCGACAGGTCGGTACCTCAAAATGACACTGCGAGGGATGCACGCTGCCAGCCGTTGCTAACGAAAGAGCGGCGCCAGTACCATACACCATCAGCTCTCCTACCAGAAGCGGAAGCCAAGTGCCCTGGTTTGGACAAGGTCAAAGAGTTGGGCTTTGACGGAGCAGCCGACTTCATCATGGCCGACATTGAATCTTTCTACAAGTTTCGTCAGGACCCGTACTATAGCTCGCACGTTGACGCCGACGCAAGAATTCTGTTTGATTGGAACAGCGCCCGGTGGACCGTGGGATGGGAGGAAGTGTACGTAAAGGATGGACGAGTGGTTGAAATGCCAGATGGAGAGGACTAGCCTCGGTCAAAGTCCCAGCTGTAGCAACAGAGTTTGACATGTGCTATCGTCGGAAGTCAGTTACAATGCGATTTCGACGAGGGAGAACGCCAGGCTAACTGATATACGTTGTTGCTTCTTCAAAAGAACTGCGCTTGCTTTTTCGCAATCCGATGCCTCCACAAATCCACCTCGGCATCTTCCACTTCCCAATGCGGTGCCTATTCCGCGTCTTCACCTGATCGGGGTAAATTCTCCACTGTTACAGCATGGGTCATGGGGGTCAGTTGACGAGGCTATGCTGTACTCGTACACCTGTTGGTCACAGACTGCGACCACTTCTTCGATGAAATAGTCCCATCTCAAAGTCATAGGGTCCGTTTGAGGGAACGGAGGGTGCGATAAAAGCAAAAGAAAGCAATGCCCCGTCTACTACCTAGGTATGTTGAATTGTCCTTGGCGTCCACCGTGCCAGGCCGGCGCCTGAAGAGATGAAGAATCCATAGGCAAATGGGGCAATCGGTGGAAACCCCAACTTGTGCTGGCGATCCGCTTTTCTCGTCCCTAGCCGTTTAACTGTGAAGATCTTTGGCTGTCATCCTCAGCCTCATTGCCTGATCGGGCGTATAGGCGTCGATCCAGCCCCGCCCGCTAACTCGACTATGAGTGCCACCGAAGTGCAATTTCGGTTCATGGGGAATTGTGTCACATCCCCCCTTCTGATTGCTAGTCAATGTCAGTGTCGTTACAGTGCTTGTGGATGTCCCCGGAAGCAGGATGCAGATTAGGGAACCACGGAACCTCAGTCTCCTGTATAAGAGTCCGCGCTTCTTCGCAGAATGGGAGGAGTCTTGAGAGTAGTGGCAGCGCCTATTGATCGCTTCGCAAGGGACTATTGCCCGCGCGCTGAAAGACTTGGTGTCTCGCCATGAATCACCCGTCACTCGTTTCAATCTTGCTCGCGCTGGCCGCGCTGTACACATACGAAGTTACTTCTCTTGCGGTACCCCGGCCACCGACTTTAAAGAGCCGTTCACTCCTTCCACCTTATTCGTTACCCCAGGATGACCTGCTCGACTTGACAAGAGGAGCTGATATCGCGACAAAACAACTTGGCTATTTATATGGTCCTCCGGTTGCTGGCGGGCCTTTCTTTCCCACCGGCGCCTTAGGTCTGGCAAGAGTTTTGGCCGATCAAGCAGAGATTCAGCTCGATGAGGCCCCAGTCCTTGCGGCCATTGCTGTCGATACCACCGACAGTACGGTTTCGGCTCCCGAGTACAATGGCCTGCAGACTCTGGACGACTACACTCTACTATATGACGGCCACTGGAAGGCAACTCTCCCATCTGGCCCGGTTCCAGGAATGGAGACCAATTACACCCAAGACCTACTGTTCTCAATGGAGCGCCTCTCCTTCAGCCCCTACCAGGTGAGAAGGCTCAACCCTTCCTCGGATACGTTACAGTTCAGTGTCGACGATGATACTGCGACGAACCTCACAGGTATGACGCTACAACAATTGTTTGAAGACGGACGGCTCTTCTATGCCGATTATCGAGATCAGAAAGATCTGACTCCAACTGATCGGTTCTCTGCCGCTTGCGACGCTTTCTTCTACATTGACCAGACATCCGGAGATTTCTTACCCCTCGCTATCCGTACAAACGTAGGGTCCAGTCTGATCTACACACCAAATGACGATCCCTCCGACTGGCTCCTCGCAAAGATCATGTACAATGTCAATGACTTCTGGTTTGCGCAGTGGAAACATCTTGCGAGCACCCATGAGGTTGTCCAAATCACATACCTAGCCGCCATCCGAACTCTCAGCGATAACCATCCCGTTCTTGCTTTGCTGAACCGCATCATGTACGAGGTCTACGCTATACAACCGCTGGCGGAAACTCTTCTGTTCCTTCCTGGTGCAGCTGTCGACCAGGTCTTCGCTTATACAGGTACTTCGGCGCAAGACTACACCACCAACCTCTATGCGAACGGTGGTAGTGGTCGCTTTCAGGCCAACTATTTTGAGGCCGAGCTTGAGTCCCGCGGGCTGATCAATTCCAACTTCGGCCCGGCCTTGAAAAATTTCCCTTTCTACGAAGATGCTTCAACTATATATAACGCTATCCATGCCTTTATGACATCCTTTGTGAACTCATACTACTCCTCAGACTCAGACATCACGGCCGATAATGAAATGCAAGCATGGGTAAAAGAGTCACAAGGCCCCGCTGAGGCGATTGACTTTCCTTCGATCACGACGCGAAGCGCCCTGATCGATGCGTTAACACATATGGTGAGCACAAAACGCTAATTGACAATACCGCCATGCTGGAAACTTCTACTGACGAAGCTCTCTTTAGGCCCATCTTGCGTCTACCTCTCACCACACAGTTAACACGAACGAGTTGCTGTCCGCCAGTTCTACGTTACCCTTTCATCCCCCATCGCTCTATCAGCCACCACCGTCTTCCAAAGGGTTTACGAACGTGGTGGAGTTCCTTCCACCGCTTGACAAGGTTGAAGCGCAATTCAGCGTGGCTGCCATTTTCGTACGCCCCTTTTTCGTGGGCACGAACCGCACTCTGATGCACATGTTTGATGATCCTGCGACACTCAGTCGCATGAATAGCGCAACTCAAGCGGCGGCCACAACTTTTTACAACAGCATGCAGGCATTCAGCGAACAGGTTGCTGCACGTACATTCGACCAAAATGGCTTGTCACAGGGGATGCCGTTTGTGTGGCAGGCCTTGGATCCCAATGTGGCGCCGTTTTCCATCACTTCTTAGGATGGCTCATTTGGGCGTCCCTGACTGTCTTATACCATGTACTTTCAACATCCATGTGAAGGGGGCGCTTTTTTCTTGGGTTTCCCCTGCGGCGGGTAATAGTTGGATTCCAAAGTTGTCGTTCCCATTCCTGAGCGATTGTGGAAACTTGCCGTGGTCAGCTTTTAGCCAAATCAAACGCGTAACAGCAACTCATCCTTGCAACTTACAAGGGAGCGCTCCGGGAACTTTCTCATTCTCTCGAATGGGTCGAAGGGGGTCGGTCTTCTGCGCTCTGGGAGATCTCCCAAGCTCTTTCTACAGAGTAAACCCACAAGCTCTGGAACTGGCTAGCATTTTTTCAGGGCTCCGCGGCTGTTTTGCATACGTAAGCCTTTTCCTCCCTCGTACATGGTGAAAGCCTGAAAGGCTTGGTGCGTCGCGATGAAATACCCTCTCTTTCCTATCTGGGTCTACTGCCGCTCGAGTCAGGAACCCATGGCTCCAGTTGAGTCGACACCCTGTGCTCCGTAACCGCACTCCTGATATTTGGGGGCCGTTGAGTGGGTTACTGGAAGCCTTGTCTCCCAACTAGTTGGTCACTTTCGACCGCATCCACGGAATATTCCCATAGATAGGCAATAACGTTCGCTAGAGCGGATTCGCAAGGTCGAGATTTGAGCCCGTTTGTTTCAGAACTGGATCCTCAAGGAACAAAACTCTGTAATACGGAGTTCCTATGACTCCATAGTCCCCGAGTCCCCATGCTAATTCCCTGACTTGAGTTAAGTTGGTGACTAGTTGCGCTAGTCAGTGGTGATCAACGGTCGACTTTTCTCTTCCCCGCATAGCAGATCCATGTATGTTTTCTTGTCCATATCCAACATTCATGCAGGTCCAGGGGAGCCAGGAGCCACTCTTGGGGCTGGTGAGGCTGATTTCATTCGCTGCTGGCCGTTAGCTTCAGGCCTTGCCAGCCCTTCGGGCTGTGGAGATGCCAGCCGCGTCTGATCTCCCGGACGCCACCAGCGCCCTGGCTCAAACTGCCTGCGTTGGAACTAAACGGCGACCATTTGCTCGGTACCGGGCCAGGCCTGTGACAATCCTCGCTGCTGCGAGCAGCCGTTGTGAAAGGATCTGCTCTCGCGCAAGAATGGCGCAGGGACGCAGGGACGCCGTAGGAGGCATTCCTCTACCGGTGGAGCCCTGCGCAAGCCTCGTTCCTAAATCCTGCGCAAATCCTCCACAAGTTCTCTCTCCTCCATTAGCCCAAAAGACACACTCATTCATATGTTTGTCGTCTCTTCGGAGGACATTTGCCGTTTCGATTCTCTTTCCGTTCTCTTTTGTGCAATTGTTGCTCCTTACCGCTGCTGCTTCCTGGCGATCCAGCTTGAAAACCGTGTTCCCTGCAGTGTCCAGTGTACGGGTACATTGGAGGGCCGCGGACCTTACTCCTCCAAACGAGCGATGAACGTCTGATGACAGTACACTTGACAGCGACTCTCTCTGCAACGCTGTCGCACACATCAGACGCAGTGACATTCTATCTTGCTCCTAGCGTCCAGCGCCCAAGGCTGTCCCGTGTCCACAGACTACTCGTCGAGTCCCACCGCGACCAGGTTCAACAATGGTAGACACACTGCACCGTAAGTACTTTCACACCACGAGATCGGGCACGTACTGAGCATCATCCTCTTAGCACCTCCTTCGGTTATTGCTTCTTGGCCAAAACCGAACTATGTCAATCCTGACACCAGAGGGCCGGGCCTTGTGTACATGTGCATCATATTCGCCGCCTTTGGCATCATCACATGCACGGCCCGAGTATACTCGCGACTCTTCATCACCAAGGCGCCTGGCTTGGACGATCTCCTGGTAGTCATTGCCCTGGGGTTCCTTACAGCCTTGACCGTGCTGGTCATAATCGGCAATAAAGACTACTACAACGGCCGGCACGTATGGGACATACCACCAGACAGCTTTGTTGGTGGGCGTGCCAACATCTGGGCCAGCTTGTGGTGTTATGTGATCGGGATCACCTTGATCAAGATTTCTGTCCTGTTATTCTACCGCCGTCTCAGCGTCAAGTTCAGCAGGGCTTTCCTGATCGCGACCTGGATCGGCATCATTTACAATGTTTTGTATTTTCTCTCCTTCGGCCTGACGCTTTTGCTGCTCTGCAACCCACTCCACGCATATTGGGACAGCTTCAACCCTCTCTGGGTCGCAAAACACCACTTCCACTGCGGTTCCGAGAGTGCGGCTCTCCCTGCGTCGTCGGCCTTCAGTGTAGCGGGTGATTTCTACAGTACGCTGCTGCCACTGATCTTGGTCTACTATCTCGAACTGCCCCGCCGACAGAAGATCGCTCTGTATGCCCTCTTTGCACTTGGATTCATGGCAGTCGCCGCTGGACTAGTCCGGACTGTCCTGATGTACAATTTGCTGAACGTCGACTACGACTTCACGTGGGAATTGTGGCTGACATGGATCTGGGCGGTTCTAGAGCTGTACTTGGCGCTCTTTGCAGCCAGCGCTCCAAGCCTGAAGCCTTTCTTTCGACATTTCTTTGTGGAATCCATCAACAGCTTTGCGCGGGGTTCGCGAAGACGTGGAGAATACGGCAACAATAACAGTCAAAGGGCTGCAGCAGAACCCATGTCCAGGAAAGGATCAGTAGGAGGCACCGGGCCATACGCCACAGAGGCAACCAAAGGCGACGTCAACGTGGACCTCTCCGCTGCTGACGTCGAACGGGGTAGAGGCAGCTGGGAAGAGCCCAACGAAAGGATGGAATCCCGGCAGAGTTGGTTCCTGGCGGATAATGAAGATACGGGAACGAAGCATTTCGAACTGCGCGCCAGCCAGGACGGGAAGAAGATGATCCCCATGCGCGTGTACAAGCGCAGTGACTACTACAACCACAATAATGACGGCTACAGCGGCCCCCAAGGGCATTTTGACCCCTTTGCCGACGTCGATGACCGCAGCAACTACTCGAATTCGCACTCGGCGACGACGGCGCTGCCACAGCGGCCAGATTGGCCATTGACGCTGCCCACAATGGGCACAGAACCGCAGCATGAGCCGCGCGAGTTCTTGGCTAATCCGCGGCTGTCAACTTACCAAGAACATATATAAAACATAAAATGTAGTTATAGAAATTATCCAAAAGAAGAAAAAAGACACTCATACCATGGATCTGTCGGACCTTTCTTTTCTCGTTAGAGTGCCCTGTCTTCCTCAACAGGAATGCGTACCTCGTACGGTGATAGTACACCACATCGAAGGATTGGGCGCTGTCGTTGAAGTGAATTTAGATTGTTCTCTGCACAAGCCTCTACGGCATTACTGTCCGTCAGACGATAATCCGATCGAGCTGCTGCAGTTACTGGGTCTCAAAATTCAAGTCTGAGGGGAGGAGACAGCGGGCGACTCACTACCCAGGTATTTATTTTTATTAATATATGGAGGGAGCATTTCCCCAAACAAGCTTAGACTGCAAATCCTCTGAACGCGCAGCCGCCGCAGCTTCAAGAGCTTCATCCGTTTGAACTTGGAAGTGGCTGTTCAATAGGCCCGCTATTTTATCTGAATGTCAGTGCGACTCCATCGTTGCTACGGCCCCAAGATGAATCGACGAACAGCAGCATCGTCCAGCGATATCGCCAGCATCTTCCGAACACCTGCACTGCACCTCATACCCTGCATCACCAACCTCCGCAGTCTCCCTCCTCCAGCACATTCCCTTCATCGCCCCAACTCCTTCTAAGGGTCCCTCATGCCAGTCTCCTACGCAGCCGCTGTATGCCCCGCTGGCGTTCAGATGTCGACGAGCGCGTGATTCAAACCCTCACTCAAAATGGCTTTTTCCAATCAGGCTGCCGTACGGCTGGCTCATGCAGGCGCACCGAGTGCTCAAGCAGACACGGGGCCTGTGGCGCCACGTATCCGCTCATGCATTTGCTGCTGAAAAGTTGCTTGAGCTCTCGCGCGTGCAGGGCGCACGCTAGGCTGTGCAGTGTGCGCCTGCAACTAATAGTCAGGCTCGCGTTCCTACTGGTTGAAGGAAGATGCAAGCTATCGCCATCCCTGTTGGTGATAGTGTACACACCTCATAAAGTTGCCGACTCTCTTTTGAGCTCTTCTCGCAGCCTGATACCGCTTTTTAATTCCTTACCTTTGCTTTGATCAACGTCCTGTCCTGTCAGAAACGATGCTCGACCCGCTCTCAGCCATCGGATTGGCCTCGGCCATCGTGCAATTCGTTGACTTCGGTGCTGAAATCATCCAGGGCGCGCGGGAAGTCTATGGCTCCATGTCTGGCGCGACTGAGCGTAACCGGAGCCTAGAAGTCGTCGTGAGCCAAATGAGCAATCTGATCTCGAAGCTCAGCGCTCAGGGGGACTCGCAGCAAAGTGAGGATGAGAAAGCTCTCGGTCGCGTCGCCGACGAATGCAAGATTCTGGCAAAACAAATTCTCGATCTTCTTGAGAAAATCAAGGCTAAAGATCCCAACTCAACCCTCCAAGCCGTCTGGGCAGCACTAAAGAATCAAAAATACAGGAGAGAGAGGCAGGAACTGGAAGGAAGACTGGAGAGCTGTCGGAATCACCTTGAATTTCAACTGAACTATTTGACCAGGTTGCCCCCTTTCTACTTTGATCTGGGCAGAAAATAACCCTTTTACAGTATTGAGACAAAGAGCAGCTTGGATGCCCTGCTTACTTCGGCGGAGGGTCTCACTGAAAAATTTGAACTGTTTCAGAAGCATGTTGAGCAACTTCGCTGCGGAATCAGGGTTACGTCCATCAGCCCCGAGGCTCAAGAACAAGTCCGGAAGCTCTTGCAGCTCTCTGACGAGGTCCTCCAGAGCATCAAACAGCAACGTGTTTTAAATTCCCTTGCCTACAGTGACATGGAAACAAGATTCGAAGAAGTCTCCGAAGAACATAGCAAAACCTTTGAATGGATTTTTGAAGACACCGCTCAAGGAGACTGCCTGGAGCGTGACGTTTCCAACCAAGAGCCGTTTGTCCATTGGCTGTCAGCCGGAAAAGGCATCTTTCACATAAGCGGGAAATTGGGGTCCGGAAAAAGCACATTGATGAAGTTTCTGTGTAACCATCCTCGCACTGAAACTGAGCTGCGGCACTGGGCAGGTAAGTCACAAGCCGCAAAGGCGATACGCAGTTGCGTCGTTCCTCAATAGCCAAAACTAACACGCTCTGAAAGGCGATCGCAAACTAATATTTGCAAAGTTTTTCTTCTGGAGGGGAGCTAAAACAAAGGAACAAAAGTCTCCAAGTGGCCTTGTCCGGTCGCTCCTGTACGAGGCGCTGCGAGCCTGCTCTGAACTCATCCCCGTCGCACTGCCCGACCTCTGGGCTCAGCTGGATTCATTAGCCTGGCAGGTGGATACGAAGCTCGACCTCGGAAAGCTGCAGACGCGAGCAGCGATTTTTAGGCTTATCAATCATCGGAACTTGTACAGGGAGCACTGTTTCTGCTTCTTCATTGATGGTCTGGATGAATTCGAGAAGACTCCTCAGGACGGCTATGGAGATCTAATCCAATTGCTTAAAAGTTGGTCCGACGTCGCCCCGGAAGCCGTCAAACTCTGTGTTTCCAGCCGGGAAGACCTAGTCTTTATGGATTCATTTTCTCAGGAAAGGAGATTTCGCCTTCAAGATCTCACAAAGAAAGATATGCAACGTTACGTTTGGGATAAGTTGCCGGTCGCGGCCGACGGAAAAGGTGAAGAACTGGCCCGAAAGATAACCGAGAGAGCTGATGGAATCTTCCTCTGGGTTGCTTTGGTGGTCAAGGCAATCCGGGATCAGGTGGATGAAGGGTACGAGCTCTCTGACGTCGAAGAAGAGCTCGGCCGGCTTCCCAGCGAGCTACATGAGCTCTTTGAGTATCTTCTCGAGTCGATTAGCAGCGCAGGTCGCAAGAGAGCTCACCGCACCTTTGCCATGATTCTGAAGCTGAGAGGATATGAGTTCGACCTGTCGTTGCTGGCGTATTCGTTTCTAGAAGACTACGAAAGGAACCCGGCTTTCGCTATGGAGACATTATTCCCGTTTTCTGATATGGATGCTACTACGAGGAGAAGCCGAGAAGACTTTGCACGCAAAAGACTGTACCGGGATTGCAGGCGGCTCCTCGAAGTGGACGAGGATAACAGGACCATCACGGTCACTCATCGATCCATTTTGGAATTCCTTGAAAGTCATGCAGTCAAGGACGAGATGAAGTGCAATCTTGATGGCCCCAGCACTGAAGATGCAATTTCTCAATTGTTCCTTGCAGAAATGCGGAGCAAAACAGAAGGATTTAAAGAGGTATTCCTGGGTCAAGTCGTCTGTGCGCTGATCGATATGCGAAACCGAAGCAACATTGATCAAGAGCCGTTTCGTTTTCTGGAGGTTCTAAATTCCACAATGACACGTTACCAATGGACGGAGGTTCCGAGGTCCAATCGTCAGCTAATTCTCTCAATCCCTTGGCAAAGAACTACTCGGCAGCTTGCTTTTCTGACGGCTACATTTCGAGCCTTGGAATATCCATTTGATAAACACGGTCAACTCAACGATGTTGTCACTCTATCAACCCTTCATGTTGCATCAGTTTGTGGAGTCTATGAATACGTCGCCTGGAAGATAGAGCACGATCCAACCCTTATCAAAAATACTTTCGAAATCGGCATCATTGTCTGCTGCGCCACATATGTGGACGATTGTTTAAAGGACCTTCTTGGCAAGAAGATGAAGATTCTAGAGTTCATGCTGACCCAAGGTCTCTCCGCAAATGCAATTATTCACACCTGCGCAACAAATAGCAACTTCAACGGAGAGCTGAGTTTTTGGCAACATTTTATCCTTAGGTTGGCGAAAATTTTCGATTCCAAGCTGGATGAGGTCGATAGGCTCAAAAGGGAATTTGGCGAAATGATTGAAAAGTTTCTGGAATATGACGCAGACCCTTATCTGTGGATGTCGAAGCCCTAAAGACTTTCAGGGCAATCCCATGTCACAGTAACCCTAGGAAGAGAGCGAAGCAAGACTATAGTGATCGAGACCTTCTTGACTCGCGAATGGTGGGCTAGATCGTATATCCAAGAAGGCGACGAGGTATCGCTTCGAGTCATGCTTGGACTCTGGGAATTCGACAATGAGGAGACGATTCTGCAATTACTCGACCGGAACGTTCGGCGACGTGAGCTAATAGCGACGGTGGACAACGTTGCACGCGATCATCTGATGGAAGAGCAGGACGAGTCTGAAGACCAAGATCTGGATCTCTCTGACCCTTACTCGGACCAGCAACTCACACTTGCATCAACCTTCCATGAAGCAGCAGAGGAATCAATGGTGACAAAAACTTCAGCCACGAAACATTCCGGGCCGTGGCTCGAACTGACGGCGCGAACTAATGTTCTTTCATTCGTCTTGGGTAAGTGTCTGCTTTCGGGCTGTACCGTAGTGAATGACCATCACTTTCTGACAATTGATCTAGGCATCTTTGCGGCCTTGGTCTTATCTCAATTGTGGGCTACAATGACAACAGCTCGAGCCGAATAGAACGGTAGGGGACGGAGGATTCCTGAGGCTGTTAGCTGAAGGATCTCATTCTGTCCCCTGACGATCTACCATCCTCCTCGCGATGGTCGGCTATGCTCTAGGTCGAGATGGACAATTCAAGGCTCTATACTCGGTGCAGATCACATGCTCTGGACCTGGACCTGTGTGGGCTGCTTCTGCCAATGCCGGTGGCGCTTCGCCTTTTGAAACTCGTCACTTATATAGATAGATATATGTAAACTCTCTCCGTTAGGCGATATCCAGACAGATCTCTATCAGCGACAGGCTCTGGCCACCACTCCTGGTCACTGTGACTACCTCTTCCTTGGTTTATATGTAAATATGAAGACTCGCATGAGATGAAGCATCGACAGCCCTCGCCAGATGCGAGACTTTGTAACGTCACGATGCCAAGGCAAACGGGAATTTGTTTGTCGACCTTTGACACCATCCGACCATCTCAAACACCAAAGGCTATCTCCCACCATGGCTCCAGCCGAAGCCTCTGCCCGGCTCGAAGCCGAACTGTCCCTCCTTGAGGCAATGTATCCTGGAAACATCACCTTTGACTCTCGCAGCCGAGATGTCCATTACACGCCCAGCGAAGATTTTCCAAAGAGTGCCTTGACCCTACGACTCCAGAGCAATACCCCGAAAGGGGTTCTCCCGAAGTGATCTCAGCGTGTGACAGGTCCAGAAACGACATTCGCGACAGGATGCGACGGGCCATCGACGCGCTGGGTGTGGGGGAGATAGGTGAAGGTGTGGAAGTCCTGGACCAAGTCATCAACATCTTTGAGGAAGTTATTTCCGAGACGTCTTCGAATTCGACACCAAACGCAGGCGCGGAATCCAAGGGCAACCAGCAGAACGTAGTTGGGGACCGGAAAGCAGGATCGCCACCAAAGTCGAGGACGGTGGTCATCTGGCTCCATCACCTCCTGGCGACGTCAAAGCGGAAGCTCGCCGTGAACCCTACTACCATGACCCTTCCTGCTACAGCGACCGCGACATCTCCAGGTACGTCAACACCGATCAATGCCATCTCCGGCATCACCAAACCCGGACACCCAGGCATCATGGTCTTTTCGGGGCCCCGCGACCTGGTGGCCTCGCACGTCCGCGAGCTCAAGGCGCTGAATTGGCAGGCGTTCCAGGTGCGTTATGACTCGGACGACAGCCATGGAGGACCAGATGAGTGGGCGTTCTCGCATGACCAGGGGAAGATCGTCGAAGTCGAGTCCATGGCCGAGGTGGTCAGGGGCATTGTGAGGGAGGAGCACAGGCAGCTGTTCTTGAAGGCCGTGGGCGTCAAGTGATTCGAAGCTGCATGATAACTCCTCGGGACTTGGTGAAAAGTCAAGGACCGACTCTGTTCGAGCCGCTTGAGCATATCGCCGCTGAGTAAGGGGGCCCGATCTACAGACCAAACGACCTACATACCGTCCTCAGCAACCGAGAACCCCGGATTGAGATGAAAAAACTACAGTTCAACGCAAGATGCAGCTGTGACTGGCCGGTGGGCTCTTTGCTACGGCGGCAGCAGAGAGGTATTTCGATTCTGGTCTAGAGAATTCGAGCAACTCGTCTGTCTGGAGGGCAGTGATGGTCCAGAAGTCTGGGTCAAGTTTGCACGCGGCTCGCCACGATTTGGACAATCTATTTTAATCCCCAACGCCCTCCCCTACGCTGAAAGCCTTGACTCTCCCGGAATCAGCACAAAGTTCTTTCTGGGCTGCCGAGAGCGAAGAGTATACCATCTTTCCAAGACGCGTCTCATGCTCGCAAAACGGGTACATGACGATACACTGCGATCCTCTTCCATGGGCTTGGTCGTTCATCACCGGGAGTTGCACGGCAGTTCCGACACGCTCTGCGGGAACAGGAGGGCATGATGGTGACCTACGCGTCCAATCAATTAACCTGCTCCATTCCTAAGCATGGCTTTTCAGTTTGAGCCACAGCAGCCTTCTCGCGTTGGCACCAAAGATGCCCTTTCTCGTCTCCTCGTCAAATATCTCCGGCGCCCGCTGCTCCAGGATCCCGCCCAGCCGGTATACAGCCTCGGCCTTGTAAAAGGGATAGTCCGTCCCGTACAGCAGCCTCGAGGGCTCCGTGAAGCGCAACAGGCCGTGGATCTGGTCCGGGAACGGGTAGCCGGCGAGGTCGAAGAAGAAGCGCGTTTTGAACAGGTGTTTGACGTCGTCGCTGGTGATGGGCACGCTGGGGTTGGCCGTGCGCGGCGTGTACCCAACACACCGCTCGAGCACCGGCGGCAAGGCGGCGCCGCAGTGCGGGACGACGAACGTGATGGACTGGTATCGCGCCACGGTGCCGGAGAGGATCAGGTTGCTGACGGCGCGGGTGGTGTCGAACAGGAACTCGAGCATGGGCCGCGGATACTGGCTCAGAGGAGCGACCGCCTGAGGAGCGATACTGCTGCCGTTGGCGGCTGCAAGGTTCACCCGACAGCACGTCGGATGCATAAACACCACGGCCCGCCGCGCGTTCAGCTTCTCGAACACCCTGTCCAGCGCGGGATCGCCCAGGTAGACGGCGTGTGCGTTGGTCATGACCGCGAAACCCACGGCACCCAGCCGGTCCAAGGCATAGTCGATCTCGGCGAGGGAACCCTCGACATCCGGAAGCGGCAGGCTGGCGAAGAATGCGAACCGGTCCGGATGCGCGGCACAGATCTCGGCCAGGTCCTCGTTGGTTTCGCGCGTCAGCTTGCGAGCGAAGCCGTCGTCACCGGGCTTCAGGTGCGTCCCCGGCGAGGTGATGCTCAGAACGCTCTTTGAGATCTTGGCCTTGTCCATGGTCGCCAGGTGCGCCTCGACAGTCCAGTCCTGGAATTTTTTGGGATCATAGTCAGTCCCGACCGGTGGTGCTTGCACGAATCTGCATTGCTGGCTGGCTTGCTTGCTTGCTTGCTTACCTGTACCATCGAGATGCCGTCCGTGTCCCCGTATCCCAGATCCATACAGTGCTGGCGCCATCGAGCCGGGATGGCGTGGCTGTGGGTGTCGATGCGCTCCATTTTTGCCAACTTGTGCCTAATCTAATTTCCCGTGGTCTTCCAGTTATGCCAGAAACAATATCGGATCACTGAAGGCCCTTTGCAACCAAGAAGGCTAAGCGGGTTGCTTCTTTAGACCGAACAGATTAAAAGGTCAGGCCGGGGGCGGTCGACCCCGATACATATACATACCTCAGCAAGAATTGGACCGTTGCTTCAAGATAACCAATCAGGCTTACCACCCTCCTCCCTTTCTGTGTATATGTAAAGATGCAATGCCTGGGCGCCAATCTCCGACATGTGGGAATCGCGCTCCGATCCACTCTCCTCGTCTGTGCTTGGGCTTATCCTCCACCAAGGGCCGAACTCGTGGTGTGTCCCGAGTAATCCTGTGCACGATCGTACATACTTTCTCTACTCGTGTGTCTTCAACACCGACAGGGCTATTCGAAGCTATGAATTTTTTATCCCCGGACAAAACGTGAAGCGCTAGAATACCATCAACGGGAACGACTCCGAGTCGTGAGCAAGCATATCGTCATCCCAGTCGAAAATCCCGGCGTCGAACGAGAACAGATCCTCCGCGACGCCGGCGCCTATCTCCGCGAACCGCAGCTCCTGGGGGTGTGCGGGACTGGGGTACAGCAGCCTCGCCAACTCCGCCTCCTGCTCCGGGGTATATGCCGCCTCGACGGGTCTAGATCGCGTGAAGATGGCGTCGAGGAGCGGGCTCAGTAGTCTCTCGTAGATGGCCGCGTAGGCGGAGACTTCGGTCCAGCCTTGGCTCGAGATGGTCAGCAGGTTCGAAGTGAAGAGCTTTGTCATCTCGAAGATCTCGTTGGGGCTGAACCGCAGCGCAATCGCCTCGAAGTTGTGTCGGAGACAAAACAGCACCACCAACGCCATTTCGAAGGTGTGATGGGCCGCGAGCCACGGGCGCGGGAAGTATCCCGACAGGATCTGTCCGCGGCAGCTTTTGGCCGCGGAGCAGGCGGCCTCGAAAGCCGTCGACATGCTCGTGGGAGATGGCAGGGGTACGCGAGACGACGGTCGGTGTAACATGACCAGGCCGTGCATCAGCGCGAACTCGGTCCACCCGTCGTGCGGGAGATCGCACTGATACCATTCCCACAGTCGCCGCTCCGTGACCGCCAGCCACTCCTGCCATGTCTGTTGTGGTCCCAGCAGCCGGCTTTGGAAGTGGACTTCGATGATGGTGGATTGCACCCGTCGATATTCGATCCAGCGAAGAGCCTGTTTCTTGGTTGCTTGGCCCCTGTGATCGAGTCCATGCGAAGTGATGCACCGGTCTTCGAGCACTGACATGACGCTCGTGTCAATCGCTGGGTCCGGAATGGACAGCGGCCTCTGGAGTGCCGCACAAATGGACCGATCCATGCAGTATGCGGCCCAAAAGATGCGTCTGCGTAGATCGATGGTCAAGGGGTCCAGACCCATACTGTCCGACACTTCGCGATGCAGACCCAGCTCGAGACAGTTGCGCATGGCAAACCCGCTGAGGATCCACACGTTTCCCAGCTTTGGATTGATCGATGCATACTGTAGAATCAGCAACGTGACTTGGATCCAAGCCATGTCTGAAGGATACGCCGCATTCTGTGAGAGGTGACGGATCCCTTCCTTGAAAAGCGCTTCGGAGAACGCCATGCACCGGGCGCCTTGCCCTACCTTTGCACTGCCCAAGGTTGTAGACACGGAGAGAATCAAGTAGATGACGAGGAAGTCGTAGTCGAGCTTGACTGTCTGTGGGGAAGACTCTTCTCCTTCAGCTCGTGGGATCTTCAAGAGCACGCGGTCGAGCTGTTCCCATACCGTCGGCTCGTAGAGAAACGGGTGGACGGGAAGCATACGCTGCACGTACTTCTTGACCAACGTGTGGACGACGTGAGACGGCAAGCTTGCCAGGATCGACACATCGGTCTCGGGCTCGCTGTCGCGATTCTGGGCTGGCGTCTTGCTTTGAGCCTGCTCCTTGGCCTCGGGTGAGAGCACCAGCGACGGCGTGAGTCCCATCCGGACTCGCCGTACAACGTCTGTCAGCGACGGGCCGACTGGTAAGGTCGCATTGATCATTGACTGGATTTCGGCGCTGGCTATCACGCGTTCCTTGGTCGCGTCTCGGGTGCTCGATGTTCTCCGATGGCGCGAGGGTGTATTCGGAGTGGACCTGCTCATCGCGTGTTCGACTGCGACGTATTGCTCTCTGATCTCCGTCTCCGAGGAGGAGGCTTGCGCTGGTTCACCTATCATAGCTGCCATAGCAAGGACAGAAAGGTTTTGGTTGGAAGCCTCGTTGTGCTTGATGTCCCCCTGGATCTCGGCCTCGTCACAGCCCATTTCTGCCAGCTTTAGCTCGAGGCTGGCGATCTCGTTCTCGAGATGGTGTACGATACTTCGCGGAATGGCAGCGCCGCGGGCTGAATTGAAGCCCCTGCATTCCGCTCCCACGGCCACGCATTGGGAACATGACGGTAGCTGTCTGTCACACTTTGCACATATTCATGTCAGTCTCAGTACATAATATCAAGGGCTCACTGGCTCCACCGGTCAGGTAACAAGCAGCTGGTATGGTATACCTTGGATTTCCTCTTTCGACATCTGACGCACGACAGCACGCTGCGTCTACAAGCGGCAGTATTTGGTGAGGTCGGCATTGCGGTCGAAGTTCTCCGGCTCAGATATGTGATAAGCATACAACTGCCCTCATATCTGTGACATGCTCGGCACACCCTTTCAACTTTACTGAAGCGCCCACCCCTTCAGAAGCTGCTTGCGCTCTATAGGTACAACACTCCACCAAGGTCAACTTAGCCGTAGGACCAGACCGTTCCTTCTTGATCGGAGTCCTTGCGATGGTCCGCTCACGAATCCGCAGTTGAGCGACTTAAGGTGGCGTTTGATCACGCAGCATGTTGGGAATTCGCGCTCTGGGGGATTTGGACCATTTTCAAGCGGTCGAGAGAGGACAAGCCGTGTGGCACTTTGCGAATCGTCTCTAATCTAAGCATATCGGAGATCCGCGACCAGTCCAATAGTCGGAAGATAGAGTAAAAATCGAGGTTGGCAGAGGGAGTCTATATTGCATCCAATATAGAAAGTCGACCGAGACACGTACCTGGCGAGCTAGGTACCTAAGGTATATACCTCGTTTCTGTTTGGACGGTCATAGTGATGGTATCAACCACGATAACATGGCTGGGTCGAGCAAGTCCGAAGCTCCTATTTCACCGCGCTTGAACCAACACAATCGGGTTTCTCCTGCAGACACCCGCCGGATGACAGGAGCAGAGCAGTCTGACAATATGGACCTCCTCAGAAGCCGACATTGTCTCCCTCCCGTGGGGTATCCATTATCTTTTCTTCTCCCGGATTCGCGTGATCGTTGTCCGACGCATTGTATGGTGGGTGGGCTGGATTGCTCCGGTCAGGATGTAACTGAGGACACCCTTATTGTGACTCGTATCTCATTTCGTACATGTGCACTGCTTATATTACTCACGCGCATGACTCCGGGCTAGTGTGAGAGTCTCGGGATACTCGTTGCTTAGCCTTCGCCTCGCCTTACCAGGCGTTGTCCTTTCCTTTCATTCCCTTGTGTGTTTGACGTCTGGATCCTCTGCCAGAGATGGGCTTCTCATCCGTCCCTATGCGAATGCAGATTGAGCGAGAAGCTGGCACCAGGCTGAAGGTAAGGTATTGTCCCCCAGCCACTGTACCGTGTCTGACAGGCGTCTAGATCATCGTGGTGGGTGCCGGGCTCGGCGGGCTCGCGACCGCAATATCATGCCGGCTTGCTGGCCATGAAGTCACCGTCCTCGAATCGGCCGCCGCAATGGGCGAGATCGGGGCAGGCCTCCAGACGTTGGCCAACTCGTCCCGAGTACTCATCTCTTGGGGAATGGGCGAACAACTCAGCCGGTGTGCGACGACGCCTCGGCTCTGCAACATGATCGGATGGCGAGGTGAAACCATTTCGACGTGGGATATCCACAAGTCTACGCGCGAGGAATGGGGCAGTCCGTACTGGGATCTGCATCGCGTCAGTCTGCATCAGTGTCTCTGGGATCGAGCGGTGGAATTGGGTGCCGAAGTGCGGGCCAATTCACGAGTGACCGACGTCAGGGTCGCAGCGGACGGAAGTTATGCGACTGTGGTTGTACAGCAAGGAGAGCGAGGAATTCGCGCCTCTGTGGACGCAGATCTTGTCGTCGGTGCAGATGGCGTCAGAAGCCACTGTCGTGATCTTCTGGTTGGAAGAGACGACCCCCCGGCCAAGTCGGGCGACATGGCGTACAGAGTTCTCCTCAACACCGACGACATGCTCAAGGATCCCGAATTGAGAGATTTCGTGCTGGATCCGCAAGTCAACTACTGGATCGGGCCTGAATGCCATGTCGTGTCGTATGTCCTGAGAGGAGGCAAACAATTCAATATGGTCCTCCTGGTCCCCGATGATTTACCAGAGAACCTCGTGACGCAGGAGGGGAACGTCGAAGTCATGCAATCTTTATTCAAAGATTGGGATCCTAGGTAAGCCGAATCCAGGAGCTGCCGCAGGCTCCTCCCACCAGCCAGAAGTGCCCGTGTACGTTGGACTAAGACTGAAACCAAATCTTAGAGTTCGCAAGATCCTGTCGACCTGTTCGCAAGTCAAGAAATGGCGTCTCTGTACCCGAACACCCACCCCGAGCTCCCCGTCCTGGTACCATCCTAGCGGAACTTTCGTCCTGCTCGGTGATGCCGTCCACGCGACACTCCCTTACCTTGCGAGCGGGGCCGGCATGGCCATCGAAGACGCCTCTGTGCTGGGCCTCTGCCTCGCACGGATATCCTCTGCCTCCACACCCCAAGAGAAGCTGCATGCCCTGAGAGTGTACGAGATGTGCCGAAAACCGCGCACCCAACGCGTCGTCGAGAAGGCGTATGAGAGCCAGTATCTATATCATCTTCCCGAAGGTCCGGAGCAGAGGGAGCGGGACCGAAAGATGAAGGCCTTTGAGGACGCGTACCGTACCCAAGGGAATGGAGCAGTTCCCCAGGGGTTAAAGCGGGGGGACGATCCGTTCGCTTGGAGGAGCGGTGGGGTCGGAAAGTGGCTGTTTGAGTATGACTGCGAATTGGATGTAGAGAGGTGTTGGCCTTTGCTGCAGGCTGAGGAAGAGGCTGCTGCAAGGATGGCTGCTCGCACAGGCTCAAACAAGCTCGGCTTGGGGTTGGTGGCGACTGCGAGACTGTAATGGACGATTGTGTATTCTTTTGACTCTTCATACGCATGATATCTTGATCACGACTTAGTGGCCGACACATTGATACTTCTGGGACTGGCAGCATTCAATAGGTGTTTGGAAAGGAAAAGGTGCGAAAGAAAAGAGAAATGAAACGAAAGGAGAAGTTTGGAGCTTGAAATCTCGCACAGCATACTGTTGTCTGTTGTTTTCCCCCTTACTGCGAAGCCATACTCTACCTGCAAAAGCACCTCATTGCTGTCTTAGTAAAACACGGTATTCAAAAAGACACGAGATTTCCTGTTATGTCCCATAATGTGTCCAAACAGTCCTCTAGCACTTTCCCTCAGGAAACCCCCTTTCCACGACACCCCAAAGATCTATCGTCCAATATACTTCAATTCTAGGTATCTCAAACCTGGATAGATGACAGCTGTCCATGATGCAGCGACGGGCAGGCCAATCTGGAGGAGTAAAAGTCAGTCAAGACATTGCAATCCAACAGAAACTTGAAAGAGCAAAGCGAGCAAAAAGTGGTGGTCAATGGACTTACATCCGCACCGTCTCCGATCAAGGAGGCAATCGGGCCTGTGTAGTAGTCTTGGTCCATGCACATAATGGCCCCGATCCATCCGATCACGAATGCCGTAATGGCCGCCAGTCCAAGGGGCAGAAGTTCGCGAGTGTTCCAGGCGCTCCAGTCGTACCAGCCGCGTTTTCTGCGGAAAATAAATTCCTCTTCCAGAGTCATGGTGATCCAGATGATAGTCCAGTAACCAATTAGAGAGAGGAAGTTGATGAAGATCTGGAGCAAGTGGGCGCGGCCCGCAATCGCCGTCACGGTGAAGATGATCGTGGAGACGGTACACCAGAACACACGGGGGACGCGAGCAAATCGCGGGTCAAGGAGCTGGAAGGACAAGGCCGCAGCATAGATTCCCGCGACATTGTTGGCGATAATACCCAGAGCCAGGAGGACCGCGCAGAATTTGCCGAATTGGTGCAATGGCGCGAGACCCTCGACGTACAGAGCCCCCGCGGATTTCGCGAAGGCGGCTTTCCAAGCAGGGTTCTTGGTGAGACCGCTTCCCAGGCCAATGCCGATTAGTTCTGGGAACATCTTGCCCAGACCAAGGCCCACGGTCGTCCACAGGAAAATTTGCCAGCGTGAGGTCTTCGGTGGGAAGTAGACGAAGAAATCGCACGCGCAGGCGGACCATCCCAGGGCTCCAGAGGCGCTGAGGAAGAAGTATGTCAACCGATGGCCGGCGAGGACAGAGCCCTCACCCTTGCTGGCTGAGGTGGTATCGAAGAGCGGGCCGGCCGTGCCTACCATGATGAATAGGACACAGACTTGGGGGAGCCAGGCATATCTGAGAGGGTCCTTCTTTCAGCAACGAGATCCGGGAATTGTCAGTATTGGTCTCAACAAACCTTTCATATAGATGAAACCACTTAATGCCGAACGTGATGATGAGCCAAGTTCCTAATGCTGCAACGATGATTCCGACAATGACTGTCATGCCTCCACCATTGACAGCGGATAGGATCAAGCCAGCAACCAGACAGTCAACCAGACCCCACCCGATTTGCACCACGACGTTGAAGAGAGCGGCCAGTCGAGATGGATACCATCCCATCGTGTAGCGTGCGTTCACCTGGGCCCCATATCAGTTCCACCATGAAGTAAGGACGAGCCTCACTGAGGAGATCGAGACTGGGAAGCATACCAGAGTACGGTTACCAGACATGGGTCCGAATGTACCAATATATGCCGTGCACATGGCGCCGAATATGTTTCCAAAGGCGCAGATACTGGTCTCTTGGTCAGGACACTCTTCCATCGTTCCTTAAAGTGCACAATTCTTACAGCATGGCATCCTTCAAGCCTAGCTTGAACTCGATTGGACCAAGAACTCCGACAGTCATGTTATTGGCAGTGCAGTTTGCCGAGAACCAGACGATGCCGATTTGGAAGAAGTCTCTCATCGAGACCTTGCGTTGGCGACTGGACTCCGGCACGCGTTCGATACCGCGAGCTTCCAGGCTGGCTCGAGTCTCCATCCAATTCACGAACTTCTGCCACGACGTTTTCGGGCCACCATTTCCAACGGGTTCTACTGTCCCTAGCTCCGCAAAGGAGGGGTCAGCAGGGCGCTGGTCCGCCTGCATCGATAGTTTCTCCTCGTCCATGATCGGCGTCGAGGTCCCTGTGGCATCCATCTTCGCCACGGACATGGTTTCTACCAAGTTATCACGAGGAGAAATTCGAAAAGATATTGTAAGCTATTTGAGACCTTGTCGAGAAGCAAGCTTGTAAGACGGCCATGTCTTGGGTTTTGTAATACAGAGGATGTAGCTAGGCTCAGAAAATGCGTGAATGTGTCGTTTGTGGCTTATCTGGGAATAGGTCGTGAATCTCCGATGCAGTAACGGCCCAGGGCCAGGACACAGTATTGTTCGAGACTTCGTTGACACCTTTTAGTATCTGACCGACCGCCGAGACTGCTTCATTGAGAGTTGGAAGTCGCATAGTTGTCCTATCGACAACCACGGCACCACTGGCAAAGAGAGCGACATGGTGAAGCATCAAGATCGTAGTGTCGTACAAATGCTTGGAGACTTGGGATTGACTTTCCACAGGCGCGATGGACTCACACTCATTCGGTGCGAAATGGAGCCACTGGACTTATCCTTTGGCTCAGCCGCTGGCCAGGACACGGCAGATAAAGGAGTAATAATGCGGGATAGGGCGATAAGCACAAACCTAGGACTTTCCCGAACGCTTGGCACATGAAGGGAGCCTGGCCGCGCGCGGTTCTCCTGAGGTTTGAAGGGAGGGTGGAGCTGACACAGAAAGCCGACAAGACAGAATAGCTGGGTACAATGTACCAAATAGAATGTCGTTATCGACAGATGAAGAATGCAAACGACAGGAGACTGCGAGGCAGTGATTGTTTGGAGAAAGCCTGGGATCCAATCAAAAGCTGAGAATTGGTGTCCGAGGCTGGACTTAAGGGGGGAAGAGGTGAGATCACGTGACTAAACAGCCTCGTAGCCTTGCGCTATTCCCAAAGAGTCGTATCATATGCTCCTGCCGATACCAGTGGCGCTATCTTTGCTCTCCGCTCATACACATGTAATTACAACTCTTAAAACACACATGAGCAGAGAGCCGCTTGCCTCAGCATTGTGATTGACCATGGAAGAGCTGCACTACGCGCTGCAGTCGCTGCCCTCTTGTCAACGGTGTCGGCGGCTGAGGAAGAGATGCGATTCCCAGATGCCGGCCTGTCGATTGTGCCAAAGTGCGAAGGTCGACTGCACCATTTTTGATCACGCACTACAGCAGACGCTGTCCCGCAAGTAAGTTGTCTGTCTGATTGACTGACCAGCCCCCGTGTCTGACTCCGGATAGGTATATCCAATCTCTCGTCTTGCGCCTAGAGAGTCTCAAGGAGAAACACGCCACTCTCACACTAGAGGTTGATGCTGGTCGTCAAGCTCTGCCAGAGGGTACTCCAAATGAAACGAAGACGCCCTCTTCCCTTCCGCATTCAGCATTCGATTCCGACCGAGGGGGAGACTTTAACAACCATTTCCCTGTTCCCAGCGTCAATGGGTCGACTTCCCGGTTCTATGGGTCAAGTTCTGTATTTGCGCTTGCGGTGGAGGTCCTGGCGCTGGCCTCCGATAAGAACCTCTTCAACCCTTCGGGCCCATCGGAACCTGTGCTTTCAGCCAAGGACGGCCATGACCGAGATCTGGATTCCGTGGCCCCTACGGCAGTCTTTGATACCGGAAGAGAGTTTGCGCAGTCCCTCATCGCGGATTACATGGCATCCATCAATATCATTCACCCATGCATTGACGAAACTCACCTGCAAAGGGACCTTGATAGGTTTCTAGCGACGAACGGAGCTCTCGAGTTCGACGCAGACAAGCTGCAACGGATCGAAAAGTATCAATGCTTCCGCATTGCCTTGATGTGTTCCATAGCCTGCACCGCGAAGGCGCGGCACAGTCCCAGCCTCGCAGCTTATGGCAACCAATTCTACGCGCAGGCTGTGAGGTACGTGGAGGAAGTGACGGCAGAGGTGTCCCCGCAGTCCCTCGAAGCTCTCCTCCTGCTCGTGATTTATTGCCTCTTCAATCCCCGCAAAGGTAATATATGGAAAATCCTAGATTTCGCCTGTCGCCTGAGCATCCAACTGGGGTATCACACGGAGCAAGGGCACTCGATACTGGAGAGTGAAGACGACAAAACCTGGAGGAGAACAGCCTTCTGGAGCCTCTACTCCATGGAGCGATTGGTAGGGCAATGTTTCGGTCGACCTTCAGACTTGCCCAGCTCCATCATTACCACAGAATATCCGACCGTGGTCACAGATACGGCGCTCTTAGACGACGAATCAATACAGAAAGTGTCAGCCGCTCAAGGATTCCACTTGATGTTCCTTCGCTCAGAGATCTACACAGAGATTTACCTTTCCGCGACCAGCCCCCTACCGAGGCTGAAATGGTTTTTCGACCAGCACGACGCGTTGCGACAATGGTACCAGAATCCCAGTCAAAGGCCCTTCGTCAACGACAGCACAAATGTCGCAGGGGTGGGCGAAGTCACGCGCGAAATCATGTACCACTCATCGGTTCTCTTCCTCTTTCAACGCCATCTTCTCGAGGCCCTCTCCACCATTCGGCGGCATAATCCACGACAACGAGATGTGTCTCAGCCGAACCACCCACATATCATCCCTTCGGAACCATACCACTCCTCGAAGGCTCTTCTGAGGTTGTACACGCTCATTATCCGCTCGACGACGTGCAACTCACCTCTCTCCATCTTCCCCGTAACTTTTCTCGCCGCATACTCGATCTTCCAGGCGGGCATGACGCTTATATCCTACGCTCTTCTCTCCCTTGAGCCCGCCATCAGAATCCACGGCTCCTCCTCTGTCACTCCCTCATGCCTCCAGGCTTTTGAGAGACGAGGAAGCGAAGAAACAGGGCTCGACTTTTCGGATCTGCTGAGTCTGTCAAACGACTGCCTAGTATTACTGGCCTGGTGCAAAGAGCAATGGCCTGGTATGGAGGGCATGCTCGACGCCTTTGCGAGATGTAGCGCCGAAACAATACCGAAGGTGCTGAGAGTGTGAAAATATGAGACCCCATGTTCCTGTGTCAGAAAGGGAGAAGAATAGATACCATCCGCCACTACACTCGAGGACAGCCTTCCAAGTCCATCCATGGGAACGTTTCGAAAGGGCCAGTTAGGAACAAAACTCTGAGAAAGAAGTTCCATTTTTCCGTTCAATATATACCCAAATATACTGCCTGAACCAAGAGGCGGAATTCCCAGCACCTTCATCACAATTTTACAATCAGAAAAGGCGAACCCGCACACCCAGTGAGCGCCACTACCTACCCCCAAAAACCGATTACATGAAGACAAAGGCGCCTCCCAAAACAATCGCATCAACCGAGCGATCTCCCAAGATGCCCTGTCGAGCGCGATAGTTCTGCAACTTCTTCTGTTCCGTGATGATGGCCTTGGTGCCGAGCGCCTCGTACACTCCGGCCGCACCGCTGGTGGTGGTGGCTCGCGAGGTGCCTGAGCTGAAGCTGTTGGTACTGCAGCTGCTGGCGCGCGGGGAGGAGTCGACGCTTGAAGAACTCACACCGGAACCGGGACTGGGCGTGATTTTGATAGCCGGCGGCGTGTGCAGCGTCGGCAGGGACTGAGAACTGCCGCTGCGGATCGTCCTGGGGAACATATCATCGTCGAGCGGCCGGGGACTCCGACCCCGACCCCGACTCGGGCTCCGACTCGGCTGTGCCGTCTCCAGCGTCTTCATCTCGCGGCACGGCCTTCCTCTCCGGATGCGCGACCACCAATGCCTCCTGGTCTTCTTCTCCTTCTTCTCGGTCGTCTTGCGGTCGCTGTGCGTGGACATCACGGTGGCCATTCCGGACGTCTCCCCCGTCAGGTAGTCGAGGGCTTGGATGGTGGTTCCTGTCGTGCTCGTGACGATCAAGGGCGCAATGGACATTGAAGGGACTGCCGCTGGCATGGTGGTGGTAGTGATGGATGTCTCGGTGTCACGAGGGAGGGTTGTTGAGTTTGAAGTAAGGAGAGGGAAGAAAGAGAGAACAGAGAAATCGTGTGAAAGTTGAACAAGCTGGGTAATGTTGTATATAATGGTGACGACGACGACGACGACGATAATGAGATAGGTGTGTTTGTGCCTGTATGTGTGGGAGTGATGCCGAACTCCGGGGTATAAGATATGCAATGAGTAGTCTATCAGTTCTGTTGAATATTGTGGCCTCTTGAATGTCGCGGATGATCTTTACTGCTGAATGTCTGTACAACAACAACGAGTCCACAAGTAGGGAAGGGGGTGTTTCTATATATCATCGATAGATAGGTACCTAGAGAAGCCTGGTTCGTCCCCACACTTTCTTCCCATCCAGCTAAGGCATGTATATCAATCAACGCATAAAGTCTTTTTTCAACAATAGAAACAAACACTCCTGCCCTATGCGCTGTGCCCACTCGGGACCCCATCACAACCCCCCAGTTTAGCCGTTTGAGTGCTCGGTAATTATTACCTCGTATTATTGCGCTTTTTGGGGGGTGGTAGTAGTAGTAGTCGTCATCATCATCATCAGCTGTTGCGTGTAGCGAACTGGGGCAAGTGAGGGCTGTAGTAGCCAAGTAGGCAGTGACAAGTCACAGTAGTATTCGCGTTTGGCATTTCCCACTGGCTAAAGATTGGTGAGCAAAATATCCGCAAGCACCGGTGACCAGTGACGAAGGAGGCCCAGGCTTAGCCACAATAATCGCTAGACCTAGACCTAGACCGTACCTAGGTATGTCTGTGTCTTTTAGTCTTGGCTGAAATCCGTTGTCACATATTTTTCAGCCTAATATGTACAGTCCCGGGGCTGTGTCATACGCTGCTTAATACTATGGCGTGGCATCGTGGCATGGCCTGGGATGGGCGTGGGCGTCGCGGCTGTTTCCTTGTGGAAGGCCGTGCCCCGGTCACAGCCCTTACGAGTACGCGAGAAGCGTAAGTAGGTTGTCCAGGATGCGGAGGAATAGGTGGGAACTGGCGTAACGAATTATTGCTGCGTGACTGGTATGATTTCTCGGGTAGGTGGTAAGTAGTAGGTGGCTTGCGAGAAAGTGGCTGTGTTGGTTCAGTAACCCCAAGGCTTTTTCTCACCTGGAGTCGCATGTCACTGGCACACACCCCAATAGCCTCAAATCCACAAAATCTCAAATGTCAGCCGAACAAAAGATGCCCAGTGGTGCCCAGTGCCAGCCAAGCGGACTGGGGAACGGAAGGAACTTCCCCTTTTCAAACCTTTTTTTCGTTCAAAGTTGCTGTTGCTAGTCTGCAGCGGTCATTCGGTACCAAGACTCGCAAAGAAACAAGCCACACCTGATTCCAAACCGCTAAACAGCTAAACTAACCCCAATGAGAGGAGCCCAAGCGAACGAATAAAAAGGGCTCGACGACTCCCCCCAGCATGCGAGCTGAATAGAAATCCCCAAATCCAAGAAGGGAAAGAAAAAGAGTTTCTCTGCCCTCAGTACTCGGTACGGCTGGTCGACTCTAAAGATGGAAGCTCTCCTCCCTTCCGGATAATAGCCTGTGTCGTACTTCGTAAGGGAAGTAACTTTGTCATTGCTATTATAGATGGTCTGAGGTTTGAGGTCGCCGGTCCAAAGTCTCAGTGGTTCTAGATCTCCCTCCTCTGGAAATACATACGTATGGTGTGCCAGACTCTAACGTTGCATTCGCAAAGATCCATCATCTCTTTTCGAATGCACATGATTATAGCCATCATCCAATATCCATTCATCTGTCAGTCACGCTCAATCTTCGAGGCAGAAAACGTAACTTGGAGCCGACCTTGTCCACAGAGACACGTCCTTGCAATCAAGTCGCTCAAGTGGACCATCGCCCTCAACCAATGTACAGCAAATCTCGTTGGGCAGATGCATCGCGACAGATAGCCTACGTGCCGTCCATGTTCATGCCTGCCATTTCGCCATTGATCCCAAAGAACTGGAACCAGTCTTCCACGTTGAGTGTTGTGGGCGCCACCGGTGCGTTTCCGAGCGAGCTCGTCGACCACCCGTCACTGTCATGCAATTCCATGCCTGCCCCCATCATCCCTTGCATGCCAGGCGGCCATACTTGAGGCTGCTGCTGTCCTTGCCCTGCTATATCTATATGGGGGATCGCTTGCCCGGCAGTTCCCATCCCGGTTTGTTGTCCCTGCAGTTGCTGGAGCTGAGGATCCACCGCATGGTTTAGAATCGGGCTTGTACTAAAACCAACCACATCCCCAATCGTGCCGTCAGGGAACAGCTGGTCTGGCTGGAAGTTCTCCCACAACTGTTGCGAGATGTTCGGTGAGTCTCGCGTGACGAGGAACAAATCCGGCGGCGTTGCAGGAATCGAATACCCGTTGAAGGGCGAATTGGCCCGTGTAGGTCCTCGTGACGGTAAACGTGACGCCCCTCGAGACCGGGATGGCGGCAAATACTGTTCGTTCGGAAGTGGAGGTGAGCCCAAGTAGTTGTGTTGCTGTGATTGCGGTATCTCGCGCGAAGGCGTCACGGCAGGTGTTTGAGGCCGGGAACGCTCGTACGACATTTGAGGGGCAGGTGGTCCAACATTGAAGCCAAGGTCGATGTCGTCGAACTTGCGTTTCGCGGGGTTTGCTGGCGGCACTGGTGGCGGCGCCGGTACAGGTGTGGCACTTCCGATACCGTTCGAATTGCCGTTGGCCTGAACGTGACCTTGGTCACGTAGGTTGACTTTAGCCCTTTGAGCCTTCTTCCCAGTGGCTTTCTGGAGTCTCTCCTCCAGCACCTTGTTGCCGAGGATGGATTCGAACAGGGTGTGGACCATTTTGGCCACTAGCCAGACTTTCGAAACCTCCTTCAAGGCGTTCATGCAAACGTTGATGCGCTCCTGGCTCGCAGCAACCACCGACGGCACCGAAGACCGCATTTGGTAAACGTGCATAATCAGTGCAGAGAACAAACTGTACACACTACAACAAGCTTTAGTGACTGGATCGATGTCGAAAAATGATCAACTTACATGAATGCAGGCGTGTATTTGACTTGGTCGTGAGCAAGAAGGTTTTCCATAATCGAAGTAATCATTCCAGCAGCCTGGAATGCAATCGTCCTCGAAGGATAAGCCATGTCGACATTTTCATAGTCATGGGGTTTTGCTGTTGCTGGCGGCATATGGGCTCGGTGCAGCAAGCACAGAGTGGTACTGGAAACTGGTCAACATCTGACCCGAGTCTTGAACGCAACACACTTACTAGTAGTTGGAATGTAAAAGGGCAGACCAGAAATGATGGCGTGAGCGTTCCCAATATACTTCACGAGGGCAGTTCTGTAGCCAGTCTGCCAATGCCATGTCGCTGTGAGTTAGATCGATTGCGTTGGTCCGCCGAGCTTTTGATGCCACTGAATATTGCTGAGAAAGCACGAGACCCATGATCTCGCAGAGTTTGACATATTGCAAGAAGAACTGAATGTGGACTGGATCGGCCTGGTAGTCATTGTTCGGGTCGCCCTCGTCTTCGATAAAGTCTTCCTCCGTGATCATCTCGACGTCGGAATCGTCCGTGTTGATCGAAACGGGTCGGCCGAGAGCCACTGCTACTGATCGATCCCTCGTAAAGAGAGACCACCATACTCTCTTCCACAGTCGCTTGTCTTGTCTGCTTAGTTGAGAACTTTCCACACTATTGGTGATTGTCAGCTGGCTCCCGGACTAGAGGTACACGACCAAAGTACCTTCGATGCATTCCGGCTCCTTGGGCAACCACAATGGCTACCCTGGTCCAATAGAAGACATTCTTTGTCACATCTGCTGCAATGTTAGACCTCGGGTTGTCGCCAAATTCCGTGAACCCCGATCCCTTACCTTCGGGGCCCTCCCAGTACCAGCCCATCAGTATCAAAGCCTGGACAATGGTAATGCGGTCATCTTCATAGTTTGCATCGTACAGCGCTTTTGCACGTTTGTAAAAAGTCATTGCAGCCGGCGTGGTCGAACCAGTGGCGTCCATCAGTTGCGGGTTGGTGCAAACCCTGGAGCCAGCCAGCAAGATGGCCTGCAGCAGCAGCAACGATGGCGGGTTCTTGGTATCCTTGTATCTCTTCATGAACCGGCTTCGATTGATGACTGGCACAATAGGAGCGACCCATCGAAAGTAAGCATCGACGAGCTCATCACACAACGCACGGGGTGGAAGTAGGAACGCCCCCCTCTGCTGGAGAATTTCTATTTCCATCTGGTCTGGCTCTGTTAGGCGAGCGCGGGCGCCTCGAATATTCTCCGGCAAGGGGTAGTGGACGACGTCTGTGGTACCATGCCGGTCATGGACGAGCAATGATAGGTTTGACGACTCTCCAAGATATGCCACTCGGCCGGCTTCTTTGATGGGCGCTCGGGCAAATTTAGGCTTCATGAACTGTGCCATGGTGCTGTTGTTCGCAGCTTGTTGGGCGGCTTGCGCCTCTGACATCTGCGTCGAGGGAATGCCATCTGGGGAGTTGTAGCCAACGGTAGGCTTTGGTTGTGCCGGTCGAGTGAGGCGAGGTTCTGTAGGCGTGCCGGCCTGTTGTGAGTCGCCGGTCTCACTGAAGTGCCCGTCAGCATCCCCGAATTCGCAGCCACGGAGCAATCGGGTCCCTCAAAAGCTCTAGAGCATGAGAGGTATAGAAGGGAAAAAGTCCTACCTCTCCTCATCTTTGGCTCGAGCAGCACTGGCTCTTTTTCGCTTGGGAATGGGAATCCGACATTCAATAGAAAAGGCAACACAGTTTGTGCACGGAACCCTAGAGACAGTCAGTGTCAAAGGATCAGCGACGACGGTGACAGAATAATAGCTCTCACCCGAGAGATGCTGCATCGCATCGCACCTACTCCAAAAAGCGTGTTAGAACTCGATCCACATTTGCAGGCTCCCTTGGGGTCGGTGGAAGAATGGCAACGTACTTTGCGGGAGTGACATGTTTCTGCATAGTAGATGCGTCAGTAATGCTTTCCAAAATATCGACAACTGCTTTCCCGACACGTGTAGGTACAGGCTCATTGGATCAGGACGGTGTCTGAGGTCGTCTCCAAGTGCGAGCGACACATTGATCACAAGTACCACTTTTGGACCGAGGTTCTCGGTTTATCGAGATCTCCAGAGGGACAAAAGTATTAAGGTGAACATATCCGCAGGAGCATTTGTGACATTCTTTCGACTCGCAAGTGAAGCAAGACCATCCATTACGCAAGCCGTCAAATCCAACTTTTCCGCATGACCCGTGTCGTCGCAAGGCAAAAAGGAAGTTCAGGGAGATGTGAGCTTACCACACGCTCGAGATGCGCGCTGCCTGGACGGTGCGTTAGCAGATGCGGCAATGGAAATAGGTGGCTCGCAACGTCTGCATACCTTCTGAAGCTTGGATGTCCTGGAGTTTGATTCGCAGGCGCTTTGTTTGTTGCGGGTTGATCGTTGGATGTCTGCGACGGAGCTGCAGCAGACGGTGCCTGCGACTCGGACTGTGGGCTAGGATGATCACTCATGGCTGCAGGCGGGCTCAGACCACAAGACAGCGAGTAGGTTCTACGCCCCGTAGAAGTGAAGGCGCATTACAAGCCAAAGACAACGACAGCGAGGAGAATGGGCGAGGCGGTGACAAGGTCGGCCTGGAAAAAGCGGTACGTGTGGACAGGGTCTTGTAGAAGACGATCTGGTGGTTCTGGATACAGAGAGCACATGAGTGCCATGGCCTGTTACCGTCTCGCCGTCTCCCGCACTATGGAGAGTGCCCAGGTGGTGGGTGGAGGGTAGTGGGCGAGAGGGCTGGGGGTTGGTCACTGGTCACTGGTCAGCCGAAGGGAAATTTTAGAGTGAGCATGCAGCCATGCTGCCCATGCAGGATCGCCCACCTAGGTACCCAAGGGCTATGGGCACCCTTGGCCTGCATACTCTGTCCTCCGTGACTGTCCAGCCTTCAAGCCCTCAAGCCCTTCAAGAGGCTACTGAGCTGCCCCCGGTGCCCCGACACCCGCCTTCAACTCCCCTGTAGCTTGATCTTTGCGGGGTACGGGGGCTGCGCTACAATATCATGCTACTAGTGGACATACAGAAAAGCATACCATCCTCACGGACAGATTTGATTCGACTTTGATTTCATGTACCAGTCAAAGTGGGAAAAGTCTTCCGATTGATTTTCGAGCTGCCCATGCCTCCCCTCGTATTCTCGTCTGATCGTCTGAGGTCTTTGCTGCCTTGTGCATGGGTGGCCGCTGCATAAAGCTACCTAGGTAGTCCAAGTTGTGTACATCTTGTATTTCTACCATTTAGCTTAGACCTAAAATGTCCATTACGCGCGTAGTTCCTGAGATTATCCCACGTTCGAGAAACGACCGAGGCCGACGGCCGTTAGTCTGGTTGGTGCAACTCCTCCACTGCGTCTTCCACGTCTACGACTGGGGAGGACGACTCGGTGCTCCATTCCCTTTCGTCCTTGTCTCTCTTTGCGTCCTGAGCGGCCTTGGTCGCACGCGCTCGTAAAAAGAAGTCAGCCGTACGAAGACCTCGTACATCTCCTGCTTGCATGGTCTCCATGCGCTGCCCCCTTTCCCTTTGCCGCTGAATCATCTCACGAACAGGCACCATCGCAGCTTCCCGGCAGGCCTCCTTGATGTCGCTTCCTGACATTCCAGCCATCACCCTTGACAAATAGTCCAAGTCAAGATTTTCCTTGTCAAGCTTGGTGTCTCGAAGTATAATTTTTAGGATCTTGAGGCGCTGAGAGGCATTTGGCAGCGAGATGGGGAACTTCTTGGGCATCCGTCGGAGAATAGCATCGTCAATGTCCTGTAGGCGGTTGGTGGCACCAAGGATCAGTATTCGCTGGGGGCGACCGGAAGTGTTCGCGGAAGCCAACCCATCCCAATGCGTCATAAACTCGGCCTTGACCATCCCACTTGCTTCATGTTCGCCACTATGTCGCGTGCCCAGAACTGCATCGATTTCGTCGATAAAGACAATCACCGGTTCCAGCTTGCGAGCTAGGGAGAAGACTGCGTTGACCAGTTTATTCGAATCGCCAAACCATTTGTTGGTAACGGTCGAAATATGCAGATTGATGAAGCATGCACCGCTTTCATGGGCAAGAGCCTTGGCTAGCATGGTCTTTCCACAACCGGGAGGACCATAGAGGAGAACACCCGAAGGCGCCGCCAGGAGAGAAGAAGACGTAGAGTAGAGTTCCGGCAAGGTCAAAGGGTATATCACCGACTCTCGAAGATCCTCTATTATATCAGATAGACCCCCGATGTCGTCAAAGGACACAGAGATATCCTCTGGAAACACAAGCTCTTGTAGGATGACTTCTTCATATTGCGACAGCCGCAGGCTTTCTCTCGGGGGTCGATCCGCACCGAGTTGTTTTGCAAGCTGGTTCTGTTGGGGATCGTCTAGTCGTCGTAGTATTGCGGCAGACTGCAAGCGATTCTGCTCCTTCTGTTCCGCTTCGGGGTCGAGGTTCATCTGTGCGAGGACATACTTGATGATATAGTAGCCCCCAAACATCTGCTGTCCGTTAGATAACTGGCCCTGTAGGAACCACGTGTAGGCATACCAAAGGGACTGTAATGGCCAGTTCTTGCAGTACTCGGTGCCACCAGGCACCATCGCCTCTATCGGGAGACATCATCCAGTCTATTTTTGAACAGTCGTGAGTATGGCGGCGGGATACATTAGTCGGCTGGAATGGACAACCAGAGAAAGCGACGCTCCCTAGTGATGGGACTTGCGTCTTGTAGTGAGGCGGCTTGCTTGCCGAAGTCGCCACTTCTACTGTGGCTGGTGAGTCCCGAGGTTAAGCCGAATTCAAAAGTGGCATCGCTTTGTTTACATCACCTTCCTCTTTAGATTCTTAGTTCTACTTGACTTCGTGAGTGACGCTGCTGCACTTCGACCTGAGACTGGCATCTACCGATTGCACATTGATATGAAGGGCATTGCAGATCTCATTGATTCCGACATGGAGGAGGCGGTGCCTTTTATCGACGAAAATTCGATTCTGTCCTCCGCCTCCGACGCGACCAATGCCACTACCACGAAAACTGCGCCGGCAAAGCGAGGCAAAAAAAGACAACGCGTCACGATGCCCCCAAGAGCCAAGTCGAAGGCACAGAAGAATGCCACAGCCGAAGTGAAAAAGGTCACTTCAAGACAGATCGCTGGTGTGAAGCGCAAGGCGGTCGCAGATGATGCAAACGAGCAAGATTCCGACGTCAACCTCGACGACACGTCGAGAGACTCCGAACCAGACAAGCAACCAATCGCGCCAAAAACTAAAAGAGGAAAGCGCACGAATACCAGGACAAAAGCAGCACCTGAGGCCGCAGAAACGGTTGACAATGAAGATCAGACAATGGAGGCGTCGCCTCAGGCAGTGCGCTCGAAGTATGCGGCAGCCCGAACCAAGAAAGAAGCCCCAAAAGTCTTTGCCAAAGCGAATGCTCCCACAAAGTCGAAAGTGACTTCACTACCTCAATCTCCTGTCCTGGAGCGGCAGCACGAAGAAATCGAGGCGGCAAGTGAAGAATTGGAAGTTGTTGCAGCCCCAAAAGGCAGAGCAATTGCGAGAGATGCCTCCAGAACGAGACAGGAACCGCCCTATCGACGACGAGCTGGGAGCGCGTCTGACACTGAAAGAAGCGACCCTAACCTTAGGCGCAAATTGGGAGATATCACCCGCAAGTTTGAGAATGTGGATTTGAAATACCGTAATCTCAGAGAAGTGGGCATCAACGAGGCAAATGCGAATATGGAGAAGCTACAAAGGCAATGTGATGCTACCATGCAGGCGTCAAATGACTTGATAGCGTCACTCAAAAACGAGCTGGCTACGCAAGTGCCTCTGGCACACGAGGCGCGCAAGCTTCGCAGACAGATGCAGAACCAGGAAGCAGAGATGGAAAGGATGCGCGACACGGCCTTGCAACTCTCAGCCTCTCTGGCTGATGCTCAAAACGAAATCAAAGGACTGCAAGCCAAGTTGGTAGCAGCACGAGCATCCTCTGTTGACAACCCCAAGCCTCCTAGCAGCGCGATGAAAAGCACTGTGCAACGCCACCTCACGGGAGAAGCTGCCCAGGCTGCGCAAGTCGCACAAATGAAGGAGGAACTGTACAGCGACTTGACCGGACTCGTTATTCTGAACGTGAAAAAGACGGCAGAAGGCGATCTATTCAACTGTATCCAGACTGGTCGAAACGGGAGTGAGTTTGACCTGGAATCCTGCTGTGTCAATGAGCTAACCATTGGAAAGCGTTACATTTCAGCTTGTTCATCGATCAGGAAATCGCAAAAGGTGCCAGTTTCGAGGAAACCGAGTACCTATACACGCCTCTGCTGGATCGCGACCGTGACCACGAGATGATGAAACTGATGCCTAGCTATCTGACCGAGGACATCACTTTCGCCAGACACAACGCCGCCAAGTTCTATGGCAGAGTCGTGGATACCATCACCAAGAAAAGGGGTGACGAATGAACGAGCTGTATGATATGCTTTTATGCCCTTCTGAGGTGGTTTTGGGTCGCATCTTATGCCAGAAATGGTCCGGGTGTTCTGTGGCTGAACATAATGTCAGGTCAATTTGGAGAACGGCGATCGTCTGGAACGGTGGCAGAAAGTCATCGAGATTATCCCAACATGGATAGAATATATGCCATAGTGCTGAGTGCTTCGTGTGAAGGACCATGCAGTGTGTTGCAGCACATCTGAACATGCGGCACCGGAACGCGGTTTCTCCGCATTCCGCATTGACATATCGGGATATCGCTATCGCCAGGCTGCGCTTACTCGTGCACTACCCCTCCATCCCCATCTACTCCTCATCCTCCACGTCGCCCATGCTCTCCTCCAGTCGCCTATGCTAGTTCTGCTCAGCCAATTGGTCATCCTCCAACGCGCTGCTACAAATGCCATCCACCTCTCTCTTTTGACCTTGGAAGGCGTCGAGATCATCACTTGCGTCGGGGTGTGATCCCGTTGTATCGTCGAGTGCGTGCTCATGTCTACCTGATACCGGTCCAACTTGGGGCCGCCATTGCTGGTCCGTTTCCGACGACACAGAGCTGCTCTCTGGCGACACCGCCATCTCCTCGCGTCCTTCTAGAACTTCAATATTCCGGGCATTTCTGCCACCTCCGACTCGAGACTTCGACAATTGAAGCAGAACCATCGTTTGTTCAGCGCTGGCAACACCTTAAGCTTTCAGCCGACTCGCCCAGAATGGCAGTGATGTCTTTCCGGAAAGCTTCCCTGTCCACCAATATGAGGGCCCTACATCCAAGATCTAGAACCTCCCGAAATCACCCAGTCAATACAGCCCAAGTCCGAACACTCTGGTGGTGGGGACGGCAGACAGGGAACCCTTGGTCTCCTCCCGAGGATTTTGAAGAGCGTGTGAGAAGACATCACAAGATTATGAAGTCAAGATACTACAAAGTACTCCGAAGAAGAGCATTATGGGAGTCAGAAGATACGTATATTCGACCGTGGCGTCACCATCGCCTTTGGGCAAACCGATATTGCGATTACAAGCCATTGTCTTCCACAGGAGCCTCAGGCCAGGAAGCAAAAGAGCCTGGTAATGAACAAGCCAATGAGGCTCAGACGATATACAAAGACTTCGATGCTTTCCGCGCGGCTGTTGATCGTGCTATCGCACGAGACCCGTACGGGACATTGTTCGGAAGACGGTTGCAAAGTCCTCCATCTTCCAACAACTCGTCATGGACATCTTTCTCCTGGTTCTCAGACCCGAAGGAGATCAAGAACGACTCAAGTGTCAAGGATCCAGATCCTACGCCGAGCATGGCTACAAAAAGCCCGACAGAGAGTGGGACCTTATTCTCCGAAACAGGCCCAGACAAGCAACCAAGTCAGAGCTCGGGCATGGATGTTAGCAAGGAAGAATATGAATATGACCCAATCTCCATGAGGAAGGTTCCCATAAAGAAGCAATCAGCTGAGCCTGAACAAATGGAAGAGCCTGAGCGAGAGCAACGATCAGGAACCCCCGATCCGAAAACCCAATCGGAGCAGCCCAAGCCAGAAAATTCATCGTCGGACGATCAGCCAAGGCAGCCGTTCTTGAAAACCCTGTTCTTCCAAGAACATGGAGTTGACATACCAGTCAAGACTTACAAGCCTCACAGAGTCTACGGCTACAGCGCTTCAGAAAAGAAGCCGACTGATGAACATACAAACCCGTCTACGAAGAGTGAGGGTTTCGACAGCTCCAGAAAACAAGAACTTCGGGATCTGATGACACGAGCCAAGGGTAACAACATAGACACCACGGCTCTGTTTACAGAAGTTAACGCACAACCAGAGTCGGAGACCACCACAAGCGAAACCACTGCTCCTAAGAAGACTCGAGACTTGCCTGAGCCAGATGACAGTCTGCCGCTATTCTCAGGAACCACGTACGAGGCAAAGGCCAGGAGGGAAGCAGACACCAATGCGTCAGATTGGCTGGTCAGAGAAGGTTTCCGGCAAAAGAATGCAGAGTCGGTAAAAGCCACAGACGTGCAGACCGCTTCGATTGATGAGACGATTGTGGAAATGAAGAGTAGGCTTCAGCCGGCCCTCGACAGGGTGAAGACACGGGCTGCCCACGATCATGAGGACAAGTTGGCCAGGCTGCAGACTGCCCTTGACCGGCACATGTCTGCTTCCATGCGGCTTTCTTCTCCGACAAAGAAAGAAACACGAACGAGCGATGCAGTGGTGGCTTCTACCGAGGAGAAAACGGAGGCTGAAGACTCGAAGAAGACAGCAAGGGCAAAACTTGAAACAGATTTCGAGGCCCGACAGAAAGACGCCGCAGACGAAGATATCATCTCGCCCAAGACCCTGAAGCTCGAAACTCCCACCAAAAAATTGACTAAAACACTCAACAATGTCTGGGAGCATATCCGCGAATATCCCAATGGAATCGTTGCCAAAACGATGAAGTCCATGACAAACTTCAACGAGAACTACAAGAAGTATATCCGGCCCGATGCGGTGAAGGGACTGACCGACAAGCTCGTCTTCAAAGACGAATCGCTAAGCAACACACCTTCCATCTACAAGTCCAACGGCAAAGCCCAAACATTGGCGACTTTCACACCGTCACACAATGTCCTCGCCGATGAGAAAAAAGGCATGGAACGGACAGCTGGCTTGCGCGAGGCGACGGAGAACGCGAAGAGGGATGCAGAAGTGCAAAAGACCCAGATGTCGCAGTTGGCTGCAGATATACAAGCAGTCTACGAGAGCGAATACGGGCCCATTAATCCCGAACATAGGCAGCCAACACAACCCTCTCGTGATGTCGAAGCTGCGTCTTCTACGTCCACCGCTTCTGAGCAGAACCCAGCCAGACCTCACCCGCTCTCTGTTGCGAGCGTCCGACCGGGAGTTACCACAAACCCAGTGATTGATGACCATATCAGCAAATTCGAGCCCAAATTTGCAAGGCTCGTTGACGAGGCGAAGCAGATCCGTGCGGAGCTTCGAGTTGTTGACGTCAAGTCTCAGGAGCTCGAGGGCCTGCGACAGGCTGCAAGTCAAGCAGGAGCCAAAGAACAAGCGGAAGAAACCAAAGCACCTCTCCACAAGTTGAGCGACGTCATGCAAGGGGCAAAAGAAGTGAGAAGGGAATTGCATGAAGCTCAGAACACGATAAGACGGATTGAAAGTGGAAGACCAGCAATTGCTTGGAGTGCTCCTCAGTTGTCAGGCTCCGACTTTGGCAAGAAAAGGATTGACCTTAAAGTGCAGAAGAGTCCCAGTGCGATCAAAGCCCCACGCGAGAGCGTAGCTGAAAAGAACACAAACATTGGGGCTGAGGTACAGAGGACAGCACCGAGTCCAAGTGAGATGGAGCCGAAAACGGTTCCCGAACCGATCCACACCCCATCGGGATCACCTGTTTGGAACGATGAGCAACCTCCGCCCATCGAGAGCATGAAAATGAGAAAGTTTGACTCTCCCTACCTCCTTCTGACGTACGACAGCTCGACTGAGAAGGTCAACTTCTCTCCAATGAATCAACCAACCACGGAAATGCCCAAGTCCAACAATGTGATTGGTATTTTAGGACGCCTCAAAAATGCTCCAGAATTTCTCAAGCATTTCCAAACAATGCAAAGAGCAGGATATTCGCTGTACAATGGCACCGAGAACATGTTGATTTTCCAGAAGAAGCAATCAGAACATGCCACAGGCCCAACTGTGCCAAAGGCTATCACAGAGGCAAAATCACTGACGGAAGAGGTGACAACGACACCCGGAGCCAATGTTTCTCCTCAAACCGATCAGGAAGCTGCCACAGTGTTGGATGAATTGCCCTCCGAGTTGAATCCACTCCCCGGGCCAGCAGCACCCACGGCCCCTCCATCTCGTCCGATCGGAAATCAGCCAAAGGTGAGAAGGCAAGAGAATGTCTTCTCTGGAACAATCCGTCCGAATGCGTCGTCCTCGTCGTCATCCCATGCGACGGACGAAAAGGCTTCAGCATCGAACTCTGACAAGGGTAGTCATGATAAACAAGGCGAGAGCCTCTGGAAGCGACTCACGCGCGGAGTGAGATACACGCTTTTTACTCTCACTGCTCTGAGTCTAGGCGCGTACTCTATCGGCTTTGTCGCAGAAGGGCTGAGTGCTCACGCCCAGCAGCAAAGAGGGATCGTTGATGGAGAAGCCCAAGGACCGAGAAAGCGGATTGTCATGACAGGCCAGAGACCGGGGATATTCAGCACAGAAAGTTCTCGCTGAGGCGTTGAAGATTGTGAGGCTTGTCCAGGTTGAAAATGCCAGCGGATACGAACAATGATGCGGTGGTGGAGTCACTTGGTTGATGTATTGCATCTCTTGCTGTGCGAGGCGTGTACGGCGCTGGAGGAGGATTACCGTTATCATGTACATACCCAGTCCGCTCTTCGTCTTAGTTTCTTGTCTCTATAGCGCCTCTGCTCCAAATCCCGATTTTCGGTGGTGATTACATCTAGCCCGTCCATTGCACCGAAGAACCGTAGCCTCGTAAATACCTAGGTCCTAGGTATCGAGACATGTTCTTGGTGGAATCTACCTTCCTTTTTTGGCCATGAATTTGACCCGATCAATGGCAAACTCTGGTGGAGTCGTTCTACCCGGAAAATACTTTCGACCTGCATTGATCCCTCCTCTGGAGCTCTTCCCTCGATTGAATGAATACACTCGAGAGTCCCATAGTCACTGACACCCGTTTAGCACCCAGAACAAAGACGACCTAACAGGCACTGGCAGGACATTTTGCGCCACAGCAGAATCCCCAAGGAAACGAAAGCATTTCAAGCTCCCCCCACCCCCTTGACGGCTCAATTGCTCCATCCAGCATTTCTCAGATATAGACTCAAAAACTTGCACCCCAATATGGCTGGATCTGACACGCGCAAAACGGTGCTGATAACGGGCTGCTCGGCGCACGGCCTCGGCCACGCATTGGCGATCGCGTTCCACGATGCGGGACTGCGTGTGTTTGCCACCGCGCGCAACCCGGACAAGATGACCGGCTTGCGGGAGCGGGGGATCGAGTGCTTGCCGCTGGACGTGCTGGACGAGGAGAGTATCAAGTCGTGCGTGGAGAGTGTCAGAGGTTTGACAAGGCGAGATGGCGAGGATGAGGGCAGATTGGATTGTTTGGTCAATAATGCTGGTGGAGGTATGTTTCTCTCCCCCGTGCTCTCCTTGGTTTTCTTTCTTTTCCTGGCCCGAGTTGGTGGCTTTGTTGGTGTGTTTGATGATGTGTTCTCTTGGACCTTGAGAGGCGTCCATAAAGGATCTGGAGTGGGGATGGGTATTGGGAAGGATTGACCTGCTGGAATATCCAGCGCCTTGCTCTCATTGTTCTTGATATCGGGATCCACCACCTGTCTACCTTCTTGCATGGTATCTTGATTTGACGGAACGTCTGCCCACATACTTACTTCAAGACGCCTGTTGGGCAAGGACTGACTAACGCTCTCGAACCCCCTCGTGGGAAACAATAGGCTACAACATGCCCGTGGCCGACATATCCATCCCGGAAGCGAAAGCCCTGTTCGATCTGAACGTCTGGTCCTGCATCGCCGTCACGCAAGCATTTCTACCCTTGCTGATCAACGCCGCCAAACCCATCACCACCACCAACCCATCCTCCCCGAGGATTTCCAAATCCAAATCCCACCCTCCTCCAAGCCTGATCCTCAACAACACGTCCGTCTCCTCGGTCGAACCCACGCCCCACAACAGCGCCTACCACGCCAGCAAAGCCGCCACGGCCATGTTCTCGACACACATGCGGATCGAGCTGCAACCGTTCAACATCCACGTCATCGACCTCAAGACCGGGTGCGTGCACTCCAACTTCCACGCGAACCACCAGGACGGCCGCGCCAGTCTGCCGGGGGACAGTATCTACGCGCCCGTGCGCGAACAGACCGAGAGCGCGATGCGCAATGCGTTCCCCATCCGCGAGGATCCCGGAAAGTGGGCCAAGGATGTCGTGCGCGATGTTCTTGGGTCGTGGGATAAGGGTGGTCAGGGCGGAGGTATGCCGCTGGAGATCTGGAGGGGCACGGGATCCTGGAGGACGTGGTTCTACAACTGCACGTTCTGGCCCACGGGTTGGTGGGATGAGTGGTGGAGAAAGGCCGTGGGGTTGGATCTGTTGAGGGAGAAGGTAAGGAAGAGCCATGGATGTTAAGTGTCGGATAAAGGTGTATACCTAGGTAGGTATGCGCATAGCGAAGAAGGGGGCGCGAAGCAGACTCCAGTGGGAAACGAGAAAAGATTCTTTGATTTTTTTTGTATTAAGTCAAACCTCTCGCCCTGATGGCCTGATGGGCGTTTGGGAACGCTTAAGGTTCGTATCCTCGACGACTAAACAAGTCCCCAAACTGACATGCCCTGACCTATTCAGCCTGAACATGGTCCGAACATTTTAACGGCGCGCCCCGGTTCTGCGCCTAACGCATAAATGCAAGCATTATCATTACATTGTTATCATGCCGGCCTCCAGAGGCCGCAGATAACCCTGAACACTGAGAAGCAAAATAGAGAGCCTTGTCCCACCTTTTTTCTATCTCCCGCGGGTGTATCCTAGGTTTAAAAAGTAGAGGATCGTGGCAGACAACCAACCAACCACAAAAACAAACCTGAGCGCCGTGACCGAGTCATTGCAGGTGTGGAAGAAGTCAGGTTTCATTAATCTTCGATCTGGGTCATGAATTTTCTCCGCATGTTTGAATTAACGACGCCGCCAACACCGAAAGCAGGCTGTTGTGCGGTGAATAACAGGTTAGCCGTCTTCCCTTTTGTTGGCGTAAGGAAGAAATGAAAGTGAACGAAAAGAAAGAGTTGCTGGGACTTACAATGATCCTCCCCATCCGAGCCAAGGCACTGACACCCCAATCCCTGACGACCCGGGAGTATCGCTCTCCAAAACCTAACCGACCTTGTCTATTGTACAGATCCAACCCTAGCAGATGGATCGGGGTTGAAATCAACTGAATGGCAGCCGGCGCCATGAACTGGGCCGTATTCATCCTCCCGGACTCCGTGGAGAGAATGCGAGAAAACCGCGACCTTACTTCGGGCGGGAGGTTCGCGAGTTGCGGTGCAATGATGGATGGGAGGTTGAAGGACGCGAAGATGGTCAAACAGTCCCGCACGGCGAAGAGGGCGTAGGAGAGTTTGGGGACAACGGCGGCTGCCGGTGACGACGACGGGGCTGTTGCTCCAAACATCCTCGCGAAACACGAATCCTTGTACACACACAGGCTCATGTTCACCGAGGAGGTCGCGAGGAATTTGGTCGCGCCGGAAGAGACTGTGGAGGCCGGCTTTGACGTGACGGTCGAGTGCAGCGTGTCGACGGCGTTGGCTGTCGTGTAGGTCGAGAAATACAGCGTGAAGATCAGCAGGAATGGCCTGGAGAAGATGAACGCATGGGGGCGGGTGATCGCTGGGTGCAAGGAGCGCAGGAGGCAGGATGAGAAGGACGTGCCATTCGCAGCTTTCTCAACTATGGAGCTGGTCCTCGTTAGTGACATCTATTTTTCAATGGAGGTCTGGACTGAACGACAGCAGGACGTAGAGCAGGCAGAGACCTCCCAACAGAGGCTTGAGTTGGGTAGCAACAGTGCAGGCTGGTTCATTCTCTGGCACAATTGAAGGGTATCAGAACCCTCAGAGAGTACGCACCGGTCTATAACAGTTATGATAGGGGCAATCAACGCTGAAGCGCTGGCAGCAGAGGTAACATCCGCGCCTAGTCGCAATCCCAAGTTCATTGTGTTCCATTGCACAGGTTTCTTCTGCTCCACCGACACCTTTCTCACCGAAGGGAGGTGAACCTGAGGTTTCGGGATAGAGACAGTCTTTGAGGGGACTGGCAGCTTCTCTGAGAGCTCCTCGTTGGGTTTTGACTCGAGGAGAGGTTGCTGCTGGTGAGGCATCGTCTTTGCGGAGGCTCCTGCGCGCCGTGCATTGAAGCCGTGACGGTGAGGTTGCTCGGCTGCGGCTCGTTTCAGATATTGGCGGGAGAGAGACCGGGGAGCTGTCTTATCGTTTTCAGACCCTCTCCGTCTGGCTGACTGTGTCGCTGGGGGAGATCACTGTCGACTGCGAAATTTAATTACGCGCAGGAGATGGGCTGGAAGTTGAGTCAATCTGCCTTCGGGTCATTGTTCACCGATCCGACATCGGCCCGGTTCCTTCAAGGCTCAGCCTTGTCATATACCAGACTCGGATGCATAGCAGATCCCAGCCAGTCGAATAATCATAGAAAGTGAAACCCATTGTCGGGTTGAGTAGATGTATGTTTCCGGAGGATATGCGGACTAAACTTTATACCCGCTTGACCTTCTCGTCGACCAGCTTAGACGTGATCTCTAATGCTCCCGCAACGACCGCCGCCGGTTTCATGGCTAAAGAGGGTAGGCAAATCGAGTGGAAGTGATTTATATGCAAAGTCGAGTGTCACAACAACATTTCAAAGCCAGAGAACTCCTCCTTCAAATGAGACTGGGTGCGCCGTTATAAGTTCTTCTTTTCCTTGGCGATCTTTGCTTCAGCCTGCAAGGCCTCCTTTCGACCTGTGGCGTGTCTTTGGCCAACTGCATTTTCTCCGCCAATGGCCCGGAACGCCTGGTAGAACGTCCATTCAACAGCCTCCTCCACAGGTTTGTCGAAGAGATAAGGTAGTGCGGGAACCACTGCTAGACCGAGCTATAGTCTCATCAGTGTCTACCCATTAGTTTCTGGATGATTCACTTACTCCAATCGGGCCCCAAGTTCTTATGGTTTGGTTTGATGCACTCTTGAGCGCCTTCCCGGAATATTTCACGACCGAGTGAATTGTAAATGCCGGCAATCCCATCGAAGCGAGACTTTGGAAAACAGCTCGCTGGGCCATCACGGCCCGATAGTCTTCAATCGCAGGAATGTGAACGGGTTGCTGTGCCGACATGGCATCGACCTTCCCCATGGGTTCCTTTGGTTTTCCGTCAGACTCCTCTCCGCCTTGAGGATGTAGCAGCCTCTGATTCCTCTTATACGCCTTCCACCCCTCGTGCCCACAATCACCGAGCACGTATGCCCATGAGACCGCATATGCGCTTCTGACCAGTATAGGGTGGGCAACTGGGCGAAAGGACTCGCCAATGTCTGAGGTATAGGCAACATATCGATGGGCGCTCAACATAATAGTGCGCAGCCGGTTGGCATATGCGGCATATCGCATGCTCGTTTCCGTGGTGTCCGGCCCTTCTCCTTCGTAGATATTGTCCATCCAGTCATCTTGCTTGTCGACCAGCTTTTGGAGGTCTTTGTTTAGATGCTCGCGGGGAAAGGCAGAGTTCGGGCGGTCTCCCTCTTTGCCGGCCATGGTGGGAATGGAGTTGGAACGGAGGGCAGGTTTGCAGCTGCCTGTCGCCCAAGATAGTCGGATCACATTTAAGAGGAGATGCGACAGAGGCAAAAGTGCCTCAGGACCGCGTCGTGACGATCAGTGCCTGCAGCTTGCGGAGCTTCTGACCGGGACGAGGCGGCGGGCCAGAAACTGCGGAATCCTGTTGTGTGGTTGACCGTAGTGCATTGCGAGCTGTGTGTCCGGCGGATCATTCAATGAAAGCTCCAGCAGCTCAGACGCAAAATCTCGGTCCGCAGTCGACTTGCTTCGTCTTTTTGCAACCAGAACCATTCCCACGACATCTCGAATATACATCTTCGCAAGGTCTCAAAATCGTCAAGATGGTTGCCATGTACAATATCGCAGGCCGCCAGGTCGGATCACACTGGGTAGGTGACCGTGAGATGGGTTCTACTCTGTCACAATCAAATCCGCGTTGAGGAATGCCCTCCTTTCAACCGCACTGACTGACCTTCTGTAGCTGGCTATTGCTACGCTCAGCACCGCCTTTGGCCTTCCCTTCCTGCTGACTAGAGGCGGTGGAGCCAAAAAATCACCCACGCCCCCAATCAACGCCTCAAGCAAGGACGAAGAGAAGTTCATTCAGTAAGGAGCTTATCCGGTCATTCGCTGCCGCAACGCTGTCCCTAACACCTTGGCAGGGAATTTTTACAACAGGTGGAGCAAGAAGACAAAGGGAATAAGATCTCGGGCAAAGAGGCGCATTAGAGAGGAGACCAGCAATATGAGAAGATACGGTTCAGACGAACCTACGCATTGTACATAAGCTAGACGGATTGAAAACTACAACACCAGCCATGAAGCCCTGTGGACAGAAGAAGCCCTTTAGTCCTTGTGTCGCAATATCCCTCACGGCCTCAACTGGAACACTTCCCCATCCTCGGTTGGTCGTCCCATTTTGACGTCGGCAAAGCCTTGCTTCAAGTCCATGACGATGGAAAATAAAGTTTGGCTGGTGCTCTTCTCCCCTACAGCTCGGTTGATAGCGGCAGGATAGTTGCTCTCATCCTTCAAGATCTCCTTCAAGTTTTGCATGGTCGGTTTGCCAATGTCCCTCATCAGCTGTTGAATGCGGTCTAGCCTGAAGGGGGAGTCCTTGACAAGGATGTCCCCCTCTACCTTGTGTTTCATGACCAGGTGATTCGAGTGAGTACAGGATCCACGCAATGCGCCATCCGTGTCCAGGGGCATTTCCACAATGTCGAGTGCTGTGCATTCAAATCCAACACCTCCAGTCGCCGCATCAGCGATGGTGATGTGACATGCCGAAGCCACTCCGGCTTTACGAAGGGCGGCTGCTGCTGCCTCTTTAGACGTGCTATTGAGTGCCGTCCTCAGTGCAAGATGGCAAGGAAGCTTGTCAAAAGATACGCCTGGCGCTTGAATGGCGTTCAGCGTGACGCCGACGCCCGCGGAGTTCATGCCAATCTTGCCAATGATTCCTCCTTCGCTCATCATATGGATTCGGGGCTTGCCGGGTTGCTCAATCGCAAGACAGATGATGTTGGGGGTTTGGTCAAAGTTCCAATCCCAGTTCTGGGCCAGAAAACTCGCATCTGACGTCTTCCAGGCCAGGGCAGTGCAGCCGTCGCTCACCATGCCAAAGGCAATCTCGGTGCGGACATTCAGCGCCACAATTGATTCGAGATCGAGCCCAGCGCCATCGGCAACGCCTTGCATCTCCTCGACATACTCGGGATACGAACTTTGCAACCAGGGAAGCGACTTTCGGGCTACATCCTGCACTTGTGGCCACGAGAGCTTCGCTCTCTCCTTGAAATAAGCGGAATAGAAGGCCATGCTCCCGTGTACCTCGGTTTTGGCTGCCTCGCCATGTTGACGACCGATCTGGAGGTGTCAATGGTGGATTATCACGAGTCTGACAATGTGGACTCACCTCGTATGGCGTGCCTGAGCACTTGATATGCTTCATCTTGCGGCGATTGCGACGATGTCTTGAACTTTCAGTGGGGAAAAAGCGATGGAGAGTGCTCCTGGAGCCAGCCAGACCAGGAGATCAATGCCATAATATTCATTGCCTTTGGCCTCGGGCCCCGCACATCTTGCGGAGTTGCGCGTGGAGCGCGAGCGATATCTCTTGAACGCGGTGTAACTGGGATGTGATAGCGCTTGTTTGTGTAGCCAGACGGTTGTAGATAGCAAACGGGGTTGGTAGAAGCCCACGATGATTCGAGCATGAGCCATCTTTGCGTCTTGATACTGTGCCGTTTCATCGACAGGCCCAACCTGGAAGGAGAGTTTCCGTGGCTGAATTGGACTTGATACGGGATGGGGGAGCCTCTCTCGCTAATACATGGCGAGGATGGTATTCCCCACCGACGACTTTATCGCTCGATTCTCCAAAAACCTCCCCTCAACTTGAAGTTCACAGAAAAGGCTGTTCCATTGTTCTAAGCGTCACTCTCCACCTCAAGTCCTCAAAGCAACCCATCCTTCACCCAAAATCGCGCCCCGCAAAGCGTCCCCTCCAGTACGCGCGTCAAGCCCCGGATGCGAGCCCCCTTCCCTCTGGCGCTGCGCATTGGCACCGACATCGTAGCCACGAACCGAATCGCGTCCTTACTCCAACCAGACATCCGACGGTTAGTCCGACTGACCAATCGATTCCTGGTCGCTCAAGAGCTCGAGGATCTCAGGCGCCGCTTCCCGCACTGGGACGATGCAGATCGCCAGGACCGGGACCAGCTGGCGAGGAACAAACAGGTTGCTGCCTGGATTGCCGGCCGCTGGGCGTCCAAGGAGGCCGCCAAAAAGGCCTGGGATGCTTCTTTACTCAGCTTTCGCGATCTGAGGGTCGGAATTGAACCCGACAGCGGCTCGGTCCATATCATCTGCGATATCGCTGGTCTGATTCAAACCTCGGAAAACGCTTCAGGTCATTCCACAATAACCTCAGGCAGCAGCAGCAGCAGCAGCAGCAGCAGTAGCAGCGCCAGAGTCACTGAGCAGACTGCTCAACTCAGCATAAGCCACGACGGAGACTACGCCATCGCCACAGTTCTTGCGACACCCTTACATGCAGATATATCGGCCGAGCTTGCACGAAGAAAGGCCGAAGCCGAAGCAAAGGTTTAAATAAGCCTCTGTTGGCCCAATCGTGTAGGGGCTTTTGACTCATTTCTTACAGGCAGCAACGCCAAACGTTCAGTGACCATAGCAACAAAAACCCAACTGTGTACCTTTGGTTTTAGAACTAAGACACTAGATCTGTGTGAGGCACTGTGAATTTTTCAACAACAATCAATAATGGCGTCGTGGAACCAACCAGGCGGATACTCGGTGATGCACGAGCACGACCCCCGGTGGACGGCGGTCGACGAGTATGCCAACGGGCACTTGCTCGCTCCCTCTCGGAACCCGTACCACGAGGCACTGGAATTCACGCGTTCCAACTCCCGGGCCAAGGGTCTCCCGGACATCGCCGTCTTCGCGGCACAGGGCAAGTTCATGTCGATGCAGATTCAGATCACGGGCGCCAAAAACGTTCTGGAAGTCGGCACGTTGGGCGGGTACTCTGCGATCTGGATGGCCGCGGGGACCGGCGCGGACGGGAAAGTGACGACAGTCGAGGTCAACCCGGAGACCAAGAAGATCGCCGAGGAGAACATTGCGCACGCTGGCTTGAGCGACCGCGTTACCGTGCTGTTGGGGCCGGGCGTCGAGGTCCTCCCTGCGCTGCTCGAGGAGGTCAAGGCCGGCAAGCGCCCGCCCTTTGACTTTGTCTTCATCGACGCCGACAAGGAGAACAACCTGGCCTACTTCGAGTGCGCGCTGCAGATGGTCAAGCCCCGCACCTGCATCATCGTCGACAACGTCGTCCGCCGCGGACAATTGGCCGATCCGGCCATGAAGGACGACTCTCGCATCGCGGGCACGAGGAGGCTCATTGAGGCCGTGGGCAAGGATGACCGCGTCGAGGCCGTCGTCATCCAGACGGTCGCGGAGAAGAATTATGACGGGTTCATGATGGCCCTGGTCAAGTAGATCAGGTCGACGACTCTCTCGAGTGACCTAAGGTGTTGCGATGGTATCCATCAGTCACGCTTTATCGGTCATCAGCAGTCTTCTGTCTGTTTGTCTGTCTTTTTCGAATAGATGAAGTTGTAGTATACCTCGATTTGGACCTTGATCGTGTGGAACCCTTTGGCGGTCCAGAATGTGATCTATCACCTTATTCAACAGTACCTAAGCACGCGCTGAGCTATATATACTCACTGCACATGAGCATCCATCAATCACACCTCGCAGTCCTCTCCAATGGCGCTCACTTGCCTACCTAGGCACCATTCCCACCACCAGGCCACATTCGTTCGGGCCTCAAACCATTCAACACTCCCGCGAACATCGACATCGCCATTTTACGAACTGATTCTGCCGCTTCAACTCTCCTTATCCAAATCCGTCACCGTGCCGGGCTTATGCGCGACCTTCTTATCATTCTGATCCGTGAAGACGACCGCGGGCGGGTGGCCGGCGCCCTTGACATTTTCCAGGTCCTTTTTGGCCTGCGTGTCGCTTGTAATGATTTTCTCGACCTACAGCACACAGAGCACGCGAAAGTGAATCAGCCCTTCTTCTTCTGACTATTCCCAAATACAGCCACTCTCGGCCACATCGGGAGGGAGGGGCAGGGCGTGTCAACGTTACCTGTCCTTCGTGCTTTCCTCCTCGATACTGGTAGATGAACGACGACGATGGTGGTGGTGGTTAGTTATTGTTCTCTCATGGATCGCTAATCTTTTGTGTCACGATAGAATCCTCCCGGTACTTACAGGCGTGCTGACAGTGTCGCCCTCCTCGATTGTCGCGCCTCCTTTTGATTTGATATCAGACATGTTGGTGACGACGGGGAAAATATTTTCTGGTTTTGATCCTTGAACTGCACTGACTGAGACGCCCTTTGTATATGGTATATGCTTTGGTTGTAGTGGTATCAACAGTGTCAGAGAAAACCTGTGGACCTTGTGTCACCATCGCGAAGAAGGTTCAGGTGCCTTAAGTAATACCTTTTGTCGTCACTCTCAGGTCATAAGGGAGAGATCGTCGTGTCCTGATTGGCGGAAGCAGGCTTCCCGTGAGCCAACATCTTCCCCTTCTTGGGTTTCTTGTCCATACCACCACCTCGACACTACCTATCTAGTATTAGTAGTACCTACTCAACCCGCCCAGGTAGATAGGTAGGGACCTAGGTAAGTAAGTCAACTCGTCTGTCGAATCTGCCTCAATGTAGTTATACCTTCTAATTATGTTGCAATAAAAAGCCGGCAGCTCGATACCCGGCGACACGCTCATAACCCTCCGGTGGTGACGGGTGTGGAAGCACAAGTGATAGTCCCCGTCGTCAATGCACCACAAGTACCCGCAGAGGTTATACATGGATTGCACAGCGTGCAGTCGTTATCGTTTTGGCAACAATCGCCGGGGCAACCCCAGCTGCATGGGACTGGAACTGTTCCGGACATGTAGGTCATGGTATTTGTTCGAGTTGCGATACATGTCGGACCTTGAGTCGTGGATGTGGTCAAAGTTGACGAACTTGAAGCGCCCAAGAATGTCGATGTTGGACCTGGAGGCGTCGTTGAGATTGTTGGCGATGAGAGCACGCTTCTAGATCCAGATGGGCTCGACTGGGGTAGGTTTCTATGGTGGAATAATGTAAGTCATCGGCGTTGTTACAGTGGAAAGCCTTTCCAGAACACGACCAATTATTAATAAGACTTACGTCGTGGAGCTGGATCGAGGCACATCCTGTGCTTGGTCATGGTTGACTTCTGTCACAACAATCGGAACGATGATTGCCACGCAGATGATTACTGCTACGAGAATCACGGCTGTGAGAAAGCGAGGGTGGCGCCGTGGTTGGTGCAGGACCATGAACCCATGGTTGATAATATTTCTGGTCGAGTGTTCCACCCGGTTGTCGTTGCCGTTTGTCAACTCGTAATTCTCGTCGCCATGATGGGCACTTGAATTGCGACCATAGTTGTCACTTGTGTTGAGTTGGTGTCCAGTAGGCCGTCCGTTTTGTTCATTAGGTGGTGACATAGAAGCAGTTCATGCCGAGGAGAATGTGAGCAAGATTGGGCAGCAAGGGGAGACAATGACTGGAGGTTTCATGATGGCCAAGGGTGCAGGTGGTGGTACATACTGTACAACAGGCAGCAGCACTCACGTTACACAAGAGCAGCAGTGAGTGTGGGAGCGGATACGGATGAAGCCCTTCAAACCGTAACGGACCTTGAAATGGTTACCTGGGCAGTGTTGGTGAGGCTGAGGCTGAGAAAGGCAGCAGGAATACGACATCGCCTTAAACAGACTAACATCAACCACTACCAAGGATATAGTCGAGCACACTTGGCCCGCTACCAACCCCCTTGCTGTAGTCTGTGTCACTCTTTCTATCGGGCTCGCAGGAGGGCTGCCAAGTCACAGCCCTGCATTACTCAGTAGCATCTCGCCACATCATCGCCGCACGTCTCTTTGCAGCAGAGAGCCCAGTTGCCTGATTGCCCCGTTGCATGATTGCCTTGCAGCTTCTGCATCTATGCCGCCTTGTAATATGGACAGCCAATACCAAGGGGCCATCTTCGGTCCCCATTCGTTCGGTAAGAGAGGCAAGACGTGTCTCACGTCCGTGTGGCTGTGAAGCTCTCGTGGAACCCACGTACTGATCGGGCGTATGCTCAAATTCCTCTTCATGAACGATTCCGCTTCCCGTGCTCAGGCCTCATTGACGCGACCTGATACTCCAGCATCTTGATGGCCCAGTCGTCATCGGGCATGCCCACAATCCGACCATCGACCAGAAGAAGGACGGCGGGGTCCCAGACTCCCGATTCCCCTTTGAATCCAGTATAAGTAATGGCGGAAGTCCTGGGAGTGGTAGCTGCTGCCGCACAGATCCTAGGGACGGTGCGCAATGCCCTACTCCTCGCCCTGGAAATTCGCAGGGAGCTTCTGAAAGGACCGCTCCGAATCCAAGCACACATTGAATGCTTAGACTCGACTATCTCTGTCTTGAAATCGGTACAACACGAATCAGACTCGTGCACATATGACACCGAGATACGCCGCTTCGTCCAGGCCGTCGACAACAAAATTCAAGCCCTCTACAAAACCCTACGGAAACACCTGCAGAGCATCTCCGGCGGATCTTTCCGGAAGTTCGTGGGAGCGCTGAATACGAGCAAATCCGAGGGGAAAATCAACGGGGCTTTCGCGGCCTTGGATCGCGAGAAAACGAATCTACACTTGTTCATCTCCATCGGAGTCAGAGCAAAGCTCGACCTTCTGATCTCTAGACAAGTCATGATTCAGCATAACAGCGGCAGGGGCGATGATTGTGATGACGTTGAGATGTCCGATGCCGTTGACCTTGCCGATGGCAACAGCCACCCTGTAAGGACTACAGGCCACCAAAGTAACGGGTGCGTTACAGCTCCGCTTATCCCGAGCAATTTGGGTGCACCATCTCATGCCCAGGGCATAGCTGATAGCGCTTGTGTTTCAATGAGCGAGCAACATACCATGACAACTACCGCCACCACAAGCTTTGCATCAAGCTTCTCACTCAAACCAACCGACCCAGCTCGAGATAACCGCGAAGAGAGCTTACCCAGGACACCAAATTCGACACCGACATCTGGAGAGCAAAACAACCATGTCAACAGTCACAAAATCAGATCGAAATCGAAGTATAAGAAAGATGCCAAAGTCCATTATGGCGACAAGGTGGTCGGTTCTCGGCCTACCACCCTCTCCGGGTCAATGGACGTCAAAATGGAAGAACGTTACGGAGAAAACGCAAATGTTCACGTGGGTCATGAATATTGCTCGAATGATGAGAACGGCTCGAGATGAACAGACTGGGGCGCCTGGCTGGCTGCTGCAAAGTGTACACGGTTGAGACGAATTTATTTTCTTCATGCGTGCTATGTGGTGATTCAGTAGCTAGCTCAGGGGACGCGAGTTTGTCAGGAGAGATATCAAGACAATATCACGGCGTGTTGGGTCTTGGATCGATGTATTTGACAGGTAGAAAGAGCATTTGACAGCATCACGATATCAGCGGAACATCGTAGTTATGGTCTCAGAGCAGCTTGGTAGAAGCTTGTCCTTTTAGACTTTATTCACCGTAGAACTAAGTGTTTACATAGCACTCCTTATTGATAATCACAGCCCTGCCTTGACCCCATGATAACAACGTCACCGATTGCCCCGGCCAGACACTTACCTTGTGCAGAAGATCTTGGTCAGAGGCAATTTCTGCATCGGATTCTGCATTTCCCGTGTCTCGAGCCATGCATTCATTTATTTGGCGGCTTTGATAAGGCGCGAGGCGGCCATCCGCAAGGCTGGTTTCCACGGCAACCACCGGGGTCTCCAACATCAACTTCGGCCTTCACGAAACGATGATTGGTGTTGCCACTTCTTCATCGCAAGCATCCTGCAAGGCATGGCTGAGGAGCTATGCTCTGTTCAGCTTGAAGAGATGGACAACCCGGTCAAATATCTCTGGTGCCTCCCCCTCAAGTACGGAAAGGCTTTTGTGGCGGGCTGAGGCCCTCCAGCCTTGATCCTTGCCGCCATCCAAGGCTTGTTTTTCGTATCAACCCAACAACCAAAAAGCCTGAATCGCCATGACAAGATGCTGTTTCCCTTTCTCAAAAAGGTGGGCCAGGCCTGACTGCAGGAGGAGGTGTCTCACCCCTCTCAAGAAATACTGACTGCGTCGAGCTTTTGCCAGCTCGTTCCACAAAACATTGGGGATCAGATCATTTACCCATTGCATATCCAGGCTGCTACTGCCTGACCACTACCAACCTCATGATTGCATAGGCAACGGAAAGGGAAATAACAGCATTGTCTCATGCGTGCCCTCGCGCTTTTCACGGGTCTGCTCTCCCAGCTACAGAGGCGAGACACATAGTAAGCCGCCTACCTTCTCTCCAGTGCTGCATAGTCTTGTACGCATGCACGCACGCACGTATTCCAGACCCAAGTTCCTGCGCCAGATCTGACACAAAGCCGTTGACTTTTACCAGCGACGATGGCCAGTACACCCAAGTCATCCAGACCACGAGCTGGAGCTACTCCACGTCCTACTGGACCTCGTATCGCTCGACCGAGATCATCACAATAACATCGTACATCCCCTGCCCCGTCCTCACCAGCTACACCACCGTCTACAAATGCTCGAGTTGCGGGGCGTGCGACAGTTGCGGCCAGACGGCGCAGACCACGTGCTCGCCGAAGCTGTGCTCGACGTATATCTACGACGTTGTCGAGGCCACCACCACGCCCTACAGTTCGGGCGAGTACGCCATCGCCTACGTGACGAGCTACGCCGGGGCGCAGGCCTTGACGACGAGCATCCCCGCGTCGTGGTGCACCGCCTACGAGCAGATCGACTTTACAGGTATTGATTGCCAGACTCTGCCTGCCTGCGGCGGCGGGACCACGAGTGGGCTCACATGCGAAGCGAAGCCGTGCACGTCGTGCATCGATGAGGACGGGGACGGCGAATACGAGACCCTCACCGAGGGCACGCAGTACTTCTACACCGAGTTCGCCCGGCTCACCGTCAACGGGCAGGTCACATCCACGCCCGCCAGCCTGTGCGAGCTGCTGACCATCCCGACGCCGTGGTACGTCCAGCCCACGCTCGCCTGTGGCTCTGACGACGATGACAGCGGCGCTGCTGACAACGGCAACAACAATAACAACCAAGGCGGCCAAGTCATCACATACACCTACACGACCAACGGCGCCACCGTCGTCGTCGCCACCAGCCTGCCCTCGCACGGCGGCCCGTTCCATCTCACCGGCAGTGGCAGTGGAGCCCGAGTCGGCGGCGAGCTTGGGAGGAACGTGCTCTTCTGGGCGTGGGTTGTTGGGGCGCTCGTCGCCGGCGGGGGGATGATTGTTCTTTAGGTAATGGGAAAAAAGCCCAATATCTATCTATACATACTACAGGAAAACTATGTGTGTCTCATGTGTATATACGACTCAGGAGGGCGGTACAGGGCCAGCAAGGCTTTAGCCTATTATGATATCCTGCACGGGGACAACGGATGGAACAACGGCTCCTACGCCCCGTAGGACAACGACTTATTCGGGGGACACGAAACGCACGGGTATCGGGATGGATGTATTGGGTTATTATTATATGTACGTAACATCAAGGGCACATGGCAATGTTTTGACGCTGGGAACCTCTGGACATTGGGAAACGGACATATGGGCATATGGGCATATGGGCGGCTTATCTGGATAGCGGATTGTGGATGTCTCAAATACCTATCATCCCTCAGCTAGGGTTTCTTCTCGAGGGTTGGGAGGGAGGGCAAGGACGAACGGGACACGATTGCTTGATGAAACCCATTCTGTGAAAAGGGGAGGCATTCTGTGGAAAAGGGAGGGCAATCTGCGGCTTTTATGATGGGTTTTAAAGTATTCAAATTTCAAATCATCCTTCATACTCGGCTGCTGCTGGTGGTGCTGGTTGTGGTGGTGTTGACTCTATCCTATCCTGATGGGCAGTCTTAAACGGGTCCCGCCCCAAACGAGATCCCAAGCGTCGAGCGAGCATCGAAGTGTCGAAGATCCCGGATCGCATGAGGCTGGATGGACACCGGCCTTCCCGTCTTTCTGATAACCCGATACGGCCACAATTCATCAATGCGATCCAGGCGCGCGTCTTTGGGACGGATTCCTTCCCCATGAGACCCGTCAAGATCATGTCCTTCTGGGTGCCCAAGAAAAAGGTCATTCCAAGCCTCACAAAAGGCCTTTTTCCGTGGAGGTAGGGAATCAAGCCGCCCAAGTGGCTGTAAATAGTAGGCAGTAGGGTTGAAGCTGTCCAAAAGAGGTCGGGAGGGGCCGATTTATTATTCCTCGGGAAAGGGAAGGGTTGAGAGAGCGTTTCGCTCTAGGCTGCTGGCTGCAATGCTTCTCTCCCTCATTTCCCAGGGGCGTTTGACTTGGAAAGTGTGCTGAAGGAACCCGGGATGGGAAGGAGAGTAGGTGAATTTGGATGTCGTCGTCGAGTGTCCCCATCACAGCTCTTCCTGCAATTCCCGGATCTTGTAGTAGATTTCCTTCAGGATTTCTTCTTTGCCAACCTGTTTCCGAGACTTAATCAGCATGACAGAACAGAAATTTGACTCGGCCGAAGACAAAGGACAAAATATTCATAGCAGTTGTTGACAGGATAGCGCGTTGGTGCAGTGTTCTTACCTTTATCTGGAATCCCGTCGGCTTGCCTCCCTCCAGACCAGTGAGATGCATGGTCTTTCCGCTCGGTTCTTTGCCGTCGTGCGTGCCGACATTCATCTCCTTAAATACCGGCGTGTTGAGTAGTAGACGATGGGTACCCATGGCGCGCATGATGATTCGTCCTCTACGTTCGAGAGTCATAGACGACTCAGCTTCGCCTCCTTCAAGGGCTGCTTCAACGTCGTCTTCATTTGTTTCTCCGGAACCGTCTTCGGCTTTGCTGCCGTTGTCTCCTGCATTCTTGCCGTCCGGGGCAGGGGTTTGCACAGCTGATCTTGCTTCGAAGCGCATGTTGATCTTGAAATCCCCCAGCCCGCTCTCTTTCCACTCCCTGTCGAAGTGGTATAGCTTCGCCCGACAGCTGAAGATGGTTTTCTCATCCTCTTCTCCCGTGTTGACTGGCAAGACGGTCAGTAAACCAAGTCTCCTCAGTAATGGCAGAAAGGGACTCACGCTCTTGCTCCCGGAATCTCGGGTCTTGCTCGACTTCTTCCCCAGCCGGTTGTGCTTCGTCATTCTCGCCTCCTTCATCGCTTTCTTCCTCGTCTTCATTTGATTTGGCTCCGAACGGCTTAGGTTTTCCAAACGTACTCGCTGCTCCTGCGGGATTGGCAAACGGGGAGATGCCCGTGCCCAGTGGCTTTACACCACTCCCAAACCCGCTCCCACCTCCAAATCCTCCAGCAGAGCCAAATCCACCCCCTGAACCGAAGCCTGACATTGGCTTGCTTGCGAACGGTGATGCGCCCCCGAATCCGCCAGAAGTCGACGCGAAACCGCTCGTTCCCCCGCCCCCACCAAATCCACCACTAGGTTTCGCGGTCGCGCCTACAGCTCCGAAAGGTGACTTTTCGGATGTAGCGAATGCTGATAAACCGGAGGAAGCGAAGGCGGAGCTCGACGTCCCAGGAGATGAAACCGATTCTGAGCCTTTCTCCGGTGATTTGGGAGATTTGAAGCTACTGAATGGAGATGCTGTTGACGTGTTGGCGAAGCCTGATGATGCCGCGACCTGCGGTTTGGCTGCTTGTTCGGCGGGCGCATCGCTTTTGGTGAGAGTCTCTGAAGCCTCTACCTGCTTCTCCGTGCTAGGAGCAACATTAGGTGGTCTATCTTCTGCCGTTGGATCTTGCGAGGCCTGTGCACTGGCAGCTGTTTCCATCTCTTCCTTCGAGGGCGCCGAAACTAGGATCCCAGGCCCGCCTGGAGACTGTTGTGCCTCGGAGTCACTCTCTTCCTGGACCGGACTCGCCATCTCCTCTTTGTCGAAGGTCTGAATCTCCTCATCGTTCCCAGAAATTTCTCGGGACCTCATTCTCTTGTGCTGGCTTGCCTTCTTTGGCAGAGGGGGTCCTCCGTTCTCGACACTGAGGCCAGACTCTTCGTTTTGCAGGTCTTCAAACGATCGTTTCTTAGAAGGTCGGCCTCGTACTTGTCCGTTTTCGCTTTGTGACTCGACTCCGGTAGCATCACCCAAAGGCTGGTCTCCAACCATTCCAGGCCTTACCTTAGAATATTGTGATAGTCCTGCGATAGATGTTTTCTTCAATTTCTCCCGCGCGGTTCGTTCGCCTCCCTCACCATCCGAACTCCCATCTTGAGGCGGTAGATCTTGTATGACGGTGTCTTCTGTCGATTCATGCTGCGGCGGCAGGTTTTCTGGTACGTCGCTCGCAGCCATTGTGGGCGGTCAGCGTCGTATTGACCGATCTTGTGGAGGGGAATTCCCGCAGCTCGTGTGGCGCCGCAGCAGTCTCTCAGGAAGCGAGTGCTCGCAGGTAGGATCCTCCTTTGTTGTAGACTCTTTCCCGCCGCTCGCCGCAGACTTCGATATTGATCGTGATGAATGTGTGATGAGTTCTCAATCTTCAGACCAGTCAGGCCACAGGTCCCCGCACGAGCCCAGACTAGATCTCCTTAAACACCTCAATTACTTACCCCGAAAGCGAACGGAAGACAGGGAGGCTTCTTGCGGCTCGGGTGCTTGGAGGCTTGAGGGGCGGTGCAAGAACAGTGATTGACCTCGGTGGCTTGGTGGTCGGGATCAGGTAACTGATGACGCTTGTTGTAGGATATCCAGCTGGACTTTGGGGCTGTTGGATTGCGGTGGAACGTGCAATGTATCCTTCAGAAGCGACGCAAAAGTAGGCGCTGCAGGTCAGAGATGGATACACAGACAATGGGATGTGCGGTCGGCACAAAGATACTGAGACGATACTATGATCGCAGCGGCTCAAGGCATGCGCAGGCCCCTGCTCCGCACAAACAACAGGCATAAACTTCTTCTTCCGCCCCACCCACGGCAATGTCGTCAGGTTGTCACAGCGAACTTTGAGGCGATGGCCGTGCCAATGGAGTCCATTCTTCTACATTACAAACAGCATACAGTACTGGCAATGGGAGCGATACAATAGACTATCCCTTTCCTGAAACCTAACTAATAAAACAAAGGCAGCCCAGACTGACGTAGAAGACGAAGAGAGGGTAGACACTCAAGGCCACCCTATTCTTCACCACCCCTGATCCTCCGAGGATACTAACTCCGGCCGCCAGTGACCATGCAACAAGGACAATGTAGACAGGAATACGCGCAATAGTCGGTAGGCCGAGCGCGCTGAGCAGGGCGGCAATGGTGAGAGGGAATAGGGTATAGCCGATAATGGAGACGGATTGCATGAAAGATCTAGCAAAGTGTCAGCATTGATAGAATTGATCGGACAGCGGAAGGCCTCACATATTCCCTCCGAGCAGTTTGATCTGGAGGGTCACCACAGCCTCCCCAATCCAGACCAAGGAAAAGACCCCGGAGAAGACCAGGTCGGTCTGGCCTTTGCTGGCACGGATGCAGAGGAAGAGGCTTAGGAGCAAGCAGAAGATCAGAGGACCCCTTAGTACAGCTGTTAGAATGCTTCTCGTGGACAGGGGGATGCATCTTACCATAGATCCCAATCTCTTAAGCCTTCACTCATCCCTCCTTGCAAGATCCCATCTGCGTCGGGCCAGCGTCCCAGGAGGCCCCTGAGATCTCTTCCCAGTCCTCCTCCTTGACTCTCGACATCGCCCATGCCGGTGCCTTGTCTCTGAAGCATCCCACCAAGCAGGTACTTTGGGTAGAGGACTTGCTTCATTTTCTCCCATACCGCGAACAGGTCTCGAGATACTGTGTCCCAGACACTCTCATCGATGGTATTTTGTGTGGCATGCCTGTCTTCACCGGGTATTCTCGAGGTCAAGTAGCTTTGATTCAAGGGTGCGCTGGAAGAGGACGACTGGATGTTGCCTGTTAAAGGGGCGCGATCTGAGGTGTTGTATGAGGGTTCGTCAGGTTCGACTTCTGCAGAAAGTGAGCCTTAGTTCCGTTGAGATTGAACTGGATCCCCGTACCATCATTAAGAAAGTCATCTTCGAGTACGGCATGATCGTCGTCGTAAGAGTTTCTTGGTAGTCCACTGGCCATACTTGCTACAGTGTCAACATCCGCAACTGAAAGGATGCCTGGCTGCGGCCGCTGAGGTTAAGAGCAGTTGGATTGTCGCACAATCACAATATCATGTGGAGCGGAGGAGACCAGAGTTCGTCGGAATGATTGAGCAAATTGGACGTGGTTCTAACAGACTCAATGAAGGTCTTGTACTATGGCAGCCTCCGTTTAGACACAAGCTGTGGCTTGAGGAACAGGCGACCTCGATAGGGCTGAACAGGTGCGTGGGATAAGTCAGATCTTACGTAACCCTTCCTACGCGTTTTTGTTCCGTACACGGCGATGTTGTTGTTCCACGACCATCACCAATTGCACCTTTCGAGCTCGGGCTCAGGTGGTCCGGTATTGTCCTCATTGAAGAGACTCTCTGACTCTTTATTCCGGACCTTGGTTACCTCTATCTCAAGAAGCGGCAGAGGCCCTATCGTCCGCCAACTTGATAGCTTGCAACCCTTTCTCCAAGTTGTCAATGAGCAACTTATCAAATGCCTCCTCTCTGAAGCTAACCCTCTCAGTCCACCAGTCCAACATAGTCGTTGCCCTCGAACCCTCCGACGCTCTCAAGAGTCCGACGCTGACGTCAACCAGATCCGGCCTTTCAAGACAATGCCAGAACACTGTGGCGCCGCAACGGCTGCAAAATTCACGGAAACAACCCTTGGAGCTTTCAATCTGTTTCAGGGTCCCCATGTTGTAGTCCAGCGGCTTACCATCGAGCTGAAGGATGTTGGCTTTCGGGACAAAAGCCCAGGCTTGAATTGGAAATCCGGAACCTAATCTGCAAGACCTGCACGCACAAGTACCTGCCAAGTATTTCGAGTCGTTTGCACGCAGCCACCACTTGATATCTGCCTGGTTTTCTGAGCTCGAAGAATGATAGGGCACAAGCAAGTCGGGCCATGGCGAAGAACATTGCTTTGAGAGGGCATTGGGTCGGGTGATGCGGAAATTGACACCTCCACAATGGCAGCCTGCCCGTAGTCCCCTTGGATTCCCAAACATCACTGCGGCCTCGTCCACTTCACCTTTGGTGGTGGCATCGCTATTACCCTCAACCCTTGCCAACAACTCCCTAGTCGAGTCCTTGACCAGCGCTCCATCCGGTCCCTGCAAATAAAGAGGTATTGCACGACCGTCTACACTGGCTAAGCAGACTGCCAGGCCGCCATCTTTGGTATCACCAACAAACTCGTGTTGGACGATTCTTTCCAGGCTCGAAGCTGATGAGGCTATCAGAGCCTCCACGCCATCGACAACACCTGAGCAGACACCCCATTTGTCGTCTTTGTGGACATTGACAAACATGGGTGACCCGCATGTTGGACAGAAATATCTGGTCACCTTTGGCGAAGAGTTATATTGGGTGAGCCCGTTCGCTATGTTTGACCTCGAGACCAGGGGAAGGCACGAAAAGTACAGCACACCGGTGCTGTATCGGCAGCTGTTGCATGAGCAAGGTGTCACTGGAACAGGCAGTTGGGACGCCAACTGGAGTGTCTCAGAATTCTTCCCACACAAGCATGTAACACTGACGGTTGTAGTCATGGTTCCGAAGTGGGCGAAATGAGTCGCCAATGGATTGGTGGTCCAAAGACTGACTGATGGCGGCTAGGTGTTTGAACTCGTGCAAGGCTTCTTCTACGGCGACTCACCAAACCGAGGTGCCAGCTGCCAATGGGATCCAACAATCAAGTCGGAAGAAAGCAGCATCTTTTGCCCGAGGAAGCTGCAAATCTGTGATGAGGGCAGCTGATGTTATATGTTTGGAATCGATGGAGTAATTTCGGCAGCCTGCTTCCGATATTCCGCATGGTTTTTCGGTTTTCCGCAAGGTATTCCGCATAGCGTCTGAGTTCACCTTGTCGCTAAGAGTATCTATGGTATGTTGGACACGGCTGTGTGTTGAGACTGAGATTCTGGAAGGTGATGGGTTGAGGTCTTTAGCGAGGGAGGCCTGGCAAAGACGCGAGGACTTGAGCATTAGAGAGGCACCCAAGAGGGGCTTCAGGATCAGGCGGGAGAAAGGTTGACCAACAAGGTCCAACTATGAGGCACTACAGCAGGTCAAAGAGCAGGGAATGGTCAATCACGAGGATTCTGTTTGCCACGAATGCAACACCTTCAACCCTCGGAGACCTTGGGAGTTGCAATTGGTCTAGTGTCTGCCATGGCACGACCATCGCCGCACTGGCACCTGGTGGCACGGGATTCAGCGCAGTCCCGCTCAGGAGATAAAATTCGGCTGACTTCTTTCTCTCACTCCTCCCCTTCCTCTCCTCTTTCTTTCCCCCCTCTAAACAGCAACGAGAAATCCCTCCTGTCTTTCCCATCCCGCATACGCCAACTTCCAAACTTGAACAAGCCAATCCTAATCCCGAAAACAAGCACTCGCTTACCAGCACAAAATGGGTATGCACCCTGGCGTGAAGTCTGCGGCAGGTCGATGGCTGACTCGTTGAATCCAGGTCCTTGCAGCTGCTCTTGCGGCTCTACCTGTAAGTACTTCGTCTTGCCTCTGAGAACATCTCTCGCTAACATGGACACCAGGCTCATGCCCTTCTGGCCAATGCACCTGCGTATGAGAAACCATCATTCTCTGTGACCCTTGACTGGCATCTGACATAGCTGGACCACAGAAATAAACGGTGCCTCTCAAGGCTCACCATTTCATATCCCATCTGCAAAAATACGTATTGCTTTGACGACAAGGAAACAAAATGCTACAACAACTCTGTCAGGGGATGGTTGGATAATACACTCATTTGGCTGAGCAAAGACCGCAACAACATCCGTGATAGCCGTTGTCAGGGTAGAGCAGACAAACACACGTAGCTTTCAATGAGAACAATGACTTGAAGCCAACATCCTGGTCACTTTCCATGTTTCTTCAATACTGGGTTGACTTTACCTGTTTCCTGGCACCCTGAATTCCACGTCCAAGTCTCTGGCTTCCCCTGAGATGCCGGCCGACCGCCAGCCAGCGGGCGAGCGGGGTATTTTCCCACCTAGACTCGCTAGGGACCTAGGCGTGCTAGGTAGCCATGCTTTGAGCAAGTTCCAGACCCTTCACGCCCTTATCGCTCTTATCGGTTCTTATCGATTGTGGCTTCAGGGTTCTGGCGGGGAAGAACCTTTCAGGGTTTGTTTGTTTGTGACTAGAAGAGGAGGGGGGGCAGTGCAGTATCTTCAGATTCCTTTCTGCGTTCATGAGCAGATTCGATTGAACGCTTTCCGTTGTGTCTTTCACCATCTTGTCGACATCTATTTCGAGAGAAATTTCTCTGCTCTTATGTTGGGAAATCTGGAATCTCACCAGTCTCAAGTTGAGTCATACTGACGCAATGTTTCGTTAGGTATGCTCTGCTTTGCTCAGCGCTCTCTTAAAGGTATGGCTCAATGACTTGTTCGTTATCCGCGACGAGTTTACGAGTGCCCCAGTATCTAGATCTCTTGATTGAGGCCAGGCTACGAGAGTATAGCACCGATCGGTGATCGACCTGCATCCGCTTAGGACGTTCATCAGCCCTGTCACTCCCCTCCGTTCAAACCTTCTGAAGCTGCAGAATTTGCCCATTCCGCCATGCCAGCACCGGTCGCTCTCTCGTCTCGCGTCAAAGGCGCCATCTTTGGCCTCGCCGTGTGCGACGCCTTAGGAGGCCCCGTCGAGTTCAAGCCCCGCGGATCCTTTGATCGAGTGACGCAAATGCTGCCCAACGACAACTTTGGCCTCCCGCCGGGCTGTTTCACGGACGACACCTCCATGACTCTGTGCCTGGCGCAGTCGCTTCTGGAGTGTGGCGGGCAGTCCAACATCGTGGATCAGGTCAAGAAGTACATCTCATGGTGGCGGAACGGGTACATGTCGTCGGTCGGGCGGTGCTTCGACATTGGCGTCTCGACGAGAAGCGCGCTCGAGATGTGGGACAGCTTCCTCCACCTCGACTATCGCGACTCGTCACCGCCAGTGGAAGAGTCCCATCGCGCGATCCTGAAAAAGATCACTTTTTCGTTTGGCAAGGACGAATACTGCGGCAACGGGAGCCTGATGAGAGTGCTCCCTACGGCGCTGGTCGCCCCGAGCGAGCCGGAAGCCGTCCAGCTCGCCCACGAGAGCTCGCTTCCCACACACCCGCATCCCCGGTGCGTACACGCGTGCATGATTTACGCTGCTTTGGTACTGCAGACCCTCAACGGCGCTTCCAAGACCGAACTCGCCGTCAGCCTGGCCGAGTCGGTCAAGGAGCTGCCCAGCAACGTCTCGGACAACACGCCCATCGAACCCGTGCTCGCGGAGCGGCTGGGAAAGTACCAGACACTGCAAGACTGGGAGAAGACGCCGGCCGAATCGATCCGCAGCACGGGCTACGTCGTCGACACTCTTGAGGCGTCACTGTGGGCCTTTTTCAACTCGGACACCTTCGAGGAGGCGGCCGTTCTGGCTGTCAATCTAGGCTACGACGCAGACACCGTGGGCGCGATCTGCGGCGGGCTGGCCGGGACTTATCATGGCTTCGAGGCGATTCCGGAGAGCTGGCTCCGCGAGATGAAGAAGACGGATCAACTGAACGAAGTAGCCCAGAAAATAGTCGATCACAGGAACAGAACAATATAGAAAAATGAATTTGCTACAACACTATTTCAGAGTGATGGGTTCTTCTGCTCAGAGTCAAGAATGCTCTCTCCTCGTCCCCTCACCAACCGCCCCTGATTTCTGAGTTGTTCCCTCAAGCTGATACCTACAAATGCTGCTACATAAACCCTTTAGCTATCTACATGTGTAATATCTGGATTAGATACACGAGTTGCATATCCTAGCCGACCAACTCTACAGGCCTGGACATTAAGTATAACTCAGCCACTGAAACACTTTTAGGCGTCAGCACACACACACGCTCGGCGATGGAAACCCGCAAGTTGCATCACCTCACAACCCCATGTGATGTCAAACTGGGGCGCCTTTTCAGGTTTTTTTCCCTGGTGCCTCCCCGCATTTCCTCTACCTAGGCGAGGTACAAATCAAATCATCGACCAGAAGTGGCCTGGCCTGGCCTAGGAGGGGGAAGATCTTGCCATCTTGCCATCTTGCCACCGGCAGAGACGATAGGTGGACAGGAAAGGACAGCACAAGGACACAAGTAGTGCATCCCATAGGAAATCTCCAGACCACAACACAAGCATTCTGAATGGCTGAGCAAACGAGAAAGTGACGCCAGAGATGGTTTGAACACAGAATGTACACCCCGTGACCACTCCAAGGATATATAAATCCCCCCTCCCTACATCATTCTTTCTTTAAATGTGACTTAACTACCGATCTCCCGACTTTGGCATATACAAAACCCCCCAGACAATACTGAATTGCCCCCTCAATTCATACACACTCACGCCCCCCAAAGGCAGATCAAGACAAACCCATAACACGGCAAAACCCACAATGTCCAACTCCAACTCCAACCAAGCGACGACTCGCCAGCAGCAGGGCTCTGGCGGCAACTCCTACGGCACAGTCTTCTACAGCTCCTCAGCCTCCTTCTCAACATCGACATCCAGCTCGACAGGCGGAGGCGATCCACAGACCCGGAACCACGCGCAGCGCTATACCGAGACCATGACCAGCAACGACCGCGACGGGACCAACATCCGCCGTCTGTCCGAGGAGACAGGGCGGGCGCCCCGGAGCGAGGAGACGTACATCCCGCCCCGGGGTGGTGGCCGGGGGATCGACCGCGGCACTGACGGCGGCGCCGGGAGGATCGAGGATGTCACTGACCGGGACGAGGACGACCAGGCAGCGAGGGATCGCAAGTATGAGGAGAGGATGGAGGACGAGTATGCCAAGCGGGAAGGCGGTGCTTGACTGGGGACTTGCAAGGAAACCTGCAACGCACTGCATAACAACATTGGGGTTTGGTCGAGTGTGGTCTCTTCTCTCTCTCTCTCTCTCTCTCTCTCTTTCTTTTTGGTAACTTGTCGAGGCATTGGAATCGGAAACCTGAGAGCGAGAGCTCGTGTGTGTGTTCTATGACATTTATGTACCATGACTGTATTTTTATTTAGTCAAGGCGAGGAAATGCAAGTCTGAAGTGTGGTAAGAGGTCTCTGTGCGAGACGACGACAATATCTAGATAGCAGCGATGAAGGTGCTCATGTGCCGAGCAGGAAGAGAGGGCTTATGTTATGGGGCTGGTGTATGAGACCCAGAGAGCCGTCAATGGACCGAAACGGTAGTTGCTGGGAGAGGGAAAAGCAAAAGCCTCCACGGTCGAAGAATGGAATGCAAACTCAGCTAAACTAACTCGCATCTGGGAGGGTGTTGAGGGTATATGATTTCTCTCAATCCTCGAATGACTCCGCTCATCCGTCTATCAAGCTATCATCTATCGAGCTCTGCATGATCGTGATCATCTGTAACGCTTTACTTATAGAGGGAGGAAAAGGTCCAGGAGGGAGAAACACTTTGAGACGATGTCCAAGGGCGATGGGGAAAGGGGAGAATTGCATGCCTAGCTGCTCGTTTGTATCGAGTCTGCTGGGTCATGTCGCGTCCTGTCGCTTTCCACGTGAGGAGGCTCCCAGTGGTCCCTTGCCTTTGGTGGATAATGGATTGACTCGCAACCCAGGAAGAAATTGGACGAGAGACGAAGCGACTCGACAAACTTGTTTCGCCGCAGTAGGACATGAAACAATACTTTTGGAGGGCGTGTAAAGGCATGTTTCTTCCTCCTAGATCTTCAACTCCTCTAACGAGGCGGCGGCTGCAACGCTCTTCTCCTTGGACGGGATAATCGGACTCGTCGAGATGTCGATTTTCTTCGTGCAGATCCATGCGGACGCGTACATGTTGACCCTAACGACAAAACATGAGGGGCCTGGTCTCACATAATGAGGCAGCTGGATTGTCTAGAACTCACCTGTCGATACACTTCCCAGAATCCCGTCTGCCTACACACGTGACAGTAAAGCCATTCTCCTCAAAGATGTCCGTGTACCACGGTCGCAGAGCCGCAGAGCGGAAGAGGACACGGCCCCCGAGCTTGAGGACTTTGTTCAAGGCCACGATTTGCTCCAGCGCGGCTGAGTCTTTGTCGCTGGGGTCGAACCAGTCCATGGAGTCCATGAGCTGCTGGTGGTCAATGACTGGCCCTATGGTAGACATCGGAAGCACAAGAGACTCACAATAGCAATGGTTAACGTCGAGGGGCTGATTCTCGCAATCACTTCCATGATTTCATCCGTGTGGATACGTAGACCATCAAAGGCATCGGGCTTCGACAGCGCCGTGTGCGCTTTGACGCCGAGGTAGCGAGGATGGCATCTGTTTCGTTGTTGGTCAGAAAATGCTCGGCGAGATCCAATGTGAAATCGTTGCTTACTTCCTCGAGAACTTTCCCTGCAAGCAGAGATAATAGAAATAATTATCCCTGCTGATCTGCGTCGTTTCCACCACTGGGTCCAAAGTGTCGACAACGTATTGCCAGATGGCTTCACCACAAAGCTTCTTCGTCCGTGGCAGCTTCGTCCGCTGCGCGTAGTCGTCGATAATGAGGGCGTGCTGGTTTGGAGGCACCCCCGCCGCTTTCCATGCCCACCACTCCGTAGACACCACGGTCTTGTGCAAGGGCCAGCTGAGCAGAAGATTCCTGATCTGAGGCCAGATCTCGCGCTGCTCGTTCAGCGTCTCCACTTTGCACATTGTGCGCACTTTTGCAGTGAGCCCAAATGTCTTGAATAGCCATCGCACGAGCTTGATGGCGTGTCTGGACCCCCCACTCTCGTACAGTCCGCCCTTAGAGGAGAAGATGTAGGATTTGCTGAGCCAGTACTGGAAGGCTTGGCTGGACATATGAGGACTGAGTTTGGAGAGAAGGAGATTGCGGAAATCCGGGTGCTTGCCTTCGCCGAAGAGCTGCCAGACATCGGTGTAGGGGAGGGCGGTGAAGGCGGCAACTTTGAGCTCGAGGAGGTGGTTCTGGTTCGGGTTCAGATCAACTGCGTGGATGCGCTTGGGTCTTTCGAGCAAATAATCAAGGATATTGTCCCCGGCGCTGGTGATGGTGAGGATAACGTCGTCTTGAGTGATCCCCAAGAGCTGGCGGTCGACCTTGGGATCTTCCCAATTGAAGGCGTAGATATACTCGTTGCCGAATTGTTGATGTTTCTGCAAAAGGTCGTTGTAGTAGGTCCTCCAATGGTGCTGTTGGTAGAAAGCTGAAGGCAGTGGCAGGTCGTTGCTCAAGTTAACAATGGCCGACTCATACGACTTCGACCGGGGAACGCTTTGCTGAGCGTCCAAGTTTCGCTGCTCCTTGAACTGCATGGGGGCGAGATATGGCGATTCTGTAAGAGCCGCATCGAGTCTCTCCAACACTTCCTGGCCCTGTTCTGCGAAGGCCTCGGCATCTCGTCTGCATCCAATGAAGATATAGTATGGGATGCTACAACAACACACCGTCAGTTGCTGAGATTTCAAGGAGACGACAAAGGGCCCTGCCTGACGCCGCGGGAGACGCATCACTGGAGCCTATTGACTACGTTGTGATGGGATGGGATGGGATGGGATGGAAAGCACGTGGGCGCGGAACTCACCCGCCGAGAGGATAGTTGCGCTGGCTGGTCGACAGCACAGTACCGAAGCGATACTCGACGTAGTCTCTACGACCACCATCGAGGTTTACTCGATCCGCGTCGAACCATGTGCGCCAGAACATCCGACCGAACCAGTTGACATGGCGGTTGAAGGTCCCTCCGCAGTAGTTTCTCGACGAGACATCCACGATGCTCTGGACATAAAAGTCACAAATGCCAATCAGTCCTTGAGGGGAGAGAAACCCTGAAACCATGTCGACCACGCCATAGAAATCCGGGATCATGGACAAGCTGTAGCTCATGGTGATCAGGTCTGCCGTGGATGGAGCGCACGCAACAGACCTCGCATCTTGGCACAGGACCGTGACATTCTTCCAGCCATTCTTACGGACTCGCTCTCGGGCGACCTCGCACAAGGACGTGGAGAGATCGACGAGGAACACATGCTCAAAGAAGCCATCAATACCAACCAGTTTGTCCATGACTTCGATATTGTAGCCGGTGCCGCCACCAATGTCATACCACACGGGTTTGTGCCCATCTCCGGATGCCATTTTGCCCTGTAACTTCGCAACCAAGATCGCGAGCATATCCTCTCTCCCTCGCAAGAGGCGTTTTCGGGTAGAGTCATAGACATTTGCCTGAAGCAAACATGAGTAAAAAAAAGAAAAAGGACGGCAAACTAGTCGACCCTCCTACCTGAGCAGAATAGAAGCTCTCCAGAGCCCCTTGCTGGCCGAGATCGACTCGTCTGTCATGAGGCTTAAGCATGCAGGCATAGACAAACTTGATGTAGGGATTGGCCATGAGCTTGTCGAGGGTGACCTGTCCGCCAAGCCTATACAAAACAACGCCCAGGATGGTCACGAGGACAGAGAAACCGACACCAATCAAGCCAAGTTCCAAGTGGAAGTCCTTGAGACGCTGCCATTCTGCGTAGTTGAATTGTGCCATTGTTGCTGGACCAATTCAAACAACAACGACACTTTGCAAGTAGGAGACAGGAGAGAGAAGAGAAGAAGAGCGAATGCTGAGGGAGCTCGTGATCGCCCTCATTATTTTCTGGTGTTTATGTGTTGACCGCAAGACCAAGGAGACCAAGGAGACCAAGGAGACCACAGGGCAACGAATAACCCACAGACAGCAATTTCCGCGAATCGGGTGGTTGGAAAGGGGCATATGGTGCACTGAATGGCAAGGACAAGCGCCGTAGAGCCTCGAGAAGTAACCCCTTGGGGGGAGAGCCAGGAGAGCCAGGCCAGATTACCCAGAGCCGGGGCTGCAGGTGAGGCCGTCAAAATTCGGTGGGATGAACTTTGTCGGAAAAAGCTCACAGGCCATGTGGTGACTCTGGTGAGAAAGCTGTCTGATAGCTGCGCCAGGGGACGAATCATCATTGAGAACTTGGCGCGTGGGCCTCAATGATCCTATCGCGGACGAGTCGGAAGACACAAGCTTGGGCAGCATCATCTCGAACGAAAGACAAGAATTCGGTGCACGTGTTGGACAGCTAAAGCGACAACCAATGCAGTCGGATCAGAGGAACTCGGCCCTGGGTAATTTTTATTCGATATCCAGCGGGTGCCAGCTGTGGGCAGTGGGCGGTGGGCGAGCTGCGTGAGCTGCAGGGCAACGAGATCGTTTTCATGGACCGTGTACGGAGTACGGCAAAAGGCAAAAAGCCTGGTGCCCGGAGCGGCGGTGCAGTGGGGATCGCCAGGTCCTGGCCCCTGGCGATGCCGCGATGCAGGTCATCCTCCGTCGCTTCTCGCTTCACTTTCCAGCCTTGACAAGAGGTCGCGCGCCTTGTCACGTGCCCGAGCAGCCTCGCGTCTGTGCTCGTCATGGTCAGAAGCCTGGCTTGACTGGTCGTCGTTCAGCGGTGCTGTCGGAGAATCCGGATCCAACGACATGTCGACAGAGTTCACACCACCGACCCGAGAGAGATAGGCACAATCTTCGTGGAGATCAGCTGCCCAAAGCGCAACCATTGCACGGAGTCTGATGAGCTCGGGTTCATCCATGTACGGAACAGTCGCCATGCAAGTGTCCATCCTGGATGCGATTTGATCAGCCTGTTCAAGTTCTCTCACCTTCTTGTGTGATCCCCAAGGAGAAGACGTGACGGTTTCCACATCACTCTCGCCGTCCTCATGCGCGGTTGACTTGGCTGCATACTGGGCCTGCACCACGTAGATCCAAATGTTGAACATGGCGAGGTAATAGTCAACAGCATTGACAGCCTCGGGCCATGACTTGTGGTAAGGATGTCTAACGATAAGTCGCTCATAAAAGCGTTTGGCTTTTGCGAAACCCTCATGCGTGAATGGAAGCGTAGAACCCCTGTGGTCAGGAGTCGGTTCTCTGGCAGATCCATTACGCAGAAGCACTTCAGCCGCAATGCCCATATACCCTTGAGTACGGGCGGCAGCATTTTTGCTGACGATATCCTCACGGAAGATCAAGCCTAGAGCGCGCGCAGCACGAGGGAAATCTTCCTCGAGGAGCGACCGGTGGAGTATTGTAGTCAAGGCAGCAAGATGCTGAATGTGCAGAGATCGTGAGCTGTCCGACAGATTTGACGCTTGGGAGCCATCATTTTCCTCATCAAGTCCCTCTCGTGCTGCCCACCTCTTGTGCAAAGGTACCGCAGCGTGTGGAAATGGGAAGGATGGTGGAGGCTGGTCCAGCGGCTGTTTAGCTATAAGACGTTGAAGTCTCTCGGCCGGAGACACAACAGCGGTATAATCGAGATTAACAACGGTCTCAGGTTGACTGTTTATACCATACAGTGTCTGGCTGGCTTCTTCCTCGCCTTGTGCAGCATCATTTTTCTGAGGTTTCATTCTCTTGCGCTTGTTCTTTCCCGACGATAATTCCCATGCTGCAGGATGAGCCCGCTGCGTCGCGACAGGCGGCACGAATATGTGCGGCATGGTTGCCTGCCGTGTCCCTGAGAAAGGTAGGGCTATTGGGGGAGAAGCGCAAGTTCGTAGGCGTCTAGGTGTATAATCGCGTGCCCATCACAATGGCTCCCGAGCCCGCGTGATCAGGGGATTCCCTTATTAGTAGCGTCGGACTGGGCTCATGTGCTGCTGTGATGTAATCGCGTCGAGGTTTAGCCAGATACTTGAAGATCTCACAATAGCAAAGACATACGGAGTCATAGGTAGAGGGACACGATACAGGATAACAAAGACAACCATGGAGCTGGTCGAGGCATGTACTTGAGCCGTCCTCGATGTTATTATTGGACCGGAGGATTTGTTGTTTGATCATGTCCTTAGAGGCCAAAAGTGAAGGGTGAATCGTGACCAAAGTCCGTGCCTTGGTTTCTGGGGGCGGCTTTTGGCTTGTTGGCTGCGCTCGCTGCCCAGCACTTCAGCCTTCAAGGTTTCCTGGATCCAAACCGAACCAAACCACACCACACCACACCCAACCTCGACTTCTCCATGATCAACCAAACCACTCTTCTGTGAACTCTTCTATGCCTCTCAGTGTCCCTTGACCTTGTCACCGATTCCATTTTGCCACCTCGGTCCTCGCGTCCCCACTAGCCGTCCAATAAAGACCGATTCAAAGAGTCTTGATGAGCCTTTCCGGTTGCTGACAGCGACCACAACCTTGGCCACCCACCGAACCCTCTGCCTTGATTCTCTCATTCTACGACGTGAACATCTTTCCAAAGCCAAATAGCTCGGTCTAAGACTGACGACAAAGCCACGCAGAGCCATTGCTCTTCTATCATGACACCACAATAGTTTGTCCCTGTTGCGCAGGCCGAATACCTTCCGGCCTCCAAACATGGGGAACGCCACATCGGCTCCTCGTGCCTCGGCGAATAACGAGCTAATGGAGGAAACAAGGAATACGCCGGCTGGTGCAGGAACAGCAGTTGACGGAACAGGCGCGGAGGGTATGGGTTCGCGACTGGCGAGACGGAATGCCCAGTCATTAAGGATCGCAGGCCAGCGGGCCAGCACCCTTTACGACAGTTTTCGACGCCATCGATCCGCCGAGTCAGTCACATCCCGTCCGAATGCAGGCCATTCGTCGTCCTTGCCTTCCGAGACCGAGTACGAACAGGAAAACAGACCGTTGGTAGGTGGAGAGGATGTGGACATGCCAGATGCAGATGCCATCGCGACACCTATACTGTCGCAATCCCCCAGCAGGAGAAGGTCAACAATGTCAAGATTGGGATCACGCTTGCTTCCAGATTCGGTTGCAAGAGGTCTGCTAAACAGCGGAGAAGAGACCGCAGAGGAGGGCCAGGCGTTGCGTCATGGAATCTCAGGAAGGCTGCGCCCGTCTGTTTACGAGCGGCCACCGAATTCAGATTCGAACAGTCGAGTGTCACTCACGGGTTCCATCAGACGACGAGGGGAGAACCGAACTGAAACCAGACGACGAGCAATTCGAGGACCGTTTCCTGCTCTACAAAGCGTGAATCAACACCCCGAGGCGAGTGATCCATGGCCAGAATCTATGGATGGTGATCTGCGCGAGCTGCCCCAGCCTGCCGCTTCTGGCTTACGGCATCGAAACAGGTTCAGCAGAGTTCGGGATTCGATGTCAATCTCTCAACGGATTTCAAGTCTATTCCGGCAGTCCACAGAGCAACTTCAGTCTAGTCAGGCAGGCCGAGAGTCTCCTTCGCGGCCTACCCGGGTGACATTCGCCGATGAGTCTGATCATCTCCTTCCATCTATCGCTTCCGCTGACCAACGTCACGAAAATGACGATGCTCCTCATGAGCTCGATGCAGTTGAGCCTGAAGCTCGGACCCTCCTCGCCGGGCCCCGAGTAACTTCGGGAATGAGCACAATTAGACGCTTCCAGCCTGGCCTTCGTTCACGGTCAACAAGACTCATACGAAGAGGAGAGCACCCGCCTCTTTCACAAGTCCTCCAGCTCGCTGCTGCTGCTATCGCGGCCCAACTTTCAGGTCATGCCACAGCCGGTTCTACAGGTGCCCGCCACATTGGTGGTGACACTTTTGATGGAAGTATCCAAAATTTTGTACAAACTCTTCAAGAAGCGGCGACGGCCCAGGCTGGAGAAAACATCGATGTGAACGCAGCGGACGGCGATCTGCCGCCTGTCAACTTTATGAGAGTATTCCAATTTCCAAACGACGAGAATGGTTCGCCCATTGCTTCGCAAGCAGAATCGCGGGATGTTGACCAGATGGATCTGGATTCTATCGCAGGACCCGGTGAAAGCGATAGGTCCGTAACCTTAGTCCTTGTTGGGGTCCGATCCCTCCCCCACGGCCAGGACAGCACTGGCGGTGAGAATGGTACGCTAGGCCCGAGTCTTGACACTCTCTTGAGCCTGCCTTTCTTGCCCCCTGCCAATGTTCTACGGAATGGAAGCTCTGGGGCATTGTTTCGGCGCTCGGATGGAAGGAATAGATCAAGCACCCGGCGACACTCAATGACCAACTTCAGCTTTCCCGCTCAATATGAGTCGCAGAGACATCAACGCACCCGAACACAGACCAGCCGCTTGTCCAGCCATTCGGATCAGACTGTCCCTACCACGCCCGAGGCAGGTGCTTCCTCTACCTTGGTCTCAGAAACTCCTCCCGGTCCCATTCCTCCCCCTTCGACTCCGGCAGACATCAGAAGTGGCCATGCTACTCCAATTCGACGACCATCCTCAGCATCGGCGGCACCTAATCAGCAGCTCTCCGAACTCGATGAGGATCGTCCGCAAGAAGATGCCGACAGCCGTGTCCCAGAACCTTCTTTCAACACCGCTCGTCAACGAAGACGAAGTGACTCTGAGTTTGCCCGGCGGCCGGAGCTGGGGTCGGGTGCGGCAAGACGCAATGGGATGGTGGAACCGGATCCTCCGCCAGCAGGGGCTGGGCGAAGTTGGCTGATCTACGTTGTGGGCACCAACGTTTCGGCGACTCATCCTGCCTTTGCTATGCCCAGCTTGTTTACTGACAATCCATCCTATGAGGACATGCAGATGTTGTCAACTCTCCTAGGTCCTGTCAAGCCACCCGTTGCAACTCAGGAAGATGTGAGTGCAGCTGGCGGAGTCTTCCGGCTTGTCGTCCAAGGCTCCGGCTTTCTTGGGGAATCCGTCTCAGATGGCGATCAGTCATCACTCATAATCAATATGGGAGAACGATGTCTCATTTGCTTATCAGACTACGCAGAGTCAGAAGAAGTCCGCCGTTTGGACAAATGCAAGCACGTCTACCACCGCGAATGTATCGACGAAGTGAGTTGGTCTCCTGGACTGCGTACACATCGATTTACTGACTTTAATTACAGTGGCTCACAACTGGTCGGAATAGCTGTCCCATGTGCCGTGGCCAGGGGGTGCAGGAAAAATGCACGTCTTCTACTTCCACAACGAATGCAGGAACAGCTTCCTCAACTACCTCATGACAAGACGGTCGAGAAGAGCGTCTGAGATCTTTGCACAGAAGCTTACGACACTTTACGAATTTTCTTGGAGCACTTTCTGGAACAAGCTATCAGTTTGGCGTACTTGGGTTAGCAATGGCGAAGAGAAGGCTACTCGACGGGATCGTGCAGTCTTTACAGACTGGGAACTCTGGAGAAGCCGGAGCTGGTTGGCTTCCACTTTATTGGAAGCTGCTTTCATGGATCTGGGTCGTTCTGATCACACACGAAATTTGCTTGCGTTGTTACATAGCCAGGGCTTTGGTGTTGGTTGAGGGAGAGCTGGGAAGCTCGGAGACGAATCTCAATGGGAACGTGTATGTAAGGATCACCACAGGGGCTGGCTCCTAATCAGAGGTCGCGGCCTTCCGTGACGCAGGGAATGAGTATGAGTCTCACGTTCTACAGATGTATACCGAGTACGGAGCACCTTGTCACTATTGTCTCGGTTTATATTCCCGCCCTTGTCGTCCTTCCTGATCAAATTAATAATGCCTACTTCAGATGCCTTTTTCGTGGTCCGCAAACTAGGCAAGGGATTTTGAACACGGGACTTTGCATTGGAGCAGCAAGCGAGGATTCGATACGAGCCTTGCCGCGCCTCCGGGATGGGAATCGATTCGTGCTAAGTGTCTGTGGGGACGACTTGTGCGACTTGATGAGAGCAACTGAGACTTGACACGACTGTGCGCGAGGTGAGTTGAAGCTCTTCGTTGGGAGGTGGCAGGCACATGGGAGGTGGAAACAACTATACAGAACCCGCAAGTCACTACAAAACCAATGGCTTCTGTGGTAATTTCACATTCGACTTCTTCCAGTTTACTTCTGCATCGAGAGCCCACCGGCTCCAGTTGAAACAAAGGTCGTCAATCTTCTTCTCCTCAAGCTACAAATCCTCCCCTCCAACTGACCTGGACCTGACGCCGCGATCCCTGTCCTCTCTCCTCCCACCCACTCTCCCCGACAAGCATCCCTAACTAGCCAGTCTGGGCCGTCGTCATCGATTTTCCCACTTGCGTCCCTCACAGAAACACGGGGTCTAGGCAGCAAGAATAAAGCTTCAAAGTGTAGTACTGATAAGCATCTCATCGAGATCAAAGATGACTGAGTGCGTCCGGAAGTTGCCAGCGAGTCATGTTTGCCTTACTGCTCGAGCCCTCCGAATCGGCCGTCCACCCCCTCCTTGAACCTTCACGGTGGCTTCTGCCTCCAAGTGGGTATACCCACGGAAACACTCGGCGCAAGGACGACATTGGGTGCAAAAATGCAAAAGGACACAACCAGTGGCGCTCTCAAAAGCCAAGCCGCCGTGTCACTCGTTGACCATGCCTCTGTATGGCCAATGGACTTGGGTTGGTGCAGAATACGGAGTACACACTGTGTTTCGGGTCACCCGGTTGAGATGACAAGAATCCATCCCTCTGCCGGGCGACAACGGGCTTTGTCACGAAGGGCCCTTACGGGACAGCGGACAAGCAACTCCCTCGAGGCCAGAGCTTGCAAAGCTTGTAAAGCAGAAAAAAGTGGGCTTTCCGACTGCCGTGACAGCAGTGGTTGCAGGATCTGCAACCACGGTGAAAAGTGACCAGAGAAGAAGCTGTGCATCCCCGAAAACAAGGCTAAGCAAATACTGCGTCCACTATTGGGCGTGAGAAGCTTCGTCCCCGACCAGTTTGACACGCCTATCGACACTAAAAAGCCGTTTCTGATGCTAGCACATTGGCCTCGCTCGTGTTCTGACAACTATTGACCCGGTCCAAGGGTGAGCGAATCAACCCGCTATGGAGTGGAGCTGGAGAGGAGCCAGAATGAGCACTTCGCAGGCTTTCTTTCGCCCGTTCCCCGCCCCTCGAGGAAACGGCGATGCAGGTCAAGCCCTATCACTATCGACCCGGCTCATCCTCGTACTCGTGCTTGGAGAGACTTGCAGACGTGCAAGGGCGTCCCACAGAATGCAATCTCCTCTACATTGGGATTTCCCCTTGTACCATTCTCGGTCGCAATATATTTGAGAACAAAAACATACAAAGCAGGCATGGGACCATACCTGAACACAGGGCTAGGAAGTTGCTGTCAATGATCCAGAGGATTGAAAATTACAACGGTATGGGGGCCGTTCAGTACAGCGAACCCGCACACAGATCAGGAGATCAGGAGATCGACCAGATAACCCCAACTTGCCTAGGACTTGGCCTATGCCGGATCCGCAACCCCCTTCGTCCCTGCTGCTTCTAACTACTCCGTAATTCTGCTTCAGAGCAGCATTCCTCCCGAGGCCCCAGACCATGGGCACAATCTAGGCTAGTCGAGGATATCCCAGGGTCAAAATGTCGACCAACTCCACATCAATTACCGTTTCCATGGCCCAGAAAAAGCTGCCAGGTCGGCGCCACTGATGCAAACCGGTCCATGGACGAGCCCGCCGGAGCAGCTGTCCAACAGCCAACTTGTACGGACCGAGAAACGTGGCTTTAGCTTTGGCCGCTGAGGCTTGCTAGGCATTTTCCGAAGTCCAAAGCCGCTGTGCCCATTATTTGGCCGCTGATTGAACCCCCTGAGTTGGACTGATATCAGAAACCTGGACCCGATGATCCTGACCGCACCCGTATACTATCAACTTACAAGAACATGTTTGATGGTGTTACATACCCTGGTCCGCCAGCGTTATTATTATTTAGGCCACATCCAAAATCAGTAGAAGAGTTTCTTGGACCAGACGCCTCAGACGACTTTGTGGGGTTTACTCTCTTCGTCAACATGATCCCCCCTGGCTGCGATGCATTATCCCAGACGAGGAAACTGATGGGTCATGTACCCCGTACGAGGTAAACGCACACAGTTGCACCGATATTTCCGCCGTCCAGCATGAACAGGCCGAATTCGGGGCAAGCCAATTTACTTCTGCCGCCATGATTCGGGTTCCAGCCATGGATATCTTACAAGGCATGGTTTGCCAGGGCCAGGTCCCCCTTCCACCTTTGCACGAGTTCTAGACAAAAGTTACTGCGACCACAATGTGTCGGATGCTCGCATCCCTGGGTATCATTGCCGTTAGATGCCCGCGCTGCCTGCTCCTAAAGTTCGCGATCGTCTGTCCTCCAGATCAGATCCTAGGTTCGACATACGATGCTCCCACTAGGGGAGAGTCCTCTCTCAATGATAACTTTGCTGTACCTGCAGTAACATCACCCATGTGTTTTGCGGTGCGGCTCTCTCTTTTGGGGGCGATTGTGGTTTGTGCCGAATCCCAGAAATTTCCGATTCCGCCGTTCATACCGGCTTCAAAGTTGCATGGCTTGTGGACTGCCTTAGGGCTCCTAAGACCAGGGCCATGCAGGCTGTGGTCGATTCTGGACGCCTGGTGGGCCGCCCATTGATCGACGTTCGGGATCGACCTCAGACAACCCCAGTCAAGTGCTGGGTCTGAGTTCACGTCTGACGACACTACTACTTGACCACCACCTCAAAGTGTGCTTGGAGCAAGCAGTAGGACCCCTGTCCTGCCCAAGAATCCACCGTCGCGGTATAGCGCTTTTGCAATTATTCGCTACTCTTCGGGCATGGGGCCTAACAACAGAGCCAGGAGGGGTCCCCCTTCCAACTTCGAACCTTCGAGTCTTGACCTCTTCATTTCTGGACAACCACCAAGCTCGGTGGTACAATAGCAACCTGTGCCCGTGTCTAGAAACACCTACATTTGCACCTTGTACTGCGCATATCCTTCCCGTTTCAAGCCCGGATGCAAATCAACATCACATTTTCTCCCCTCAAACCGAACAAATGCTTCAAACGGTCTGGCTGATCTTCTGATAATCGTTGGTCACCCGCGTCATAGCCGGCATTGACTGGCATCTGCGAACTCCGACAACTTGCCTGGCAGACCAAGTTTGCCGCCTTGTGCGCTGCCCAGATCGCAACCCACTGATCCAGAGCAGGTTCAGTGTGGTTGCATGTGAGGCGAGACTCAACGAGATCTGCCTGGATTTCCTTCGGTCCCACTGGTGCTCTTCGATGTCATATCACGCCTTTGAAAAATTTGCCGCCAACTCGACACTAAATCATTGTCAATTCCTGGCCCGTGCTGAAGCTGCTTGTCTCCTACGCACTTCGTTTTGCGCCTGAGACTTTCCCACAGGTCCTTGTTGGCTGGAGAGATTTGGAGGATTTGGACGGCAAGCGCTGGTGATTGGGCTGAGACAAGCGTATGGAATATCAGCTGTTGTTACACCAAGCTCGATTGAAGCAATTCCCAGCATCGTCATTCCTTTGTCCTTCGACAAGACGCTTTTGTCGCGGCGACAGGTCCTCCGTACCACAAAGTAGTGGTTAGACTCCTGAAAGTATTGGTGACCAGGAAGCCCATCCAGGGGTACGGCATTTTGTGAGCGAGTGCACGAGGACGACAGCAACTATTTGTTTCTATCTGCTGGCGAAGACCTCTTGTCCTGTGTCACAACCAGCCATTTGGAATTGTGCAACTTGCGCATCCAGGCATGAGCGGCCCCTACGACCATGGCATGAATATGCCAATGCCTAATATACTGGATGCAACCTATCCGATCTATGATGGCACTTTTAACACAGCATATTCCCGGTTGTCAGGCCCTCCAACTCATTTTGACGGTGTTGCCTTCTGGTACAATCCTACCAATACCGAACAACTCTATGACAGGCAGGCAAGCCTTCTCAGTGGCCGTCGTGCAGCGGCGCCAGCAAATAGCATGGAGTCTTCCGCTGTCAAACATCGTCGAACTCGCAGTGGTTGCTTTACTTGCCGCAGCAGACGAGTAAAGGTACGATGCTAGAATTTGTCCTGTTTACCGATCCCTTGCTAATCCCTGGCAAAGTGCGATGAGACTAGGCCGATCTGTGACAGTATGTAATTCTCCCGCCTGCCATAGGACTTGTCACTGACTGCTCCCCCTTAGGATGCAAGAAGGGTAATCGTGAATGCGAGTTTCCGCAGACGACGTCGTCTTCGAAGCGATCCAAGCAAAGTGACGGTCGCGGTACCAAGGACCAAGCGGCGAAGCATGATATCAAAGATGAGAGCATGACTGGGTTGCCCACAATAAAAGACGAAAGCGAGGAAGACGAGTCTCCTCTGTCTCCGACGACAACACGACCGCCACCATTGCGAAGCGACAGCGGCCAATCAGTGGCACGCAGCACAAAAGCCAAGAATGCGTCAGAAACATCGTCCGGCATCAAGGATCAGACCAGTCCACAATCGAGCGAAGCATCGGATGCTCGCTCAAGAGATGATACACCCGCGTCATCACTGCGCACAGTTGGTAACTCTGCAGAAGTGCAAGCTCGACAGGGAAAGATAAAGTCCTTGAAGCCAGATCTACAAAAGTATCTGCAGTTCCAGCAAGAGTATATGACTTTTTACCACTATTTCTTCAAACTCGACCCGACGGACTTCGTGCATGCAGAGTTTATCGACCTTGCCTTGACCTATGAGCCGCTACTATATGCCGCCGTCGGTTTTGCTGCATATCACTACGAGCTGAAGCAGCCTGAACCCAAGTTGTCGCATTTTTTGGGGTACCACAGCAGGTCGCTGTCGATGCTAAGGAAATCGTTGGAGAAGAACACAAAGGTCACCGAAGCCACTCTGCTTACTGTTTTGCAATTGGCCACATTCGAAGAATATATTGGCGATTGGGTCAACCTAGTGGGCCATCATCGTGCCGCTCTTACCATGGTGCGTGATCTTTTCACCCCAGGGACAATGATGGAGACGGACCTAGGGAGACGTATCTTCAGCTGGATCGCTCGCTTGGATGTCATTGTCGGTCTCATGGCGGGCAACGAGACGCGACTGGATCGCCAATGGTTCGAGGCGAACGCTGCATGGTACCACAGTCAGGTCGAGAGTGACCCCGAGATGGATGTCGACATCGAAAGCACCATGGCATACTTTGTCTCCTCGAATCGACTGATCGGCATGGATATGGCTGCTCTGTTCGCCAAGTTTGCAAAACGCGAAATCGGCGTGGAGACATTTTGCGCCGAAAATAGCGAGATTGTTGGGAGAGTCGAGGCTATGAAACGCCAGATCGAATTGTTTAACGACGAATACTACAGAGTTCAGGAGTTCCCAGTAGAGAAGACTCGACCTCTGACCGAAGAAGACATTGTCAATCCTTATGCCCCAGGGGGCCTTTTCAAAGATGCGCTCTGGCCGTTGAACTTCATGTGGATCGATTGGTACAGTATTGAGTTGTTGCAGAGATACCAAACTGCAGTGATGCTTCAGCAGCCGATGCCTCCTGAATTGGAGCAGATAAGTCTGGAACAGTGCCGGATCTATGAGGCCATGGAGCGGTGGCCGGATGCTCCAAACGGATCCATCTTGGGCGCACATGCGCCTCTGGGACTTGCTTCAGTTTTCCTGAAGAAAGATGCCCGACATATCATGTGGGCACGAAGAAAATTTGCCGCTGTAGAAAGGCAGGGCTACATTTTCCCGCCATCTTTTCGACAAAAGATGGCCGAAAGGTGGGGGTTGACGCGCGACGAGGTTGGCGAAAATGAAGCAGTGGAAAACTGGTGGCTCCCCAATGATGAAGGGAACATTCCCATGTTGAAAGAGATCCGGAAAGTGGTTACTGAAAGGCATGAAAGCGACACGATTGCCAGCGTGGAGTCCCTTGCCAGCGTCAGAGACCTGAAGGCAATCTTCGAAAAGCTAGATCTTCGGACTCAATCGGCTGGAAGACCGGGGGGAAGTGATGGCCAATTCAGCCCAAAGAGTGACACCAGTGGTGGACTCAGTGACCGCGCAAGCAATCCCAGCTTCAGTCCTACCAGCGGAAACTTCAGTGATGGGCCAATAGGGAGCATGTCGGGAGCTGTGTCAGAAAAAGGAGGCCCTCTGAAACGAAGAGACAAGCGATCTGACTCGACTTCTTGAGACAAGACTGAAACTGATGGCCAGGGCTTTTGCAGACGCCTTGTGGGCAAAGATACATTCTCACGCCCAAATGCGAGACGACAGATGACGGATAATCTGAATGATCAAAAAGCCTGAGCTGCTTGAGAGACGCCTCAAATGGAGCGGACACTTTGACCTTCGTGCTCTGTGTATACTCAACCTTCGGACAACGACATTGATGGCCGGCCACGAAAGGCGTCGTGTCGACTGATTGGGCAGACGACCCTTGGATAGGGATTTATACCCTTCATCGCTGCAACAAGATTATTTTCTTCTACACAAAGGTGCCCGTCACCCTACAATGTTTCAGTCCTGGCGGGAGAAAAAGTATATTTGTTTCCAGCACAATCTCAAAACTGTGCAACCATGGCAGAATCCCGTTGCAATTCTGGCCCACTTCTGTCTCAAACCTGGTCTCGACTCTGTCCACAACCTGCCTATCCCGAGGCGACAGTGTTGGGTTGTCAACTGGGACCATCGATGGATTGTTCTATCGATCGAGCTGAAAAGGTACCTATATACATAGCGAAACGAGGAGGCTGGGGATCGCACCTTTTTGACAAAGGGTGAATAATTCTCCTTGTCGACATTGGGTAGCGAGGAGGGACCTGAGCACATCTGGAAGGACCATCGTACACCGAGAAGGAAGACTTCTTTCCCCTTTCCCACATTTAGATGTATACATACCATATCTTACTCATACAGCAACGGAATAGCGCAGTGCTTCTAGGTTGCTTGCGCCCGTCGAGCCAGTTTCACCAGTGAGGAGAAATGAAAAAAGGGAAACGGTTCACATCACACTCTTGTCTCTCCTCCTCCTCCTCCACATAATACGAGGTACTTCGTGTACTTACTTTTTTGGATTGATCATTGGGGGCAAACTCACCAAGCTAATCAATCAGCCAGTCCGACTAGATCCGTCCAGAGCGTGGTTGCTGTGGCAAGTTCTCAGAAAGGGGATTTCTCCACGACAATGAATGAATGTCTAGTAGGCAACGACAATTAGTTTTCTCCTTTGGGCATCGAGTCTACTTTCTGCATGAGTCGTTAGGGAAACCGAAAGAAAGACGCCGAAATGCAAGAGGCATCCCCAGCACGTTTCTTTGTCCCTTACCAGTATATCATGCAGGTGCTAGGCAAATATCACCCACCCGTTCACTCGTAACTCGTCCTTAGAGGACCGACCGGCTCATCTTCCTCACTGCCACTCCACTTGCGCCCGAGACCTGGGCTCCTTTGGGATAGCTCTTGAAGGATGCATGTCGAATAAAAAACGAGTATTCGCTCTCCTGCGTACCCGGGTCGTTGTTCTTGACCAGGACGCTGATGTGGCCAGCGTTGGGGGACCAGCGGTCCCCCAAAACAAGTTAACCTAAACCCATCGGTGCGATCGAATGATGCTGGGAAAGAGGAAAGAGACCATCAAAGCATCTTCCTCTTTTTTTTTTCCATTTGTCAATGCCCCACTGTCATACAGTGATACGCTTTTTGTACAGACTTCCCGCGTGTGGCTTGCCGGCGTAGTTCTAGTCCAATAGAAATGTCTTGCTCTTGTTCGTCTTTTGATGCCCGTGTTAGTCTTCTTTCAGCATGGAACTCTCCATGGCTGCGTCTCGAGCCTCTGAAACGGTCCACATGGGTTATCGTGCTAAAGTGTTTGCGGTTCAGCTGTTTGAGTCTTTGAGGCCCACATTATGTAGTGGCTGCTTCCTGTGAGTTGCCGCTAAGCTCGACGGGTATAGGGCACTGGGGCTTGTCTGCAGAACGAGACTTGGTGTTCCCAAGACTGGAGACCTAGAGTTGTGGTGGATATCTCACCAAGAGTTCAAGACCAGTCTCAGTAAGAGAGTTTGTCCCTTTCATATCGGCAGGTGTACATTCGGCGCCGACCTTCGACCAAAGTGAGAAATGAATACGAGGTTATGCAAAGGCACGGAAAAGCGGATCGTCCTTAGCTTTCTGAAGCCGTCGTAGAGTTTCCCATTCTAGGCGAAACTGCCTCCTGAAGCTGCAAGGTAGTCACACGGGATGCTTCATCCAGTCTAGGCTCGTGCGGTCTCACGCAAAAGACATATTCTCCGAGACCCCTGAAAGACCTGCTCAACGACGAACGTGCATAACATGTGGGATGTGGGGGCCCATGCCGGAGATAAAGAGGGATAGTCTTGTACCCTTGGATTGCACGGTACGAGTATCCCGGTCGACGTGGGAGCTCTTGCTCCTTGTGGTGCCGTGGCCAGGCCTTCGCACAATCATCGATGTGATAACATCTGGATGTTGAGTCATTGCATAGAGCACGCCTTACTATCGTTTTGCTGCCCTTTCTTGCTAGCGTGCCGGCCAGAGCCGTTGATAATTGTTTCCTGCAATGACATAGCATCCCCCTATGTGTCTGTGTGTATTTTCAGCGGGCACGGCCACTGTTGCCCTTCGATCGACCCAAGTTTTTGAGGTTGACTGAGAATGGTTTCACATGTCTGGAATGGATAATGCCTGAGAATGTTTCATCGTCCGCCTAACCATCTCTCCTAAGCCAGGAGACTTTGCTTTGCTGTTTAACGAGTCAAGGAGACCGAGCGAGCCCAACCTTCTCACCGAAGAGGACCTACAAGGACAGCAGTAAATCGAGACCGGCGAGGGTGGACGGATGCGAAGCTCCCGAGTCTTGCCCATCGTGTCATCGGACAAGGTCTCGCACTGGTGGGATTCATCTCCATCCCCCGTCAGCTGCTATCCTCGCACCGCGCCAAGCTTGATGACCAGGGACGAAGCGTTTAGTGTTGAAGTTTGCGAAAGCAGCCAAGAAGGCACTTCCTAGGTAAATGCAGGTGCCCTTTTAGCTCGGGGTAGGTGGACATGCAATGAAGATGCTTCCCAAGTCCGTTTAGCCTTGGTTGGAGGGTGTCCAATGACAGATCTCAGCCATGAATGAGCTGCCGTACGCTCGGTATAGTTTTTGTTGGATGGGAGGTGTGCCTAAGTCCCTCTTGCATGTAGAACAGTCGATTTTCCTCGGGATACCCGACATGCATCCGCACCGTGACCTCCGATATACGTCATGAACTGGGGGAACCACAGGTCAAATCAAGTCCTCGTGGTAAGTTGGAATATGGAGAAAATGTCTAAGCATTTGGCAAGCTGGTGGTGACAATATGGAGAAACCCCTGAGGCAGATGTGAAAAGTACCCAACCCGCTGGAAAAGGCTGTCAGATACAAAAATCAGTTCAACCTGCAGAAAAGTTTAGCCACACAGTCGGACACGGAGAATGTCCGGCCCCGGACCCAGACAGCTGATGCGTCGACTTATTGATGAGATCCACTGGCCCAGTAGTCATTATCATCAGCATGATCTAAGAGATGAGATGACTGCCCTAGTGGAGGGCCGTCTCTCTTATCGATTGATTCCAATCCTTCGGAAAGCCAAAAAGAGTGATACAAGGTCTAGCTCGGCGTGCTCTGGTGAAGATCGAACGCAGGTGCGCGATACAATTTTCCCAGGTTCAACAACGACTCAGCAATCATAGAGCGGAGATTCCTGTTGCAGAAGAATGCTTTTTCGCTGAACCCTCGTCATGCCTGCTAGAGCGAGCAAGCAAATGTCTTGCATACATATGCTTCGTAAATCTTCTTCCCAACAGTTGCAGGGGTCCGCAACCGTGTGTGCGAACCTAATGTCAGACTCTGATGGGGAATGTCGCGGAAATACACTGATGGTATTTCGCTTGGCGAGGAGGTGATTGTTTGAATCTGATTAAGATAGTGGTGAATCAGCATATTCTTGGTTTTGATCTGGCTCGGTGTCCTTCAGCAAGTGGCGACAATCGCCGGCATCCTGATTCAGAAGGCTCGAACTGAGCTTTGCAGACCATTTCGTGCGATAACAAACTTTTCAGAAACGTAATTTGAAATTACCGTTTTCATGATTGAGCACCTTGAAGGGCCCGAAAACGAAGGGCCCGAAAACACAGGGCTCGAAGACAATCTGCTTGACAGTCTTGCAGCTTGAAAGGAGCGCAACGGTGTCACCAACGAGTATTCAGCTGATCTCGGAAGCGGGAGCGTTTTAGGACCGCTGCCTTTTCAACTTTTCATGCGGTCGCTGTTCGAGGGCAACGATCGTGCAAATGGGCCAACCTAATTGAAGACCAGTGGAGTTCATGGGGATAGGAGACTGACAGCGACGATCAGCCTTGGTTTCCGCCAGCGAACATGTAGAAACCCCGTCAAGTACGAGAGAAACTGTTTTTGGGAATAGACAGAATGAACAACAGTCGGCCATGATTTGGACGTCAGAACCTGTTCGCCTGTTATCCATTGAAGTGAGACAAGTCCGGGGCACAGAGGTATTCAATCAAGTATTTCGCCCGAAAAGGACTCGATGTCACGGCAAGCAAGTCTTCTGGCAAGAGTCGACGAGGCACTGATCCCAGAGAGAGAGGGTCGAAGGGATCCAGACACAGCCGGAACCATTGGAGATATTGTGGACGACCCTGGAAGTGAAGCCTGATGTTGGATGAGTAAAGTGGCCATCTTTGGGCCAACGGCAAAGGTGCACAAGCAAATGGTTCTGTTCCGCAGGCATCTAACTTGCTGGAGATTGGTGCACTGAGAAGCTCAGTACTGTCCATACGCATGGTCTAAAAGAAGAAATGAGGCGAAGAGGACCAAAATATCGAAGACAGCACTGTTGACAAGGGAAGTCCGCAGGAGGTGCGTAGGAGGTGCGTAGGAGGTGCGTAGGAGGTGCGTAGGAGGTGCGCAGGAGGGCCATTGGCTTGACTGACGCAGCTGCGGACAGAATGAGGTCTGACCTCGGCGCACTTGCCACATTCGGATGCGCGACAAATAATTTTCCACCGCGTAATGCGACGAACCCGCCGGATTGGTTTCGAGGTTCGAAAACAACCAGCACTCGCTTTGGCTTCACCAACAAATTTCTCCTTTCGTGCATCGCACGCAGAAAGCTCTGTTCCTGAGCCATGGACTCGTATCGCCCTGCTGGCGACGATCGTTGGCCTTACCGAGACACCGACTCTTACCGACCCCGCCACTACGACCCTCCTCCTCCCCCACCTTGGCCTCCGTCTCACGGCGGCAGTGGGATGTACTACTTCCAAGGCTCACGCGACAGAGATCCGCCAGGACCGTCTAGCTATCGCCCAAGATCTGATTATCATGGAGCGCGGTATCAGCCCCCACGAACAGACCAAGCTCGCAGGCCTCCGCCGGCTTTACCCAGGACTGCTGCTAATAGGCCCTTGCTCAAACTTCGCCACGACGACTCGACAGATTCTTCCCTTACCGATTCCAATTTGACCTCCAAGTCAAAGTTTCGCAATATTGACGAACTCACTGATAGTGAAGAAGAAGAAATGGCGCAGTCGGAAGACGAAGAGGTGGACCGGCGAGCCAACAAGCGTGCCAGACTGAATGAGCCCGAATCTACTGCCGTACCAGCTCTACCAAAATGGTCAAACCCCGATCCGTACACCTCGCTTCCTCCTCAAGCAGATGCAACTGCCAAACGCGTTGATGTTGTCAAATTGATTAGGAAAGCGCGCATCGGTGGCGCCCGCAGCCTCGAACAAGTTAACGTATCCCACGACTTCATCTCCTTCGAAAACGATGAACACAAGCCAAGTGAGCAACCTGTGTCTCCAGAGCCTCGCTCAAGTATTCCGGTGGCGCCCAAGGCGCCGGCATCTCAGCCACAGGTCAAGACCACTGTTACAGGCAAAAGAAAGCGAGATGCTTCTCTGGGTGAGGAAGCACCACTGCCACGATCTGACAACCAAATTTATGCCGACCGCCATGTGCAAGATCAGTGGAGAGCCAAGCCTGGGGTCGATACGACGCCGTGGCTCGCTGCTCATTCTCCTAATGATATTCCTTTAGCTGCGTAAGTGAGCAACGTGTTCTTCGCTTCGCAACTAACCGCCACAGTTTCCACAAAGAGGTCATTGACTTCTACCACTGGGTGAAGCCAAAGCCTCACGAGGAGGAAATCCGTGACGAGGTCTTTCGACGCCTGAATACCGTCTTGCAAAGTTTCGCATTCGGAGAACTGAGAGCATTCGGATCTTATGCTGCCGGTCTGTACTTGCCCACTGGAGATATGGACCTTGTGTACCTCACCCGCAATTTCAGACCTGGTCAGTTTTCAAAGGAACATGCCAGGCGACTCGTCCTCGGCTGTGCCAGGTTTCTAAGGGAAAAGAACATTGCTGAAGGAGTCGTGGTACCTATCCCCAAGGCCAAAGTCCCAATCATCAAGTTCGTCGACAGGATCAGCGGCCTCAAGATTGACCTCTCTTTCGACAATGATACCGGCATTGCTGCTATTGATACATTCCATAAGTGGAAGCGGGAATATCCCGTTATGCCCATCATTGTGTCAGTGGTGAAGCAATACTTGATGATTCGAGGGTTGAACGATGTTTCAACTGGTGGCTTGGGTGGCTTTTCCACTATCTGTCTGGTCACCAGCCTGCTGCAACATCTGCCAGCTACTAAGCAGCCAATCAACCTTGGCGATGTCCTATTGCAGTTTTTCAACTACTATGGAAATCTCTTTGATAGGCAGTCGGTGATCATCCGACTTGATCCCCCCGGATATTTACACAAGGTATTTGCGTCCATCCTGTTTTGTTCCTACTAACCTGCTGTTACAGGCGTCTTACCGGCCTCGGTTCGATGATAGGGGCATGAAACGACTTACTATCGTTGATCCACATCGAGCGGACAACAATATCTCAGGCGGGACTAAAGAAGTCGATAAGATCTTTAAATGCTTCTCCGAGGCATACAAGGCCCTCATGAGTCGACTGTCCGCTTACGAAAGACGAAACCCACAAGCTCCTCAGGGCAGCTTTCTGGAATGTCTCATCGGCGGCAACTTCACGCTTTATGACGCACAGCGACAAAAATTGCTTGATCTTTTTTCCAATGATTACAACTCGGTTGTGAAGAACGGAGGATACGCGTCCGAGATGGCTCGTCAACCGGCTGCTGTCCATGGACGGGGCAAACTGAATGTACGTTAATAACAGCCGTTTTGCTCATCAGGAAGCTTGACGTGTTCTAGGACAACCCAGACGAATCTGGTGGCTTTGCAGAGAGGATACCTGCACCAACGAAGAAGCTCGGCAAAGGCGAGAGACGAGCGAAACGGCTCAAAGACCTACGACCCGATCTCGCGCCGTCAATCCGGAGTACTATTAGCCTTATTGATGCTATGAAGATTGGAGGCTACAAAACACCACAGGAGATGGATAATGACCTCCGGATACGAGAAGCGGCGGCGACGAAGATTGCTGCAGCCTGAGTCGAGTGAAGCCAACCAGCATGCAGAAGCATTTGTCAGTTGAACCACTCATACGAGTTACCATATCACGAGCTGGCACCCCATGGTGTCGACGTTACTCATTGTTCGGGCTGTGTGCCACATATTGATGACCTGGGCAACTGAGCAGCATCTTGACATTCACATTGTCTGGAGAGTCTCACAGCGCGTGCGCCTCAAAATCACACTCACTTGAAAAAATCCCTTCAACACTGGCTTTCTTTCACCCAGCCTGACCTCAGCTCTGCCATCCATGGTGCGATTTGGAGACTACTGACAAGTTTATAGAACGAATTATCACGTCAAGCCGACCGACTGTCGTCTGCAATGGTGGTCAGATCCCGAAGTCAAGCCCTGGGCGCAATGGGCGATCGTACACAACCTTCTCGATTCTTTCCCCTCCTTTCTAGTCCTTGATCTTTTGCGTGACCATCTTTGCTGTAGAGAGGTAACTATTCCCACTTACCGAAGCCTACTAGAGAACGTCAGACTTGCATCGCTTCGAGTTCGGTGACTGCTACTCCAGAATTTGAAATACCGCCAATCACACAATGCCTCGAGCTCCGTTGCCCTCTAAGACCCAGACCTCAACAGGTTCAGGGCTCTTACGATTACCCAGCGGCTATCACGCGTGCTGCTTAACAGTGCTCTTGACCTGTGCCCTGCCGCCCTTTTCTCATTGTCAGATGTGCTTTATGCACTATGGCGGAGAGGAAAACTCGCGGGCAGACCAGTTTTCACATGGATAATGGTCTTCTCACCCCGTTCGGGAATTGAGGTAAGATGGTTGCTTTCCTTAAAGGTTGACCAAATGTCTTTGATGGCCGGGTCTGGCGTGCTGACAGCCTGGTAGGCTTCAAGCTGTCCAAGGGAGCCTCACTAGCACCACTATGCAGCAGAATGAGTGCCAGCAAATGGCCTTTATGGAGGCCACTCGCCCATTGCGCCGTCGCCAGCGTGTGGTTTATTTTCAACCAGTCGTCACCCCGACCGGGAAAACAGGACTCCTCAAGAAACCCAAGAAGAGCTGATACGAGAACATGCATGAGTAGTATTATATGGTCGCACATAGCATAAAGCACAGATTTTGGCATTTGCCTACCTCGTTCACGGCATGTCCATATCAACAAGACTCATCTACGAATTAATATGAACTCATTTTGTCCCTTGCAGGCTCCCCGCTAGCCACCATAAAGAGGGCTTGAGTACCCTTGGTACCTAAATCCTTGGACTTTTGAGTCCTTGATGAACTGGGCACTCTGGTCTCGCTCTCCGGCCTCAGGTCAGGCTGAGACACTTCTGCACCCACCTGCAGATATGGGGCCTGGCAAACGTGGCCCTGCGACCATCAGTCCGTCCCCTATGCCAAATGAAAAGACCACAGATCAGTCTTTGCTATCTCGAAAGACGCGTGTCAAAAGATCGGATGCATTCGTTTCTTGGGGAGACGGGTGGCTCTTGGAGTTGTTATGCATCCTCACCTCAGCGTGCGTGCTGATTGCGATCGTCTGCATCTGCGACCACTATGACAGAAAACCTCAACCGGATTGGAAAACTGTATCCTTGAATACGGGAATTGCATGGCTCAGCACATTGTCCAAACTTCTGCTCTCGATACCGCTTTCCAGGAGTATGGGTCAGCTCAAATGGATCTGGATGGCACAGAAGACTAGGACATTATCGGATCCGGAGGTGTTCGATTCAGGCAGCAGAAGTATTATGGCAATGCCGACGCGATGGAATCGCTGGCCGTCTTAAACTTCATCACTTGCGAGAAGCCAGAAGACAAACTCTCCTGTCTTGCTACAAACATGGCGAAAGCAATAACCAAGACTTTTCGTGACGCCTCCTACGCTGTTGCCCAGCAGAGTGCCCCTAATGCATCGCTGGCCGACGTTGAGAAGGCCGCCGGGGCGGTTGCTGGACAGGCTTCCACTTCGACAAACTTTGTACGTGTTCACTGGTATTGGATTTCGCTGCCGGCGCTGGTCTGGGGTTTAGCAGCAAGTATTTGGCTGTCGACTGCAATTGTAACGCGCAAGGTAGGGGTCCCACGATGGCAGAACAATCCGCTTCCTTTATTATTCTTGTACACGGGAGGAGAAAAGGCACAAGACCAACAAGAAACACCAGCAGATACAGCTGACAGGAAAGGCATCAGGGTTTCAGCGGCCGCATGTATGACCAGAGCGAGTGGAATTCGCACAAGGTTAGTTATTCGGGACAACGAAGCGGAGCTGATCTAGTACTGGCTCCGAACTGGATCAGCACTGGCTCAGCCCTGACTCCAAGCTCGGAGCTGGATGATAATAGACTTCAAGAAGTGACTGTTGAAATTCTGCCACATGATCCTCGACCGTCTCGGACAAGCTGTATGTTTTCCAGCTCCAGCGTACTTTAAAAGGCCTCGAAGGATTCCAAGCTCGATCTGCAGATTCCAGCCAGGATGCTAGGTGAGGGACCACAATCTCATTGCCATTCCATTTGGGATATCAAGATACTGAGATATCCGTGTCGAACGAGATAGTCGAGTAAAGAACAGGAAAAATTCAGCAGGCTAGATGGCAGAGAAACTCTCAAAAATAGAGTACGTAAAGTTATCGCTATTAAGAAGAATGAAACTTGAGATAGGGTGTATGGTGGGACTATAGTAGAAATCAAACTGTCAAAGGCATGAAGAAGGTGAGTTGCAAGCAGGTGGTTTGGTTTTTTAAAGCGGCACCGTCTGGATGACTCTGCTCCACCGCCAAGCGCAGTCAACGGTCGTCAGCTCTGGCTGCGTCTCCGCATGCACCTTACTAGTGGCAGTAGGCAGCGTTAACGTGGACACTGCATGGCTGTGAATTACTGCTCCCCTCATGCGGTGCCAAAAAGTCACTAGAAACCATGGAATAGGCCATTCCTTCGTCCTCCCAGCAACTTCACGAAGGAGATACGTTGACATCTCCATCCACCACGCCGCGCTCAGAGGCCATCCTGCAGACCATGGTTCTGCACCATGGCGTCGTCGCAAGGTCCAGGTCCAGACCCCAGCGAGCGCATCTTCGTGGATCTACGAAGCAAGAATGATGAAGTCAAGAACAAGGCTGCAGCAGAGCTGCGTGACTTGATCACATTGCTCTCGAGAGGTCAGACTCAATCCCGTGTATCCTTCTGATCTACTGACCTGGTTCTCAAAGAATGGTCCCCCGAACGCTTCAGCGCATTCTACGACAGAGTTACCACCCGCATCAGCAACCTCATCGTGCAGGCGCCAGACCCAAGTGACAAGGTCGGAGGAGTCCTCGCCTTGGACCGACTTATAGACTGCGAGGCAATCGATCCGGCTCAGAAGGCTTCAAAATATTCCAATTACCTGCGTGCAGCCTTGAAGAGCAATGACTACAGTGTGCTGGATGCGGCCAGTCGAGCGCTGGGCCATCTGGCTCGACCCGGGGGCGCATACACAGCGGAGCTTGTGGAAGCCGAAATGACATCGGCCTTCGAATGGTTGCAACCAGAAAGCAAGCAGGAAAGTCGCAAGCTGGCAGCAGTGCTTCTCATCCGCGAGCTGGCCAAAAATTCACCTACCCTTGTGTACGGCTTCATTCCTCAGATTTTCGAGCTCATCTGGAATGCCTTGCGAGACCCCAAAGACCTCATACGCCGAGTCGCCGCCCAGTCTGTTAGCGCATGCTTTGGTGTGATGGTTGCAAGAGACACGCAGTTCCAAAATCATTGGTTTGCCAAAATATACTCCAAGACACTCGAGGGTTTCCGACCCAACACCTCGGTGGATGAGACGCTGGGCTCTCTTCTGATCCTGAACGAACTGCTGCAACAAGGGAACATGTTCATGCACGACTTCTACAGAAATGCCTGCGAAACTGTGCTCCGGCTGAAGGACCACCGGGATCCCAGAATTCGTACCCAGATTGTCCAGATCATTCCAGTCCTGGCCGAGTATGCTCCTCTCGAATTCATCAACAACTACCTGCACAAGTTCATGATTTACCTCCAAGCGCAGCTCAAGCGGGAGAAGGAACGCAACCAAGCATTTATCGCCATTGGCCAGATAGCGGATGCAGTTGGTAGTGCTATTGCCCAATATCTCGATGGCATCATTCTCTACATCCGGGAATCGCTCAGTGCGAAGACTAAGAACCGAGCTGCGGTCGATGAGGGCCCGATGTTCAAGTGTATTAGTATGCTTGCGGGAGCGGTCGGCCAGACACTTAGCAAGTACATGGAGGCTCTCCTTGATCCGATTTTCGCTTGCGGTCTCACCGAACCCATGGAACAAGCTCTCGAAGACATGGCACACCACATCCCACCGATCCGAGCAACCATTCAGGACAAGTTGTTGGATCTTCTGAGTTTGATACTTGTCCGCACACCTTACAGGCCGCTGGGGTGCCCGCCGAATACTTCACCACCCCTGCCATCGTTTGCAAAGGACTATGGAGGCATGCCCGCCGAGCACAAGGACTACGAGGTCACGCTGGCTCTCAAGACCTTGGGAAAGTTTGATTTCTCAGGTCATATACTTAACGAGTTTGTGAGGGACGTCACACTTCGCTATGCCACCAACGACAACCCGGAAATCCGGCGCGCAGCTGCACTCACCTGCTGCCAACTGTTCATGCAAGACCCCATCCTGCATCAGACCAGCAACAATGCTATTCAGGTGGTTGGCGAAGTGGTGGACAAGCTATTGACTGTTGCCGTTGGTGATCCGGATGCTGACATACGAGTGACTGTCCTTCGAGCCCTGGATAGGAAGTTCGACAAGCATTTGGCCCGGCCAGAGAACATCCGCTGTCTCTTTTTGGCTGTCAACGACGAGGTCTTCGCTGTTCGCGAGGCTGCCATCGAAATTATCGGGAGGTTGACGACTGTGAATCCGGCTTATGTATTTCCGCCTTTGCGGAAGCTATTGGTCAATCTGCTCACTGGACTTGGTTACTCTAATACAGCGAAGCAAAAGGAGGAGTGCGCCCGTCTGATCAGCTTGTTTGTCTCCAACGCTACTTCTCTCGTCAGGACTTACGTGGAAGCCATGGTTTCAGCTCTTCTGCCAAAGGCAACCGACCCAAATCCAGGGGTCGCTTCGACAACCATCAAGGCGCTCGGAGATCTCACTTCTGTTGGCGGAGACGAAATGGCTCACCATATTCCGGAGCTCATGCCAATCATCATCGACGCCCTGCAGGATCTCGCTTCACACGAGAAGCGTGAAGCCGCTATGAAGACCCTGCGTTCCCTTGCAATCAACTCACAATATGTGATCGATCCATATCTGGACTATCCCGAACTTCTCGGAATCCTGATCAACATAATCAAAACAGAGGCACACGAAGAGCTGAGGACAGATGCTATCAAGCTCGTTGGTGTCCTGGGTGCTCTGGATCCCTATAAGTACCAACAGCTAAGCGAATCTGTCGCAGAGAAGCAAAGCAAGGCAGAGACCCAACCGGTATCGGATGTCGCATTGATCATGCAAGGTCTGACGCCGTCCAACGAGGAATTCTATCCGACAGTGGTGATCAACACGCTCATGCAAACTATACTCGCGGACCACACCCTCGTTCAGTATCACAGTGCCGTGATCGATGCGGTTGTGACTATTTTCAAGACGATTGGCATGAAGTGTGTTCCATTCCTGGGTCAAATAATCCCTGGGTTCCTCGGTGTCATTCGCAGCTCTCCTCCTCCTCGCCTGGAGTCATATTTCAACCAACTTGCAGTGCTTGTCAATATTGTCCGTCAACATATTCGTGCTTTCTTGCCCGAAATCATCGAGGTCATTCGAGAATTCTGGAACGTGTCGAGACAGGTTCAATCAACGATATTGTCCTTGATTGAGGCCATCTCCAAGTCTTTGGAAGGCGAATTTCGCAGGTACTTGGCAGGTCTGTTGCCGCTCATGCTAGGTGTGATTGAAAACGACACAGATCTAAGGAGAGAATCCTCCATCCGCATCCTGCACACTTTTCTAGTCTTTGGCTCTAGCGGAGAAGAGTACATGCATATGATTGTACCGGCAATTGTTGGCATTTTCGAAAATCCCGCAGCACCTCCGAACGCCCGCAGGGCAGCAATCGATACTCTGGGAAAATTGTCTCGCACGGTCAATGTCACGGACTTTGCGTCGCTCATGATTCATCCGTTGGCAAAGATACTATCTTCTCCTGAGAAAGTCGTGACAAACTCTTCTGAACGGTCACTGAAGTCTGCTGCGCTAGACTGCATCTGCGCACTGATCTATCATCTTGGACAGGATTTTGTGCACTATTTGCCTCTCATCGAACGGTCTACCAAGGCGGGCCAAATCAACTCTGAGAGGTTCCAGAAATTGATTGAGAATTTCAAGAGTGGCAAGGCTCTACCTGTCGATTTTTACCCAGAAGAACAATATGGGACGGCGGCGGAAGACACCAGTTACTCCAATATCACCTCGATGAGGCTTCCAGTCAATCAGCAACATCTAAAAAGTGCTTGGGACACCTCTCAGAAATCAACGAAGGAGGATTGGCAGGAGTGGATGCGCCGTTTCAGCGTCGAACTGTTGAAGGAGTCTCCTTCCCACGCTCTGCGGGCTTGCGCGAGCTTGGCTGGTGTTTATCAGCCACTGGCCAAATATCTTTTCAATTCCGCGTTCGTCTCGTGTTGGACTGAGTTATATGATCAGTATCAGGAACAACTCATCCAGTCCTTTGAGAAGGCCCTGATCTCTCCAAATATTCCTCCCGATATCTTGCAGACGCTACTCAATCTAGCAGAGTTCATGGAACATGATGACAAATCTCTTGCAATCGACCTTCGGACACTGGGACGATACGCTGCCAAATGCCATGCGTTCGCCAAAGCACTCCATTACAAGGAACTCGAGTTTGAGCAGGATCAAAATAGCCAGAGTGTTGAAGCTCTGATCAGCATCAATAACCAACTCCAACAATCTGACGCGGCTATTGGCATTCTCCGAAGAGCGCAAGTCTTCGGTGAAGTCGAATTGAAGGAGGCCTGGTTCGAAAAGCTGCAGCGATGGGAAGAAGCTCTGGCAGCATATCAGAAGCGAGAGAAGATCGAGCCAGACAATTTTGATGTTGTGATGGGCAAGATGAGATGTCTACACGCTTTGGGCGAGTGGAAAATGCTGTCTGAGATCGCACAAGAGCACTGGAACAGCGCCTCGACGGAGAACCGCAAGAACATGTCTGCTCTGGCTGCAGCAGCGGCTTGGGGTAGAGGCGAGTGGGACTTGATGGACAACTACATCAGCGTCATGAAAGAGAGTTCACCCGACCGGGCATTTTTCGGTGCCATCCTCGCCATTCAACGCAACAACTTTGGAGAAGCCCGCAATTTTATCATCCGGGCACAAGATGGTGTCAACTCAGAGATTGCGGCAACAATCGGCGAATCTTACAATCGTGCTTACAGCGTAGTGGTCAGAGCACAAATGCTTGCAGAGCTTGAAGAAATCATCCTTTTCAAGCAAAGCGAGGGCAATCTTGAGAAGCAAAATGCCATGAAAGTGCTGTGGAACAAGAGACTCCTCGGGTGCGAATCCAACGTTGAGGTCTGGCAGCGAATGCTCAAGGTTAGAGCCCTTGTCCTCACGCCTTCAGAGAACCCGGATATCTGGATCAAGTTTGCAAACCTCTGTCGGAAATCGGAACGTATCGGGTTGGCAGAAAGATCACTGTCCTCCCTAGGAGGTAGCGGCGACCTTGCTGCTACTGGTCCCGGCGCGGCACCGCCTCCTGTTGCATATGCTCGTCTCAAGTTCACTTGGGCGACGGGGAACCAACAGCAAGCTTTGACATACTTGCGTGACTTCACAACCCATTTGGCTGACGAATACCAACAAGCCAACACTGTTCTGGCAAGTGGTGCACACAACGACAGAATGAATAATATGAATGGTCTTGATATGAACGGGCATGACACGATAGCTCAGAGAAGGAGACACGAGGACTTAGAAAAATGTGCGAAGCTCCTTGCGAAGTGCTACCTCCGACAGGGAGAATGGCAATCCTACCTGCTGAGGGGCGATTGGACAAGTCCCCGAGCTCAGGATCCTGTACGAGACATACTCAACTCGTACCAATTGGCGACACAATATAACGAGTCATGGTACAAAGCATGGCATGCTTATGCACTGGCGAACTTCGAAGTCGTCACATCTATGGCATCCCATACTGACCAGGACAAAGTCCGCAACCTTCCTGAACATATTATCCAGAACCATGTTGTTCCTGCCATTGGAGGCTTCTTCCGGTCAATTGCGCTCTCCAAAACAAGCTCGCTCCAAGACACACTTCGTCTGTTGACGCTCTGGTTTGCTCATGGCGGCCACAGTGAAGTCAACCAAGTGGTGATCGAGGGATTTGCTTCTGTCAGCATTGATACCTGGTTGGAAGTCATTCCCCAATTGATCGCTAGAATCAATCAACCAAACGCGAGAGTGCGAGCAGCAGTGCATAGGCTACTCGCAGAAGTTGGGAAAGCGCATCCTCAAGCACTCGTCTATCCGTTGACGGTTGCAATGAAATCATCGGTCGCGCGACGAGCGAATTCCGCAACCCAAATCATGGATAGCATGAGAACACACAGCCCTCGACTTGTTGAGCAAGCAGACCTGGTTAGCCACGAACTCATCAGGGTCGCAGTGCTTTGGCATGAGCTTTGGCACGAAGGTCTAGAGGAAGCATCTCGCTTGTACTTTGGCGATCATGATGTCGAGGGGATGCTTGCCACCCTAGCTCCCCTCCACGAGCTGCTTGATCGAGGTGCCGAAACTCTTAGAGAGGTGTCATTTGCTCAAGCGTTTGGCCACGACCTTGCGGAGGCTCGGGCTTTTTGCAACGCTTTCCGCCGCTCGAAAGAAATTGGCGATCTCAATCAAGCCTGGGATTTGTACTATGCGGTATTCCGAAAGATTGCGAGGCAACTCCCCCAGTTGATGAGCCTCGACCTCAAATACGTATCGCCTCGACTAAAGGATGCTCATGATCTCGACCTTGCGGTTCCTGGTACCTACCAATCTGGCAAGCCCATAATTAGGATTGTGAGCTTTGATCACGTTCTGACTGTGATACCTTCCAAGCAACGACCTAGAAAGATGACACTCAAAGGATCAGATGGCGTGTCGTACGCGTTCCTCCTCAAGGGTCACGAAGATATCAGACAAGACGAGCGTGTAATGCAGCTGTTCGGCCTTGTCAACACTCTTCTCAATAACGACACCGAATCATTCAAGCGACATCTGAACATTCAACGCTTCCCAGCAATACCGCTATCGCAGAACTCTGGACTGTTGGGCTGGGTGCCTAACTCAGATACCCTTCATAACTTAGTCAAAGAGTATCGCGAGTCAAGACGCATCTTACTAAATATTGAGCACAGAATCATGCTACAAATGGCACCTGACTATGATAACCTCACGCTCATGCAGAAGGTGGAGGTTTTCGGATACGCAATGGACAACACCACCGGCAAAGACTTGTACCGTGTGCTCTGGCTCAAGTCTAAGAGCTCCGAGGCTTGGCTGGATCGACGAACGAACTACACCCGCTCTCTTGCTGTTATGTCAATGGTTGGCTATATTCTCGGTTTGGGAGACCGCCATCCGTCAAATCTCATGCTTGACCGTATCACCGGCAAGATCATCCATATTGACTTCGGTGATTGTTTTGAAGTGGCCATGCACCGCGAAAAATACCCAGAAAGAGTTCCCTTCCGACTGACCCGGATGCTCACATTCGCCATGGAGGTCAGCAATATCGAAGGATCGTTCCGCATAACGTGCGAAAACGTCATGCGCGTCATCCGCGAGAACAAGGAGTCAATTCTGGCAGTACTTGAAGCCTTCATCCATGACCCTCTGCTTAACTGGCGTCTCAACACCCGCGAGTCTCCACCCCGACCACACTTCCGCTCTGAACGCAGACAGAGCATTATTGATGCCCCAGGTGGACAGGGAGGAGACTATGATCGCAGTCCAATGGAGAGTGCGAACAACCCGGCCGCAATGATGAATGCCCCGGGACAAAGCCATGTTGGTGCTCCCCCAGGCCGTCGACACCGACGCAGCAGTGTTCTTGATCCAGCCATGGTAGGCGGAAGTGTCCTTGAAAAGGGATCGGACAACAATGCTGCAGCTCAGGAAGCGAAGGAGGTACAAAATGCCCGAGCATTGCAGGTCTTGGCTCGCGTCAAGGAGAAATTGACCGGACGTGACTTCAAGCCCGCGGCGCCAGGAACTCCCTCGTATGCTATTGCAACGGCCCTTCGCGCGGACATTAACGGACTTGGTCTCGAGTCACTCATGAACGTGAACGGCGGAGCGATGAACAACTTGACCAACGGCGCAATTGGGGCCGTGAACATGCAGCCACACGACAAGCAAGTCTCGATTGCGGGAACAGCGCCCGAAACGACCATGGCAGGGATTGGTGGGTTGGGGGTTGCGGAGCAGGTGGATCGCTTGATTTTGCAGGCGACGAACGTGGAGAATCTGTGTCAGCATTATATCGGGTGGTGTTCATTCTGGTGATTCAGGAAGGTCGGGAAATGGAGCATCACCATCATCGTTTCATGTCGATCTGGAGAAGACTCGCTTCGTCCGAGGCGACGGCAATCCCACGATCTGGGTCTTTGGTTCTGCACGTGTTGATATCCACATCGCCACGGGGGAGGATGCTGGCTTCTTCTATGTATGTCTGGGCGCTTGTCCATGACGAGGATGGCGCGGGACTGACTAGGGAGGGACTGGAGATGGAGATGGAGAGGGAAAAGGCAAAACGTACCTACCTAGGTACTTAAGTAGGTAGGCACTCGGATTGGTGCCTTGGACAACAGCAGGGGAGTCTGACTACCATAGTCCGTCATTGATCAAACCCCGTCATCTACTCTCCCTTCCCTTGACTTGGTTAATTACTACGAGATGGCACATGGCCTTGCTTGCACACGTAGCTGTGCGTGTCTAGTCACATAGAGTAGCATAGAGTAGCATGGCACGGCACAGTATACATACAGGTAAGCTAGGTACCTAGTAGGTAGTACCGAGCATAGCGGCACCCAATCACAGAGAGCGCAATAGGGGTTGACAAAGCCCCGTCATGATATTCTAGGTGGAGGTTTTCGAAGCCGTTGTTACAAAGGCTTTTTCGCCCCTGTAAAAAAGTTATATTATCTGGAATAGAGATCGACTCGAGGTGAATAGAGTCAGAGGAAAGCAAAAATATATCAAAATCAGATCGTCGCTGTGTCATTCATTATTCGGTACTACATGCCTAGGTACCAAAACGACGGGGGGGATCGTGAAACTAGCAACCTCAGGTAGGTGATTGATTACCAGACGCCGTTGCCTCAATTTTAACACCTTTGAACCCCTAGATAGATATTCTCACAATGTATTTGTTTTTTTTTTTCCCGCCGCTTTTATTGTTCTTTCTTGCGTCTCCGCGTGGTGGTGGTGGTGGTCTATTTCTTCGGATCTCAAGACTTTTTTTGTACCGCTTCATGCTTTTTCTAGCCCGCATATGCAAATGTATGTGCATTGCCCATCGCCAACGCCGCAGATGCAAAGCGTAATGCATATCTCGGACACACAAGTGTCGTTGCCCGCATGTTGGGAATTCCTTTTTTGATGCTTTTCAAACGTTTGAGCGTAGTTGGAAAGGACGGTTGGTGCGGAGGTGGATGTCGGAGGAAGCACTTCGATTCCTGCGTCTGCGAGACCTAGTGGTGCCCGTTGGACACACCGTTCGTCCCGTTCTGTGGGCTCTTCTGGACTTGTCTCCTCGCCCTCACCGCCTCAGCAAGCTGCTCCAGGACCTCAACCGTCGTGTCCCAATTGATGCAAGCATCCGTAATGCTGACTCCCTTTTCCAGGCTAGCGAGACCACCCTCCGGGGGCACCTTCTGATTTCCCTCGTTGATGTTGGATTCAATCATGACCGCCACGATTGCGTCTTCTCCCTGTCTCAACTGGTCGCCTATTGCTTGAGCGACCAGGGGCTGGTTCTTGTGGTTCTTTTTCGAGTTGCCATGTGAGCAGTCAATCATCATGACTTCTCTCTGGCCCTTGGACTTCAAGGCTGCGCGAGCTGCCTTTACGGACTCTGCATCGTAGTTTGTGCCCTTTGAACCACCGCGGAGGATCACGAAGCCGTCTTCGTTGCCGGATGTTTTTGTTATAGCAGCCAGGCCTTGTTTTGTGACACCCATAAAGTAGTGTTTTGCGGCGGCGGCTCCTACGGCGTCAATAGCCACGGAGAGCGACCCGTCTGTGCCATTCTTGAAACCCATAGGGAAGGACAGACCCGAGGCGAGTTCTCTGTGCAGTTGAGACTCGGTTGTTCGGGCGCCAATGGCACCTAGGGAGATCAGGTCGGCCAAAAACTGCGGGGAAATGGTGTCAAGCATTTCGCTTGCAATGGGCATGCCCATTGAGGTGAGATCGGCATAGAGTTGTCTCGAGACACGGAGGCCTTTGTTGATTTTGTAGGACTCGTCAATGTCCGGGTCGTTGATGAGGCCTTTCCAGCCCACCGTGGTCCGGGGCTTTTCTAGGTAAGCACGCATGATGATGCATAGATCCGACGACAGCTTCTCGGAGAGCGCTTTCAGCCGACCGGCATATTCAAGGGCTGTTGCAGGATCGTGGATCGAACAAGGGCCGACCATGACAAGAAGTCTGTCGTCCCGCTGATGTATGATTTCTTTGCATTCTCGGCGACCTTTAGCCACAGTCTCGACGGAGGTTTGAGAGGCCGGAATCTCAGCTTGCAGGAGGGCAGGAGGAATGAGAGGGTCATAGCCAAGGACTCGAACGTCCTCGCCGGCGGCAGAAGCTGCAACGTCGACGGCGGGCATTGTGAGGCAAGGGGAGGTAGAAGTGTTGGTCGGAAGAGATGAGCAACGAGAGATCACAGGATTTGGGGGAGGGAATAGAGGTGTACAGGTATGAAGGAAGGAGGAGAGCAGAAGAAGACGAACAGAAGGTAAGGTATAGCTATTTTCTGAGCGGAACTCCCGTCATCCCAGTCAATCGCATGATTCACAAGGGCGACGTGCGGCGAGGACTGGCATTGACTCAGAAAAAATTCGGGCGCAGTGGGAGGGGCAGCAAAAGTAAAAACAGACACACCGCCTCGACCGCCTCGAACGCCTCGAACGGCTGCATCGGATAAATGATTTCTCCAGAGTGCCGCCTCGCCGCCTGCCGGCTGCGCTAGTCCAAGTCGAGGCAATCGATCTCGCCGCCACAGGGCGCCACACAAACGGTTAAGCGGATGACGTAGTGATGGGGAGGCTCAATGTGGCTTGTTCGTGGCTTCCCCTTTCACTCGTTTTCCCCCACAAACACGACAAACTGGACTGCCTCCTCATCCCCCCTTCATACTCCCCTTCTCCCAAGTATCCCTCCCACATACTCAGTATGAGATATTCGACCATGTTATCACCTCGCTCTTAATACTCAGCCGCCCCCTTATACAATAACCCCAGAGATCTCACTCGTACGGAACGCTGACTTGCCGGACACCTTCCATCGGAATCTGAGACCGGCCATTCGCCTTGAGCCCAGGCGCGCGCTCTGGTTGGTCCTCTCTCAAATTGTCTCTGTTTCACCTACTCAAAGACGTCGACCACACGACACTGCCACGGTTTGATCGACTCTCCTTACACACGGGGGCTATGACTTGCATTTCCACGCTGGAAACATAAAAACACCCCTCTAATCACACCACAATCGCTCCTCAGCCCACAACCGCATTGTCCAAGTCGATGTCCGGTCTGAGTCTGAACCCACCGACCAACGCCGATCCCACTGTCATGGCCGACGTCGACACCTCGGCTTTCCGCTTCAACATCTCGACGCCCTCGTGTAAGCGGAAACGTCCGTTGGATCATCCGGAGGACGATGGCCGCTTCGTGGTGCGTGACGCCAAAAGACGGTCCACCTCGACACATTGTCTGCCCATCCGCTTATCGCCCTCTTCGCGCCCACATGTCTCGGTCCCTCCCGCTTCTTACTCCCTCTTCACTTCAATATACCAGCAACCTCCGACTCCGGTGGACACTTCGGATGACGACGAAAGCTCCGGCCAGTCAGTCAACGGAGCAGAAGGCCAGTGGCCGCTCGCAAACAATGACTCACAGCTGGGCAGCGACAGACGCACGGCGTCAACCAAGTCCCAATTCAGCGATCCCGTCGATGTCGAAATGGATCTTACCATGGCTCCTCCGGCCACCCAGCCGAGGATACGACGTGCTCGGTCGAACGATATTGTCCCTCCTGAACGTGACCCCAATTTTCTGAGTGCTATGGATACGTTTGCTCGAGAAAGAGTGCCAACGCCCATCAGTGGTCATTTCGACAACCGCGTCAATGATCTCCCCAACGTCCCGCGCCATCATTTTCCACCGCTACGCACGAATCTCAGCCCGATGATCGAGCAGGAGTCGTGGATCACTCGAGACGGTCTGCCGAGTCCCGTCGAGGACCAGGATATGGACACCGCAATGATGATTGATCGGGATGAGTTTGCCACTCAAGTGCAGTCTCCTTCTGGAAAATACGGGATGGATGGAAATTCGAGTCCTTCAGGTCGAACGAGGTCAGCGAGACTTCATATGGGGTATCTCAATGATTGTGAGAAATGCATTCAGAAGGTGCCGGGCCACTACAGCCATATTATATGGACTTGACCAGGCAGGCTGATACGTGACAGTATTTAGCCTGCCATTGGTTGTATGACGATTTTGACGAGCAATGAGAATACAGATTGAACGAGAAGCATGACAACCACGGTTAGAGATTCGAGCGGATACAGGGCATTCACACGGTGGTACGGCGCATAGCGGGCTTCGAGGTCGCGAGGCCAAGCCAACATGTGCTTAAGCAGCGCGGTTCAGTGCATTGCTTGGTTTCGACGAGTGATTTTCGATTTGAGAGTTTTGCGCAGCTCCTTCTATGCATAGGTGCACGTCGCCTACAATAGCTATACAAATGACATGGCTAGGATGCCCTGTGATTTCAGGGACCAGTCGCTTTTGAACATCCCCTCCCCATTTCCACGCGTCTATGATTTGGTGTCGCTTCCCCTGATCCAACTTAACCAACTTCTTCCTCCTTCCGTCGAAGGTCCTGCAACAGCCCCCGCCACGTTGCTGGCCATGACGTCCAGCGGTCCTCCCACAGCGGCCGGTCTTGCGGCAAGGTCCTTTTCGACCCTTGTATGCTCATCTTCTGCTTTTCTCGTGATGTACTCAACCTTGTTCGCGGGTACAGGGCGTCCTTTTGAATCGATGCCCACACCCTTGACGCCGCTCGGGGCAACTCGAACGGCTTCCATGGCGGGAACCGCCGTAAGAACAGGTTGGATTTCGCCATCGATCCAGCCATCGTCGCCTGGCTTAAGTCCCCTCTGTTTCCAGGCCGCCCTGGCTTCCCTCCGACTCTTCTCCTCGGCCGTCTCCTCTCCCATGGTGCCTTTTGCCATCTGACCACCCACAAACCCCTTCAACTTGCCCCAGTAGCCTTCCTCCTTCTTTCTCTCCACCTCTTTCATCCTCGCGGCCTCAATCTCCTGCCCCGCGCGTTCCTGCTCAAGTAGATGCAACTGCTCTGCATTCGCCTCGCCCTTCAGGAACGCCCGCCTGGCTTCGTCCAATCGATTCAATTCCCTCTCGACCCACGCGCGCTTTTGTCTTCTTGAATGGGCAATGAGAGAGATTGTGCCGTACGCGGTGACGCAGACCGCCAGTCCCGAGAAGAGTATCAGGCCGTACGCGGTGAGGCGGTGGGCGCGGTCGGCGATGACCCGACCACTGGCAATTAATCGGTCGATTGGGGAGGAAACTGCGGAGGTCTTTGCGGCCTCGTGCGCGGCCCGGAGGCGGGCGACTCTTTCCATTGGGGTTTCTTCCGGCGTTTGCTGGGGAGAAGGGGGTTGTGAAGATGAAGGCGACGGAGATGAGGATGAGGGTGCGTTCCTCCCTCCTGGCCGGGAGGCAGGTTGGTAAGTGAAGGTCGTAGCATGTGGAGTTGTTGAGGTGAAGCGAGTAAAAGTGTCGGATGCCGGTCGTCGCGACATCTTGGGGATGAATGGTTTCATTATTTTTTCGCAACAGGTTCAGGGAGAAAAAGAGGCGAGGAAAATCCTCAATGGGGGTTCACCGGTGTTACAGAGTTGACATGTAAAAGTTTCGTGCAGATTGGCTGGTAGTGTACAAGAAAGAGAAGAGAAATCAACTGAGGGCAGAGAAACCAGCCAGTGGTGGACGGCGCTGAGTGAGGAATCCTCTGGGTGATGGTCGAGAAAATGAAGCTTCGACACGAGCAGCAGCATCGCATGACGGCGACATGGATGCGAGACCCACTTATTTTCTATTGGGTCCTAGCCTTTTCCCTGTCACGACTGAGACTCATTTTCCCTGATATTCCAACAGTTCCTCAACTTATCATTTGGACCGGCTGGAGAGGAGACGTGTGATTCGAATTGTCCATTATCCAGCAGAGCTAAACACACTTCGACGGAACAGTGACGACTGGAGGTGAGACTGGTATTGGTTTGCCGCGGCCCAAAATACTGTATCCGCGTTCACTTCTCAGACGACAGATGCACTTGTGAATTAGTCTTTGATTGGAATGATCTAGTCTGGGCTTATTTGAGTGATGATACGTTCTCTTGACCCGTCGACCAGCATCGCTTGTGCTGTCCGTAACATGCCTTATAATGCACAGACCCAAGGGGCGCAGCCTTGCCAAGACGCGAGGCTGTGGTTTGCCGAGAGCCTGAGATCTGACTACTTTAACTCTCCCCTTTGGACCTCAAACCTTCCTTCCTTTACATATCCCCCAGTTTGCCGAGACCACGTTCCCTATGCTGGGACAGTGGGAGTCTTCCGCACTATCCATGGATTCGTTACTGTCGTTCCTGAGGCCCTAATCCCGTTGACATTGTCGTAGGCCTGACATGGAGGGTCAGCGGAATCCCGAGCTTCAACGGGTACTGGCAGCGCTGAATAGCTTTTCACAGCAGCAACAGCAGCCACCGCCCCCGCTGCAGACATCTTCCTTTGGGTCTCACCCCTACAACAATCAGGGGCTTTATGATGTAAACTCTGCTGCCAACTCCGCAATTCCAGGCCTGGGCTTACTCCCATCAACCCTCCATGAACGGGCGGTATCTCCACCACCCATCCATCGCCACAAAGAGTCAAACCCAACCCAGTCTCAGGCACAGAGTAGGTCTTCGACACCTCGTCTGCCCGAGACTTTCCGCAGCAAGACTTCCACTCCTAATTTCAACGTCCCCGATGCGTCGACCATCGTTACTTGGCCAGCAGCACTAAAACACGTCTCACGCCATCTTGTTCACAATGAACAAGTGGCAAACAGGATCAAACATTTGATCAACGAACAGCACAAGCATGAGCGGCAGTGGTGGGCTGGTCGTGAAGCCATTGTTGCGAGACAGCAGGGACGATCGGGAACGTCGCAGCAGGTCTCGGCGATACTAAAGTCGCTTGGTGCGAGGGAAGTGGCCGCCACTATTTCCCCACGCACGTCTACGCCATCAGATGAACAAAAGAAAGCGGATCAAGCAGAACTAGACGCTTATGACAAAAAGGTCTATGCTGGTTTGCTGGCCATGGCGGCGGATTTTGACAGGCAATTGCGGTCGCTAGGCGTGCCCTTCTACGCGATCAAGCACGAATTGGTAATTTTGGAGGATGGGCCTGAGAAGCGGGCCGGTGCCAACAAGGGCAAGATTGACAAGGGAGAACTAAGGGAGTTGCAGAAACGGATGTGTCAAACTTTGGAGGATCTGTTTGGGGACTGAACATGGTGCAGAAGGAGTCCTTCGACAAATAAAATGGGCCCTTTCCAAGAATCCAGGCCTCTTTATACGGAGGCTGGACCGCCAGGATGAAGACTAGAAACACTAGGCCTCCATTCGACAAGTTCTTCTGGGGTGACTTGACGGGATAAAAGGAACAGAAGGTGTTGTTCGGATGCAAAGCCTCTTTAAGAGCAGAGAAACTCCTCTCAGATGCTCTTGTCAGTTGAGAGATGTGATCCCGCGGATGAATGCCAATGCCTGCACTCCTCTTGCACCCTTGCTACCAGCAAGTCGATTAACCAAGAGAATCCCGATAAGGAAGGACGGGCGATGGATGCGCAGAACTTGAACGACGAAATACTGTCGGACCCGGGGAGAAGCAAGTCTTGTCGGTCTGGCAATTCTCAAACTGAACAACGCGTCTTCCCCGCTATCGCGTTGGCAACCATCCTCAGCCCCTCTCTGACCTTTCATCTCACACAAGCAACTCCTCCTGAAAAGACTTCTCAACATCCACGCCACCTCTCGTGTTGACGATGAGTGCCTTACTACACTACCTCACCACCGGTGAGGGCTGCGACGTGATCATAATCTGTCGCGGACAGTTCTTCTTTGTTCACAAGGCCATCATCGCTACTCACTCTCCGATGCTGGAACGAGATGCTTGCAAGTCATCGGTAACTTCTGTCCACACGACTCATTACTCTTCTCCTCAGGTCTGACAAGAAACTTGACAGTTCCTCGATGACGAGGCATACACTCTGGACGCAGTCTCCCCCGATGTCTTTCGCAAAGTTCTCACTTTCATGTACACTGGCAACATCCCTGAGTCTTGCCAGAGCGCACTCGCTGCTTCAGCTCAACGTCCTCTCCACGAAAGGTTTCCTTTGACCGACGCCTTCCTCGTCACCACAAAGGGTCGGTCGACTACTGTCAGCCTGCCAGATGGCTCGGAAGAGACGGTCGACACCATGACGAATGCGGACAAATGGACAGCCTTACTGGCAAAGCAAGCCTCGATTAAGGATCCCTACGATTTCCTCCCATGCCAGAAATCGGACGACATCTTCCCGGAGCTCAATGTGTACCTCGCAGCAAAGCAGCTGGAAATGGGATCCTTGAAGAGTATCACCATGCAAAAAATCCTTGCTTGGTTTGAAAAGGAACTACATGCCGGGTATCCGTTGTCCGACGCTTTCCATGTCTGGGCAGGCTTCATTCTCAAAGCATACGAAGACTTCATCCAACCGTTTTTCAAAATCTGTACCAGACACCTTCCTGTTGTCGAGAAAGACAGTGCTCTGGCATCTTTGCTTGAAGAACACAACCCAAGTCTTTGGGAAGTGATGATGTCCATCCGTACGCAGTGGCAGAAGGAACTCGTGGACCAGCGGGATGAGTTGCAAAAGAGCCAGGAACGGGTTTCGCGTCTGCAGACTGATGTCGACAAACAGAAGGCTGCTTCGATCGATCTGGAGAAGGCATATAAATCAAGAATGGAGGCCTTGGAGAAGTCACTGGACCTGGCAAATGGCAGGACCCGAGCTGCGCAAGCAATGGCTCAACAACTCGACAACCTCACCCGTTCTTTGCAACAGGATCTGTTGAAGGAGAAGGCCAACGCAATTCGGTTGAAAGAAAACAATGCCCAGAAAGAGAACCAAGCTCCGAAGCACGACCCTGCTGCTCCAAAACTTCAGAAGAAAATTGAGGAGTTAAAGGAAGTGGTCAGGAACAAGGAAACGGCCCTGGAGCAGTCCAAAGCAGCCAATAGCAAGATTAAGGAGGAACTGCGAGACGAGAACGAGGATCTCCAAGATGAAATTGAGGATTTAACGGCAATGGTCAAGAGCAAGGAACAAGCACTTGAGCAGTCCAAAGCAGCCAACAACAAGATCAAGGACGACTTGCGATATGAGAAAGAGGAGCTGCGCAAAGAGCTTTCGAAGATGAAAGATGCATTTGCGGGTCTCAAGTGGCATGTCAATCAAGTAGGAGAATGTCGTGGGTGTCGAAGGCGGTACAACATCCGCATCATACATGAGCAGCGACACGCATCGATGGGAATTGCATGCGTGTATTGCCCTTGCGATGAAGTATGGCGTGGAGAGGACAGGTGAAGGTGTGAGGATGTGGCGGAAGAATCCACACAAAGACGGCCACGAGGCAGTCGTCACTTACAAGATTCCAAGTGTCTGATCAAAGTGGAAGACGCAAGTGTGAGGATCTGACGGAAGAATGTCACTTGGTAGGTATGATTCACAACGGAACTTGAAGGTGTCAACATACCACCAGGAGCTGGTGAAGTCTCAATTTCATATCAAATCCTTTATGGCATTGTCCCTTGATTGACAAAACCTGTGAATTATGCTCACCAACCTTCCTTCCTTGTCGACGAAGGGAACTAGAGGCAGTCGCAGTTGCCAGAGCCAGCATTCACTCGTCTTGTCACTGTCACTCTGCAGTCACCTTGTCACTGACCTCTGTCTCTCTCTTCACATACAAAATCGTGAAGTGAGTTCGATTAAATATATATCTCAACATTTCCAGCCTGGCACCGTCTTCTGTCTTCCCATTCATGCACTGCCGCTATGGATGAAACAGGAGGGAGTACCGTCGTGAGGACTTCTTCTCACTCCCCTCACAAACCCAGCCCTCAATCCTCCGTTGCTGAGGAGACGACCGACTTGCGAAGTCTTGCACTTCGAGCACAGACACTCTCCAGCACACTTGACCAGCTCCGCCAGCAATGTGGACACGAGAGCACTTCGTCGGATATCGCCACTGCCACTGAAGAACTGAAGCTTCTTGCCGCAGAGCTCCACAGCCTCGATTCTGCAGTGAGGGCAAACAAGGAACTGTATACCAAGGCCTTTGGCGAAGACCTAGAGGAGATTCGTGCTCATCTTGGGGGCATCTTCGAAGACATCGAGGATTGCTGCAAAGAGATGCAAAAGGCAGACGGTCCAAACACCAGTGCAGTTGGTTGGCTGACCAAGAAGAGATACGTTCGCAAGTTGCAGAAACACCTCGAAGTCAACAAGACCACTCTGATTGTCATGCGCACTGTCCTACACCACGGCAAGGAATATGGCACTCACAAGTTAGTTTCCCTTCTCGGGCTTGAAGCACCTACAGAACTGACATTTTCCAGCTCTCCCGGACGTCTCGCAGAATCCTCGCCGCACACCTTACAAGAAGACCTTGCAATCCTCGAAACTGTCTTCGCCAGCAGGGATGCCATCAAAGACCTTCAAAGTCTTGGCAAAAAGCCTCATGAACATTCCCTTTCAACTTCGTCAATAGGATCTGACGATGCCACCCTGTCCTTCCGACCTGGTGCTCATGGCAGAAACCTGTCCTCGGCTACAGGTGTCGATGTTCCGGAGATGGAAGACGTTCTTCCAGCCAGTGCTGTGGATGGAAAGAGGAAGAAACAAGATGCATTAGCACGAAGGTTCTCCCGCCGCGGAGTCCGTCTGGCCGTTCACAGCTCCATCATGGACACCAACGCCCACGACGTCCCTATCTCACTCCGGAAGAAGTGGATCCACCAAGCTCAACTTCGGCATGGCTCTGACTACGCGGAAACAGGTGGCCAGTCTATTGCTCAGCTAAGCAAGATTTCTGAAGTCAACTCCAGTTCTGGACCAGACGACGAACTGGCCAACCCGGTTCACCGTTCAAGCCGCACCACGCCGGAGGGTATGGAGAGTAGAGAGCCTAGCCCAGCTGACAGCGCCGCTTCATCAACGTCGCGTCCGAAGAGAAGCTCCTCGCTCATCAACTCTCCTCTAGGCAGGAAGCTCGGAAACGTCATTGCTCGACTTTCTCGGAGTCGCAGCGGCACCGACCACCACGAAACAGTTGATGGAGACTGCGCTGGAACAAATAGGCAGGTAGACCAGTTGCAATCCGAAAAGAAATCGCAAGTGGGCCAGGAACTGAAATGGAAAGCGACTGTGGCTGAGAAGGACATGTCGGCAAAGGAGAAGCCGGGATGGTCCTACCGCTTGACCAGGCCTTTTGTAAAGTCGGAGCTGACCACGCCTGATTTTGAGAGGGATTTTGAGTGGAAGGGGATATGAGAGTGGATGGTTGTGCAGCAGCAGATTCTGTCATGGGCGGCGAGGACAGCTAGCTTTTGGAACGGTACGCTTACCGAACTTCCATCAATATGGGGCACAGCATCAGGTTTGAAAAAGGAGTCATGCTCATCAGAGATTGATCATGGACACAATGAAACATCATGGCTATCACGGATAGTAGTATATTTTGAGTAGCTAGAGACTCTTACCGTTCACTGAACCGAAGGAGTCTTGAGCCGTTGTGGTTGACTGTCGCTTCCAACCTGCTAGCGTGTTCGTCTCCTCGCCTTGATGCGCTCCCAAGGATATTTTGTTTCCCTTGACATTTAAAGGCTCAGAAGCTCGAGACAACCCTATTCATGGCTGCCCATGGCCCCGAAATCGCAGTTCCGACGCCTTTTCCTTGAGCATCGCTCTGGAATAGATTTCTTTTTCGATATCTTCTTATGTACTACTAATTACTCGGTATCTAATACGTCCCACGGAACAAGGCTGAAAATCCGCCAAGAATTCAGGGGTCTTACAGGGGTTGTGCCGTTCCCCTCCTCAATCATTAATATAACCGTATCATTCATCTTCGAGGTAGGTTTCCAATTAATTTTATTAATGGATTAATCAGTGGATTAACTATTACTGAGGTCAAGAGATACGCTCGTGTCCTCCTGGGGTGGCCAGCCTGGTCAGTGCAGAACGAAAAGAACATGGATTAGAGAGATTCCGTAGGAATTCGAGATTCGTGGTGCCGCCACATACGTAAAGAGAAGCTTGCATGGCCATCGTGAGGATTTCTCTCCATTTTGTTTTCAGTTCACCCTCGGCGAAGGGGTAGTTCTATATTCACAAGTCTCGGACCTGGGCCCTGATCTTTTCTTTGACCCGCTCGATCTTGACTCGGTTGTCATGGTCAAAGCGGACGCAAGTGTTGGTCTCTGGAGAACAGACCAGACCAGCGCAGCAGTCCTGGAAATATCGGCAGGGTTCTGGAAAATGTGGACGCACGCACGCGCACGCGAATGGTAAGTATGGGTCTGAATCTTCCTTTCCAGCTCTTGGTGCATTCAATGTCCAAAGCCATCATGGATCATCGAGCTTACCGCCTGCTTTTGCACAATGGGGAGCGTCGCGCCCGGCGTTCCAGCAATCGCCGAAGAAGCATGCGCATCCATCCTCGCATTCAATCCCGTGCTTGCACTCTTTTTCTAAAGCGCTTGTTAGTCTGAGCACGCAAAGCTTGGCACATCCTTTTGACCCGCTCTTTGGAGGGGCCTTTCGTGGTTGGGTTGTCAAGGCAAAGAAAGGCCTACATACCTTCACAGCCCGCAAGTCCAACTTTGGCTAGGCCAAGTGCAAGAAGAATCCAGGAGAGCTTCATGATCGGGGAATCTGGCTGGCGATGCTTTGTATGAGTAGTGTTTCGTGTTGAGATCTGATGAAGACGGTTGACTTTGAGGAGGGTGCAGGACTGCATTTATGTACCTGCAATCAACATTCTGCCAGCAATGGATGCATGCTTCCGCCACCACGATCTGAAGCACACTTCCATGTTGTAAGCTGTCCCTGCACACACCGTAGACCCTTCACGTCCAGCTGCCCAACACTTCCCCACGTCTCTTTCACGCCCCAGGCGTTGCGGGCGTTGGCGAATGCAAGCTGAGTGCATCGTCCTCTCCTGGCTCTCATGACTTGTCGGACCGGGATCCCGTGTTAGCAGCTTTCAAACATTGTTCAGCTAGCAATAGCCCAAGCCACCTTGTGAAGGAGGGAGGCAGCTCAACGGTCGACCCACGCGGCTTCTGTTTGCTGGACAGCGCAGAGGGCCAGCTTGCAGCAATTCGAAGATGGACAGTTCGAGACCGTGAAGGAGATTGTCATATTTTGATCCCAAACCGTCTTTTGAGGCTTTCGTTATAAGCGAAGAGGGTCAAAATGGTTGGTCAGGTTGTGAAGGATGGACGGAATTGGGTACCACAGCAAAGCGGATTCCCATGTGCCCACACTACACTTTCCCATTTTGCGCTAAAGCTCGTGCCTCTTACAAGAGCGGGCGAGAGCCGTCTGCTTCCTCGACAATTAGTTGTGTAACCAGCATTCCAGACAAGCTTGACTCCAGCGCTTCGTATTCTTTGCAGGCGGGGTAAGTTCCTCCGCCTTTTCTCCTCCTCAAGCATGCATGCAGCTTTTCAGCTGGCGTTCTGGGTCGCCCTGAATGCCTCAAAATGCTTACCTAGGTCTGCCTCCTGCAAGCTATGCTGGTAGCAGGTGGCGGGGTGCATGTCTACAAAAGTGGGGGGGTGATCCTGCCAGATACATCGCTGCTCACAACCATGAACACCACATCAGGCCTTTCATTTAGCCAGCCACCGGCACTGTTTGATTCCTGACCAGTCTGCAGCAGGAACCATTAAGTGGAGAAGAAGAAGGTATTGCATAATATGCGAAGTTGAGAGTGTCTATGGGGTTGCCGACTGGACTCGGATGCTAAACGGATAGCTTCGAGCTCTGCGAGCTCGTACGTGACCAAAGTTGACGACAGGCTAGAGAAATCGAAGGGTGCTCGGCATATCTCCTCTCATGTCGAAAGGACTGCGACAATTCCATGAAGAGAAGGAATGATATTGTGGCGAGCTAATGGTACCGCATACGATATTCGAGGGCACTGGAGAAGAGCTGCATAGTGATGTCAAGGGATGAAACCGCACTCGCGACATAGGGAAACAGGGAGAGAAGATTCACCCACATTCCTTCCTGGTTGGACTGTTCAGTAGCGACTTGACACCGGAGGACAGCTGGATGGTCTGCAGCTTGGACGAGGACGGATCCGCGTATATGAGCGAGTTTACAGTCTGGTCTAGAATTGTCAAAGACGCATCAAACTATCCCGCTGCCGCAGCATCACCAGCTGATCTGTGGCGGTGACTCAAGCAGAATATGCCAGGTGCAACCTCCTCAGGACACTGGGACCAATTTGATGGATTCCATTCACCTTCCAAAGCAGGACAACGTTCGGACAAGAGATGGGGCTTCTGTGCCGTTGGACTTTGCGGCAGATGTGCTGGTAGCCCTGATGTTTGCGAGGCTATCCGTGGCCAGAAATCAACATGTCGAGCTCGTGAGTCACGTCAACGTGATTTCAACATTGCCCATATGGAGGTTCTCGCATGAGCGTACAAACAGAACAGAGCAGGATTGCTGTACCGTGCACACGAGGAGTATACTCTTCCCAGTCGAGTATCGAGTCTTACAGCCTCGACACCACAGAAAACATGCTGCCGATGACACTTACAAAGGCCCGTTCGCTGGAGCGTCAGAAAGGACTATATCCGGTGTCTCGTGGCTGTCCGAACATTGCTTTGGAGAACAGCTGCGAATATAGTCTCCCAGATCTCATCATCCGTGGCCAGATGCATACTAACTTTGACATCTTCCAGACAGTCGAAAATTCGTGCTGCTGTGACAAGATTGAGGTTGGACACTTTTGACTGTGATTGTCCAAATTGCTGTTCCAAACGAGTTTGACATTGTCGTAAAAGAGAGTGAGCCATCCCCTTCCGTTTGTGGGAGAGTTGGTTTCGTGACGGTGGCAGAGGCGTTGCAAACGGAGGCAGGCGGGTGGCTACATAAGAACTTCGACTCTGTGCCTCTGTGCCTCTGTTGGCCCCCTTTTTCCGGTATAACGAGGAAAAAATAAGAATTTTTACATATTGAAACGCCTTTTTCAAGGCAACGACCACCAGGGTATTCACCGTGCTCCCGCTAAGCAGCCGCAGCAGCCGCAGCAGAGATCAACCCTGGATTCTCGCATCTTTTCCTCAACTTCTCACCGCCACGGACGGTTCGAGTTTAAGCTCACAGAGACCGTATTCCTTCCCAGGTGCATCACAGGTCGGATCATGGACCTGGCGAACAGACTGTCCGGGCTCGATATGCATCTTTACAACGCCGAGGACGGCCCGTACCAGTCTGATCCCACCACTGGTGCTGACGGCGAGTGGGAAGTTGTCTCCCAGCATCCCGAATGGGACTTTATCCCTCGCGGCAATGTCCAAAATCCACGAGGAGTCCCTCAGCGAGAGGCGCTATTGCACACAGGGTGGGTTGCGTGTGAGAAAGGACTGAATGGGGAAGTGCATATGTTTGAGAGTCTTCCAGCGGAAGACAGAGATGCATCATCGACGTCGACCGAGGAAGGAGATCAGACGTCGGTGTCTCGCCCTCGACCTGCCGAGAGGGACACCACGCGAGCTGGTGCAAGACCCGATGCAAGAACCGCATGGCAAAAGACGGATGATTCGACATCTGGCGTCCGCGTAGTGGACAGCCAGACACCTCCGTCAGGTCTATCACCGTCGAGACAATCGTACGAGCGAGTTCGTCCTGTGAACAAAGCCCGAGCACACGCCTTGCGATTGACCGCAGACGATGAAGCTCGAGGCGGTCAGAAGCCACATGCACCTCCATCAATCCCGATCCGCATTTCGACTAGCAGTGGCAGTCGTATCGCCAAACCCACCCGCAACCCCAATATAAACCGACCACTTTCGCCCGATGAGAAAGAACTGCCTTTCTTGACTGCAAGGCCGGCTGCCGCGGGTGCAGGGTCGATGTCAAGACACAAGCATTGCCAGATTGCAGCTCAGCTGCGGGAGCAGGCTGGCGAGGAACAAGCTGCGCTAAGGGCCGAGCAGCGAAGGATGGACGCGAGGCTGGAGCGTTCGGAACGTGCAGTGACAAACTGGTACGGCTTGCCTCATGGACAGACTGGGCATTTTCATTAGGACCTTTCTTTTTCTTTCCCCGGGGCCTCCAACCCGGAATATTGAAAACAAAGGGCTGGACAATCTCGGCTTGCATGCCACCAGACTGGTCGATCCACCCGTTTCGTTGCTGTTGCCAGTGGTTTTCAAAGCGAACAATGCACTGGCGCCGAAACCTCCACTGACGATGTGAACATGGTTGGTCCCCAAGTGGGGCGTAGTCGTCTGCGTAGTCGGTCATCGAGTGCCTCCAAAGCGGCCAAGGGCAGAGAGAACCAAATAACGAAACAAAAATGCAAAAGCAAGCTCGCACACACGATTCCGCAGGTGCCATGGTGAACGATTCTCCAGAAGGACAGATTAACATCTAACCCATGCAGCATCATCGCGCTGGGGGTTGCATGAAATGTGACATGGCCACACAGATGATTAGAACCTATAAAAGGGTTTCATTATCCGCATTATCTAATTAGTCGTTATGTCTACCTTGAATCTTTTCATCTTTTTTGCTCTCCCTGACTTCGACGCCCTTGCTTGGGGAAATATACTCGGTATGCATGCATGAGAGAAGACCCTTGAAAAGCTGGGGGGAGGGGATATGCTGAATGAATGGACGTCGACAGACAGACGGACGGACGGATAGGCACAGAAGTTGTCGCAGGCCAAATATACACGCATACACACACACATACACGCAATGCCGGTTCAATTTCATCACAGAATGAGACAACAGCCGTGACGGACGGGGCATTCAGTCCAAAAAGCAGAAAGAGAGCGGAGGCAAGTACTCGGGTTGATCAGATCAGATCAGATCAGATCAGAGCAGATCCAGACCATGCTTCACCACATGCCATAAATCCTACGCCGAGTACGACCCACACACACCCCCCGCAATGCCCTGGGGCGTACCGACGTCGACGGTCCCGCCCGCGGCCGGCAGGACGACGACGGCGCCATCGTATCCGAAAAAGGCACAGTCGGCAGCGCCACCGGGGGCGGACTCGATGTGCGAGACGCTCAGCCCGCTGTCGGTCGGGAACCACTCGGAGTTGACGGGGATGTCGAGCGTGTATTCTGCGCCGGCGGCGCCGATGAGCGTCGCGGACACGGACGACGACCACGATGTGGTGGAGGCCTGGCGCTTGTCGACCGGGGTGGGGATGGCAAGGGCGGAGGTGATGAGGAGGGGGAGGAGGGAGAGGAGTGTTGTCGTGAAAGAAACCATGGTGACCCAGAGGTGGATGGTGATACTTTGATAGATCCGACGACACAGTGGATTTTAGGAGTGGTATACCGATTAGAGTGGATGAGTTGTGTTTATAAGTGATTGTGTGTGTATGTGTGTGTGTGTGTGTAAGTGAGCGTTTGAGTGAGCGTGGATGTGTGTATGGCGAGTGTGTATATTGTTGTAGAGACTGACGATAGTGCTAGGGCTGAAGACAACCACACAACACAACACTGTTAACAACCTGACACTGGGGATTTCTCTCACCTATGTACTCGGTAGGGTACCTAGTTATTATACCTATCTTTCCCGGCCCCCCCGCCTTCGGGCATTTGGGGCACCTCATTCTGGATTAACATCCCACACCGCCCCCCCGCGGCCGCGGCCGCGAAACAGAGATAAAGGAAGAGAGATAGGAAAAGAAGCAAGAGGAGGGGGCTTGGACAAAAGTGAGCCAAAATGGGGGCGGAGCTCCGAAGAGCTTTTCCAGCTCCTGCGAGCATCGACACAACGTGAGGGTTAAGGTTTTCTGTCGATAAGCGCCCTCTCCTCGTGTCTGTCTGACTGGAGGGCGAGCGTGAGATCTCCCATGGTGGCGCAGCTGGGGGGGGAGGGGAGTGATGGGCAACAAATCTGGATGCAGTAGTGTCTTCGGAGGCCCGACGCAGTACATGACTACTCCATGGAGAAAGATGCGAGAGATAATCAGTAGCGCTGCTGCGTACCTAGTAGTTAATTATTCTGAAGGGCCACGGAATTGGGGATCAGAATACGGGAGAAGTGGGAAGTGGGAAGTAGGAAGTAGGAAGGAAGAAGTTGGAAGTGGGAAGGCCAGGCAATTCTTGGGCCACAAATACCTGGCGATTACCTGGCGATTAGCTGGCGAGCTGGGCGCTGGCTTTAGACCAAGTCGTTGAGTGGCCAGCCTTAGCCAGTCCAGCCTCCGTACCTCGTATCTATTTTAGCATCATCCCCGATCCCACGTGCTGAGACAACGAGCTCGTCTGTTGGTTGTCCTTTGCAGCCTTATCATTATCTTTGCACAGGAAGGATTCGAGGCCAGCATGCAGCAAGACCAAAACTGACGAGCTAGTCTGCCACTCCGCTCAATCGGTAGAAATATGCTGCATCACGACCAGAGTGGCTGTTGTTCCGACCAGGGCTCCTCACACAAGTGAGAAATAGAGACCGAGTACCGTCAAAGAAAGCATCATCTTCGACTTTCCCAGTCAAAGATGCCTTTACCCCTAACAACAGCCTCTACGCACTTGGCGGTCAGGCAACATCCACCATACCAGATTGTGTCAACCTTTCCTTTCGGCTGCCTTTCCCCGTCGTCTTATCCGAGATCGCCATTTCTCTGTGAGGCAGAGAAGGTAGCGTTTTATCTGACAATGAGAGCCCGTCACGCCGAGAGGTCAGCTTCCGCGCTCAAGTTGCACAGTGGAAACCGCAGCACCCTACCCGGTCCAGAGTGATAACCCGTCAGAGCCCTTGAACTAGATTCCTGCTTGTCGGTATGTGCCTCGCACTGGAGGCCAATGTCGTCAAGTATGGCACTGTTTGTCGTCGACGACCGAATCCGCCATCCACGATGCCACACGCTTGCCTCTCAGCAAATCAGATTTTCCGTCATGGCCGAGTGCAGCCCTGTTTTGTGAAGCAGCAAAAACACTGCAGTAGCCAATCAGTCAAACTTGCAGGCTCGGAATCCAAAAATGCTGGCGCCTTTGCGCACTGACACACAGCCTGCAAGCAACAGAGGCCCGATCTGTGCCCGCCCGTTAGCTGCAATCCTCTGAACCATTTCTGTGGCAGAATCTGCCAGAGCCTCCCAAGATTTCTGCTGTCAATCCCTCTTGCCGAGATTGCTGGTGTATCCGCCATACCCTCCGTAACCGGAGCTTCTCGCCATTCCATTTCCAACGTTGCCACCCAGGATTCCATTACTATAGATCCCACTTCTCCCACTTTTCCTCCTCTCGTAGACCAGCATTGCCATGGCTCCCACACCAGCACTCGCAGCCAAAGCGAAGAAGCTTAGCAGCGAGAACCCAATGCTGTGGTCCGTCACCTTCAGCACGGGCCGTCCCACCATACCAGGCAAGACTGCTCCGTCGATCCAGCCGACATTGAACGTAAGCGCCAAGGGCTCATTGCGAACAATTTTAGCGCCCTCAATGGGTGCAGAGGACGAAGTGTTGGGAAGGGAATACGCAGTGGAAGCAATCAGATATGACTGTTGCGAGGAAGCCCGAGGGGAATCCGGGTCCTGGGACATGTGGAAGAGAGCATTGATGTTCGTGTGTAGATGTAGATGGCTTAGCTGAAGGGTCCCCTGTAACGCAATTGTAAACGGGGTCCAGAGACCCTTTTCCGCCCCATTTCCGCTTGCCTCAGGGAGTGTCTGTGTGATTCCAAGCTCTTCTTGCGTCAGGGGGAAAGAAGGGACGCGACAAGTCAGGGGCACATCGCTGTGGACAAAGAACTCGAGCAGGTGATAGAGTTCATCAGGCAAGGCATCGATCGTGCAGGTCTGCGTTTGTGGCTCGTTGTACTTGAATGCCAGCGGCTGGCCCGTCTCGTTGCACGTGGGGAACGGTATATATTGTAGATTCCCATGGTCGTCGGTGATCTAGGAGCGTTCCAACATGAGTATCCAGTGCCAGGGCGATAGAAGCCACGGTTGCCCCTTGATGGCTCCGTAGCCACCTTCTTCAGCGTGGTCAACATAACTCACATGCTCTCCAGTGTCGCTGCCTTCGTAAGTAGCAGTCCAAACAGCCCGCGCTTCAACAACTCACATGGTTCTATTCAGGCAGCTGACGGGCATCAGCTCCCCCTTGGAGTAACCTCGCCGTCTAGAGGCTCCGGTGAGCAACGTCTTCTCATCGGCGGCGCTGACTGAAGCTGACAGAGATAAGTAGAAGACAAAGAGCGCATTCAAGTACAAGGACAAATGGCGCAGCATGGTCGCGGTCCACCCACGCTCACCGAGCGATACAAATTGTTCAATGGGCGAAATCTCCTTGCGCACTTTTGAGGCGTACTTACCAGGTCCTTGTGCTAAGCTTGCCGTTTTCGCACAATTCAAACGCTAAACACGGGCCGACCCGGCACTACTTGGGCTAGCGAAGATATGATGTCACAGTGCTGAACCACCCACTGTGTACCTAGTACCTCGTACGTTCCTTCGTGGTGGGAAGAAGTTCGAAGACTGGACTACGGCCACAATTCCACGGAGGCTGAGCTACGAGGTTCATCCATCCTATCTGACCATTCGAGAGTCTTTGGGGAGTTGGAAGACTCTACCACCCTATCGGTATTCTCTTCCCCTGGCTTGCGTGTATTGAGCAATACTGTCATACTATGAGATATGGCGTGGTCCGGAAAACGGTCCGGAAAACCAAAGGCTAGTTAGCAGGGATAGGACGAGGTAACCTATGAGTGCTACTCGTGGATGGCGCAGTCGTAGTTGGAGGAATTAGCGAATACCAACAGCTCCGATCTGGCACTTTCAATGAACAATGACTGATCAGCCCGAGGCTGGCTCCAAAGGCCACGCGACCATTCTGCAGCAGCGAGCTCGACCAAGGGAGAGGCCCAAAGACCACCTTTTTTTGTGCAGTCAAGCAAAGTTGACCAAAGCGGTGTATGCAGCGTTTTCAAAGTCTGATCAGGTGGTCTGAATGTCTTTTGATGGATATTCAACTTCGCTCTCTAAGTAATGTCTCAAGGCCATTCATGATCCTTGGCAACTTGCATGCACTGCCTCAGCAGGCTCTTTCAATGTCATCCCGCATATCTCTAACTCGACGACGCTCCTGTACCCTTGGCTGTCTTTGTTTCGGCATGCTCTTGAAGGATGTGAGTTGGGTTGCTGGTGAGGCCGGCGGTTTGGTCATCTTTGCCTTCGTTCTTGCCTTGAGAGTTATCGAGCTAGGCCACCGTCAGAAAATGTTGCCAAGGTAGCGTTGAGGTTGTCTAAAAGAGAACTCGAGAGTAGGGCTTGGGTTTGTTCGCTCAGCAACAGAGGTAGGGGAAATATACCTTTCCACTGCCCGGTTGGGAGGGATGATCTTGCTGCTGCGCGCCGGTCTGACGCTCAGGGTCTGGCGACTGACGACCTGCGTTTGGTGCAGACATTGTGTAGTAAGAGGTTAAGGACTCGGTAACGGTCTGTGGGCAGCGTGAGCAATAGGTTTGCTTAAGCAGCCGTGGGCATTGGGGACGATGTGTCGACTTACTTGGCTTTAAGGTGAGGGTGTGTGGATTTGTTCGACAGTCGAGACAAGACTTGGAGTTCTCGAGAAGATATGGACGTGAAATAAATAGGAAACAAGTACAAATGAGAAGACAGAATAAGAGAGAGAGACACTGTATGCACACTTCGTCACCCCGCCGAGCCCCCTCGATGATCCCATTGTCAACTATGACGTCTGATGGTTACGAAAGACTGGGTCGCACGAACCATGTCGAGGCTGCTGTGAGCCTTTCTAGGTAAGGAAGTGAATTTCCCGATAATACCCTGCAAGGATCCCTCATGCATATCGGCATGTGAGATTCAGCATAGAATGTCGCATCGATAAATTGAATGGCGATATATTTCTATCACGAGTGGATCAAACATGGGTGACAAAATCACTAGACATCCCCAGGTACTCGCTCCATCTGGATCTCTTAAGGATCAAAACAGCCATCTCCATCATTTTGCCTGGAATTTATCCTTCGCGCATACATCCAAGCAATTCAACCGAACCCCGCGAGCCATCAAAATCTAGACCGCCACTTGATCAGTCGCGCAAACAGCTATCCTCCCGTCTTTGTATCAACTGTGTGCCTTCTAGCCTTTCAATCAAACAGACATCCACTCCCACTTTCCCATAGCGCACGTGTAAATCTATCTTCCCCATCTGAGGCTTGGACTGGCGATGCCGAATGTGGCCAGAAGGTTGGCCTTGCAGTTTGGGCAGCTCCGATTCTTGTCCTCGCGGATTTTGAGCTGTACGTAGTGTGGGCATCGGCGGCCGGCCTGGTATTTGCAGCCTGTCTTGTCCAATTGGTATGATTCGTAGTGTCCGCACCTCAGGCTGACCAGGCGCTCAAAACACATGTCGGCGGATTGTTGCGTCCACGACCGGGTGCGCTGAAACGGTCAGCAAGGGCGCCATTGTGAAACAGAGCGTCGCGCACACATACTTGTGATGATCCCAAGATTGATATATCCAATATACTGTGATGTTTAATCCTGCCACTGTGGGCTGTGCAAGCGAGCGGCCCAGTTATCCAGGCTCTCCGCAGGCCTCACAGAAGCGATCAGTTGAGATAGTGGAAGGCTTGTTCATACTCTGGGGAATGATGGGACCAGACAACAGATGGCAGTAGAAAAAGCTCTCGTCCGGGACGACAGCGACGTGGTGTAATAAAAGGGTAACAGTGAGGACAAGAGTCATGTCCAGGAGGGCAGGGTAAAATTAAAGCTGTTCGGGTGGTTTGGGGGGCGCAGGCAAAGATTTGTTCGTTGGCCCGGGACTTTGGGTGTTTGGGGTGTTTGGTCGGTGGTCACTCCGGGCAAGCGGTTGGCCCGCCTCGCCGCCTATGCGAACCACGCTGCGCTCGATGCGGCAGCTGAAGCCAGACACCGTCAGACCCTAGCATGGCCCTCACTTTGTTTTCATCAACCCACTACCTACCAGGTAGGTAGAGTATCGCACCCATCTATTACAACGCAATCAAGACCCAATTCCCTATAGACAATCATACCTAGGCGTGGATACTGTGGGGATAATAATGAGGTTTTCAGAAATAGTCTTATTTGATAGCCCAACTGATCCTGTGACAGCGGGTTCGTTGGCTTGCTTCATCGCAACCACACGATACCTACCTAAGTACCTAGATAGGTACGTATCTGTTCCAAGCATACTGCATACCTCCGTCAAAAGCAACGTTTAGATCACCAAGACTCCCCCATCAAAAATTAAAGTCCTGGGTAATAAGACCCAGTCCTTCCTTACACAGCACCCGTTGGCAATTGTTGCCCGCTCGCTTGAGCAGCCTCCTTCGCTTCAGTAGTTGCTTCAGAGCTGCTCTTTGCACAGTTTGCACAGGCACAGTGGCCAGGAGGGCAGGGGCATTTGCCCTCGGAGCCTCCACAAGTACAGACTGTTTTGTCAGTACCCTTGACTGGTTCTGGCTGGATCTCCCCGACATCGCTCTTTGCGCACCTAGCACAGCTGCAATGACCCGGGGCGCATCCGCAAGTCCCTTCCTCGCCACCACATTTGCAAACCGTCTTGTCCGTTCCTGGGACAGGCTCTGGTTCGTGGTGCTTGCCGGCCTTGAGATCCGCCAGTCGGCGAGCCTCGTTGTGGACATCTCTGACTTGCTTGTCTCCTTGCATGTAGAACTCTCTGATTCTCTGCCCGGTGGGAGTACCTAGCGCCTTCTCGAAATACGAGTTGACTCCACCCCAGGCACTCATCGCCTTGTCACTCACACCATATTTAGTATCCATAGACTTGGCTGTGTCGGTGGCCTTGTACTTTTGGTCGAAGTTGGTCAGGGCACTGGTGAAACGGTTGCTGAAACCGTGCTTCTGATCCAACGCAATTGCTCTTGAGATGACTTGGTCTGAGAGGGCGTAGCCGTGTGCAAGGTATTCGGCCACAATCCTTGAGCGTGGTTTGTCTTCTTGCGTAATCTCTTCGCCGCCCATTGCGGACGAAACTGCGGCGCCAGCCTTGGAAGCAACGTCATCGATGGTGCTGGCTGCAGACACGTGGACCTGAGATTTTCCCAGCTGGGTGCTGTCGAGGAGGAGGGCGGTCTTTGCGGCCCTGTGCGAGCAGTGTTAGACTGGTGGAAAGTATTTCTAGAAGCACCAAAAGACTTACGTTTCCTTCTCAAAGGTCACAGTGGCAGATTTTGCAGCATCTAGGGCGTCGGACTCTGGTGTCACAGAGATTGAGGTTATCTTGCCACTAGAGGGGGATCAGTATCCTACATTTTTCGGGAGTGTTCCTGATACTCACCAGAAGCTGAAAAAGTCTTTGACCTCCTTCTCGCTGGTGTCATGGGAGATATTCTTGACATGGACGGTGGTCGACATTTTTGCGGGGTTTGCAGCAAAATGTAACTTGGTTCTCGAGTAGGTTGTTCGTTGGAAGAAAAGGTTTGTTGGTAAGAGATGTTTTCTTTTTTTTCTTGAGAAGAAAACAGAACCCTACGATATTTCTTTTATGTCGTAAATGAGGATTTAGAGGGCAAAAAGCGAAATGCCAGTGATGATCACAGCGACAGCGAAAATCCAACATACGTCACTCCATCTTGACGTTTCCCCTCCTGCGTGCGCCTGTTGCTGCGCCACATCGAACCACATCAACCACACCGCCACCGCAACCTCGACGTGCCGTATATTACATACTGACGAAGGTGGGGGATTTTCCCAAACAATCAGGCAACAACGAAACCATATGAATTTGTGTCTGTGAATCTATGGAATGTCCATCCGGGCTCTGCCGAAGACCTTGACGTCTCCATGCCGGCGCTACCAATTTAAAATACCCAGACTAAAGACCTTGTCTCTCTTGAGAAGCGCTGTGAACCCCTCTGAAGCACCGAGGCATCTACCGATTCAAGAACTTGTTGTTTAGCCATTGGGTGTTCGCTTCGAACCGTCTCGTTACTTAGCCTACAACCAAAACGTCAGACGGTATGTTCAAATGATGAGGACTGCCAAAGGATCAAATGGTGTTTGACTGGCTTTCTTTTTCTTGGAGGAGGCCGTGGTGGTGCTTGCCTTTGTCGATTTGGGCTTGGATGTAGTCTTACTTGGCTTTTTGGTCGACTTTGGGTCCCTGGTCGTGGTATCGGCGGCCACGGTGCTCGCTTTTCCAATGACTTCGACTTGGGCACATTGTTGCATCGTTATTCCCTGGCCAATTTCGTCAGGTCTCATTGTTCGTGTACATGTGGAATATGCTAGGAAGTACTCACTGGAGGACAGCAGCGATTGGCAGCAACTCCTGTGCCGCAATTGTAGCCGGCTGGACAAATCCCTGTATTATCTTCAATCAGTCTTTCGCTCTTCCAGACAGGGGTGGGTGGAAATATGAATCGTACCGCTTCCATCCTGACAGCAGGTGTCCGTTTTCACGTAACAGTACGCTCCACTGAATGCATCGCACAGAGCGGACCCGGCTGGGCAGATTGACCAGTTTTCAACGTCGTCGGCAGCAGAAAAGGCGGCGAAAAGACACAGAGTGCTGAGGGGTAGTACGAGCTTCATCTTGGCGGAAGGCTGGGTTAAGTCTGTTTCCTCGAACAAGGCTGCAGCTAAGTGTGCCCTCTAGCCTTGGCCTCAGGAAGGACAGTAGCACATATAAGTACCCATATACTGTTCTCAAAGTAGGACAATGAATCTAGACTGGAGAAAGACAGGGTCAAGCCGAGGTCAACATGGTTGCAGGAGTTCGTCGGCTTGGCCAGCGACAGATAGCCCCGGATATGAGCATCAATAGCGGAGAGAACAAAGGAAATGTGGCTCGTTCCACGACGAGAACAGCCATGTTTGTGTCGGAGTCGATCCATGTCGCCAATGAACAAAGAAAGTTCAGTGTTCTCGAAGCCAACACAAGCAATGGTTGTTCCAGTCGTTGAATCAGCGGTTTGTGAAAGCCGGAATCCATGATTGTCAAGAATGAGAAAGGGGCAACGGAGGATGTGACTCTCTCTGAGTACGCAATGATTGAAATCCCGAGGCTGTGAGCCAGAATTCCTTGTGGTGGCTGGGAAGATGGTCCGTGCTCAGAGCGCCCGTGTAAAGTGAAACCATCTGATAGTCTTCGCTGAAAGTTGAATCATGGGACATAGAGAACCAATGAGTATCATGAAAACACCGCGGATAATTCACTTGAACCGGCAAATAGATACGGCTGGTTGATCATGCCAGGTGCTTATTGGCCGTCAGAAATGCTTGCGGGTGATAGAGTTTGAACTTTTTTCAACTCCCCACTTCTATACTCGGTACTATGAACTACTGGTATATACCATTCCTCTGACTAGGACTGCAATTCGGGCCGAGGCCAACGCCGTGGATCAACAATGTCCGTCTCCAGAGCCCCCATGGTCTCCAGAGTGATGGCCGTCATCGCCTTCGCCAGGCCACCCTCCTTCTTGGTGATGACTATTGTCATTATCGTCTCCGTCTTGCCAGTCCTCCCCATGATAGTGACTATTGCTGTCGTGCCCTCCGTTTTGCCATGCTTCACCTTGCTGGCCACCGTCATCATCATCCCCTCCTCCACTCTCCCAGTTGTGGCCATACTGCTCATCACCACCATGCCCATCTCCACCATGCCACTGCCCGCCGTCCTGCCCACCATCGCCATCATCCCATGACTGATCAGGGTCGTAATCCTGATCGTGGTGCTCGTCGTAGTTGTCGTGACCATGTTCGTCATGATACTCTTCATTTTCTCCCGTCCCGTAATCGTCTTGGTCATAATGGTCTTCCCCTTCTCCAGCCGAATACTCAGGATTGTCTTCGTTGTCAAAGTCATCTTGATCATAGCCCCCGTCCTCGGTCCCTTCTTCTCCTTCTTGTTCTTCTTCGTTGTCGCTATCATCCATGTCCTCAGGACGAGGGACTCCACTGATGTGCTCGGACATTCTGGGCTTGTACATGCTAGGGTCGACGCCTGCATGGCCAAAGAACTGGCCGAAGATTGATGCTGAGTGGTCGCCATGAAGTGCGGCTGCACGTTGGTTTTCTGGATCAATCTGCAGGATTTGGAAACAAACTTTGGTCATATTCAACGAATGATGGTGGAGCTTTGGTTGTTGAATTTCATCCGGCTCTTTAGGACCTATGAGTACTTTGACTGCTCTTTGCCGAGTTGGGGTCAAGCAACTCACCTTCGGACCAGTAGGTTTTCTCATAGCTTCTTTCGAGTTTGTCGAGCTTGGCCTCGAGCTCTTCTAGTTTCGCACTTAAGTCCCCCATCCCGTGATCACCATGCTGCTCCATATCTCCTTCCTGGTACGAGTCGTCGTACCCATGGTCGCCGTCTTGATCGAAGTCATGTTGTCCTTGGTCGAAATTGTCGTGGTCCTGGTCTTCTCCTTGATCGAAATCATGTTGTCCTTGGTTGAACCCGTCGTGAGGTTGATTCCCGGCATCGTAGAAGTCGCTATACCCTTCTTCTCCACCGTAATGTCCGTTGTGGTTATCTTCGTCCATACCTTGACGCTGCGAAAATGGCAATGCCTGCGAGTAATGGCTCAGGGAAGAGTATGATGGATTAAGAACACTAGGCTTTGCAGAATCACCCACGGTCTACGGGAAGAGATATCTGGATGGACACCGCCCCTCTACATTTTTGCTTACATTTGTACCAGACAATGTTACCCCTAGCGGATGACTCTAATCCTATGGGATCTTACCGCCATTCCAGACTGTGTGATCCAAGAGCCCATGTGCTCTCGAAATACAGCAAATAAACGGCAACACAAGTAAGATTCAGAAAGTAGTCAGTTGACTATTTTAAACTTCTTTGGCTGCTACCCTTCTACGTTCGGGCTAGGTTCGGACAGAACGTGAGAAAGAGTGAGTAATCGAATTCCCTAAGCGTTATAGGTTCAGCCCCCAACCTACCTAGGTAGATTATAGACCTCTTCGGCGGCTGTGGCCCGACCCCGGTGTGGCAGATGGTCTGAAAAGGGATCATCTCACGGAGTGATTACATTCATCTACGAGCACATTTGCGGTGTGCTAAAATTGTCTGGGAATATTTCACTCTGGTCTTATAGCCTAACCGGGGATGGTGGACCTCCAGAAAAAGCTCGGGCATACGAAGAAGATGAGAGTGTGGGAAAAGCAGTGGCACACAATCAACATCGGATAAATGATCTTGCTCAAGCATATGGAGGATTCAGGGGCTGAAAGAAACTGTGACTATTCCATTGGCTGGTCCACCGTTAGCCCAAGCTGTATCACCTCTGCGTATATCGTTTCGACCCGTATCTTACTCACACAACGAGTCGGTCGCTGATAATGGCACTATAAGTCAAGTTACCGTAAGTAAATGTGCATCTCAGGTAGGGGCTGAAACACGGCAGACACTCCTTCCTTCATTACCGGGCTCGGTCCGCCGCTCTTTTAATAGCAGTACAACGTGGTATCCAGCCCAAAACTCCTTGTCCGTGGTAGATAACAAGTGTGAGAATCCCTACAGTGAAAAGACGTCCTGAGAAACGTATAGACCAGCCGACACAAAACTTTCAGTAGACAAAGAGCACGCGTCACGATGTCTACTCGACCTAGAGCGTCTTCGACTACGAGGGGTGCAGGTCCGAGTGGGAGAGGTGCTCCCAGGGGACGGGGCGCTCCCACCACTACGAGAGGCCGAGGTGGTGCTGGCGCAAGAGGAGGGTCTCTTCCAGGGACTCAACCTCAACCCGCCCCCGACCCTTCTCAGGGGGCGGCACCAACGGGACCTCAAGCAACTGACCCTACTCAAGGGACGGTACCGACGGGAGCTGAACCCGATCAATCCTCCCCAACTGGCCGACGATTGCTCATCTTCTGTGATGGGACTGGAGAAAATGGAGGCGACAACTCAGGAAAGACAAGTAACCTAGCCAGACTGGCACTCTCTATTGGAGCCGAGGGCACAGACCGCAAAGAACAGATTTGTTATTATCAGCAGGGTCTGGGAACTGGCAAGTTCAGTGTCAGCAAGATCTTTCAAATGGCAGTTGGGCAAGGTGAGGCCAAGCCATCCAGAGACTTGTTGAGATCAGGTTTAATGCAATCTAGGTATGGCTGAAAACATACAAAACATATATAGTGCCCTTGCTCCTCAGGCAGCAAGCCCTTCACAGCCGGAAGCAAGCACTTCACAACGTGCAGAGCCTGCACAACCCGGAGCGAGCTCTTCAACAACAGAACCTGGTTCTCCGCCAAGATGGCAAAGAGGCGATACTCTGTGCTTCTTTGGATTTTCCAGAGGTGCGGCGACGGCACGCTTCGCAGCCAATTTTATTGCAACTGTGGGCTTCCGACTTGAGGGGCCGGCCGCGACCAGCGAGGTGGGCCAGCTGTACGAAACATGGAATGCTCTAAAGGAAGACACTGATTATAAACTACCGGAGGGCTTCGAAAAGCCTGAGATCGAATGTGTGGGCGTTTTCGACACAGTTTCAGCTCTCGGAATAACGAGAACACAACAAGCAGGCATACGCCCGGGGGTGGCTACCACAGCAGATCCGCTCAAAGCAAAAGGCGACGTGCTCAATGGGAGCATCCTATCGGGATTTCATGCACTCGCATTGCATGAAATGCGCCAAGCTTTTGCACCAGACCTTTGGATCGCGCAAGCGAGTCCGGCCCAAAAAATCTTCCAGACTTGGTTTATCGGGAAGCATTCAGATATTGGTGGTGGTCCTCCGCAAGACCAACCGAATTCTGGTCTTGCCAATGCAACACTTCGATGGATGGTAGAGCGGATCAGGTCCATTGGCATCGGAGTCGCCATAGAAAACGAAGAGCTCAACGCTCAACTGGCAATTCCAGAATCGGAAGCAGGGCAGGGACAGGTTCGCAGCCAAAACCCCGTGACGGGGACCGTCGCGGGAGGTCCTCAAGTGCAAAGACAACCAGGAACTTATCAAAAGGGCCATGAAGCCGTCCACATCTCCGTACGAATCCAAGGTCTGTTGAACACCAAGGAACTTCCACAGCAGCCAAGCCTGGAGGCTCTCATCGGAAGATCCCAGCCGGTACCCAATAGCACCACCGAATTTGAGTGGGGGAGGACGGTAGAGGGGGATGAGATCACTATGCTAGAAGACACCGTGATAGCACCGGAAGAAAACGCTCCCGGAGGTCAGTCTTCAACCGCACCAGTCCATCCGCTCCCCAGCGTCAATAATCCAGCTGGCACGGTACCTCGAGACAGACAAGGAGCGACCCAACAAGGTCGAGGAGGAACTGCCCAAAGGGGCCGAGGAACACCCTCACGAGGTCGAGGAGGGACTGCTACACGACCTCCTTGGAGATGATAGCCCAAGTGTGGCTAAATCGAAGCTGAAGAAGGTTGAGAGGGAGCAGCTGGTGACAGAGAGTGCCCGGAAAGAAGCTCGAGGAAGAAGCACCACCAGTTGGGCACAAGAGGGACTAGATGATTAGTCGGTCTGGAGTTACCATGGCTTATGCTATGCAGGAGGTGCTGATGAAGAGGTAGCTGAATGCCTTATTCAATCTGCAGCTCCTACAGGTAACCATTCAACGCTTGAGGAGAAGGAAGAACCGTTTCTCCCTGGCTGACGTGGGAGGAGGATCCTGTTCCTTTCTTCTCCCTGTCATGGGGGATTAGCCATGGACAAGGCAGCGTATTCTGACAGCCGTGTGTCCTCGTAGCCTTGCGCCTAGCCTTGCGCTAAGGTATCAATGTGCCAATCCTCCTTTCTTCCAGTTAAGGATAAGTCTATCAGAAGGTTCCTGCGCCTATGTGCGAACAAAGGTTCGTGCCCGGTGCGTGGATAAGCTGCCTGAGAAATTCGGTCAAGTAGGGAGTAGGTGCGTCAGGAAATTCACGAGGCTGCCCGGTCTCTCCGTTTCGCGCCGGGGCGGTCGACAAGACCAAAGCGAAGGGAGAATAGTTCAGATTTGGCGATACAGGCAATGTGTGATAGGATTCTTTAACTAGATTAGGGGCTTGTGGAGAGTTGTTTAACTGGCCTTAACTAGAGGTCCAGTCAAGTCCGGGCGGCGGGAATATGCCAAGACTCGAGTTGCGAATGCGACGGGACCATCGATTCAACTTTCATACCGAGATACCAACCAGGTAACCTACCTATGTAGCGAGGTAGTCTAATGCCGCGTATATATCACTTTTCATTTTCTCCCCGCTCTTCGTATGGAGAACACTGTGTGGATACGCCTCTGGCCAGGTCTCTCTCAGTCTCGAGATCGAGGTGCCGGCCAGTTCTTTCCACTCTGTTCGTCTTCTAGATTGCAAATGATCACCAGGGGAAGGGTCTAACAATTCATCCGGCAGCCTCTTCGAGAGACCGACACTTTGCATCGGTTCATCTCGTGAAGAAAGAGCCATACAACCAAGGGAGGCATTTCTCGCAGGCGCGCCACCAAGCCGAGGCTTCCGATGCTGGCCACCTCGGCTTCAGCGCCGTCGCCATCCTCCAGCTTTATGCCCTTTCCTCCGCTTCTCGTACGGACTCTATATCACCTTTCTACCCACTCTCTTTCTCACACACAGACAAGGATGACGTTTGTCCTCTGAGCCCAGAAGATGGGGGAAATCGCACCTGTTCGGGACAAGCTACAAGCAAGCTTTTTGGAGGTTGGGATTACTGCTTTATCTGCTCGGACACAAGAAAAGGCACCACCGTCGGTCGCCTCGGCAAAAGCTTTTCTGGCAAAGCCTCAAACGGCGGGACCTGGCTTATTAGTGCTCGTGTCGGGCCAACAAGGAGGCTGCGATCGCAAAAGATCTGCTGGATCCCCTTTGGCCCGTCCTTGAAGCCTTGGTGCCTCTCGGGCCCCCATACCCCCATCTCAAGCCCCTGTTGAACAGCGAAGAAAAGCTGGGCTTGTAAGAAAGTGGGTTTGGATGTGACCATTGCCTCTCCCCTGACTGGCGAACTATCCAGTCTTTTGGGGAATTTTTGGCCTCCGGTGCCTCCACAGTTTGCTGACCCCCAATGGTCGTGGCTAAACATGCCTGTACTAGGTAAGGACCCAGCTTGAGAGGTAAAGGCCATCGATCTTTCTTCTTTTCACACCCCCGCCGCGGCCCGCGTGACCTGGGTCCCTCTCCAGCCACTCTCCTCGGCCATCTCTATCTTTCCTATCTATCCTAACTGTCAGCTTTTGATATAGACCCTGTCGCTACAAGCAGGAAATTGTTCCTGCTTCGGACAAGTGCGGTGTCGGGATAGCAGTAAGCGTTTTGAGGTTTAGTCGGGACGATCACCCTTGCAGCTATAACCAGACCGCAGGCCTGCTACACAGGATTCTTCTTTCAGCTGTGCGAAGCGCTTTTTCTCCGTTGCGTATGGTCGCGTTGTACGGTCTCCAGGTCTATTTCCTCCTCTTCAACCTGGTAGGGTAATTACGAAACCATGGCACGTACCAAGGCAGACACCACCGACACCACGACCCTAGCGCTTTTGGGGAAGAAGCAAGTCCTCAAACGACGATTCGGCTTCTGGTCGCTGTTTGGGTTCGCTGTGTGCGAACTCATCACTTGGGAAACAGTTCTCGCTCTTTTCAGCCAGGGATTCAACAATGGCGGTCCCGCAGGATTGGTCTACGGGTTTATCATTGCGTGGTCCAGCACGCTGTCCGTCTACACCGTCATCTCGGAGCTCGCATCCATGGCCCCGATTGCGGGAGGGCAGTACTACTGGGTGTACATGCTGGCGCCGCCGCGGTGGAAGGTGTTTAGCAGCTACATCATCGGATGGTTGACGTCGCTGGCATGGATCGCGACGGTGGCGACCGAGACCATCTTCGCGGGGACCATGCTCCAAGGCATGATCATTCTCGACTACAAGGACTACGACGCCAAGCGGTGGCACGGCACGTTGCTCGCCTGGCTGGTCATGGCCGTCGCCGTCTTCATCAACGTCGTGATCCCCGGAGCGCTACCCAAATTCGAGATCTTCATCATCGTCTTCCACATCGCGGGATTCATCACCATCCTCGGCGTGCTCTGGGCCTACGCCCCGCACAACTCGGCCCACTTTGTCTTCGCGACGGCGCTCAACGAAGGCGGCTGGTCCACCCAGGGACTGTCGTACTGCGTCGGGTTCTTGGGCAACGTGGCGACCTTTGTCGGCGCCGATGCGTCGGTCCACATGGCTGAGGAAGTCGAGCACGCGGCGCTGAACATTCCGCGAGCCGTCATTGCGAGCATGTGCATCAACGGGCTGGTCGGGTTCGTCATGATGTTGACGGTGCTGTTCTGTCTGGGCGACGTGGATTCCGTCCTGGACACGGACACGGGGTATCCATTTATCCAGATCTTCTACAGTAAGTCAAGAAAGTCATCTTTTCCACCGTCTCTTCCTCTCCCTCCGTATACGTTCAAGAACAAAAACATCCTCTCTCCTTCCTCTATAAAACCAAGCAGGGACGTTGGCACCACCATTATTGACATTCTATTTCTTCCTCCCGAATTATAGACAGCGTGAACTCCGTGGCAGGTGCAACGGTCATGACGGCCATCGTGCTGGCGCTGACATGGGCGTGCGCGACGGGCATCACGACGACGGCGTCGCGGATGACCTGGTCGTTTGCACGCGACCGCGGCACGCCGTTCAGCAAGCCGATCAGCTACGTGTCGCGGGTGCGGCGGATCCCCGTGGTCGGCGTGGGCGTGGTGGTCGGGTTCGCGGCGCTGCTGACGCTCATCTACATCGGGTCGTATACGGCCTTTAACGACGTCATCTCCCTGACCATCACGGGCTTCTACTGCTCCTACTTCCTGCCCGCGGCGTTCCTGCTGTGGCACCGCGTCAAGGGCCACATCAACCCGCACAAGCTGGACACCCAGGGCCTAGCGATCGGCGACGACGGCGGGATCCTCCCTGAGGTGGCAGGCGCCAAAGCCTCGGAACAGCACCCCGGCGACGAGAAGATTGCCTCTTTGCCCGGCGTGACGGCCGGAGGAGACAACTACTCCTCCTCCAAGGAGCTCGATTCCGACCCCAACCCCAGCGCGCCGGGCCGCACCGACTCCCTCCCGGGGTACGCGTCCGGCCCAGGAGGCCAAGACATGACGGGGAGCAGCCGGCGGCGGCCCTCGCTGGTCGTACAGGCCAGCGTGCAGCAGCTGCAATGGGGCCCCTTCCACCTCCCCGAACCCTTTGGCACCATCAACAACGCGTACGCGTGCGTGTACATGATCTTCGTCATCTTCTGGAGCGTCTGGCCGCCCGTGACGCCCGTCGACGCCTCCACCATGAACTACAGCGTCGTCGTCACCAGCGGCGTCGTCATCTTCAGCATCGTCTGGTACTGGGTCAGGGGCCGCAACGAGTACCACGGCCCCACCATCGACGACGAGGTCGCCTCCGTCATGAGGCTGGGCAGTGTCGTCGCCGTGTGATTTGAGCAAATATCTCCCCTGCTTTGTCCACCTGCGTGATGCTCGCTGGATCCTGTTCCACACATCGGTTGGGAAAGCGCTCCGCGGTCGGGAAAGTGCTTCCGTGGGGTTGCTTGCCGTTGCCCTCGAAGTTTGGTTCGAGACCTCTACATAAGAGCGGGCCAGTCTGCGAGCGAGCTGTGTGTGGCTGTGTGTGGGGATACGTGACTGTGTGAAAAAGGGAGAATGGAAAATGGAAAACGAAACCATGTCGCCGGGTGAATTGGCATCAGATGTACCGTAGCCAGGGCTCCCCCCAAAAAGTATGTCATGAAAATCAAAAGTTGGGATCAATTTCGTCCCTACGTTCAGTCCATATGGTGTATATACAAGCCCATGGGGGATCAAAAAGCGGTGAAGAAAAAAGTGTTTCGCCCAGAGCATTGATGCTGGGAATGGCAATGTTTGTTTGTGTGCCAGTCTTGCTTCATCCGCCAGGTTTTTGGTTGGTATACACATCCTCTCTCCCCCCCAATCTTTTTGTCTCCTTCTTCCTCAGACTTTTTGATCCTGGCACAGGGTTGTTGGTGTCAGACAGACAGCCAGCCAGACGGGCACTACCACATGAACCTCTGGACATTCCCCGGCTCTTGAGACCACTCGAAGCCTCTGTACAAGAACAAGTAGCACGTGACCACGTTGACGACAAGATACCACGCGAGCTCTAGCCAAGCCGAGTGTGCCGCTGCGGTTCGTAACAGCGACTGTATCGCCGATGTTGAAGCGGCCTTGTCTGAAGAAGAGCCGTTTGTCTCCAGCTCCGATCTCTTCTGTTTCTTGGCTGATATATACTCCGGAACAGCCAGGCGCCACGTGAGCCAAGGAATCAGAAAGTATCGAGGTTCCACCAAGGGGGCGGCTATGAGCGACAAGGAGGTCGCTACGAGCCAGACGAGGATGAAGCTCACACGCACAGCGTCGTCTCCGTAAAGGATACGCGCCGACTTTGAAGACGGTAGCACTCCGTCCGTGGCGCCTCCCAGGCTTCCCAGAACCATGTAGGCGCAGAGATAGTAGACTGGGACAGCGGCATATTTGATGAGCCAATGTTTTCTCAGGATGGCGAACACGTAGAAAGTATAATGTCGGTTGTCGGCGAGAGTGAAGGGATGGATGATGGTGTTGAATCTGACGACGGCGAGCATGAGAAGGAGGAAACTCAGCGTCGTAGTGATTCTCGGAAGCCGTTGACGAAGGCCCCGGAGATTGGAGAACAGCGGCAGCAGGACAGGCCATGAAAAAAAGACGATTGCTGGCCAAATATAGAGCATTTGGGCAAGGTGGATGGTTGCAATGTGGTTGTCTCTGTCTCCGAGGACGACGCCACTATTCCAGGCGACAAACGCGGCGAAGGTGGCGAGGAGCGACAACTGTGGCCACAAGTCGAGAAGGAGTTGGGGGATCATGGGGACGGCAGACTGGGCGAGAGAAATGCTGGTGATGGGGAAATCTAAAATTGCCGTCAGAGATGGATCAAAGGAAAAGCTTCAAAACCGAGAGGACTTGGGACAAAAGTGGCCGGTCGAACCTTCAAAGTATGATTCAGACACGGGAGGATCGTGGACCTCACGCGCGCCCACTCTCTGTTTTACGCTTTCAATGACCTGAAGCCCACCCAGATACACCGCGACCCAGAAAATATTTGTCTGCCGGGCGGCCAGCGAGACCAATCCAGCCACGAAATGTGACGCCTGGAAGAGGAGCTTGCTGGTTCCCTGCGAGCTGGTTCCTGCAGCCCAAAAGATCTCACTGAGGACCACGGTGAAAACGCTGAACAGATCGGTGTAATATATGCCCGAGAAGAAGAAAATCAAGGGGAAGCAAATGATGCTGAACTCCCGCTGAAGAACACTTTCATGATGCACAGACTTCCTCCCGACCGCCGCCAGAATGTACAATGCGACAAGCAATAGATACAGCAACAGCACATTGGTAAATCTCCACTCGCCGACAGAAGGCCTCAATTCTTCTTTGGAGAAGAAGTCCCGGACCGCGTTGACCGCGTAGGAAAAGACGTAGAGGCCCGGGGGAGTGGTGATTTTGGGATCCCATTGCGACCACTTCCCTAGCCAATATGCTTGAGCTTGAGGGATATGGAAATATTCGTCGAGATAGGGTTCCGGCACGAGTTGATTGATGAGCCTTCGCCATGTCATGTGCAGCGAGGTGATGAAGCCGAGAAGCAGGACCCGCAGGAATTCTGGGCTGACCAAATATGACATGGCGAGGGTCTAAGAAGAAACAAGTCGAGTAGAGTCCCGCAAGTTGAACGGAGACTGGGGGACATACACACAGAGATGCTGAAGTTGAAGTTCGCGACTTGGCGTGTTGGCATGGCAGACCCGTAGGAGCGCCAAGACGCGTAAGGACAGCAGGTAGCTAGCGGGCTAGCGCAACCAACGTTGTCCTTAGTGGCACGCTAGCTGACATTAGTGGCATATTTATGGTGTACTAGTGGGATTAGCGTGTTGCTGCTTTTGAATCCATTCTAGGTATTACCTTGCCTCGTTCTCGGCACACCCCTTCTTCACTCAAGACATCCAGCCTTAATACTTACCTAGGTACTTACGCTGGACTGGAACTCCTTCGCGGGCAAATGATTATACCACCGTCTAATCCATGTATGGGCTCGTTGGCACCAGACTGAGCTACGCCTCCACCGTGTTCTCTTCGTCTTCTCCCGCTGCGTGGAACATCGTCTTGGTCTCTCGATAGTAGGACCATGTCGCCGACGAACCGGGGATTAGCAGCTTAATTTCAACCTCAGGTGCTCGTCCTCTAAGAAGGTATTCGGATGCGCAAAGATCCGTGTGGATTGCTGGACCTCCAAAGCCACCTCTGGCCAACAAGCTCGGCTCGGCACTCGTTCACCATAGTCACTAGGTCTGCAAACTACACTGTCCAAGTCTGTCCAGGCAGGTACCATTTGTCGATGGCCTTGCTGGTCACAGACTTGACTGGAGGGGTATCATGATCGAAGTTGGACATTCCGTCTGGAGACTGGCGCGGCAACTTCCCAGTGTCATGGCCAAACAGTTCATGCATAACTACAGAACACCGGCAGACGAGTCCAACTTGGTAAAAGCACAGGGCGAGCGTGCTAGGAAAACCCTACCAACCCCTCCAAAGCGACTTACGAACTCATCTGGAACTGCGTAGATTTCGACTTGATACCACTATTCGGGCACTTAATATTTCACATACTATCCCAAAGCCAGAGGTTAAGAAACACGTTCACAAGTTGAACATCTTCTGGCTGGGGATCTGACAAGGACAGAAGTGGTTACTATATTAGATAGAGCTATCAGCATCGATAGAAGACAGAGGAACCATTATTCCCAAACGTAAACAATATGCCCGTCACAAAAAGGCCATCATGAGCCGCAAAGCGAATGACTCTTTTTGTGTGTCGTCAGACCGTGCCCCTCGATTTCAAGTTCTCGCGGGGTCGCGTGCGCAGAGCAAGTTCGGCGCGTACCGCGACGAGGCTGTCTCGCAAAGTCGAAATGAACCTGGCACTTTTAGACATTCATTCCATCTCGTGACTAGACATCCCTGGTACATGATTCTACCCTCTCTACAACACAAAACGACACAATGTCCGCCTTCCCTCATCCACCAGGTCTATCGCCCGCCGAAGTGGCATTTCTGTGCGAAATGGAGTCCGTGACGATAATCCCGCGCCAGCGCCTCGAACGTCTCGACTTACTCGGCGTAAGTCCAAGTCCTTCTTCCCACCACCACAGACCTCTGCATGCATCAGATCTGAGGTGCGCAAGACCAATATTCTGTCTCGTTCTAGTCCCTCCCCTACCTACGTACGACATGTTGACACCTTGAGGATCCGCGGTTTTTCTAGGGTCCGACACGAGCCCTCATCCCACCGCAGCGGACGACCCTGCCCCTCTGGCTCGCCGTGCTATTGAAGCGCCAGCGACGCGCGAATATCATGCCCCCGCCCTGGATTCTGGCTGAGAATCTGCAAGACATTCTCGAGACCGAGACACACAAGGACTTTGAGGGCACGTTTTCACCTTCCTCGGCTTCATTGCCTCCGCAGGGACGGCGTCAGACAGACTACAGCGGAAAGGCGTTCATAGCCTCCACGCCCTTTGTGGAGTCGTGCACTGTGGATAGCCATGCGACGACGCTTCCGTATCATTGGTTCGAACTGTCAGAGATCCTGCTGGAAGCGGCCAGCGACGATATTCCCGAACCCGACCGGGTGAGGCAATTGCTGAGAGACATACGCGAAGTGCGGCTGGCCAAGATGCGGAAACAACTACCGCATTTGTCAGGTGATGGTGAAGGCACACGGCTGGATGGCATAGGCGCCATGGAGCTCTCCGAATCCAGGGGATTTGTCACGGGTGTTGTCGATGGCCTGAGGAAGATTGATGCAAGCAGGGAGCAGGAGAGGAGAGAGAGAGAGGAAGAGGCGAGAGAGAATCAGAGATATAACGACGATGATGATGACGAAGACGACGAAATGACATGAAGTGATTTTTCCATCAACGTGAGGAATTATGACCATTGATTCTGGTATAGACATCGGGCACGTTCCATTCGAAGCTCGTTAACCAAAGTGATTCAATCATTAATCCTCGAGCGCCGGCGCAAGATTCAAGAGTCACAGCTAAGATGGAGGACTTCCGTTTTCTGCATCTTTCTCCTGCATCTTCCTTCGAGCCGCAAGAATCATTTCTTCTCGCCGTCTCTGGAGCATCCTCTGTCGCTCATCTTTGTTGCTAGTCCATCCTGGTGGCGGTGATTCCTCTTCTCTTTCTTTCCCCTTTGAGTTTACCTTTGCTTGTAAATTGTATCGCGTGATCAAGTCGGGCGGGGTAGGTTTTTTGAATGGTGTTAATACGCTGGGGGTGGTATTCGATTCAGAAGATGTGGCCATAAACGAAGGCGGCGGCTGGAATGAAGGCGGAGCCTGCGAAAGATTCCAACATCAGCCATTACATCCTTTTGCTGCCAACTTTGGTCGCAGTATCCTTCTGGCAAGTCGCTTACCGGATCCAGTCCCCTCCCCGTCAACACCCTTTCCGTTGTGGCCTGCACACTGCCTCTATTACGATGCAGATCCCACATTATATCCCTGCGGTTTAATTGTGGAAACATTTGCGCTATCTGATCAACTTGCGCAGGCGTGAAACGAATCCCCGGAGTGGTGTTTCTCGAGGCAGTGGAGGATGTTGGGGAGCCACCGTCGGCGGCACCTGGCCGGGAAGAGAAGAAGTAGCGATAGATGAAATATCCGAGCACAGCGACAAAGGCAAGGCTCGGGATGGAGATGGTCGCTTCTTCGTCGACGGTTGAGGACATGGTTCACAGACGTGCGATTGCGACGCAGGGTCCTTGTTGATAAAGAAGAGATATTGTATCCAGTGTCTACGGTTAGACAGTAGAGATACCTAGGAGCGCGGAGGTTCAAAGGGTTTGAGACAGAAGGGATGGTAGATATCAGGAAGATACAAGAGAAGTTGTGCTCACCAGGTGACGATCCGAGGCAGCCCTGGAGTGAAAGACCAGCGACGACCGGAAGGCGATGATATCAACCGCCAAGCCCGGATGGAACAAATATTGGCCGAGGACGAGCTGAACCGGCCAGAACGAACACCTGATCCCATGTGATACTGGTCACGATGGAAACTGGCGGAGAGTCATCACTGAAACAGCGAGATGCCTCTGGCCGTTGCTGATGGTCGGAGAGTAGGATCATCAGCCTGATATGGTGCAGTTAAAGAGGGCCAGCAGGGTAAAATGATCGGGGAGTATGCTATGAGGACAGGATGCAATTTGCAAGATAAGCCACAGAATCAGGCGGATAGGCGGACAACTCAGTGTTAAAGGGGCCAGAGGAATTTGTCTTGGAGCATAAAAAGCAGTTTGAGAGGAAGAGAAGCATTGGATTTTTTTGGTCTTTATCGTGATCAGGTAGGTACCTTTCTGTACGACAAACGTCCCGGATCATTGCACACAGCACAACATGAACTACCAGGTATCATCATGATTCTTGAAGGTCTTCCTTTCCACAAGAGCCTTTCTTGTCTAATAAATCCCAAATCACGACTTGGTAGTATCCCAATTCACCCAGGTCCTCGGCATGATCCTCCAAACCATGACCTCTCCGCTCTTCAGATCTCCGACCTTGAAACTCTCCTCCTTCACCTTCGGCTTTTTGCCCTTTTCCAAGTCTCTTCCCTGCTCCCATGCACGAATCTTCTTCTTGGTGCCATCCCAGTCGATCACCACAGCTACGTGCTCGGGTTTCCCCACATCGACGCTGTATTTTTGGTGCAAGCCTCCTTTGTGGCCGGAGAACTTGGCGTTGCGGAACGTGACTATGTCGCCTGGCCGAATTTCATCAAATTGCTGTGTAGATGCGTTACCTAAGTTGGAGTAGACGAGAGCACCATATGCTCTCGTGCCAACCGGTAGGAGCGCTGTTGGATGGGGTTTTAAGAGCTCGAGGACAAACCCTCGCGCGGAACCATCGCCAACAGTCGTACCAGAAAGTCCGCTAGCGACTCTCGCTATCTGATTCCCATATTGCATAGATGCATTTTCCAGCTGATCACGCCGAGGTGCAGGGGGTGGTCGACCGTGGTTCTGTTCCAACGTCACGTGTGTTGGATCCGCCGCGTCGTAGCTAACATTGATCGTAGTCTGGGAATAGTCAATGTAAAGCACATAAATATCCTTCGAGATGGTAGTCCTTCCTCCACGTTTGGAAGAAGAAGCGGTCTCCATTTCGTACAGGATATCAGGTCTCCCTTGCAGTGAAGGAGGCGGTAGATTGTCTTGCGTCCACCACATTGAGCCCTTTCCGAGGTCAATATCCTGAGCGATATACCCTTGTTCAGTGCTTCCACGAGAATGATCCATTGAACGGCGGGAAAGAGTACCAGATCTTCGGAGGTCGGTACTCTGCTCAAAGGGGTCTGTTGGGGGAGGTGGCGCGAGAGAGGGAGGCGCAATATACTCCGCCGGCTCTGGCAGCGGCGGTGGAGGAGCCGGCCTTTCCGTAGGTGGGGGCGGTATAGTTGTTTGTTGTGGCATTGCGCTGTACATGTCATCTTCCTCGAGCTCCTCCCTAGGCGATTGCAATGATGTAGAATACGGTGCCTTGGTATGAAGTGATGGCGGAGGGTGTTGAGGCGCAGAATACCGATACGGATCATAGTCATCATCATCACCCACTTTTGGAGGCGGAACCGGGGGAGGGGCCGCCCGTGGCGCATCCATAGATCTTCTGCTCTTGGGCGTTGGTAAGGACGGAGGCGCGGGCGGCATGTCTCGCGGGACACTGACTGGGGGCAAAGGGGGAGCGGCTCGTGGAGGAGCATGCTTTGGGGACTTCATGTCGTCCGTGAGCGCGCCTTCGTCAAGGCTTGAGTCGCGATTGTGAGCCTTCAGCGCATCCTTGTGCTTTGCGCTTGAAGCAATGTCCGTATCGTAATCTCCGTCATATTCAGTGACTTCCTCTTCTTCGTCAACATCAGGCTTGGGAGAATGCACAGTGCCGAAACCACGCGAGTCGGTGGTTGAACGACGACTTGGGGGAGCTCCTGGTGGTGGAGGCGGCGGAGCTCTGGTCTGAGGAGAGGTCGGGCTCATGGGGATAGGGGGTGGTGGTCGTGAAGCGCGTTTATCGGTTACTGGAGACATAGAGCTTCCGGCAGCGTCAAAGGTAGAATGCTGAGATGATCTAGCTGGGGGGATTGGAGGAATGGCTGGGGCGCCAGCTGGAGTCTCTGGCGCTTCCTGGGTGTCCTCTTCGGGGGATTCGTCGGCTTCATCCTCTTCATCGTAACCGGGAGTTTCTGCAGACGCTTGGGGCAACGACGGAGGAGGGGGAGGTACGGATCGAGCTAAGGGGGTCAGCCGGACTTCGAGATACAAGAAGGTCTCACATACCAGTGGGTGACTGAGGCACCGGAGGAGCTGCTCTTGGGCCTTCGGGCGGAGGAGGAGGAGCACCCCTAGTATCTGAACGTAGTGGTGGTGGAGGGGCGATGCGGTCTGCAAAATGTGAGCGACCAACTTTCTTTTGGAATCAAAGAGACATACCTTGTGGCACCGGCGGAGCAGAACGCTCTGTCGAGCGACGTTGTAGGGGTTTCGAAACATAGTCTTCGGTCTCTCCGTGGACGCCAGGTTCTTGGGGTGTCGGGCGTGCAGTCTCGTCTTCGTCACTTTCTGGAGAAGCCACAGGCTCCTCTTGCCGTTTGGGTATTGATGGACCCATTCCTGGCAAGGCCATGATTCGGACCGGAGCCGGTCGTTCTTGAGGCTCGTCCTGGGCATGGCTCTCAGAAGCCTGCCGAGAGGGTTCTGGTTTTGGCTTCCTCGCTGCACCAGGCAGTCCAATCCCGCCAGGAGGGCCGAACATGCCCATCATGCCCATGCCTCCGCTCATTTTTGCCATTCTATCTCTGAGCTCTCTCCTCCGGCGGATCTCCGGATCTTCCTCTTCCTCCTCTTCCTCCGCTTCTTCCTCCTCCTCGCCCTGTTGTTCTTGTTTTCGGTCCTCATCCATTGACTTCCTGGGAACAGCTGCTGGAATTGGTATATCGGTGTCTTTGGACTTGGGGCGCTCTTCTTCCGTGGATGTTTCTTGACCGTCATCATCGTCACCCGCTCCTGAGTCATCGGCGTCATTTGTATCACTGACGAGCTCGCGAGAAGCAGGCAGCGGCGTGCTGAGTCCTGTTGTGCGGCGGGCGAGACCTACGTGGTCGTGCTCGCCGTCTGCTACCTCAGCAGATGAGCGGCCCACAGTTTCATTGGAATCTAGCCTCGTCAAGGTCGGCTCAGGTGGCTGGATTTGTTCACCAGAGTCAGTAGTCTCGACCCTCTTCTTGGGGGGTTTCTTTGGTTTCTCCTTCTTCTCAGCATTGCGTGCTGCTTGCTCCAGTTGTTGTTTTTGTAGAAGCGCTATCCTTTCTTTGAGAGACTGGGGCTTCGGTTGCTCTTCCGCCTCTGGTTCCAGTTGCGTAACGGTAGGTTCCGCTGGATCTTTAGAATCTGCTCCATTTACATCTGCATCATCCTCACGCCGGTACGGTTTCTGAATAGGAGCTTCTCGGGGAGGCGGAGGAACGAAAGCGTTCCTGCTAGGTGGGGGTGCCACAAACGGCTTTCTGATGAAACCGCTGCTTGGTCCGCCACCTCCGGGCTTGAAAGGCGCGATTGGCGCTGCAGCAGGTTTGTTGAAGGCAGCAATCCTGTCTTTGAAAGAGCTAGAGGATGGCTTGTCTGCCACAGGCGGAGGGGCACGGGCGGCGGCGGGAGGGGAAGTCGGGACAGTGGTAGGGGCGGTGGGAGCAACGGGTTGAGGCTTCGGGGCCGGCGGAGGAACCTCAGGATCTGCTCTGGCTGGTTCCGCTGGCTCTCTTACTGGCTCTTTCTCCTCCTCATGCACAGGTTCAGATGTCTCTGTTGGCGGAGGGAGGGGTTCTGGCGCCGGAGGCTCTGGGACACGCTCGGAGGGCTCTGGAACAGGAGCACGCCTTGGGGCACGCACCGGGCGCGAAGGAATTGTCGGTTCGTACTTCTCGACGAAATTCCTGGGAAAGAGGCCTTGAAGCTTCTCTCCGGAGGCATCCACGTATTCCCCTGTATACCAGTCCGCATCCTCCTCTTCTGTGACGGTGATTATCTGGCCATTGTCAAAGTTAAGATCATCGGCCTCGTCTGATCTGTATTCGAAAATCGCCTTGACCTTGAAGGGCACCGCAGGCATTTTGTCTAGAGGAAATCCTCCTCAAAGACCAGAAATGAGGTGGATATTGGCGGAGGGTCGAAGTTTCAATGATCTTACTTGACCACCACGGTGACGCAGCGCCTGCGCCACCTCGCTCGAAGGTCGGTGCCAAGGTCAGATTGGAGCTTGGGGTGAGTGATTATTAGATCACCTGGACTTGTGACAGAGGAGCTCAGGCATGGGATGACGGTATAAGCTGGAGACGGATGCGGTGGTCACTGGTCAGGCAACGTTTGTTAAGACTGTGAGAATGTGTACCTAGCCGTGGGCGACTTGAACGTGGGGCTCTAGTTACTGCAGACCTTGTGCACTTCACGGAGTACGAGGTACTCGTGCTTTAGCCTCGTTACTTAATCAGGCCGCTTCGGTCCAGATATTTGCCGCCATCATCCCTCTATTTACCCTCTCACAGCCCTGGACTCGGCTCTACGTATCGAAGAATTCTGGTCACGATCAACCAAATATATCTCGCTCCTCTTAGGCACTTGCGCTCACCGTCTGGGGCTTGGCATTTGGTAGCAGCACCCAGAACATGGCCGGCGATGGCAACGGAGCAACCTGAAAGCAACGCAGACCGCATCCGATCAACTGCATTACGCCATGCCAGGGATATTGAGGAGAGGAAGAAATTACAAGCGAGCATAGCCGACCTTGTGGTCGAAGCATTTGACTTGCCGTCCAAACCCGACGCCGACCCAGCAAAGCCACAACCATCTGACGCTTCTCTCTTCAAGCATTGTCTGAGCCTATTTCAGACCTCGGATTTGGACGATCTCATTTATGAGCGAAACGTAGATAACCGATGTGGCTATGCCCTTTGTCCACGACCGAATCTTAAGCTCGCGCATGGTGGCCAGAAAGTGTGGAATCAGAAGGGTGGCAAGGATTTCAAACTTGTCGACAAGAGCGAGCTGGAAAAGTGGTGTTCAAAAGCCTGTCAAGAGAGGACTGCCTTTGTGCGCGCTCAACTTGGAACGGAGCCCGCGTGGCTCCGAACCAGTCAGGCTGTCGACGTCAAGCTGCTTGATGAAGTTGGGTCTGAGAGTCTTGCCGACCCTTTCAAGGTATGTGTAATTGAGGTCCGACCTGTATCAACGGTTGAACTCAGGTTGCTAAGTTCATGCAGGGGCTCTCGCTCGCCGAAGCGCCCGACACAGACATCGCCGAAAAGATGCAGGCTCTCGCGCTTGAACGTGGCGAACTGAATGTCAAAGCTGACGACAGCACTGTTGATCTGGTTGAGAGGACAAGTGACGCGATACCGAAAGCTCCAACATTGAAAGGGAGCCGACCGCAAAATGCCGTCGAAGGACACAAACCACGCCAGGTTCGCTTCTTAGAGAAGTGATCCGCCCCCACACGATCTCCTCGAACAAGCCACCCAATGCTCAGCTGCGATTCCAGTATGCGGCAGAAACCAACCCTCATCAAGTGGATGACGTCGCAAAAGACACTTCCACAAACTCTTCTACCTCCTTTTCTGTGCTTTTCCTAGGCATACCTCCTTTGTCGTCTAGAGGAAGCTCCGAGATCCCCGACTGATTAGTTCAGCTAAACGGCGCCGCAAGGAAAACATGAGGACAGTCTAACCCCGAGGTGTCTTGAGCTCTTTGAAAGACGGAATTGTTCGGACGAATAAGGAACATATCGGTGAAGGACATGACTGCGCTGTCCGGTGAATGGCAAGCAGTCTTCGATATGCTGTACCATAGATGCCTCATCTGCTGTTCTCGAGATTATCGACCAAATGCAAAATATGCTCTTTCGAGCGGTTGTCTCTGATATTCCCATGCCAACCAATCGCTTCTGGTTGTAGGTAACAATCCCATACTGTTGACTTTATAGATGCCCAAGCCGAGCAGAAGACACTGCATTAGAACATAGACCGCCTTGACGCCCAACATCTGTGTACGATTGCCGGCGCTCTCGAATCTGGCGAACTGCGTATTTGTCTGCGAGATGGCTTGGATGGGATTCTTAAAGCTGTAACACAATCTCAGTATTGGCATCCACAGAGCCCACATCCTATACTCACAGCATGAAGACCATCATAATGGAGAATATCTGAAGCGAATTGCCAGACATGTAGCCCATAATAGCTTGCATGGGGAGTTGCTTCGCGGGACCAAGTGCAACCTCCCAGGCTTTCTTGAGTTTCAACGTCTCTGTTTCTTCGGGTGTTGGGGCTTTTCGTCCAGGACCCTGCGACTTCTGTTCGAGTGTCAGTAAGTGTAGGTGTGAGGGGCGTAGTGATGCCAACGCACCTGTTTCCCAACAACGGCTCTGGATCCCAAAAACCCGGGAGGATCTGGGATGCTAGATACATTCTTCGGTTTGGAAGGGACGCCGTTGTTCATGTCAGCGACCCATTTCGGCATCGGAGGAATCATACTGCCTGAGGTCGCCATCGCAGGAGGATGTCTTTTCGAAAGAGCCGTGTCCAGAGGATTGCTACCAGTACCGAGTACCTCGTACGCAGGAAGTTGTTGGCTGCTGACGGGTCGGAAGAAGCAAAACTCCGCACTCTGCACTCCCTTGGCATGAGCGGCCGCCTCAGGGGGAGACACCGAGACACACCTCAACGTCCTCCAACTTCATCCACCTCCAGTAAGTCTTACATTGAACACCCAACACTTGGACATTGCTATTAGCTTGAACAGTCCAGAGCTAGTTCTTCCTATTCGAAGCAGTGCTCTGAAGACCATGCCGTAAACCGCCCCGCGATCCGCTGAATCCAGCAGCAATATCGCCAATTCTGGAGTGATAAACCGGAATCCTCCAACTGTGGTCTGAGTCCAGACCGAGAGGAACAATATGTCGTCTGGACATGGGGACTCAAAGCTCTTTGCCAGGGTATGCCAAGTTCTTTATTACACTTCGCGCTTCCCCAGGGCATGGCACCACTCGGGTTGCCTGTGTTTGCAATGCTGCTCTCGCTCGGTCCCATATTGTCGCCGCACTCCGTTTGTCCTTGTCACTTTCCTTCAACAAGGTATCTGAAGTACGCCTACCGAGATGGGGGCGGAGATTGAATATCCTATGTGTCTTATGTCTGATACCACGGGTTACGCATCCGAGTCTATGTGATCCGCAGCATCGTCATGTCTTTCCCTGCATTGTCCCTTCCGGTCTACCTCAATACAATAGCTCACAATAATAAACAGGGCAAAGTCGCTGAGCTACGAGCGGAGCTCACGAATCCCGGCAAGAAGGACAAGAACCACACCACCAAAAAGAATGCTCTAAAGAAGATCGTCGCCAATATGACCATGAGCAACAACGACATGGTCGCACTCTTTCCGGATATCGTGGCTTGCATGGATCTCCCGGTCCTCGAGATCAAGAAGATGTCTGCCAATGTGCTGTTTTCGTAAATGTCCCTGTCCGCTAACTCGTATGCAGGTGCTTTTTGTACCTTCAGCATTATGCTCGAATGAAACCAGATATTGCTTTGCGAGCGTTGCCGGTGCTAGAAGAGGTGAGACTGGCCTAGCTGCAGATTGAATTTTCTTAATCAAATGTGATCAGGATCTTCTGGACCCAAACCCTCTGATCCGAGCACTTGCACTACGGACTATCTCATACGTTCACGTTCGAGAATTTGTGGAAGGCACGATCACTCCACTGAAAAAGTTAATGATGGACCAAGATCCCTATGTCCGGAAAACAGCTGCCATCACCGTCGCCAAAATCTACGACCACGACAAACGACTGGTCGAGGGGTCAGATCTGATTGATAGACTCAACAGAATGCTGAAGGACGACAACCCTACTGTTGTCGCAAGTGCCCTCTCTGCGTTGCAGGATATCTGGGAGAGGAGCGAAAACATCAAGTTGACAATCGACTACGCGAGCGCCTCCAAAATCATTTCGATCTTGCCGGACTGCAATGAATGGTCTCAGACATACATCTTGGAAGCACTGGTATCCTACGTCCCACACGAATCTGGCGAGGCTCTCTTACTGGCAGAACGAATATCCTCTCGACTTTCGCACTCGAATTCTGCAGTGGTGCTTACCTGCATTCGAGTCATTATGTACCTGATGAACTACATCTCCGACCAGAAGAAAGTCGACGAACTTGCCCGCAAACTATCGCCCCCACTTATCACCCTCCTCTCGAAACCGCCAGAGATCCAATATCTCGCTCTGAGAAATGCCATACTCATCCTCCAACAAAGGCCTGAGGTTCTGCAAAATGACATCCGCGTGTTTTTCTGCAAGTACAACGATCCGATATATGTCAAGGTGACGAAACTGGAGTTGATATTCATGCTGGCGAATAGGAGCAACATTTCAGTGGTCCTCAACGAGTTGAGAGAGTACGCGACCGAGATCGATGTCCAGTTTGTGCGTAAGGCTGTTCGAGCAATTGGCAAACTTGCAATCAAGATTGAGCCGGCGGCGCGACAGTGTATCGACGCGCTCCTGGAACTCGTCAATGCCAAAATCCCGTACATCGTGCAAGAAGCAACGGTGGTCATCAAGAACATTTTCCGCAAATACCCCAACCAGTACGAATCCGTCATCTCTACCGTGATCGGGCAGATTGATGAATTGGATGAGCCAGAGGCGAAGGCTGCGATCATCTGGATCATCGGAGAGTACGCTGACCGAATCGATAACGCCGATTCACTACTACAAGACTACCTGTCGACGTTCCACGAAGAGCCTATAGAGGTACAACTGGCCCTCCTGACTGCCACAGTGAAACTCTTCCTCCACCGGCCAACCAAGGGCTCGTCAATCGTCCCGCAAGTGTTGAAATGGTGCACAGAAGAGTCCGACGATCCGGATCTTCGCGATCGAGGGTACATGTACTGGCGGCTGTTGTCTACCGACCCGGTGACAGCGAAGAAGGTCGTCATGGGGACGAAACCACCCATTACAGCCGAAAGCGAGAAGCTGGACCCAACGACTCTGGAAGAGCTATGCCTGGGCATCGGGACTCTCGCCACCATCTATTTGAAACCAGTCCAGCAAGTCTTCCGGTCTGCACGGACACGTCGGCTTCAGGAGTCACCTGCCCTGCAAAGGAAGAGAGAAGACTTGAATCGCGCTCTGACGGGTCTGGAGCTGGCGAACCCGCTGTCATTGAACACAACTACTGTCACGACCCCAGGCGGTACTGCCCTGCCCAACCATCAAGCAGCGATCGAAGCAGCCGACGAATATTTCAAGAACTTGAGCTTGAGTGACAACAGTGGCGGGGATATCCTGACCAGTCCGACTGGCGGAGGAGGGGGAAACCCATATATCGTCAGCCAGAGCGCGCCGCAGCACAGTTTCCATCCACAGACGAGTGTCGCCAACAACGGAGATCTCCTGTACTAGCATTACCGGGAGGAGGAAGTTGACGCATAGCGAATAAGCGATGGTTTGTTCATTTCGGCGTGCACAAACGGGAAGGTTGTAGACGCAGGGCAACGTTAAATGAGCGTGTAGCGTAGCGGAATTTAATTCTTTCGTCAAAATTATCAAACGCCCTGCTGTGCTTGGGGGAGATGCGATACAAGTGCCCGTGTCTAGTGCCTTGACTTGCTCAAAAAGAACTTATTTAAAGTCCTAGTGAATATACAAAGCTCAGGCTGTAAAGGGACAAAATTGTGTAGTTGTAGGAGGCTCGGAGGGTATCACGCATGTTCGCTATTCGCATCTGTAGGTCACGGCACCAAAGCCCGACGTCATCAGCGATTCGCTGTTCTCCAAGAACCTTTTCCGTTTCACTCCACATCGCAGTTAAATATTCCAAAGGTTTCCTCGACGAACACACACAATCAACCAGACGGACCACGTTGCATACAGAAGACCGCCGAAACAGCAGATCCCACTACGAAAAACAACCCCGGATTCCCATTTCCTCTCGAGGTGCTTCTTTGCGCGCCGAAGCACTCAAAGTGGCCTTTTCTCTCCCCACCTTCTCATGATCGCAAAGTGACCAGCAGATCCAACCCGAAACTTGCTGCTGCGTTGACGTGCCACAGTGCCACCATGGTCTCCCTCCTGGTGACAGTCTTCATAATCCAGCTAATATGCCACCTCGTCCTGACCATCGGGTCCAAACCCATCAACGACCTAGTACGTCGGCAGTCCCTGCTGCTTGCTTCTCTTTTTCCCCCACCCAACTCCCACGCATTCCCTGCTCTTCCGGACGAGGTGGAGGGGGGAGGAGGATGTTGTTATATATTCTGTCCTCGGACACCTATCAGGGAAGGGAAAAGCAAGCACAAGAGAGAGAGAGAGGGAGGGAAAAATCACAAGAAGGAAGGCAACGGACTAGAAGAAAAAAGGCCCATAATGTGACAGTTCTAAACTAACATCTCCCCCTCGTGGTCTTTTGTTTAGTTATGGCAAATCTACACCCGTCTCCCTCTCCAATCGGCCCACAAGGACATGCAAGAACAGACGCGGCTGCGCCGCGAGGTGCTGAGGTTGAAACGCGAAATGAATGCCGTCAGCGCGCAGGACGAGTTCTCCAAGTGGGCCAAGCTGAGGAGACAGCATGACAAGGCGATGGAGGAGCATGATAGGAAAGGTGAGTTCGAGGTTCTCCTTTTTTTCCCCTCCGACTAGATGTGTTTGGAGAGAGGGGGGTTCTTTTGGGGAGTAAGGGGGGAAAGGGATGGGTATACAATTGTTGCAACATTCCCCAAGCTATCATTTGCCTATTGATCTTTCTAACCTTTTTCTTTTTTTTTAATTCTTTGTGGCAGCCGCCTCCATCTCCTCCTCCCGCACCGCCTTCGACAGCACCGCCACGGCGATCCGCTGGACCTGCACCTCGGGCCTGCGCCTCGCGCTGCAATTCTGGCACGCCAAAACGCCCGTCTTCACCTACCCGCGCGGCTGGTTCCCCTGGTACATCGAGTTCCTGCTCGGCTTCCCGCGCTGCCCGTACGGGGGTGTCAGCATCAACGTGTGGAGCACGGCGTGCGCGACCGTCATTGCGCTGGTGGGGGACGTGGTGGTCTACCTGATACAGAGCACGCAGCAAGTGCGAGGAGGCGCGCAGAAGGACAAGGAGAAAGCAAACGGGACAAGGAAAGAGCCGGTGCGAACGTGACACGAACACCCCAGATTGAAGACTATGACCTTTCCAATCCAAGATCCATTCGGAATAGATTTAAGTAAAGGTACATGAACGTGTCAAAAAAGATTCAAATGATCCATGATGCCACATCCAAAGGCTCGAGGAGAGTTCCGGCGCTTTCTGGGGGGCGTGGTTCCATCAGAAGAGTATTCAACCATGTTCGCGTCACTGACCAAACCCATACTCGATTTGAGCAGGGCAGGCCTAAGTGCTTGACTCTATTGTGATTGAGAGTTCATCATTTGAAACCCACAACTCCACCGCCAGCCCACCGCTCCTCTTCATCGCCCTTTTCACAGTAGGGAGTGCGTTCTCTCACCAACGAAGGGTCAGGTGCTTATTCTTGAAGCGCGTCTCATCTCGCAGATACACCACAGTAAAGAGTCCGGTCCATTCGACAGGACATCTGCGCCGTCGGTAACGACAGTCGCCGCTTTCCACATAAGCTACAAGACTCAAAAAGTAGGTGTGTGTTTTTGCTCCGCGCCTCAAGAATAAGCCCCATCGAGTTACTCTCCCGTAGCCACCACCCCCAGCGCGGCAGCTGGGGAAAAGTGGGAAGAGCAATCGCATAACTTTGGACAATGTGACGAATTGCGCAACCTCCAAAAAATATCACTCTTTTGTATTCCCCAAGTTCATCCCGACCCCGTCGATCTCCCAATTGTTATGAAAACCCTCACCATCTCTTCCCCTTTCTTGAAGAACACCCCCCAAAACGCTCCAAAGGTCTCTCTCCGCTTCAGAAAAAGAAAAGAAGTTCATCCTTACGGCGACGGACTCATATCTTCGTCCATGCGCCAGACAAAACAAAAAATTCTTCCCTCTCCACGTGTCGAGACGCAAAACAGAGCAGTAAGTGAGGGGAAAACTCCAGGCCAGAGAATGCAGACGATAGCGAGGTCGGATTTCGAAGCGGGCTTAGAATGAAACTCGGAGAAAGAGCGGGAGGCACTTGAAGTAGAACCGCAGTGAAAGGTTGCTTTTATGGCGGTCGAGCCTCTCGGCAGGTCCTGACGTTCTCTCTCTCTCTTTTCGCGAGAAAAAAAAAGAAGAGGTAGGGCGGTCCGGGGACTTTCTCCCAAAGCTTTTTTTTTCCCCGTCCTTCGCAGGGCAGTTTGTGGGGGGTCTGCAGATATCTTCCTGGGAAAGAAAGACTTTTCTGCTGTGCGTGAGCTTTGAATGCGATTCTTTGAACGCGGAGACTTTGGTGCAACACACCCAGATGAAAAGGAAAAGACGCTTTGCGATGAAATTTATCGCAGTTTGGAGGGCCAGGGCAACGAGGAAAATATTGCCAAGAACCGACTAGTCCCAAATAGGGTCGGTATGACCTCTTTGCGCGAGCTTGCCAGCTTCCAAACCTCGTAAACTTTCTCCGCTCCGCGCAAGTTTCCGAACGTCCGCCTTTCCTGCCACCCCAGAACAATCTTATCGTTTTTCCCCCTAATGAGAAGATCCTGAATATTATTAAAGAGAGCTTCCAAGTGAAAAAGGCTTACGAGGTGGTTGAGGACTTCGAGGTCTGCCGTCTATCATGAATTGAACGAGAGGTGAAAACCCCGAGCTGGTCCTTGTCATAAAGGGAGCATCATCCCAAGCTGGGAAAGTTCTCCGGGATAACCAAACGAGAAAAGCACGACGCTGGGCGTGACAGAAATGATCAAGATGCCGTCTTCTCATCGAGGACTGAAACCCGTGTTGGCGGCCGCCTTTGCTCAAACAAACAAAGCGCCATCTCTCCGGTCAAGGCGCGAACTGAGCTTTCTGGTCACATCTTCGCCATCACCATCCTCACCGCGGCATCCTGTTCATCGCCATCCACCCGAGCTGATCCCGATACCAATCCCTATCCCTCACCCCAAGCCAACCTTCCCACCATCATCCGTCTCACATCAACAACAACGTCGACATGCCTCGACGAAACAGGAGCCGGAGGCAGACCTCAAACATACCCCCCTGTACGACCTCCACGTTTCGCTCGGGGCCAAAATGGTGCCCTACGCTGCATATGCCATGCCAGTCACGTATCCAGACCTCTCCCACAAGGACTCACACCTCTGGACTCGCGAACACGCCAGTGTCTTTGACGTCTCCCACATGGTGCAGCACAAACTCTCCGGGGAACTCGCCGAGGAGTTTCTCATGACAGTCACTCCCTCGGCCATCAACGAGTTGGAAAAACACCGCTCGAGTCTATCCTGCTTTTTGACCGAGGAAGGAGGCATCGTCGATGACACGGTGATCTCGAGAATTGGCAAAGATAGCTTTTATTTTGTGACGAATGCCGGTTGCCGAGAGAAGGACATTGCGTTTATCGACGAGCATATATCCAAGTTTCTCAAGGCAAAGGGAGAATCGGCGGACAAGATCAATTGGCATGTCCTTGACCACCACGCCCTTCTAGCTCTTCAAGGACCCGAGGCGGCAAGCGTGCTCCAGTCACTCATCTTCCACGACACAGAAGACGAGAGTCTCGACACGTCGCTGGAAACGCTATACTTTGGATCAAGCCGATGGTTACAACTGACTCTGCCTGACTCCGGGATGAACACGCCGTCCCTCCTCATTAGCCGTACCGGATATACGGGAGAGGATGGTTTTGAAATTTCGATTCCCCCCGAAAACGGAAACGCAGCTGAGCTGGCCACGAACATAGCCCAAGCTCTGACCGCCGACAACAGCAAAGTCCGCTGGGCGGGGCTTGGGGCGCGCGACTCTCTCCGCCTGGAGGCGGGAATGTGTCTCTACGGGCATGACTTAAATGAGAAGATCACGCCGCCAATGGCGGCGTTGGGCTGGTTGGTCGGGAAATCTCGCCGGGGCGACAACCCTACGCCAGCCTTCAACGGGCACCAAATCATCAACAAACAGCTCGCTTCGCCAAAGACAATGACTGAGCGACGGGTTGGATTGCTCATAGAAAAAGGCCCTGCTGCGCGCGAAGGGGCAGAAATCGTCGATCCCGGGAATGAGAACCAAGTCATTGGTCATATCACCTCGGGGTCTCCCAGCCCGAGCCTGGATGGACAGAACATTGCCATGGGCTATATTAAGAATGGATTCCACAAAAAGGGGACATCGGTTGGAGTCAGGGTTCGGAAGAATGTGAGGAAAGCGGAGGTCGCTAAGATGCCATTTGTGCCGAACAAGTTCTACACGCGGCCCTCGTGAAAGTCACCCGAAGTTGTCTAGGGTCATGGTGAGCTGAACTCTGCAGCTTGCAAAAGCGGTCAAAGGACCGCAGCAACGAGTTTTGCATCTTTTGGCGCAAAGAACATGGGGAGTGAAGGGGCGTGGTGTGACAGGGTGGTGATCCGTTTCTCTTAGGTCGATCTTGTCACACCCCGATCGTCGGCTGTGGCCGATCATTCTGAGTAACAGGAGCAGCGGTGTTCTGGCACTGAACTCTGGCCTCACCACCGCCTCCTTTTCAGCTTTTAGTGGATAACTCTTGTTTTCTCCGCGGCGGGTGCTGCTTTGTTTGGCTGAACGCAGAGATGGAATTGACTCACCTCTTCGTATATGCATGCGGTTTGTCTGCTAGTTGTTTGACTAGCTCTAGCCTGGCAAGGGCTCTTTGAGTTAGCGTACCGCATGTGATTGGGGCCGAGACTTGGTGATGGATGCAGAAAGTTTTCTACTCCCCTTTTCCCGTTTGCGAGCATCATATGCGTCTCCGGGTTTTTCGGGCTGCCGGGGCTCCGGACTGGTCGCCTGAGGTATTCGTCATTAGTTGCGTGAGTACTCGTACGCCGCCCAAGAATGATAACCCTTCGCCAGTAGGGAGACTGTCGACCCAAGAGCCAAGGGCATGGCATTCCAAAAACCGCTAATGATGGATCCGAAAATCATGGCCAAGGTTCGGGGCTAATCTTGAACTTTGGCCCTCGCTCATCGTCGTCCACATGGGGCGGTCAGTGGCGGCAAAGTGCGGTTCCCGCTTCCCACGCGTGTGATAGCCCATCCGAAGCTGCGCAGCATTTGGATAGTGTACGAGGAGCCAGATGGCTTTGGTGGAGAGCTGTGGTGGGCCCAACGACTAGCAATGTAAGCTGGCGTTTTTGCCTATTTTGACGACATTTCGGTGCTCCGCTCCCATCCAATCAGGCTTTTGGCGAGGTTGAGCGTTCTCATCGTCGATTGAATGAAATGGGCGGAATTAAAAAACCGCCTTCTGTGACCATGGTGAAATCCTTATGGTAGCCAGGGGAGATTTGGCTGCAGACCACGCACAGACCATCCTGGACCTCCCTGCCCACTCATGAGGTCATGTTCTTCGTGTTTGGGGACCATGGCTGGTCCTTTGTGACAGTCTCGATGGATCGAAAAGCCACCGAAGTAGCTATTGACTAGCTAGCCGCGTATGCCTCTTGCGACGTCGCATGGGTTCAAGTTCTCGATGAGCGCTGTACGTCACCTTCGGCAAGCAAGAAATACATGCGCTACCTGCGCTACAAGCACTAGTGGGCTTCTCCAGCCTGTCCACCGGACTTATGGCATGATTCCTGTGTTGTTCAGAGGTTCTCACGCCGATTCCGGGGGAGTTCTGGCATTAGCGGTACGTGCTATCGCGGTCTGCCCTTGCGTTGCTCTGCGCCCGTGGCTTGCCATGCATCCTGGAAGTTCATGGTTCTTCCAATGGCGATCATGCACCATAAAATGAGCCTTACCGGGTTTGGTAGAGGCGGCCATTGATGGTCTTGCTTGTCTTTGAGCCGGTCGTGAATTTCCTTATCGGGTTATTTTTCAGGGAACAGGATGGTGGTGAAATGCCGAGTCCGGTTTCCCGGAGGAGACGACAGTGGAGGGCTTGAACCAGCTTCCAGACTAGGAAACTCCAGAGTCAGCTCTCACACAAAGATGTTTGTCGAGTCTGTAGATCCTCTGAGGGCTGGGACTAGGTACAGCTGCAAACGTGTCCGGGCTCCACTTCAATGGCCTAGCCACCTCGCAGTCGACGGGCATGATACCCGGGGCTCAGAAGACGGGCTTGCTGCGCTCTGCAGCCTGATTTTGCCGTGCTCGACTTCGCTGTCAGCTGGACCCTCTGTCACCGCCCTTAGTTTGCTTGACTCGTTCCAGGGGCAGATGACCTAGCTCTCCCCGTAAATCCTTTGGGTCTCCTTCCAGGACGCAAGAAATGTGGGAGAAAATATGAGATCCAGAGCTCTCTAAGGTGCGAAGGCCTTCTTTATTTGCTACTTTCTCGCCGTTAACACCCGACGAGGCGGGGTCCAATCCGCTTGGGTTGGCAGGAATGTTTCGCTTCGCATCTTCAGTCGTCTCGATGATGGAGGTGGTTGTTGGGTTGAAAAGAGGAGGGGCAATTCATTTCGGAGAACCAGGTCTACCGGCAGAGACAGCCCCTGGTCGGACGCAACATCGACTCGGATACGAATGGCGGCTGGTTCGCGAATGAAAGAAGGACCAACTAGGAGCGGAGGCAGAGCCCTCGATATCACAATGGGGTCTGAAAGGATTGCCTGGGGTCACGCCACGTCCAGGACGCACTTTTGGAGCCGGCGGGACACCTCTCACCATTCCAGCGTCCCGAATGGCAGGGAAGCGAGGTCAGGTGGCCTTGGGCCTGCGGTGTAGTAGGGTATGGCAGGACAAAGGACAAGGACAAGCAAACTCTGTTGCTTCCTGTGGTGGATTCTGGTGACTGTCTTGTAGGGGTCGAGGGAGGAACAACCGAGAAAAGGAGGGATTTGAGAGGTGGGAGAACAAGAACTACTGCACTTCTGATGTCGTAGGCTTTCTCAAGCTGAATTCCCCCATATCTTAATACCAAGTGTGAAATCTCAGTCCTGCAAGGGAAGCCTTTGTTCCCCGCCACGACCTCTCAAGGTTTTCATCTCGCAAGTTTGACGCCTTGTCTCTCCCCCGGCTCTGCTTCCCGTCGTCAGCTGACCCTACCAATACTCAATAGACTTGATGAAGGTCTGAGCTTGTTTATGGCTACGTCTTTGAATCATCAAGTTGCAACTATATTCCGTTATCGTGACATCACGTCGTGCTGAGCGCGTCAATCTACGTCTGCATGTGCCGTTTTTCCCAATGCACCTGTCCCTCGATAGTATTCCCCGTCCAGTGACCGCGTCGTTAACCAGCTATGCAGCTTCTCCTGTATATCCCTGTGCCCTGTCCATGCCCGCTCCTGTTTGCCATGCACGCTTCCTAAATGGCCGTCAAGAGCAGCAATCCCCGTCGTGCCATGCTCTTGATTCTGTTCTTTCCAACCCATCCATACGCCATCCCCTTTCTGAATTGAACCTGGGGTATCTCTAGATACTGTGCAACCTTGCCGTATTCCGCTCGATGCATCGTCCTTTCGCCCTCATACAGACGTGACTCCACAAAATACTGAATAAGAAATGACTAGAATTGGACAATCGTCAGTGGTTAAACGAAATTCGCGTAGCAGGACCTTCAAAGTATGCTAGATTCAGCTGAAGCGCACTTAGTCGCTTGCGACAAGTGGATCACGATGATGCGCATAAAAGCTTCGAGTACGGCGTTGCCGAGAAGTCGACGAGCGATGACATGCTGTCGGTGAATGGCCCGGGTAATGGGAAGCGGATGTGCTCCCCCTCTCCTTCGTCCTCGAAAGGCCTCTTGCGACCCGTACCCTCGCGGTCAAGACTGCTGAACATGATATCGTCACTGCCTTCTGACAGGGGTGTCAGTGCAGACCGGTCCGACGAAAGGGTGCAAGACGACTTTGCCGTACGGGAATCACAGAGGCTGACTTCAACGTCCGTTGGCGTTCCAGCTAGGGTGCTTGAGGAGACAAAACTTGCCGGAGAAAAGCGCGAAGCAGAGGCATGCCGGTAGCTGGATCCCCCGAAATGTCCTCCTTGCCGATGACTTCCCATCCAATCCATTGAGGTATGAGTGTGCCCGTAGCTCCCGGATGAAAGGGGACCACTATGCCCGTCTGTCCCATGCCCGGTTCGGGGGTCCGGGTCCATGCTAGCTTGGCTGTCGCGCCTGCCATTGTCCTTGTAATGGCCCGGGGATCGGCCACGCACCACCATAGGATCGGATTCCTTGGTAGCTATCACAACCCAGTTCTCGTCGGTTTGCCTGCCAATGTTCGCAGAAAGCTCGACCACGACCAGAAAGTATTGCTGCTGCGCACGCCGTTTTCCGTTGTTGGCGGTAGCTTTCTGGAATTGGATTCTCTCAAAGGTATGTGAAGTCGGAATTGAATTGGTACCCGGGTTCTCGAAGCCTGAAAAGGCACCCATGATACCAGGATGGAGTTGGTTTGGTCCTCCATACACATGTCCGGTGTTCGAATATGTCCCATTTGTACCAATGGCGTGGTTGGGAGACGGCGCAATCGGGTGACGGCCTGGAACTGATTCTGTCGCCTTGTCCCGTTTAGGGGTATGCTGGACAAGGCCTCGAGCCTCACTTTCGCCGTTACTGGTCATGGCGGTCTTTGCGGTAATCGACACAGCAAATTGTTGGATCAATTCTTCGGAGCCATTCCTATTGAGATAAAATGGCCCATCCACGATGCCATTTCTGAATCCAAAAGAACACTGTACCGCAAAGTAGTTTCGTCGGTAGCAAGTCCATTTCCGATCCACCTGGAAAAACCCCTTCTGTATGGAAGCCATAATGTCCGGCATCAAACGTTGATTGCGAAGTGTCAACACAGGATGGAGAACTGTGGTTTCATGAAATGGAGGTCCATCTTGCCGCGTAGTGTTTTGGCTTTCGTGGCAATGCGTTGACATGTTTTGGCCTGGGTAAGAACCCTCTTGGATTGGAAAAGGGAACGCTGGATTGCTGCGAGCAGGGTAGGGATTTGATTGATACCGCATCCCCGTTTGAAAGGGACCTGGACTTATTTGGGAGTGGAGAGCAGTCGAATATTGTGGTATTCTCTCTCCCATACTCCTGAACGTTGAACCAATGCCGTTTGCCGAATTGTACGAATGAGGAGGTGACAAAGGAGGACTGTACAACAGAGATCAGCACCTGTCACAAGGCTGATGATTGAATCCCGGGGGAGATGAGACTTACGCTCGCTGTTGACGTTCCATGAGCGTCATTGAGGAACCAGGCCAGTTAGACGAGAGAACTGAAGGAGGTGCGCTCGAGAAATGGTCTGGTGCACATGCATTGCTAGGAAACGGCTTAGGGAGAGTCGTATAGGTGTTGCCAGAGGTCGTAGGATTGCCTCCCGCGCTTGCTGACCCAGTGGTAGAATCAGGCGGGCTCAGCAAAAGTTGTGAGCTCTGGTGATACCTGTAAAGACCATCGTGGATGGGTCAGTGAGACAGAACTGGTAGAGCTTCCAGATCACGGTTATATGTCACACCTTGGAAGTGCGACTACTGAGTCATGGGACGAGTGCATTCTGAAAACAACCGAAGATCGTCGAATCCCTCCTACAGCCCTTCAACTGACACCGGGGAGTGGATGAGAGCTCGCGCAGGTGCCCAACCTTCAAGGCTCTAGACTTGCATGTCTAGAATACTCGGCCTGGGGCAACCATTGGGTATTTCAAAGACACATGAACTGGCGGGGAAAGCTCGAAATCGGATACTCACGGTGTTTCGTTCAGAAGCGAGCTGCCATTGAAGTCGAGACCAGGATTTGCCGGCAGCGCCACGCCTGACGCACCACTCGTCAGGTTGCTCTGAGGCCTCCGGCTGGAAAATGTGAAGTCATTGGTAGAATAAGACGGATTTGAGAAGGTACGCTCCTGCCCGAGGTATTTGGATTCTGCAAAGTCGAACGGCGAGGACTGCTGAAGCAAAGCTGCAAGCAAGCTAGGTCAGTAGTGGCCAGGAGTTTCGGAGGAGGCAGCTCAAGGATAGGATTTGATAAAAGAAAAGGAAGCCTGGCACAAATCCTCATGCAACTAGGCTGGGCTGAGGGGCCCTTCTTCGTGCACAATTACCCATTCAGTACCAAACTGGCAAGCATAGTAGCACGGAGCGGGGCATCCTGGTCGGGTGAGCGTAGGTGGCAATTGTGCGAAAGGAGGGCAGGGCGGCCACCACATAGGCATCACCCTCTGCACACAGCATACCAATGCCAGATTGCCGAGCCGCAGCATGATTTTGTTGAGTTTGGTCTCGAACAAAGCAGATAAGATATACAAAGCTTGCTGTCAATACGTACTGGGATCCATGACTGTCTTGCTAGACACAGCAATGCTTGCGGGGACAAGGCTGAATCAGCACAGGGGAACCTTTAGAGTTTGTTCAATTCGTGGAGTCTCGAGGTGGGTAAGAGGCTTGTCTCTTTTGGCAGTCCTTGGGTCGGTATATGCTGAGGCGTCCGCTAGCTCTGCTCCTTGAACGGTGATTGATAGCCCGGGAGCTGTGCGCACTTGCTCTGCTAGGCCCTAATGATCCAAGGCGCATGCAGGACCCAGCGGCCTGCCAATAGCGGGAATTGCCAATATATGTATGGAGTCCACAGCGTCTCCCAAAGACTGGTTGCAACTGCTGAAAGGTTAGCGACGAGTGTGCTCCCATTCCTCACGGTTGCGACCTCTTTTTGCTCTTTTCAAGGTCCTGGATCGGCAATAACAGAGCAGACCAGGTTCCGCAGTCGTACCTTGGCGAAGCGAGACGAGTCACCACTTTCAGTGAAATGTGTCTTTCGCAATTGTGCTGTTATTGGTCAGTGAATCTCGAGTGCATTGTTGATCAAGTTCAACTTACTCTTTAACTCTCTAGTTCTCGCGCAGCACGTACCGCCGATTCGAGGGTCTGCTTTCCTTTCGCCTGCTATACAATACAAGATCTTGTGCCTGTACAGTCGATCTTTTCAGAATGTCCTGCTCAAACAGCCTTGAACCGGAACTGCGCAGACCGCGCGTCGTAGCGAGCAGTTGTGACAGACCGACTCTAGTCGACGAGAACTCCTAGACAAAGATGTTCAACGCCTGATCTTGCGCAGCGAGTAAAAGTTCTGGCTCTAAGACGATATGCAATAAAAGGGAGTCTTGGCTGGAGGAAAAGGCGGACAATATGGTGGCTGCAATGAAAGTGGTCCAGAGAAAGAGACATCAGAGCCTTTCTGATAGAGACAAGAGGCTTTGGACAATTGAACGGATAGAACAGTCTTCAAATGAGCGCGCACTCCAGCAGTCAACACCAAGTTTAGGGGGTTCCACACAAGCCTTAGACCGATTCCTGGCCCGGTTGGGCAGGCTGGGATTGCATTGGAGTGTCTTCGTCGGATGTAGAAACGACTAGCTCAGCCATCGGCGCAGCGATGGGATCTGACACTTTGGCTTCCAGTATTCGGTGAGGATATGGGATCGACCAGACGTTGTTGGCAAGGACCATTCAAAGGAAGGCTGCATATTCGACAGGCCAATGACCACTCAGGGCATGACCTTTGAGCCTTGAGACTGCCCGACTGTGCTGCAGGCGGCCTTCTTCAGCAGCCCCAACTTCAGCCTAAAAATCGCCACAACATTGGCTTGGCCACCGAATCTTTACCTTGAAGGGCGAAAGAAAGGAATATTTGGAAGAATAGAGTCGGGTCCAAACGAGATGCAGAACAAAGAATGCATTCAAGCGCAGGCCTTGCAGACAGGGTTTCAGCTGAGGCCCGCCCTCGATAGGACCTTGTTGGCACAGGGGGCCATGACTGCAGCGATTCCTTCGGCACGTGGCTGGAGAACGCCTCTCTGTGAGGTATCGAGCAGGCAATGACGCCCTTGCCCTGTGACCCACCGTGAACATTCTTTGTTCTGCCATGGCTTGATGGGAAGCAGGCAAGTCATGTGGTGGCGGAGCGTACTCGAAGGGCTCGGACGAAGCGAAGATGAGCCGGTCAAGCGGCTCCAGAAGGAGATGCATTGCTCAAACGGACCGAGCGCTGCTGACTTTGACATCAAAGGCTGATGTCTGAGTCGTGGAGAAAATCGAGCGCGGGAAGCCAACTGTTGATGGACTGATCGTCGGCCGGCTTGATAACAAGCCAATGGCAACATGAAACGAGGCAAGGGACAGGGCTGCCCGGTGTCCCTGCACTCCACGACGACGCTCAGGCGAAAAGGAAATGTTCCGAGTGGGCAGGTATGGGCTAGAAAGGCGCGGGCAGCTGCGAGTGTGCGTGGCCAGAGGACTCTTTGGCTCGGAAGAGGTTAAGGTAAACGACCAGAATCAGGGCTTTGTTGCTCGATCGACATGGTCCAGGGGTTGGAAGATGTGGGTGAGGGCAACGGGGCGTAGCCTCACCGGTAGGCTGAAGCTTCGAAAATCTCCAAGCATCTTGGGCACCAGCTGGAATGCGAGGGGTCAGCATTTGCTGGCCCTTTCGACCAGAATTAAAAGGGTCTCGAATTGGATGCCCTCAAAAGGGACAAAATTGAGCAGAGTGGAGCTGGGAAGAAGAGCAATCGTTGGTTGCGGACGGGGTGCAATTGTTTCCACGGTCCACCGCGCTGCTAGCCTGCTGCGGCCCGCAGCATGTTGTCATCTCAATCTGCAAGTATGTCGTGCGCACTTCCGGAAGATGCTCCATGGGGCGGGTTTGGAAGTCGAGCAAGGGGCGGAGCCGCGTGGAGTGGACGATCTAGCCCTGGCCAAAACAGCTCAATTGGTTGCAGCAAGGAAAAGGCTGCCAGCCTGGATATGGGGCTGTGATGAAGGGGCTGATGAGACTGCTATCAAGAGGATAGGAGGTGGAGGTGGATGTCGAGGAGGAGCAGCGGGAGGTGGTAACGGTGGTGGTGATGGTGGTGTCAAAGGGGTACCAAGAGGAGAAGAAGAAATGATGATGCGGTGGCTCGAGTCTAGGGTCTGATGATGGCAAGTGGTGGTTGAGTTGGTTGAGGTGGTAGAATGGTGAGTGGAAAGGTTGAGCGACTCGGAGTACGAAGTAATGGTGACTTCCTACCGCCTCTGCTCTCCAGTTTTCCGTCCATCCTCTGTACCTGCGGACATCCAGCGCTCTCACCACCAACCCTTCTATGCGAATACTTCAATTCCAACACCCACATCGCGGCCTTGACGATTTGCCCAGACTCCTGATTTGGGGCTGAAGGAGGGTAAAGGCCAACTCTCCATGTGACAATCTATGAGGCCATGACTGCTAATTTCACGGTTACAGCTGTCAACCACCAATTTCTGATGGAATGCGCCCTGCGGATCGCGCCCCGTACGTCTACTGCTAGCATTCTTAGGTTTTGCTTGTTCATGAGAATGTCTCTAAATGCAAACCTATTGATAACTGACCGCACTCCCGATCATTCTGAGGGTACAACTTGTCCTTGATCTCGGCATGTTTAATCTGCTTGAGCATTGGTGGGTCGCCCACACCTCACGATTCTACTGCTAAACCCAGCAAGCTAAAAAGAAGTTCAGACTGGGCAGGAATCGTGGATGGCAAGGCATATCTCCGCTGTACGGTTGGGCCACCGCGGTGAAGGACGATTCCCCTTCTTTCGAGCCTCCAGCGAAGGGCACTTCTGCGGCCGTTTGGGAGAATCCAGGGCAAGCTTGATCTATCTCTCTGAAACCTCGAGTTGCCTTTGGTTGGCCTTGACAAATCCCGCGACTTTGACGGGTTCCACGAAATCGGCCTTGTTTGCAGCTTGGACCATCAGTTCGTCTTTCATGCTGGCCATGGTGTCACCACCTTGGAGGCTGTCTTGGGACCCTTGAAAGGCGTCGACAGCAGAGAGACGAACAGATTCTTCGTGGCATTCACTCGCGCCTTCCATGGCCTCCCGAAATGCCCGGCTGACCTTGGTTTGGAATAGCTCCAGATGTGGGCATTCGGCCCTGTTTTGCACCCTGGCTCAGGCGATGATGCTTCTCAAGATGATCTCTCCAGAAAGATGCTATGGAAATCCGGATGTTGCCACGCCGTGCCAACCTAATCGTTCCATGTGGTGCCAGGCTATAAAACCGTTGCCGCTGGCTCGTACTTCCCCGATGCAGGTCCAGAATCCACACTGCTGTCGAGCAAAATGCTTGGTTCGTCTCAGCAGGAGGGAATCGCCTTTTGCAAGGCCCATCGGGCGGTGACAGTCCTGGAATAGTTTCCCTTTTCGGGCTATTTTGATCTCGGCTGGCCAGCAACCATAACAGAAATCGGCATTGACACCTTAACCTCCTATGCCAGGCGTCTTGCTTCGTGGTTCCGCTGGACCCTGGAGGTGTCAAGCTTCGGCACCGCTCATACATCTGAGTCTGTAAGGGCAAGATCAGGCGGAAGGGCCAAGCTGACGTGTTTGTGCGAGCCCGTTTGCCAGTGTTGTGGAGGCCGCGAGGACCATCCATCCACGGCTGGGCAACGGACGAGACACAATGCAGCCGATCGAATCATTTGAAGTCAGCCATGTTTGATGGCTGCTATCCTATTCGTTATGTCTTTCGTCACCACCACGATGACCGCTACCGCTGTTTCGAGTAACTGGCTCCCATATCGCTCGCTCCCTGTTTCAGGCGGTCCATGAGCGTTGACGAAACAACTCAGCGACCACCTTAAACGACTTGTCCTACCCGCTGTCACCAGTTTCACGTGAATCAACATGCTTCTTCTAGCACTCCCTTCACAGCCTCCTCATGACTCAGAAGCAAGATTTTGAATCCATTTCTTGCTCGTTCTTGAGCGCGAAGTCATCTCACCCGTTCCAGGCCCTCGACGCGCAGTTCTGGCCTGAGGGCGACCACGAGGAAGAAGCCACTTACGAGACCTGGAACATGCTATTTCGAGGAATCCGTACTTGAATGGGGCTGAGGACAGCTCCATCACGGCACCGACTTTATCTTTTGAAGGAACGATGGTCCCTTCGTTCAAGATGTCGAGCGGAGGGAACGAGCTATCCAATCGCCAATCTGTACTGGCTCGGTGACCGATGTGTAGGTAGATGAGCTTCCTTCTGTTGAACCAGGCCAGGGCGGGCATCTGTTATCATTTCGGAAGTTCTATGCAACATGTTCCTTTTGCTATTCATCACAAGTCCCGTTCATGCTGTGACATACGTATTGTGTGGCATAAGGCCGGCCACTTCCATTTCCAGGCCCAAGCCCTTTTTTTTTCTTTTTAAAAATGGATCCTCGTCATTTCGTGGAGGCTTTCTCGTACATTTTTGCCCTGTTTCTAGCTCTGCGGGGGGGATCACAGTCTACTAGGTCGTCCTCTTTGCAAACTCCACTCTCAGGATCAAGTGTCTGTAACCGAAGCCATCCATCTTCTCACACGCCCTGGCGGCATCAGATCTGTCCACAAAGGAGATAAATGCAAACCCCTTGGCACGGCCGGTATCTCTGTCTTTGGCGAGGAAGACTCTGGTGACGCGGCCGAACCGCTCGAAGAGATCGCGCAGCTCTTGCTCTTCGGCCATCTCGGAGACCTAATTCGATGAATAGATTAGTATATGCGTCCCAAGTGATCGATGGATGAGAAACACGTATTCGTATTGACGGGTGGAAACTCACATTCGTAACTCGCAATGTGGCCAAGTCGTCTCTCTCGTACTTTCCGCCCATCCTCTCTCCGGCTCCTTGGGCTCCTTTCCTGAGATGCGGAGGGACGTAACTGCTGCCACCAGCGCCGAGTCCACCTTGGGCTTTGGGCCCGCCAGATTCTTCGTCTTCGGCCATGGGATCCGCCACGGGTGTTGTGCCATCGTCCGCGGGGGCCATCGTGTCCTTGAAGGGACATCTGGCCGTGAAATGCTCGCCCTGACAGATTCGACACTTCACCTTCTTGTCTCTCAGTTGCTCTTTTAGAGATTTCTCCTCGGCCTTGCCGCCGCCCGCTTTGGCCTCTTCGGCCTGCACATTCTTCCAATCGCGACTCGGTCTGAAGAGGATGTTCTCGCCCACGGAGGTGGTATCGGGTTGCGGGCCTTTGGGTTTACCCTTTTCAAGCCCAAATTTGTCCCAGGTGCGCCGCTCAGCGACGACCGGGTTGACTTTTTCCTTGTGTGTGGTGATGCGCGTCTTGCGTGTGACTTTGACCTTCTGGCCCTGGTCATTGAAGCGGTAGAAGACCGTCGTCCGTGTGCCATCTTTGTTCACCGTCGTCACAGGCGCGGGCAGCGCAGAGGGATCGTTGATCTGTTCAGAGTCGGAGACATCGTCGGCCCAGTCTGGGCGGCTGCGGAATTTCCAAGATCGCTGGTTAGGGAAACTTTTCTCTTCCAACTTCATCGTTGCGATGCATGAGGAGAGGGTACTTACGTTGCGGTCTTTGACATCTTGGTGTAATTTGCTATTTCCTTACAAACAGAAGGTTCGAAACCTGAGTATTGTCAAAGTATGAGTCTGGGGAGGACGGAAGGCAAAAGTCCAGAACTGATATCCCACATATTTTCGTATGTCACTGCGCCTGCACCGCCAAAGATGGCTTAGCTCTGCCAAGAGCGACGAGGCTGTGCGACTGGTGGCGAGGCTGACCAAACTGCATTTGCCCCTGAGCTTCACCTGTCATGATACATCTAAGCTACCTCTCCTGTAGTTCATCATTGCTGTGCTCAAGTGTCATTTTGTTGAACTCTTCTAAGAACCATCTGCACGGCTAGAGCATCGTACGTATTGAACAGGCCTATCGCCCCTGCCCTCCGTATGTTCAACCAACAGCCCGCCTTGCACTTTCCTTCCATGATCAGCCCTGAGCTCTCCTGGCCTAGCGGATGTCGCACCATCTGCATTCTGAACACCAGCGACATTCTCTGACAGTCCCCAATTGAGTCCCAACACCTTGCGCCGTGTTTATCTCTTCTCAATGAGACGACTTGCTTCTTTTCCCACGAGGAACTGGTTGATCGAATTTCACCAGAATGGTGGGTTTGACGAGAACAATTTCCTTGCTAGAACCTGTAGATTTGCGCACAAAGGCAGGATATACAAGAAAAAGAATCTCACCAACTCTACCATCTGGACCTGGAATTGGCACTGCCGAAGAACTCAGTGTGGAACCAGTCCCGCAATCAATAACCGTGAAATTTTTGACTTTCTCCTCGAAGAGTACTGCAGAACCGACCCTGAAGTCGAATGCATATTCGGCCATCGACTGCCGGATGTTGTTGGCCAGATCTGCTGCTTCTTTGACAATTTCACGACATATCACGGGATCATTGGAACGGCCGTGAAGCCCCATCTCCTTCAAGAGCATCGGACAGTGCATAATGACGGCCTCAATCTCGCTCAATTTCTTCTGGCGCTGCTCTTTGAAACGTTCATTTGTGTTGAAAGCTCGTTGCAGGTCAACGGCCCACATCAGGATAGCATCCTTATCTTTGCTCGGTTAGTCATGAAGCAGCACTAGAGGAGATCCTCTCACCTTTCGCAGGGTTCAGAGCGTGCAGCCCATCAATGACCATTCCCAGACATGCTTCTGTGGAGGGGTCCAGGCCTGGGAAGATTCTGTCCTTTTCAAGCAGATTCTGATGCAAGTAACGGGCGACCAACACCTGCATTATTGGAATCTGAACGTTTCGGTCCTCTCCAGCGAGTGTCAGATATCTTTGCGGAAGATACTCGCTCACCAGGTTTCTTCGATCTTCGGATTTTCCGACCCATGCAAGGGTACCGATGAAGTCTTCCGCGTCATCAAACTGGTTGTCCAACCAATACTCGATAGTTTTGCACAAAGTGGTGTATTGACTTTGCAGTTGAGTATCGGCCATCCCTTCCACCGGCAGCATATTGAAGATGCGGTCTTTGCAGCTCTCTAAGTTTTGCGACAAGTCCTCTTTCTCGGCTCTTAACTTTCTCAGCTCACTTTCCAGACTTGTGATATGATCGATATATTCGCTTTCACGAATGGCCATCACCTCATGCTGGTCTCCAAGTTCCTGCTTGAGTCGATCATTTTCTCTAGTAAGCATATGAATGCTGCATTGCATGTCTTTTTCCGATGCTCGAACTGCTCTCTTGTCACTCTCACTATCTCTCGCCTGGCGAGCTGTAACGGGCTTGTGAGGTACAGGAGGTTCGACAGATTCTCCACTTGCGAAGCCGCCAGGTGAAGCTTGGTGCTGGTTGCAGGAATCAGGTCCACTGCGAGACTGTTCGGACCGTCCCCGCCCTTCTAGCTGCTGCTGACTATCTGCGCCAGTCGAGCGGAACAGCAACTTGCTCAAGTTTGGGATGATCGAGGTACCTGAGCTCTTCCATGTGGCAGGGTTATGCGGTATTTCCGTTCCTTCTCTCTTTGATGATTCCATGCCATGGACTTTGTCTCCCTTTGAGTGGTGCCTGAGGGCTGCGGACGGCGAACGGCGGTGAAGGGAACTTTTCTCTTCAATGATTGATGGTTCACTAGGAGTGGAGACACTTGTCTTTTTGTGGGACTTGTTTTGAAGAGCGGGCTCTTGTTCCATGACTTTTGTATTTGACGGGCAGAGTGGTGAGGGAGGCCAATTGATGAGAGCCCTTTTTTGACGAGGATTTTGAGATGCAGGATGAGGTGGATCAAAGCAGCGCACTTTGAAGCTGATGAAGTAATGTTATGAGAGCGATATAGCAAGTGATGAGTGTGAGAGAACAAAGAAAGGAGTCCGCGTGAAGGTTGCAGAGGTAAGATCTTTTCAAGGGAAAGTCTTCAATCACTCTTCAGTTCTGCCTCACCGTCATTGTTGAGCACTCTCCTAACTAATGATTCACTTCAGGACCCCCAAAGGATCGCCCTTTCTTCCACTGCCTGGCACTGGGCTATCAATTCTAAGTTTCATCCCAAGTTCTTCCATCTCAACGTTCTGCATCTTTACAAGTTCTCTTGTTATTATAGAGTTTCCTCCAGAAGCTGAGAACTATGGCTCCGAATCGCGATCACAAACCCGCAGCATCTGCTCAGCCTTCTCGGCAGATATTTGTTGCCGTTGATTTTGGCACCACCTTTTCTGGGGTCGCCTGGGCGCAGACTGCTCGTGTAAGTTATGAAGAATTGTCCTTGGGTTTACCTACTAATCGTAGTAACAGCCGGACGTGCAAACGGCAATCCTTCAGTGGCCTGACACGGATGGCTCACTTGAGGGACAAAGCAGCGAAAAGGTTCCAACCCAGCTGTGCTATGTCGGTACTGAGTGTCTATGGGGTTTCGGAATTCCCGAGGAAAAGGCTCGTTACCAGTGGTTTAAGCTTGATCTCGATCCCAGCCAGAAGCAGAATGGGGTGTCTCTCCTGTCCGTTGACTATCCCGACCCCAAAGCTCTGCCTCCAGGATACAACGACAAGCCGAGCGCAATCAAAGTGGCGACGGATTATCTTGCAATGCTTCATCATCACACTGAAAAGATACTCAGGTTGAAACTAGGCGACAGTATTGTGGACACCACCCCGCTTCGCTATACCATTACTGTGCCTGCCATTTGGAGCGATGCTGCGAAGGCTAAAACCCAACGATGTGCGTTTGCCGCCGGGATGGGACATGATATTCGAATGGTTTCGGAGCCAGAAGCAGCAGTCATTTACGCTCTTGATGCGATGGACCCGCATAACCTTCAAATTGGCGACAACTTCGTTCTCTGTGATGCAGGAGGCGGTACTGTCGATCTGATCACATACACCATCGTATCGCGAAAACCTACCGTCAAAGTACGGGAGGCAGTGCCTGGTGCGGGAGCTTCCTGCGGGAGTACATTCTTGAACCGCATCTTTCAAAAGTATCTAGAAGAAAATCTCAGCGATCTGGATGGGTTTGACGAGGATACCTTGGAAGACGCCATGAACGAGTTCGAGAACATCACGAAGCGCAAATTCACCGGGCAAGAAGAAAGCATAATCGTCCGTGTCCCTGGACTGACCGACAACGTCGAGAAAGGAATCAAGCGTCAAAAGCTCACAATCAAGGCAGCTGTCCTCAAGGATCTTTTCAGCCCGGTCATGACTGCCATTACAACTCTTGTCAAATCCCAACTACAACAATCAAAGCAGGCAAAGGCAGTCATTCTCGTTGGGGGCTTCGGCCAATCACCCTATCTTCGTAGTTGCCTACAGCAGGTTGTCGGAGAGAACATCGAGATCATGCAGCCTGCGTACGGTTGGACAGCTGTAGTCCGGGGTGCGTTACTGCACGCCCTCCATGATACGACTCCCGACGAATTAAGGATCAATATCGCTTCAAGGCGGGCCCGGCGAGCATATGGAACATTGCGATTGGAGTGGATCCGAAACGACGATCCCGAGCACATAGGTCGTCCGAGGTAGGAGACCCGTCCTGAATCCCCAAAGCCTTTACTGAATTGATCAGAACATGGAACTCCTATGAAGGACGTTACTCGCTCGACGCTATGAGATGGTTTGTGGAGAAGGTACGATTCGTTCCGATCGAACGAATGAAGTTTTAAACGCTAACGTGTGTTCAGGGTCATGAGGTTGACCAAAGAAATCCGCTTGTTACTCCCTGGTACATGTCGAGACCGGTGTCCGAAGGTCCATTTCCGGTCAGAAATTTCACTCTGTACACTTTCATTCCTGAGGAAGAGGAGCACGCACCGAGATTTCCTTGCGAAGGTAGGGGATCCCGCAAAACCTAATGTCCATCTTCATGAAGAAGTTGTACTGACATCGCGCAGAAGTAAAGGAGTTTGTGGAGCTAACCGCTGACCTAGCTGCCATTCACCACAGCATGATTCCGATCAGAAAGGGTAAAGACGGGCAAATGTATTATGTACTGGAATACCAGATCAAGATCGCGTTCTTCTCAGCACACATGGAATTCTCCCTGTGGTATCTGGGCACAGAGTATGGCAAGGTGAAGGCCGAGTTTCTCTGACTGCGCCTCAGTCGTCGATCCTTATTTTCACCACGAAAGATGGAGTTCTGATTGTTGAGCTTGAAAGGGGGATATGCAGTTGAAAGACGCCGGAATAAGTGGGGGCGGCTCTGCCTCACATTCGAGGAACAAGTTGCCGAGCGGAGAGAGAAGTATGGGCAAGGGTGTTCGCATATGGCGACTGAGCAGAGTCGGACATGTGTTTGAAGAACCAAGGCTTTTCAGCAGGTTGTTCTCGGGCTGAAAGAGGGAAAATGTAACAATGAGTGCAAAGCAGTCCGTGAGCCCAAACCATCAGTGAGGTCTTGACAATCCAGTGGACTGGAATGAGCTAGTGATGATCGGCCCTGCAACGGAGCATATTGAGACACATGAAGTCTTGAAAATCCCGTGGAGTGGAATGAAGCAAGCGATAGTGCGGCTTTGCGGCCTGAGCCAATTGTGAATGAGATGGCGAAATGGAGAATTAGCTCGGTTGTTCAAAACACAGTTCAAAATGACCTAGGTATCTACTCGAGGTTTCACGACCTTAATTCTTAATGTCATTCATCCACAGGCTAGAGCGAGCGGTGCGGAATAGGTTCTAACCGAGCAGAAAAAGATCGGGGGAAACGAAAATCTCAAAACAGCGTCAACAGAAAAAGGATATCGACCCGAGAGTGGAAAGGTCAACAATTTTGCTATAATCTGCGCCAGAAAAAACTAGCCTATATGACAATTGCGGACCAACCAAATGCACGCGCGCCCGTCCGCCCGAGCTCTACGACCGACCGTACCCTGGCCCTGGCACTCTTAGCTCCACAATCACTCGGGGCCCGAGCCAGCCACCGCATGGAGCGCAGCGCAGCGCAACGCTCATAGCTTGCTCTTGGAGACGATCAGCGAGTTGCCGGTCTGGAGGCACTTGACGGCGTCGTTGACGAACTCGTCGACGATTTCGCGGGCGGATTTCTTCTCGTTGACAACCGCCGCAGCCTTGCCCATCAAAAAGGGGCGAGCATTCTCCATGTCCTCGTCAGACAGATCATCGCCCTTGGTCTCGAAGTCGTGTTCAACCTGTGACAGAATAGTCAGTAACCTTGGAGGATTTGGAAAACAAAGCGATATCAAAAGGAGATCTGGAAAGGGGGGAGCAGTAGGGGCCTACCGGAATGACACCCTTCTCGGTCAACTCCTTGATCTCGGCTTGCCGGTTCTCCTCCCAGTTCTTAATGTACTCGTTAGCCCTCACCCGCAGAGGTCGGCCGGTGAAAATGATGGTCCGAATGTTATCATCGAAGCCGGCGGTGCGGACGGCTTCCTGGTGTGCTTTGGGTGCACCAGCTTCCTCGGAAAGCACGAAACGCGTTCCGACCCAGACGGCAGATGCGCCAAGCATCAGGGCCGCCGCCAGGGATGCGCCACTGAAGATACCTCCCGCCGCAATGCATTGGACGGGTTGGCCGGTGAATTTGGAGGGTGGCGCTTGGGCGCAGAGTTTGGCAACGGCGGGGATGAGCACGGAGGTGGGTGTATCACCCTATTGGGCTTATTAGTGCTCCGGCTACAAGCAATGAAAGGAGGGAGAATCCTTACGGTGTGACCACCGCCTTCACCACCCTGAGCGCATATTAAGTCGACACCAAGGTCAAGGCATTTCTTCACGTGCTTGACGTGGCCAATCATGTTCTGCGGAGGAAACAGTCAGCCAGACCATCCCAGTGGACACGATTCGGGGCGACTCACCATGTAGAGAATGCCGTGTCTGTGAAGCTTGTCCACGACGTCCTTTGGAGGAACACCCACGGCAGAGACTATCTCAGACAGTCAACATCAATTACCACACACAGGAGTTGGACCATAAGCCGCCGCTTACCGAACAGCTTCGCGCCAGAGTCAATGATGATGTCGATCAACTCGTTGAGCTTGCCCTTGGTATAGTCGTAGCTAAGAAGGCCATCAGCAAACGGGTAATCCGGGTGGTTATGGCCGCCTCTCACTTTGTCTTTCTTGCACTCCCACCGACCTGGGGAAGGAGAAGGTCGACACCGAAGGGAGCATTCTTGTCGTTGAGATAGCTTTTGAGCTCGGCAACCTGTTCCCGCAGCATGTCTGGGGTATAGCCAACCTGCAACACATCAACACGTGTCCACCATGATCTGAGTTTCCATGTTTTTCCTTACACCACCAATGACACCAAGACCTCCGGCATTGGTAACTGCGGCAGCCAATTTAGGGCCAGCTGCCACGTTCATACCAGCCAACAGGACCGGGTGCTTGATCTTCAAGAGATCTGTGGCCGTGGTTCGGAGTTGCTGAGGGGACGACATCTTGATTTAAGGTGGTTTAGGGATGTCCTGGAAGAGGGTTGACTGATAGGATCTGTCGTCGGTATCTGGGAGCTCAGACGAATCGATGATGCTGCGGAGGCTCAACACGAAGATATATCTAACACACAGCGAAGGTCCAGAGACTTGTTTAGAGAAGAAAAAGCCGAAGAACGCAAAGTAATCAAGAAAAACTGAGGGAGAAGGGGACCGATTAATGCGAATGCAGTATCGGATGCGAGCGTGTGGAAGCGGTGGCAGCGGTGGAAGCGCAGGGAGAGTGAATGAGTGAGTGAGTGAGTGAGTGAGTGAGGCCGCTTCCCAAGTACCGAGGCATCTCCCCGATTCTGGGCAAATCGGTCCCTGCTGGTCCCCACTCGCCCACAAACTCCTCCACAATAACGCGGAATACGGCCCTGATACGACATGGCTTGATGGTTAATTTTGTGAAACGCCTGACTATCTCGGCTGGAACCCTTTTATTCTTTGTGGAGAAGCTCGCATGCTCATCAGATACGGCCGCACTGAATCCTCACCGGACCCCGTTGCGCATGCACTTTTATCCGGTGCCAAGGCTGCAGATGCGGAGGCGCCTCCCTCACTCGGTTAAGCTGCCACTTTGGGCGCCACGCGGTGCGCCACGAGGCTCGATTTTTCGATTAACTCCTTGACTCTCTACCAAATTGCTGGGGGATATACGCTCTTGTAGCAACTCGAAATCACCTTCGATTCGTCTTGTCCAGAGCTTCTGCTGTTGTGGTTTTGGTTGCTGCCAACAGCTAGTCCCCTTCTGTTTCAGTCTATTCACCTGCCTCTATTGTCAGATTAAGCTCGTATGTCCATCAATCTGCTCAGCACTTTCAGCCGGTTTCCTCGCGTAAGGATTTTGCCTCCTGTGGCCAATCACACATGCTCTCTGGAAATCCGACAAGATCTACATGCAAGTAAGACCCAGCACTGTCTGCGATCGAATGTGCGCAAACGCACATTCCTGACTGCATTCGCCTTTCCGAGAAGGAACGTGAGAGATTCTTCTTTGCAGCAGCATCCCCTACAACCCAACTCATTTTCCTTGACTACACATCGGCCAATGAGCCAGATCAATGCAGATATGAAGTCCCCAAGCTCGGCTCCAGGTAGCCTAAATAAAGCGGTGGTTGCGTTCGGTAGCAATCTGGGGGATCGGCTTGCTACCATCGAGGCCGCAATTTCCAAGATGAGAGAAAACGACCTCCGAGTTCTCAAGTTGAGCTCCTTATACGAGACCAAACCTATGTACTATGACGATCAAGACCCCTTTCTGAATGGTGTCTGTCAAGTTGAGACCAGCCTTGAACCGCTACAATTACTGGATGTCTTGCAGGCAATCGAGAATGACCTAGGCCGAAAACGCTTGATTGACAAGGGGCCTAGGACAGTAGACCTTGATATCATCCTCTATAACCGCGACCTCTTCAAGCACCCTCGTCTCAATATTCCGCATACGCTGATGCTCGAAAGGGAGTTTGTTCTCAGGCCTCTGGCAGAGTAAGTCTGGGATGTATCAATCTCGCCAAAGCTGACATCTGCTAGTATACTGCCCGACGAGCATCTTCCGGCGGACTTCTCACCAAGTGCTCCATACCGCCGCATAGGTCAATTATTGGAGGCTCTTCCAGAGAAAGATGCCACTATGTCCCCTGTAACCGTTCTAAGGCCACAAATACCACTCGTCCGAACGCACGATGCAACTCGCAAGACTCATGTTATGGCCATTTTGAACCTGACGCCTGACTCCTTTTCCGACGGAGGCATTCACACGTCTAGAGGCGCTGAATCAATAAAGACAACTGTTGCGAGCTTTATCGCTGCAGGTGCCAGCATCATCGACGTCGGTGGACAAAGCACTCGCCCGAAGGCCGACTATCTTGGACCTCAGGAGGAGCTCGAGCGCATCCTTCCAATTGTTCGCGTGATCAGAGAGATGAAGGAAGCGGACAATGTCGCCATCAGCATCGACACTTTTCACTCCGACGTAGCCCGCCAGACAATCCTTGCTGGTGCAGACATCATCAACGATGTCTCGGCAGGTTTGTTAGACCCTCAAATGCTGCCAACTGTGGCTGAGTTGGGAAAGACCATTGTCCTAATGCATATGAGAGGAGATCCGCACACAATGACAAAACTCACCAACTACCCAGATGGAGTCATCAACGGAGTAGCCCGAGAACTTTGCGAGCGTGTTCAAGCTGCCTTGGCCGCCGGCATCGCTCCGTGGCGCATCATCCTTGATCCGGGCTTGGGCTTCGCAAAGGACCAGGAACAGAACCTCGAACTCCTGAGAAGTCTCCAGCGACTGCGGGAGCAAACAGAATACTCTCCTAGCCTGATAAATTACCCCTGGCTTATGGGTCCAAGCCGCAAGGGATTCGTTGGCAGTGTTACCGGGGTGTCGGAGGCTTCCAAGCGGAGCTATGGTACTGCTGCCACCGTTACCGCCAGCATTGAAGGTGGTGCCGATATTGTGCGAATACATGATGTTCACGAAATGGTGCAGGTCACCAAGATGGCCGACGCTATCTATCGGCGGCCCTGAAGCGGATGACCTGCGCATATGACCCGCACAAGCGGATTGCAGCTGTCATCATTAGTCAAGGCTCTTGGTGCCGCTCAGGTCAATACTCTGAGCAGGGCGGACTGTCTCAGTTCTTGTGACAGTTGTATAACATGGATTCTGCAGCCCTCAAAGAACGAAGAACGCAAACCGCATCTCGAATAAGGCCGTCACGCAGTCTTTGGCAAGGCTGCGACAGCCTCGCGGGGTTCTTGGCCAGTCAACACGGAATGAGGTCATGACCAATCGATCTTCATGCAGGTACGAACCACCGCCCGCCATTCTTGCCTTTCATCTTCCTACCTTGAAAAGACGATCATCAAACTTTTCTTTGTATTGCGATACGTTCTCGGTCATCCACATTGACCAGTAACCCGTACTCAGTACACATTCGCTTCAGCATATTCCCACATCATGCCTTCTAGCAAGCATCCCATAGGCCTCCGCTGGCGAGCAAGCACTCTTTTCATCATCGCTACAGTTGCCATCGGCTTATTCACCGACCTCTTCCTCTATGGACTTGTTGTCCCTATATTACCATTCATGCTCCAAGAGCGTATACATCTCCCTGAAGACAAAATCCAATCCTGGGTGTCTGGGCTTTTGGCCGCCTATGCCGGCGCTAGTGTCGTCTTCTCCATACCCGTGGGGGTCGTCGCTGACCGCACCAATGCTCGGCGGACGCCCTTCCTTTGTGGCCTTGCCGCCTTACTCGCCGCTACCATCATGCTGGCTCTGGGTCAGAATATCCCAACACTTATTATAGCCAGGGTTCTGCAAGGGACCAGCGCCGCTGTTGTTTGGACCGTGGGTTTGGCCATGGTGCTGGATACCGTGGGTCCTCAGAACCTTGGTAAAGTCATTGGAACGGTAAGTACCCTAACTGAACTACTGGCGAAGACGGGATCTCATGCGGATGACAGATTTTCTCAATAATATCAGTCGGCGAGCTGGCGGCCCCGGTTCTTGGAGGGGTCCTGTACCGCGAGACAGGCTATGGAGGAGTTTTTGGGCTAGGTGCGGCATTGCTTGGAGTCGACTTTATCATGCGGATTCTGGTGATCGAGAAGAAAACCGCAGTGAAATACGACAAATCTCTTGCAGAAATTGACAACCCCTGTGACGCCGAATCGCGAGGCGAAGGAATGGATAGCAGGGATGATGGCAGCGAAGAGGCACCTCTGTTGCCGAAAAAGGAGGAAGGTAACTACCGCATCCCAGACGGTCAAAACAGACTGGTCCGAAGCCTGCCCATCCTCTACTGCCTATCCGACCCCCGACTTCTCGTTGCTCTGCTCCTTGCATTCGTCCAAGCGGCGCTCCTCGCCACCTTCGACGCCACTATTCCCACCGAAGCCCAGACCCTCTTCGAGTTCGATTCGCTAGAAGCTGGTCTCCTCTTCATCGGCCTTGACATCCCTTGCCTCCTGCTCGGCCCCCTTGCGGGCTGGGCGGTGGATAAATACGGCACAAAACCCGCTGCGGTCCTTGGGTTCGGCTACCTTGTCCCAACCTTGATCCTGCTCCGCTTACCCTCTGCGCAAATCGCCCCCAGCCGCACGGCCAACATCGTATTATACTCGGCGCTTCTCGCCCTCAACGGCATCGGCCTCGCCATCATCGGCTCCCCCTCCATCGTCGAGGCCTCGGACGTCGTCCAAAAATACGACAAGGCCAACCCAGGCCTCTTCGGCGAGAACGGGCCCTACGCGCAACTCTACGGCTTTAACTCACTCGTGTTTTCTGCCGGCTTGACCGTCGGTCCCATCCTGAGCGGGACCCTCAGAGACACCATAGGGTATGCGAACATGAACGTCGTGGTCGCGGCCATCGCGGGCGTCACGGCCGTGTTGAGCTTCTTGTTCGTCGGCGGCCGGCCGAAAATTCTGAAAAAGAACAAGAGACAGCCGAGTAGTGAGAGATAGAGTCTCTCCAATGACTCCTCTGGCAAAGTCGAGCCAAGGGCCCAGCACATGGATTGAAAATTTCCTTTTTGTTTTTCATTTATAGACGTTAGACTATACTTTAGAAACACAGCGTTCTTTTGGGTCCTCTGAATAAAACATTATTGTTTTTCTTCCTTTTTTGCCCCCTTGAGGCAATCGTAGGAGGCATCCGACGTACATTTCTACCTTTTTAAAACGCGTCAGAATTCCCTGTTTAGGCTCCCCAAAAAGCAAGTGTGATTGGGGAAAGTTGAGCAACAGGGACATGCCGTGGATTGAGGATTTTCCCATTTTTATTATGAAATTTTACAGTAAGACTTTATTTGGAAGGCCACCGTTCTTTGGGACTTTGAAGAAATATTATTTTGTTGGGGCAGTCGTGGGAGCACCCCATGTACATTCCAAACGCTCGTCGGGAAAAGTACTGTGTCAACCTCCCAAGTGCCGTATCTATGATCTGGGCTTCCTCGCCTGCCCTAGACTACGCAGGTTTGGGAATGTCTAATCAAAAAAGCCCAGCCCAAGCCTTGACGCATAAAAAGCAGCTCGCCCCAAGCAGATACTGCCAGAGGAGCCGCTTCTGCAAGCTACACTGAAAATGGGGCCTCCAGCGCTCGAAGCCTAGTGTAAGGTCTTGAGGTTGGTTGTCACTTGGTGCCACAGAGACTTCTCTCTCTGTCGACTAAAGAAAGGTGGTGTGAATATGGTCCCACCGAGAGCATTCGACTTTGTCGGAAAGACGACGCCAGGGAAGTCCATCGACAATGGCGGAAACACTCGTTTCCTGTGTTCAAGGCTCCAAAAAGTCCCAGTCATGGTCACTTGGCGGGATTCCAGAAAGTGTTGTTGCCACGGTTAGACAAACATCCACGCCTCCGCTCGAGAAAGGCTGGTCTGCGAGGTGCATTTCGTCATCAGGAGGCATTTCCAAACCCGCATCGCAGATCTGGGAAGAGTAAAGACCTCCGGCGACCTCCAACGGAGGAGGACTCTGCTCCTCCTTTTTGGTCATGTTCGGCTCGAATCGGAGCCAGTGGAACTGGGGCCGAGGAGGCGGCGGTTCTCCCGCCTGAAGACACCATTCGACTTCCTGTTCCCAGTAGTGCCATCGGCACAACTCGTCCATGAGGGCGTCCGAGTCTGCCAATTGGCCTGTCTGCTGCAACATGGAAGCGAGGGGCCAGGCAGCCCACCATATAATGAGGCTGTGAACACCGTACATCAGAACGCGGGTATCCAGAACCTTGCGAAGTTGTTTCTCTGCGCCAAGCGGGTCTTGTAGACGTAAAAGAAGAACTGCATGTCGGGCGAGTAGGGTTGAACGAAATAGTTGGAGAACAGGCCCGTGGGCTTTGACATGGGCTTGGTCTTCTTCTAAGAGTTGTGTTGCACTCATTGCTCTGCGATAGCATTGCACTGCCGCCTCGGTATGCCCTACATGTGCATAAGCTCGAGCAGCGATGGACAAACAGTTAATGGTCAGGAGGTCGTGACGGCCCATTGTCCGCTCACAAACTGGCAGGCTGTTGGTTAATAGCCTTAATGCGGCATGATAATCGCCTTTCCACATCGAGTGCCATGCGTAGAGGTAGCCACTGACGAAGAAATTGGGGTGTTCTCTGCCCCAAATCTGCCCAATTTGTGTGTGTGACCGGCCTAGTGAGTCCCCCTGCAACTCCATCTCTTCGAGATCTTTACTGGCCCAAGCTAGAGCATACCGAAAAGGCACCTCGTAGGTGTAACTCTTTCGCATGGCAGGCTGGGAGCTGATGATAGAACAACTGGCAGAAAGAAAGTCGGCAAGTTGCTCCATCCGTTGAGTCTGTCCCAGCACCAACATTGTCCAGCTAAGGCATGGAAGAATGAACTCGTTGTTGTGCTCCAAAGCATACTGCAGGATATGCATTGACTGAGACTTACGGAACTCGAGAATGTCCTCCTGCAAATGCTCGGAAAAACACTGCAAGTAATACGGCGCAGCCCATTGACTGGCGCTTAGTTTGTGGTCCTCGTCGCTCGTGTTTTGGAAGCAGTACACAGGGTGCAAGTAGGCTGAATAGTCGGGAGGCTCACACTTGATCCCCTTACAGAGCGTTCCGATTGACTCACTGAAATCGTAGCTTTGGTGAGAGTGTGGTGGCAGGCAGGAACGGCAGGCATTGGGGTTGAGGGTTGTCTCAGAAGGTGTAGCAAGCACAACCAAGGTCGCCGTCGAAGACATGGTCCTGTTCGAATGCGGAGGAGAATAAGTCTCGTCCTCGATTGGGAGCGCCTCATCGGGTGGACTCAGCAACGTATGAGCTGGATCCGTTTGAAAAAGTGCATTGCCGTTATCGGCCGTGTTTGCGGCAGCGACCGGCCAAGGAAGGTCGCTACAGGGAACTGGCTCGAGTGACGATGGCTGACAGTCAGTGGTTGCCACAATCCCGGTTGGGGGTGAGAGTATGCCTTGACTGCCGACACGGGGCGGTTTGTTTAGCTTTGGTGGAGTGTCAGGAGGAGACGGAGTTTGAGATATCGGATTGTTTGGAGGGACGACGCTGCAGGCTGCTACGGGCTCCAATGCTGACGGAGGAGAATCCTTGTCGTCCTGTCGATCCTGAAATAACGTAGGTGGGCTCCCACCATTTGCAAGTATGTCCCTATTTCGCACAGGGCAAGGTTGTACTGGTAGACCGTTCAGACTTGCATGCCATTGCAGTGATGGAGCGTATATCTGGATTTTCCCGGCACGATTGTGATCCAGCAACAGGTCTTTGTCTCTCCAGGAGATGCCAGCAACCCTCAAAGTGTATTCTGCTTCGCATAGGGATGGGAGTTTGAAAGACTCTCGGTGTAATAGGTATCTTTTCTTGACTCTTTCGCATTCTTTCTTGATTTTTTGAGCGCTATAGGTCACTCGTTCCTCTCTTTTAGGTACCTCGAAAATAACCTCACCCCCACGAGCCTTCCATGAGTCCGCCACTACCAACATGGCGAGATAATGCTGGTGGGGGGTTTTCTTGCGTTCATACTTCCATTCGCTCAGCCTGTTTTTGATCTGCCTCTCGCTCACAAAGAGGCTGCGGAGACGGAGCTGCTTTTGGATGTATTCGCAAGTTCGATTTTCCTTGAGATACCATTTGCGGATGTCGGTCTTGAGAGCCTCCCATGTCTCCCTGGGAGGCTGCGGCGAGCGATCGCCTACCATTGGACGTTGCAGAGCTTTCTGAGATCCAGCTAGGAGGTAGCATTAGAGGATGATAAAGGTCACCACTTGGATGATGAGAAATTGTGCAACGACACAACTGCCTTTGGCAAAGGCGTTAGGCAGATCGGATGTATTCGCAGTAGTGGCAGCGATCACAAGTGTCCGAGAGGCAGACGACTGTGTAGGGCAGGATCTAGAGAGCGCGAGTCCTGCCATTCGTCAGGGGAACAGACTCTTTTTGGCAAATGTTCATGTTGAAAGGGCAGGGACTCGGCGAGATGATTGGCTGGCACTCACTTCGACGCAAGGGAACCGCATGGGCGGCGATGGGCCTAAGGTGTGGTGTTTGGAAACATGAGTGACGTCCAAAAGCTCCCTCTCTTCTCTCGTCTTGCCCTTTTGCCTCTCTCTCTCTCTTTCTCCGTCTCTGGCTCTCTCTCTCCCACCCCTGCGCTGGGTTCGCGGCGTGGCAGGGGGGTGTGCGCACGGGTCGGTTCCGCAGACCTGCAAGAGGAATCTGACCTGTCGGAAATGCGGCAGAAGAATGGCCAGTATGCTTAGCCTGGCACAATGACCCGTGGGATGGAAAAAGTGTCGAGGGGGGTGAGTCCAGCGAGCTTCCTCGTGATGGTTGTCAAGCCAGCTTGCCAGCTTCGGGTTAGATCACTTACACAACAGCAATGTTGTGTAACATGCCCTTACCACTCCGGCATGCTGCTCCGGGCCCAGACGGTGGTAGGTGAAGGCGTGAGCATGTTCAGACTGGACCGGTTCAGCCGTAGCAGCATGAAGGCGACACCTTCAGCAGCGAAAGAGGCAGGAGCAGAGGGAGGATGTCGAGATCGGAGGTTGGAGGGCGGATGACGTGAAAAAGTGACAGGTCACTTCTGCCCACTGCGCATCCCCCACTGGCATACCTAGGTAGGCATGTTAGGATAGGCTCTGCATGTTGCACAGACCCATGCAGCCCTCAGGTCGGCGGTCGAGTCACATATTGTCGATTTCTCGTCTTGCATTGAGTGTGCATGGCCTTCTTTCACCCGGTGGATTGATACCTAGGTCGCTTGACCAATGGCCAGTAAGCCAGTGCTAGGTTTGCTGCCTTGCTGCCTTTGCTAGTAATTTAGTGAGTGCCTAGGTACCTAGGCACCTAGCTCGCTAGGCACCAAGGCACCTACATGTAGGTACTAGGTAGTCACCCTAGTGAGTCCCCAGCTACCTGTACCTCGTAGTTGGCCAAGCACTACAGGGAGCTAGCTCTCAATCATCATCAATGCCGCTACCAAACCACTTTTCCAGCCTGCAGCTGAGGAACCAACTCAACCAAGGGCGTTGTTCCTCTTGTCACAATCCCCTAGATCCATATTGTTGTCTTCGAATTTGCCATCCTCGTCCAGGTTGGGCATCGGGCCCCCCTGCGGCGTCAGTTGGCTGGCAATGGCTGCCTGAAGAATGAGGCCGTTAGTCTCGCCAACGCACCATGGGTCTGGGGCCTCAGTTGCCATCAACACCCCACGATTGGACCTGACTCGACTCGTGTCGGCTTCTATCGTGGCTCGTTTCGCAACAACTGTGACGGATTACGCAGTATTCTCACGCGTGACCCTCCTTCGCTTCTGTAGATTAGTAGACCGACCCATGTGTGGCCCTTTCACAATGGACACTGGGCGGCCGTCGACACTAGCTGACTTTGGATATCCACCTCAACACCAAGTATCGGGCCCTGCTCTGTTCAAAGACGACTACAGCAAACTGTATTTCTGCCAAGGTTGTCCTTTGATGCGGCCCAAATCTGGTCAATATCCGGCCTTGCAGTGCCAGCTTGATCCACGCTTCTCCCGATTTTTCACCACATCCAAGGATTTGGATCCTTCCACTCTCAGTCCCTACCCCGTTCTCGGACACGAGGCCCTGTCATTCTTCAATGTAACTTGAACGCTGCTTTCTTCGGCCACACCTTCCTGCTCAATGCTAACTGTACTATAGGTGGATCCTAATTCGGAGCGTGCACCGGGGAGGTCCTAAAGGCTACCAAATTTTCCCAAGTAGAAGGCGAAAAGGGCGGTTACGCACGATCTGGCAGGAATATCTCGTCGCGATTCTCTGCCCACTTGGGCGCTCCGGACCGTTCAAGTCGCACCAGCCTGTCCTTGCCGATTGTCTGGATAGATTGCTCTATATATTGGCTCACTGTGTATCTCCAACGCCCGCAGTGAACCATTTACCTGGGTACCGGCCATGTGGGCCGTTTGGGGGTTCAAGGAATGGCTTATGGAAAGCAGGCCATGCCTCACTGCCATGGTCTCGCGTCGGTGCCCAACAAAAAGCATGCAATCACAAGACTCATGGCTGGGGGTGAAAGGCTTAGACTCGTGTTTAAATATATATATGTGTATTCATTTGTAGCTCCTTTCACCAGGAGCTTGTTCCTACTGTTTGGAGATAAGCGCATGTCCTTTGCTCCTGTCGACCGCCCTTGGATCGTCGGTTATGCGGCCTGTTCTTCCCACGGTAGGCCGCTTCGACTTTTCAACCAGGAACCGTTTTCTGCATGACTCTTGTCGGATGCTCTTATGCATCCTTGCTTTCGCCCAGGCATAGCAACAAGGACCATGCTGACTCGCCCAGCACTTCACGACACTCCGGGTATTGGTGGCTCTCCTGAAGGTTTTGGGGGAGGTTTAGGTTTGGGAGGCTTATCGTCTTTACCGAAGCCTCTGCGCCGCACGCTGGTTGGATGACCGGATCGTGCATGGTGATTGTCTGCTTCTGGGTTAGGTCTTGATATCGACAGTGACAATGGCGTCGTTGATCTTACCATTCGGAACTTTGTAATTGCCGCAATCAGCGAATGCGGTTGGATATTCGATGACTGTAAAGGGTGGTCAGCAGGTTGAGGTAGTACCACCATGTAGTTCAAAAGCCAAATTGTGTCGTGCATGTCTGGGTTGCACAAACCTGGGGCCAATGGGCGATCCCTGGTATACATGATGAAAGACTGATTTTAGTCCTAGCCTTGCAAGACCCGTAGCCCTCGAGATAGGTAGTCAATCCCCGAAATTCGGAAGTGTTTGTGTCAAATATCTCAATGGACAGAAGAGCTGAAGCCTGAAAGGAGCAGAGAAGACCGGAGGAGGGGATGTCAGCTTTAAAACGGGGGTCGGTGGCATTCCCGCTCAGTGGTCTCAACTCACGGGTCTCCCAGCACCTGTCTGTCATTTCAGGGTACTGCTTTAGCGGAGGGGACTGTCAAACCAGCGCATTTTGCCGGGACTCCGTCAGTGTCCAGTCATTCCGCATGGATTCTTGATCAATGGTACCCTTGGGCAATGAGAATCCGCCGGTAGTCGTGGTGGATGCGAAGACTGACGAGTCATAGGAGTTCTGCCGACCCGTTCCACGACTGATCAATCCGTACTTCCTTTCAAGCCTGTCCCTCAGTGGCTGCGGATGGCGGAGCTTTTACAGCGTTAGCTGTGATGTTCTGACTATCAGCGCCATTTAGCTCCGGTGGCCATCCCCAGTGCATGTGCCCGTGCCTTAGAGCAAGGACGGTCCTGGCGTTTCGGCAAGTGAACGGCTAAGACGTCGAAGAGGCGAGTCTGACCCTAAGAGTTCTCGTTCGTACGAGGACGCCACCAGCCGAGGCCTCCCTCACGTTCTCTGACACTCCGTGAGAAGAGTTGGTGGCCAAACTAGGCCGCAGAGCCGCAACAACCCCGGTGGTTGGACGTCGCGTCGGATGCGTGCCACGACACCGATATCGTGTATTGCAGAACACAGGACAACCGCCGACTGCTGCGCAGTTATCGAGTCTCTTGATCATGATTTTGCCACACGGAGAGCTTGCCTTTTCCCACAGGTCATCTCAAATTCTTCAATATCTTGAGCTGCCCTCCAAACTCCACATCCGTCGATGTTTGGCTATTGGGAGATTCAGGGAAAGGTCGCACACAGCACAGCGAAAAGTATCCTGCGTTCAACGAAAGATACAGGTCGCAAAAAGAAACGATGCGAATAATGTAATCCGAAAAAGGTGTTTCAGAGGCAGTGTTGCGGTCGAAGATGCTCCTGTCGACGGCTGAGACTCACCGCTGACCTGGGTGGCGGCGCCAGTGAAGTGAGCAGACCCAAAGTCGTGTTCGACCAGAAAGGGCATTTGGGCTTAATTGCAGAGGCAGCACCACGACTATCACCGTCTCTTGACTGCGCATGTTCACCTGACACGGCAGTTATCGTGCGGCCTTTCCTACCCACTGAAGCAGGTCATCCTGAGGGCAGGCACTGGGCAATGACGACGCGTGAGTTGATGGAAACTCCAGAAGCGACGCAGGCTTCTCCTCACAACTCGAAACAATAAAGAGAAAAGAAAAGGGCGCGGGAAGAAGGAGTTTATGAAGATGAAATAGAGTTGGCCGGACGCGGATCTTGTGGACGGGGGACGGAAGCGACCGAGGACATAGCGGCAAGTGCATTGGAGATGGAGACGGAGACGGGCAACAGGGAAACAGGCCGAGGGAAGCAGGGACGCAGGGAACTACCGAGTACAGGCAGGGAGCCAAATGGTCCATCTACTCGCTACAAACCCTGCAGCCACCTGAGCAGCCACCGGCAACGCATGACGAGCTCCAGCCCACGGCACGAGAGGTCTCCCCTCGACCTTGTCCTTCTGCGAAGACGATACCTGCCCCGTCGAAGCTACATCCTGGACGATCACCCTCCTCCTCATGTCCAAATCGTGTTGCAGGGCCAACCATGAAAGCTGACGGCCCAAGGAGCGCCCTGTCAGTTGCTGCGGGACGAAGGACACATGTCATAGCTCGACGGGAGTGAACCGCTTCCTGCGTCTAGTGCCCAACAGAGGCTCCGGGGAAAACGCAACAGTTACACCATGCGCATGAACGAAGCCAAAATGGGGTAAACGTCGGCGTCAAGTTCGATTACCCACAGCCCATTGCAGCCACACCATATCATGTGAAACACGGAAGATCTACTGGTCACTTCCCAGCCCAACTCGCCGCCTTGGGAATGAGAACCCTGTCAGTGGTTACAATCCGATACCCAACAAGCTGGCCTCTGGATATCGGCTAGGCTCGGTGAAGACGGCTGCTAGCTATGCCCAGCTGACTGGGAAGCTTCATCCGCATCCTGCGGGAACTGCAAGGCAGCTGTGCCTGGCCCGTTTGGTCCGCATCTCGTGCAGACGGCCGGTGCGGCATACCTGGAGTTGGAAGAGGCGGTCACAATCCGGACTCCCTCGCCTATGAAATACGACCCGGTCAGGATTTTCGATTGCCCCAGAGACCACTTCCCAGCCACTAATTAGGCGATGAGGCGTGAGACATGATGCCGGATGGAGTTTTTGCCTGCAATCAGCACATGCATCCTGATGTCGAGGCATGGATTGGCTCCGCACCTGTCAATGCAAACATCGGCTGTTGGCGCTTAACACGGCCTGACCTCGACTTCCTTCACACCGGTTCTACCAGAAGCATGCTAATGCAGCAGTCTACTCCCCATCCCACAATGTCACCAAATCCAAGCTCTTAGGTCTTCTGCAACACTCTGCCAGCAAGGCCACGTCACAATCGGGGCCCTCTCTAGAGACATTGGTGGCGTCTGGACCCTGGGGAAATTTGGGTGCTGGTCTGGAAGTGCTTTTGGCCTCCACAGGCTCCCAGTTACCGGCGTCCGGCGACTGGTGGCGCAAGGGTGAATTCGGTTGCAAAGAGTGATCCGAACATGTCCTCTGAGTTACTGATATGAGCAGTCCTTGTCTCAACATAAGGCCTCTACTAGGTTGGGCACACCTGGAAGCAATACCAGATAACTGTCCGCTGCTTCTTCTGGAAATATTCGGCGGAAGGTGGGAGGTCATGGACATGCATCATACATCATGTGCACCTTTCAATGACCCCCGAACCCTAACCTGCATGAGAATAGCCAGGTGGAATAGCTTCTCACTCTGCCGATATTTTGTTACCGCCATGTCCCTTCATCGCGCCATGCACAGATTATGCGTCATACACGTTTCATCAGCATGTTGGCTCACGGAAGCCACCCGACCCTGTGGGTATACTAGGCTTCTACTTTGGGTTGTGCGCGTTCGCTACCAAGTAAGTTATACCTCTTTGCACCATTTCATCAAGGTTTCACCAGCAGAGGCAGCATCAAACTTTTTCTTGATCGCCCACGCAATCTCATCAAGAGTCACGTCCACCCTGAACATTTTGCTTGTTATACCATCGCCCCCTACCCCTTCGTCGCCCAGCCTTCCTACCCCACCAGCGCCCGAGTGCGGCAGAATGAACTGCCATTGCGCCAGATCCTCCCACGCCGCTCTTGCATTGTCCTTGCTCCACGATCTCAGACCTGTGCCCGTGATGGCACCGGCTTTCGAGAACGAAAACGACGACGAGCGCTGGAGCTTGGAACGAGTCAGCAGCTCGGTATATTGCTTGTGGACGAGCGTGAAGTTGGCTTTTGTGACGTCGTAGATGGTCTCGAGACGTGCAGCAGAGACGAGGAGGGATAAATGAAGGACGGGCAGATGCGGGAGGAGATCCAGCAGTGACGGCGGTGAGATCGTCGTGTCAGTGACAATGGGCGTGTGGGATTTGGAGACGTCGCTATCACCGACTTCATCGTCCGCAGGCAGAGAGAGGGTAGCAATAGGGATGTAGAGCGCGGCCAGCATGTCCGGAATGGATTTCGTGCCGTAGAAGATTTTCTTCATGACTGCTTGTGTGGATGGCGCAGGGAGGAGCTGAATCTGAGCGGATTTGCAAATCAGTGACTTTTGCACTCATTTTGTGCGCTTCAAATGTTTGGAGGGAAGAAGCGGCGGCAGTACTCACCTTGATGTACTCATTCCACCTCCGTCTCCAATCTAGATCCTCCTTTGTGACTCGAGGTCCCAATGCGTCCTTCCCATCAACCGGCAAGCACAAAACACCCCTCACGACTTCCTCAAAGGCAACGAGACTCTTGACGCTGGGGACATGCAGCCAGCGATGACTGAAGCGACTCTTGACCCGTTTCTCTAGGCAGTCGACGACGTCCATGCGCGTGGAGCAGCCGACTACCGCGATGGGGGCTTTCCTCGCCTGCGCGATGTCGAAGAGGTTGTAGAGCAGTGTCTGCCGGGGGTGCGTGGTGAAGAGGTCGAATTCGTCGAGGATAAAGATGACGGTTTTCGACGTCTGGTTTCCTCCTTCAGCCAGTGCGTCGGGACCGGCGGTGGCCAACTCCTCCGGGTGACTCAACAAGCTCAAAAGACTCGCCATCGTGTCGGCATAGCTGCTCACTTCTCCCGTCTCGTCCTCAGGCACGGCCATCTCCCTGCCCAGCTGGCGCCAGATTTCCCTCAACGCCAGTTTGTCGTCCGTCTGGAAGAACCCGTTTAGCTTGACGGTGTGGAAATCGCCGCCATGGCTGTGGGATAAGGCGCTCAAGGCGTGGCGGATGAGGAGGGATTTTCCGCTGCCGCGGGAACCAAGGAGAAGGAGAGAGTTGGATTCGCCGGACACGACTGTTGCAGTGAGCAGGGCGTGTAGGGTTGTATACTGGGTTTGCAGGTGGGAGGGGATAGGTGATGGTGAGAATGATGGGTCGTCATTGTGGGCATCTGTGATACGAGAGAGGATCTGTAGTTTGACCTTTGTGAGCTGTGGATCTTCGTCTTCGGTGGCGTTGTTGGCGGGAACAACTCCTGGTGGAGGAATCTCTGAGACATGAGAGCCTGAGATGATGTCGTTGAGGTCAAATGACTCTTCCAGAAAGGTATCCTCGTCTTCAGCATCCCCGTCTCCCAACGGTGAATCTGCCTGTTCGAGAGCATCATCAAGGTCTTCCTGATTCACCACGTGGTCTGCCTCGACATGCTTTGATCGGTCCTTTCCGCTCTTCGTCTTGCTCGAGAGGACTATGTCCTTGAAGCCAAGTTGCTCTTCAATCTGCCTCTGCTCGTCATCGACGGTGCCCTCAAAAGCCACCGATTTTCGCGGCCCGGCCCTGCCACCGCGACCGCGACCGCGTCGCGAGGGGGTCAGAATTCCTTTTGGTTGTGGTGATAGGACACTGGTCGGCGCCGTGACAGAAACTGGCTGTGATGGTAGAGACTCCACTGCCGGTTTATCATCAGGCCTTTTCCGTCGTTTAGAAGGTCGTAATGCTGGTTCCGCATTGGCTAATTCGAGTCGTCGAGATGGCCGTCTTATACGTGTGCTCGATCGCGGTCTTGTCGAGGCCACGCCATCCTCGTCGTCCTGTCCGTCGTCCGATTCAGGGACGGTAGGGTCATTCTGCGAATGTTCTGGGCCTTCCTGTGTGCCCCGATCAATTATTTCCACACTGGATGGGTTGTTGGTGGGCGCATCCAAGGCTGTGTCTGAAACACCATCTGTTCTCGTGGTTCTCCGACCACTGCTCCTTCTACTTCGCTGTCTGTCCTCGGCAGCATTTCCCCCGTCCTCTAGCCCAACCGTGTGCTCTTTGCCAATAGCCGTAGATCGTTCATCTTCAGTAAACTGGCTCTTCTGTTCCGAGAGGCTTCTCCGCTCGATGTTCTTCTTAAGCGCCTTTGTCTCTGTTTGCGTCTCGTCCACAGGTTCCGCAGGCGACGAGACCAGCGTCCGCCTTCTCGTGGCATACGTTCCTGTTCGGCGTCGCTTTGAGGCGCGGTGCGAGTCGTCGAAATCGTCCATGGCTCGTCAATGGAGTGCGTTGACGAGACGTCGCAATGAATCAGGAACAAATTCCGCAAATAGACGCGCTACGCGTCGGTATAGTTTCCTTCAAAGGAGGCGCGTTGGAGAGGTGGTGCGTTCGTGCATTTTTCATTGTGGAGGCAACGCAAATATCATCCAACCGTGGCCAGCATCGTTGAGCACGGGAGTAAACTGGAGATCCAGGTGGAAAAGATGCCAGTGCGATGTAACAGCTACAGCTCTTCTCATGAAAAATAGGAAGGCTGAGAGAGTTGCAACCTCTTGTATATTGATGTTGTCAGACAGCTGCTCCCTCGAGAGGTTTGCAGGATCAATCAGTGTCATTTTTGAAACTCCCTTGTCAGGCAAGCCCACATTTCCCACCACTAAGATCCAAGCCTCCGTCTAGCGAGCTTGCCTCTAAGTGGAGCCTGGATCTCAGCGAGTCCCGCCTGTCTGGGGCCTGGAGGGAAGCTTGGACGCCCGAGGATGTGGGAATCCGGGGTATGGGACGCCATTGACTTCATGCCTAACCCCCTCGCGAAGTTCCTCTGTGATGAGCTGGAGACGCCGGGAGAGGAGTTTCGATTTGCCAACATTTCTACGCCGACCGTGAAAATTGCTAGAAGCGTCTGAACTGTTCTCTTTCCATACTAACTACCTGCCTAAGGTGGTTTTTGCGAGCGACGAGGGTGATCGAGCTGATGAATTTGGGCGAGCATGCGCAGAACTGGCGAAGGATGTTTTAGATAATAACGCCGAAGGCAACCCACAGGCACCCACAGGCACCCACAGGCATCCATTGACCCAATGATGGCCGCCACTTCGCTTCGCTTGAATGCCCCAGAAACGCATTCTCTCTCCCCCAACCATCTAATTCCTGCATGTCGCTTTTGCGGGGGCAGCTGCTCCTCATCCACTCATCCATCCATTCATCCACCATTCCACTTTGCCAAACCTCAATTGGTGCTCGACGACGTCCTTGTTGGGCATGATCTCTGCCACAGATGGTATTTTTCTCGCTTAGCCCTCGGCGCAATGACACCACCTGATGCAGGCCCCGGGCAGAACACTGCAGACGCGAGATCCAAAACCCAGTTTCCTCCCCATCCTCATCGCCATTCTCAGGTCGTACCCGTCCTACTCCTCTTCTCCGCTGGTATTCCCTCGACGTCGCTTCTCTCGTTCATGCTCTCATATCTGCGTCGCCCCTGCCGGCATGCGAATCTAACGTCTCAAACACCATGATCTGGAACGATTTCTCCCCTGCTTGGCAATGAGCGATGCAAGCAATTCCACCCACGACCCTGGCCGTGATGGCGGGGCCCCAAGCTACAGAGCTTCAACCGACAAGCCTCATCCCTCCGAGTTTCTCGAGTTCGTCACGGTCCCGGGACAACCAGGTGCATGCCGCCTTGAACCTTTAAAGGCACAGAATGAGCGGGACACCGCCAAATCTCCCGCAGAGGACCGAATACACATTACACAATCCAACGATGATCTGTTCCATGGCCTCTCTGCGGCCATTCCTGGCCTGCGCAGGTTGTCAGTCGAGGCTCGAGCTGCTACAAAGGCCGAACATGCGATGACATTCTTGAGGGGCTGTCGGCTATATCCGAAAGCAATCGCATGGTCGCTGCTCCTAAGCATGACCATCGTGATGGAAGGCTATGACTTGACCCTGGTCAATTCTTTCTTTGCATTTCCAGTCTTTAGGCGCTCTTATGGCCAGATCATCAATCCACATGCTCCGTCTGGTCAGCAGGATTACCAGGTTTCCCCAGCATGGCAATCTGGTCTCACCAATGCAGCCGTTGCCGGCGAAATTCTGGGCTTGATGTTTAATGGCTTTCTCACCGATCGCTTTGGCTATCATAAGACCATGGTCGGCACTCTGATTTGGATGTCTCTGTTCGTGTTTCTTGCCTTTTTTGCGGTCGATATCAAGATGCTCCTCGCAGCGCAGGTTCTATGCGGTCTCCCTTGGTAAGCAACTGTCAACATCATGATCTTCAAGCTTTTGTTGACCGACAAACAGGGGATGCTTCCAGACACTTTCGACCACGTACGCGGCGGAGGTGATGCCAGTAGCTCTGAGAGCCTACCTTACATCAAATGTCAATATGTGCTGGCTTATCGGTCAGCTGGTCGGAGTTAGTGTCATCCGAGGTCTCGTCCATAATAATTCTGAATGGTCGTATCGCATACCCTTCGGTTTACAATGGGCGTTCGCGGTTCCTATTTTGGCGGGCGTGCTCCTCGCACCCGAGAGTCCCTGGTGGCTGGTCCGACATGAGAAAATCAGCGAGGCCAAGAAATCCCTATTACGACTTACGACCAAAGATTCCGACCCGGATTTCAATGCCGATGAAACCGTGGCAATGATGCAGCACACGAACGAAGTGGAAAAATACCTGAATGGCGGCGGCGTGTCATACCTAGACTGCTTCAAGGGAACCGACCTTCGACGAACGGAGATATGCTGCATGGTGTGGTGTACTCAAGCCCTGTGTGGCAGCTCGATGACCGGTTTCGCCGCATACTTTTACGAGCAAGCAGGCTTTGATACCGCCGACAGCTTCAATCTGGCCGTCGGCATGTATGGGGGCGCGATCTGTGCGGGAATTCTAGCCTGGGTTGGAATGCGCAAGATCGGCCGACGTACACTGTACCTGGGGGGTTTGGTTGGGTCGTTGATCATCCTGATTGTGACAGGCATTGTCGGCACCTTCAAGGAGACTGACAGCACTTCTTGGGCACTGGGGTCATTGATCATCGTCTTGACGTTCGTATACGACTTCACGGTGGGGCCCGTCTGCTATGTCCTCGTAGCCGAGATTCCCTCCAGTCGGCTGCGAGTCAAGACAGTGGTCATCGCCAGAGTGGCCTACAACATCGTCAGCATCATCACCAATGTCATCACGCCTCGGATGCTGAATCCCTCGGCGTGGGACTGGAAGGGGAAATCGTGCTTTTTCTTCGCCGGCACGACGCTATTGTGTTTGGTGTGGTGCTGGTTCCGTCTCCCGGAGCCTATGGGGTTGACGTACATGGAGTTGGACATTTTGTTTGAGAAGAAGGCCAAGGCCAGCAAGTTCAAGGAGTTCCAGGTCAATCTGGCCGGTACGGGATACTTTTCTCTCACGCAGACCAGGTCGGACAGTGTGTGGAGAGGATATCAATAGGGGATTTTTAATTCTTGTTTCGCACCATGTATCTTCCTTTCTTCTTCGAATTCTACCGGCCTGGGTGTCTGGACGTTGGTCTTGCATCGGTGGCTTGCAAGGGGATTTGAAGGGGATTTCTCACCAGCCTATCACCACTACCTGGTAACCTCCCGTCTCAAGCCTGGTTTGAATGTTGAGCACCGCCACGCACGGCCCCAAGTCTCGGGCCACGTCCAGACCTCGTATCCCGCTTAAGGAATCGATAGAGAGAGGTGATTGTGCCTGGCCCCCAGCATCATTAGCCGGCTGGGCGAGTGCCACGCGATATGATACGGGTTTCGATTGCGACACCGCTCGCTTGGAACGGTCTCGGGATGGTTGTCAGGTCAAGCAGGTCTACGCATGAGTGCTAAGTACCTGGTACCTTTCAGTCCTTCGCTTCTAGTGCGCGCCAAATCTTTACCCTCTTGTCGCTGTCTATGATGTACAAGAGCCTGTCAGCACCTGTTGTCATGGCCGATGCCTCAAAGGCTCCGCTCGTGGAGTTGGTTGCTCGACGAAATGATGCTCTCCATCAGCGCTATCCGGAGCCTCATCAGCCTCACTATGGCATTCCGCGCCAGCTCATTATTATTGACTTCTCGTTGTCGATAATGGCCTACTGTGCGCAAGGGAGAGTCACTCGGGTGTTGGCCACAATAGCCGTCTACCAGGGCAGTCCTACTCTTCAGGACCTCCAGGCAGTCACCCCAAATGGAGACCTTGGGGCGTCATATCGGCTAATGACGCGCATAGGCGTTGCCTTCCTGCTCGGTCTTCGTCTCGGGCTCAGCGATGGCCTACAAAAGCGTTGCCGGCGGTGAGACTGTCGTCTCCGTCGATGCGCGACAAGGCGCTCCTCGACGACTACTTTACCCAGAATCCTTACTACTATGGCGCCGTCCTGTACGCAGCCGCACGCTCGGCTGGCATAGCCCTGGGTCTTGACGGGAGCTACCAAGGCGCCAACAACACTTTTGCCCTCGTCTCTCGTTCCCATGGACCAACGACGCCTCCTCCAATGCCACTTTCTTCAACGCTGCCCAAGGCTTTCTCGTCACTCCCCAACGGTATGAATGTACTTGGAACATCACCTCGGACACCGCGACACTCGTTTCTGGTCGCTTGCTAGGCAAGGCGCCCCCTCCAAGATCCGTCCTATAAGTCAGAGACCTTTGTCCACGATTGGCATGAAGGGAAACATGTTTTATTCATCAAACTCGGGTTCTTCCGCATATCTTCTATCAACCACTTTGAAAACGACGAAACTCTCGGGACAGGTATATGTGATTACCTGATGACGTGTATTATTAGGTACCTACTATATTGACAGACGCAGAACTGGCCAGCGACCAGGACCCGAACCGGAACCCGACCATGATGGCCACGACGACGAAATCGCGGCGATCACAATTTCTTCCCCACGCCCTTAAACCGGCCCCTGAATCGCAGCGTCATCCTCTTCGGCGCTAGTGATCATTAGCCTCTACGTCCTCGGTCCATTCCTATATAGGTAGACTTCCAAAGCAGAATCCAAAAAAAAGGGGCGGTGGGAGGAAGGTGGTTAAGGTTTCAACGGGTACGCGACACAAGAGAGTCGTGCGTCGTGGTCGTGATCTTCAGGGGGTTCGTTCGTGGTTCTGGTGGTTCTGGTGGTGGTTGTTCTAAAAGCCAAAAAAAGGAAAGGGTCAGGGGCTCCGGCGACGAACGCGTAACGCGGCCTAACGAGTATTAATATACATACCGTATACGTATGCACATAGGCCAGGCTAGGTGGTAGACGACCTCAAAACTCAAAACTCAAAACTCAAAACTCGCAAGTCGAACTCGTCATGTTGGAACTTGGGAGATGGAGCGGGTACCAAGGTAGTTGTGGAGTAATTGCCTCGTACTCGCTACGCGTAACCCACTCAACATGTTCATGAGGAAGAGCTATTTACTCCACCAACAAAGCCTCCTGAGAAACACAACTGCCCACGCTGCCACAACCGCTCGGAGAAAAAGAACAAAGTGGGCCATTTCAGACGCGAGGTGGGAACCCAAAACTTCTCCACTGTGAAGTCGGAAGTTGGAAACCCACAAGCAAGATACCAGTCCTCATCAAAACTCATCTGCCAGCGACAACGACAGCAACGAGGCTGGTCAAAGGTCAGAAATGCCATTGGATTCATTTGCGTTACGGATCTTTTGTCCTCTCTATCTATGTTTCGAGCGAATACTGAACAATCCCCTTTTGCACCTTTCACTCAACGTCTTGGCTCTCGTCTCCCTGTCGAACCACAGTAGCTGATCTCGTCCTCCTTGACAACTGCTCCTCTCGTCAATGGCCCTGACGATCACATACCAGCTCTTCACCTTTGTCCATCAGCCTGGTTCCTCGATCGTAAACAGGCAGAACCGTGCCCCCAACCATAAGATGCTAGTACCGTTGGTGCCAGCCCCATGCAACCCATATCCACCACCGCTCCCAAGGGTCAACTTCCCCTGGGACATTGATTTTGTCCTTTAGAAATATGTCCCCCTCCTCGCAGAATGCTGAAAAGACCATCAAATGCAAGTCTCACCGAAAAACGCCCGAAAACAATACAACCCGAAGCCGCCCGTCGAAGCGTGGAAGAGGCCAGCCAGTGTCAATACCGAATAATCACAACAATCCATCACGATCTTTCTCAAATCTCCCAGGTCCCACCCACAAGCATTCATTCACCAAGCCTTTTTGTCGTTCAGCGCAACCCTCAAAGGGCCCCCTGTCGTCATCGTTGAACGTGGTCAAGTAGAAATGTCCCGCCGTAGAACTTTGCCATCATTTTCGCCGCCCGTCTATGAATTTTGTCCGCCATGCTGACCGGATGTTTCGAAGTTGTGTAAGCATTAGAATCCGGCGCCGTCGGCTTTGTCCTTTGAAAATGCAATCCGTCCACGCCGTTGCCATGCAGATATGTTGCGGCCAAGCCTGGATGATGCTGCAAAGCGGGAAGAGTGGCCGCGAGCAATATCCCCAGTTCAGGCCCACTGAATCTATTTGCATTAAAGTTTCGATAAGAAAGACATAAAAAGGTAACCGTCCAAGAGGTCGAGTTGAAGTCCGGCTGTGTGCCGCCCAGACCACAAACATTAGCGCGTGGCGATAAGTCCGAAACAGGCCGAATAGCTCCACGTAAACTGTAGTCGAATAAGTTTGTGACGAGAAGCAATGGCTGCCTCATCGATAGTCAGTGGAATATGGCTGTCCCGCTGGGACTGGGCTATCGCCAAGAGTGTGGAGAGGTCGGAAGAGTTGTTTCATGTCCAACTCCAGGGTTTCAAGCGCATAATTGTCGTCGATGTCTGCCACACTGCCAGGTTCTTCGCCTCGTTGGGCACCGTCGGTCCGACTCCATTCTCTGGCCTTCTTCAACCCATGCAGGACTTGCCGAAGTCGGTCATCTGCAGAGAGCTGCCAATCGCGTGTTCGGTTTGGCTGCATGAATGCGCGAGCCAGCCAGTAAAAATGTACGCCATCCCGACAGAAGCCGATACGCTTCGGAACGTGATCACCATTTCCTGGAGGATATTGCAACGCGTAATCCTGGTCCCAGGCTTGTTTCCAACGAGCAAGAGCGGAGTTGATCGATTTGTACATATTGTTTGCGTCCTCCGGCGACACCTTTGGCTTTTTGAGGCGGGTCATGGGGGAGTCTGAGGAGCCGAAGAAAAATCTTGAGCGCTGGACCTGCCAGATTTCCACATGAAGCGCGTGGATAAGGATGAACTTGGAATAAACATTTGTGGTTCGCGGCTGCATGATTACAGTCGTGCTATGCAGAGCACTCATTGCATGGTGCATCTCCAGTTGTTTTAGTCTGAGCGAGCCGTTCACGTTGGTTCTTGCTTGTGCCTCTGCCCCACGGAGACCGAGGGCTTGGGCACAGGTTTCGGCGTCTGGAGCTTCCCAGGCAGCGTCGTCGCAAGGCAAGGGTAATTTGATCTCGGCTGAAGAGAACTGGGGAGCCACATTGAAGTAGATACACATGGCCGCGTCCCACAAGAAGACCATGAACATTAACCGAGATCGCTTTTCCTGTTCCACCCAGGAACGCCAATCCCAGCGCCACGGCTGGGCGGTCTGACCTGGCTGAAGGTTGTGAAGATAACTGTAGCTAAGACGATCCTCTGGACCAGCCAAAGTTAACATGCCGAGCTGTCGAACCAGATACAAAACTCGTTTACTTTCAGCACGGGCAAGAGCTCTCTCTTCAGGCCCTCCGTGCCAAACGAACAAGCTCTGGAGGATTTGTAGCGCGAGGAGTTCTTCAAACTCCGTCTCCCCAGTCATCGACAGCCGATTCCTTGCGACTCCCGGTTCCAGGTTATGTAATAGTTGTGATGTACGGTCGATGCCAGATTTGACAAGTTGCATCAAAGCCCGTACCTGAGGTTGAGTAACGCGATCAGAGTACACAGCCCCGCTGCAGATGATGACAAGGATGAGGCCGTCATAGGCGGTCAGGAAGTTAAAGGTCGGTAAATGAAGCCATGGGAAATGACCTTGAAAATTTGGGAAGAGATCGAGAAAATGCTGGATGGCTTCGACGGTCAGGCAGGACCTGAAAAAATCATTTTGTGGGTCTCGGTGCGATTCCTGTAGCCCCCCAGGGAAGACAAACGTTAATAGCGAGTTCACCTTGGCTTGGAACAAGTCTTGCCGAGATGCATGCAGATTCCAGAGAGGGGGTCCAAGCGTACCGTCAGCTCCAAGGCTCGTAGAGGGAATGTAGTAACCATTCGATCCACCTTCATGGGTTTCATAGTCCTTTTTGACATCATTCTGGGATTGGTCATAACCGCCAAACATGGGGTTCATGTATCCCTCATTGCCACCTGATGGAAACATATGGTTCCAGTCATCCCCAATATGATGAGGGCCAGGCATGACATTGCGCTTATCCTCCCCTCCACCGGGCTGCATGCCATAATGATCGGAAGGCGTCGAGTTGGAGTGATACATCATTTGGTTGCTTCGGGCATTGTGCATCGACCATGAGTTGTTGGCATTGGGGTCCATGCCAGCGGGTCCAGAACCAGGCTGCATGGGCTGCCCCGGACGCTGCATGTCACCCGGGCCATTGGACTGCATCGGATAGGCCATTCCAGGGGCAGGGGCACTGGTGGTCGGCGCCGTAGTGTTGGGCATGGCAGCAGTGGTGTATGGAGGGTTGGGCATCACCGCGTTTGGGGTGGTGGCACTTGCTGGCGAGGCAGTTGCTGCCTTTTGCTGGTTCTTTTTGATATGAGCAGCAGGGTTGGACAAGTGGCTTGCTCCCGTCGGGTTACCACGACGGACCGAGCATTTTTGAAAATGCCGCTTCAAGATGTCACTCCTGGAGAACGTATCGTTGCACAGGACACACATGTACGGCCGATCACCAGTGTCTGTAGATTAGTCGTTAGCGTACCGGGGAAACAAAGAATACGTAGGTCTAAAATCTTACGTCTCAACATGTGCCGCTTCAAATGCTTCGCGTGAAGATAAGTCTTGGTACAGTTCGGGCAAGGGAACTTTCCATCAGCGTCCTTCTGGGGGACCGCGTTGCTCTTCTGGGAGCCGTTAACCCCATTTGGCATCACTGGAGGCCGTCCTGGTGCGCTGGGCAAAATGCCTCTTCGTCCTTGAGATCCCACCACATGTGTTCGCGTCGGATCGCGCCCGACATCAGTGGTCATTGTGGGCATGGGTTCCGCTTGGGACCACGCTGCCTGACGATTGTCCGGCTGGCCATATGGGGGTCCCAGAGTATCTGAACGCGGAGGGGCAGGAGCGAGAGGCTGCGGGTAGGCTTGACGCGGCTGCGGCGGGCCCTGGTAACCTTGTGGAGGTGGTGGTTGTTGTTGCTGCGGCTGCTGTTGCGCCGGGTTATGGGGCTGCGGTAGAGCAGACGATGGCGGCAGACCGGCCATGGAAGTTTGAGGGGCCATGTATCTGTTTTCAGGAGCTGGAGATGGGACAGGCGCAGTGGTAGGAGCAGAGCTGTAGCGCGGAAGGTCATTTCGGTATTGTTGGGGCATGTAGCTCTGGTTGGCAGGCGGGAGTTGAGAATAGTTGATAGGAGGGAGATGCGTGTTACTCTGGTACGGAGGCATGGCGTATGCGGAAGCCATGTTATTTGGATTGTACGTGGTTTGAGGTGTTGCAACGTTGGACGATGTTGTCCTTGACAGTGACTGCCTAGGGTCCATCACCCGATTTCAATACACCAGTGGAGTCGACGAGCTCAATCGACCATTGGACGACCAAGCGTAGCGACGAGCGTGTAGGAAGAGGACGGACGTGTCTCTTGTTCCGAGGGTGGAATCGATGAAGCTCTTTGGGTCGTGGCCGGTTGACTTCAGTAAGGACAGGATGGGATTGAGATTTTTCGATGGTGTTTTTTGGGCTAAGGCGTTGGAGGTTTGGCTGAGGAGGAGAACAAAGTCTGCAAGGTACCAAGGAAAAG